CATTACCAATATAATAATATGATATTATTACTATACATAATATCTATATATTTCAAACGAAATGTGATTTTTTTTTTTTTTTTTAATAAGAATTTGAATTTGTTTTCCTCGTTCAAATAAATATATCTATGTATAGGTACATGTATATTGTATATATTATTCAATCAAATTAGAATTGTACGCAATACGATATTATATTTTCAATGAAATCCTACAGATATATAATACGTATACAGATATAGATATATTACTGATATAAGAGTTGAATGGAAACTTAAACCATTAATATAACAGAGAAGAGTGGAAATAATAAATTAGTATTAACTGTAAGAATCTAGATAGTCTGTAAAATTTAAAAAAAAAGAGCTAATACTGGGACGGGTGTGCCATTGTTGTAGGGGGAAGTTGATAAGGTGGGATACATAAAGTTATTTAATTTATATATTCTATAAGTAACGATAAACCATTACTAACGAAAAACGATTTGGCGCGAAGTATGGTTATACATGTTTTGAAAGACCATAATATTATTTACGATTTTTATCAAATTTCTTATAACAAAAAAAAAAATACTACATTACACTTTACTTTTTTTTTAACCATTAAGTACAACTTATAATTAGCCTCCCGTTAAATTTGTAAGCTTTCGAGAATTTCTGATTTGTCAAACAATTTTATTCACAGAATACCTACCAAATAAAAATTAAGTAAAAAACTGGCTAAATTTAAATGTCTAAAAATAGCTCAAACGGCTATAATATTTAAAAATGTTATCACGTCTAGAAAATGAAAATATCAGTTTTCTGTCAAAATTCGAAGTCTCTAGGAATATTTTTAACTGGATTACAACAAAAAAAACAAAATTAAAGCCACATGGTGTTTATTCTATTAAAATAAATAAATTAAATAAAACTAATAAAAATGTAACGTCATAAATTTATTCCATCCATTTCTTGTTTTACTCAGTTATTAAAAAAACTACAGGGAAAATCAAATATGTCTTTCTTAATCAACAACTAAATTTAAAATTTAATAAAAAAAAAGTGTCTTATCAATTTTCTATTAGAGCAATATTTCTGGAAAAAAAACATCATGCATACAAATTTAAAATAAATTATGAGATCGGCGAAAATGAAGCGGATAAAAGCCCATTTTTTTAAATTTTCCACACGAGATTTTTGATATACAGAGTGTTGCAGATATGCTACGAATACTCGCACTTGGATCCCTCGTAATTACAGCCAAAACTTTTTCAAGTTCAACATCCAATATTACGCCCAGTTCATTACGATATTGTACTAAGCCAAATTTTACCAGATATCTGTAAATCCTGACAAATGATTGAAATCTAAAAACATGTCTTCCTTGATATCAAAATCTATACTCAAGCACTGCGGTTCGAGCGTTAAAATATTCGTACACAACATGTAAATCAGTAATGCGACCGAATAGCAAATCAAATAACCTAAGCATTTTACTTGCAAATTATTAGTTGAAGCAAAAGTACAGACAACACAACTAAAATTTAACGACGTAAATAAAGCTCACCGTACTCCAAGATTAAACCAATAACCTATTTCAAGAATGCTCTGATTAACGATTAACGACCGATAAAAGATTCCAAGAATTCTACAAAAACTCTGCAATAATGGAAGATCCGAAAATAACACTTTTAAAGTAATGTGGGTATATTTAGTAGAATAATAAAATAAAATAAAAAACCGTAGTAAATAGGAAATTATTTAGAGTTGTGTGATTTATTTTAAAAATAAAATTCGTTGACAAAAAATATTCACCTTTTTCAATTTAGTAAAAATAATTTGTTTATTTCTGGTTTAATTGTGTATGTTGGTTGATGGCACAATAAAATAGCGAAAATTAAATAGGTTCATTAGTTGAAAAGTTTTGAAGGTACACAATAAAAACGCATGGTAGGTACGGTTTCGTTAAAAAAAACTTAAATAGCTCTTAACTTAAAAAATACAAATGTTAGACCCACCTTTAAAGAGTGTTTCTCCGTCATTTTTGGAGTACTTTCATATGACGCCGACCGGTAACTTTCCATAAAACACATTGTATATCTTATTATTTGTAGCTATTAATAAACTGATTGCATGCATTCATTGATTAGGAGTTCAGTGTCGGTTAAACAGGCAACAAATAGTTGGCGTAATGTTTTAAAACATGATGATTTAAACATTTTAGAAACTGTCATTGAACTTCACAAAGGTGTTAGAACATTTCCCCTGAACCGTTAAATTTCAGTTGGTGCATTTACAATTGCACCGATTAAGGTCAGAAACACCTACTCAGCACCAAAATAAAATATTTGGTTAAAAATTTCACACCTAACACTTTTATTGAACCAGCCATTATTGTTTTGCTAACATAATTCTAACACTGTGTATAAACAGTTAAAAATATACAGTGTTCATAAACCGAAATTGAATGTTGAAATTGCAAATGGGGAATGACCATTGAAGAATATTTAAATTAAAAATCAAAATACTTTTTAGAGGCGTTTATACCTTGATTTACATGTAAATAGGTCAGTAGTAGGAAATAGGGGATTCAACGCCAGGTGCTGGTACTGGTGCAAAGCGCCCAGATGCTGCATCATATGTTTAAATATCATTTTTAAATTCTGAATGAAGCGAAGAAGCCTATGGTTTTACAAAGATATTTATTGCTTTTGTTCTATAGACAACTTTTCTACCAGAGATCTTGCTCCGATTTTTATGTGTAGCACCTTCTCTGTAAGGATATCGGTGTGGGGTGGTACATTAAGCAGGTCATTTTTCGATTTTCTCAAGAGTTTTTTCATCAAATCTGAAACACCGAAAAATGGAAAAAAACTGGATCCATTTTGATTTGGGAATTTGAATAATTCAAAATTTGCAATAAAATGACATCTATATTATTGACAAAGAAGTACTATCAACTGAACTCCGCTCAGAATGGTTTTTTCGTTAGCAATGCTTTATCGTTGCTTACAAATGTACATTAAATTACTTATAACAATGGCTGTTATAACTATCCATGGCCGCACATCCTCGAGCAAGGTGCTATACCTAATACATAGCCGCCCGAATTGTCCACCTCTTCATCGACATATATTTTTTCCCCTACGCCTATTTTACAAATATATTTTATTTTACCTATGGTATCGTAATCAAAAATGTAGCTTCGTGTTCATTAGTCTTACTATTAATTTCTTGGATCTAAAAAATCAAAACAAGTGATCAGGACTAAGTTTAATAACAAAAACGTGAGAAAATATGTAAAAATATCTCTTTTTCATACACATTATGATTAAGGAAAAATACATTTTTAGTGACATCACACACATTTTCTCTTTTGATAACAAAAATATGGTTTTTTGAGTCTGGATAAATAGTCGAAGATGTAATATTGGCTATTTCAGACGCATTCTATGTTGTTCATTTAATGTGTAACAAGGTACACCATTGTTGACCATGCGTTCAAACAATGAAATGTCAAAATTATAATCCTTTGCAACCCACATACTGCATTACTAGGACACAAAAAATAAGCATCAAATTGTATAAAATTATACTTAAATTAATTTACTATAATTAAGCAAAGTGCATACCTATCAATAAAAGATGTTTACAGTTTTTAATTAGGGAGGAAATTATGTGTGCTTCCAAAACTTCAGCAGCTTCCTCAACTATCACTGCAAATGTTAATTCATCTCATAAAAGGAAGTATAAAACAATCATGTAAATTGCATAAAATTTTAAAACTTTTTTATTGCGATTTACGTTTAAATTTGATTTCAACACGCTTATTAAAAAAAAAAAATAGTCGTCCGATGATTTTGCGAATTTTACCACGTCTAGGTAAGTCCAACATAAGTCTGATTAATAAGTTTCAAGTCTCTACATGTATTTATAACCGAATTAAAGCAAAAAAACTTCCAAAAATTAAAATTCCTTTAAAGTTCAAAAGTTTTGGCGATGGTACTCTAAGAAAGTAAATGAAAAAGTCAACAAAAAAAGTATCTCGTGATTTTTCGGTTAAATCATTTTTCTGGTAGAAAACATCGTCCGTGTTTTTTTAAACCAATGAAATTGTAAAATCGTACGTTATCCTTCGTTTTTTGACGCTTATTAAAAAAAAAAATAGTCTTCCGATGGTTTTGCGAATTTTACCACGTCTAGGTAAGTCCAATATAAGTACTATAACAGAATTATTTGAGAACTGAGGTGCGATACCTAATACATAGCCGCCCGAATTGTCCACCTCTTCATCGACATATATTTTTTCCCCTACGCCTATTTTACAAATATATTTTATTTTACCTATGGTATCTCTCTTAACCATAACCACTGTTATCAAATCGTTATCACATACGTGAGATAATTATTTTAAAAGTTTAATGACAGTTTCCCTGTCCGGGGCGCGCCCGCGCTCAATTTACCCCGCCGACAAACTAACCATACCCACTGATGAATATTATCTATGAAACGAAATGTTATTATGAACACTATTACAAAAACAAAATGGTTATGAGCAACGTCGATGGTCCATACAATCCTGCCAGAGCTAATGTTACCATACTCGTCGTGTAACGTAAACCACCCCGCACTATCCCGTACACACATTTCGTCTACATCGTAATTATAAGTACCTATACAAAAATATTATACATATTTTCATAGATATTACACATTAGTCGTCGTATTCCTGTTGGGTTAGATTTTCGTCAACGACATTACAATTTTTATAACTATTGTTATCATCGACCAACATGTACACGGACGATAACAACACGATTATTAATTATACACACACACAAGCATACACATTTACCTACGCACACATATAAATGTACGTACACACACACATCCACCTAACCACACCCCATAAACAAACACACGTGTATCTATACTTGCATACACATACGCACACATACCCACCGCTCCGGCTAACCACATATACACATACGCGCACACACATACACATACGTACCTCTCATGCACACATGCAGGTTTAAAGTTCATAGTAACACTTCTGTTGATTCTAATGAAATGGAAAACCCAATTGAGGGAATGTCTGTTCAAGACGATCAAAATGATAATCAATCCAGTTCAATCAAACAGAGTTTAGCAGCAGAGTCAAAAGTATTAGATGATAATCTAATTAAAAAAACAAAGTCTTTTTATAATAAAGATGATGGAGAAGATCAAGATGATGAATCCAGTGAATCCAGTTCAATCAAACGGAGTTTAGCAGCAGAGTCAAAAGTATTAGATGATAATCTAATTAAAAAAACAGTCTTTTTATAATAAAGATGATGGAGAAGATCAAGGTGATGAATCCATTCAATCCAGTTCAATTAAACAAAGTTTAGCAGCAACAGTAGATGAGGGAGCTGATAAAACATGTAAAGATAATATTGCAAGCGGTAAGACATCGAAACGTTCGTATCACGATGGTAAATCTAAGTCAGAAATGGATAAGTCTAGCGAAGATTATAATAAAAAGTACTACCAGGAATATATAACACTTGCTCTATGGTGTATAAAAAAACGTCCTGGCGAAGGACTTGAGGATTTTAAGGAAAGAGGTAATGAACGTTATAATAAATCTATACATAATATATAAATTTATGTTTGACGTATATTATAAAAAATTTTCCTAATTATTTACTTATTTTATGATCATGGTGTCATCAAACAGATTATTTTTTTAGATTTATAACGTTGAATATTGTTTTAATTTTATTTAATTTAACCCAGTATAATATTTTCAGTATACTGGACACATCACCATAGTGTAATGAGATAGTAGAGCACCGCTTATGAATTCTTTTCATTTTTTGATTTTCCCTAGAGTTTTTTCTAATAAATGGAAAAACCAAGACAATAGGTACAATATTAAACAAACATTGTAAAAGAAAATATGTAATGCACGTGTAATTATTTTACCATATTATGGCATATAAATGAGTGATGTCCCAACAAAAACCCTCCGTCAAGTTAGACAAATTGTAATATCAAAAAGAGAATAAGTAATTTCTTAAATTCATTAGCATAGAAATTGTTTATAATTGATAAAATAATAAAGTAAAATAAAAATTATTAACTGTAAACTTATACATAAATATCAACACTAAATGAAACTGTTATACATTTTATATGGGTAAAACAACTAAGATATAAAGAGTACCATTGTGAAATAAAATTAAAAAAGACTGCCCCTAACTAAAATTTCGCCAAACATGTTGTAGAAAATAACCATAGTATAAACTTTGATATTAACACAGACTTAGAGATATTAAATACCCACAATAACATTTAAATCAATTCAGTTTTAGAAAAATTACACATATACAATGAAATAAAGAGAAAAACATTTTAATAATATTTTAAATGTATTAACCGATTTTAAAAATAATATCTAATGTCAATACATTGTAAATAATAAATAACCCATTTAAAATTATTTCTCCTATAAAAAAAAAATATTTCTACGTAAACCGACTAATATTTGTATAATATTTTTCTGTCTATTATTCCTTCATTTCAATTTTTATATTCAGTAACATTTTACATTTTGACTGTGATATACCTGATGATGAATTCTAAACAGGTCATATAATACACTTATCAAAATAATCTAAAGTATTTATTTATGCATTTTTAATTTTTATATATAAATTGTTGTTTTATTCATATATTTTTTTTACTATATTTGTTTATAATTGTTTGTGTCCAATAAAAATGTAAATTTAATACAAATAATTTGACTTAGCTTGGTTGGTTACTATACCACACATAGTATGTACATAAATAGTGTTATGGTAATATATTTTATAATGGGGATGTAAATATTCATATTGGCATTGTATATTTATTTGTTGTTGTAAATATTAGTGTCCGCCAAGCTAGTTAAATTATTTCTATCAAATCATCGCACTTCCTCAAATATAGACAATTTCTAATGAATTTAAGAAATTAATTAGCCCCTTTTTGATATTACAACTTTTCTAACTTGGGTTTTTGTTTTCATATAAAGGTTTTTACAGGTAGTTGATGGAGGGTTTTAATTGCGCATATTCTACTATTAACCAAACTACGCTCAAAATCATTTTTCGTTAGCAGTGGTTTATCATACAGATATACATAAAAAATGTTTCTACTTATATACTTCCCAACTTTTCTCTTACAACAGTGGCTGCATCATTCTCAATTATCCTAGGACACATTTTTTTTTGTTTTATCGTAAAATGACAATTTGTTAATAAAACTCGCATAAACATTGCGATTGTATTTCGGTTTGAATATTAATCTGTAGTTAATTAAAAATAGTCTCACGAAGATATAACCATTGTTATATGTCTGGAGATAATTTGAGAATAGCAATTTTATTGTACTCCGTGATAGTGTGAAGTACTATAATTTTTCAAAAAACTTAAAATCACAAATTTAATGAAAATAAAAACTATAAAATAACCATTTTCAAATTTGTTTCAAAACAATAAAATAAAGTTATTTTTTTTTTACAAAACATTGTTGTATCACCTATTCTCTATTTTTCCTTTATTTTCAAAAATTGTGATTATTGTATTTCAAGATATGCATATTTTATAACTTATTAATAGCTTTAGATTCAAAATATTGAACATTATACATTTGACTAACTTGATCTGGTTTTATAAACCAAGTACAAATCAATTTTTAACAATGTATTTAGTCCCTATCCTACAAAACAATATGTAATATTACCGAGTCAAAACGATTTAAATGACAATTTGTTTAAAAAACAATACATTTAATATAGAATATTGTGTTTTATTTAATTTTGTTTTTTTAATTTTTTGCAGTTAAAAATTCGAAGGAACCATTGAAATCACCTCCAACTAATATGTCAATTGATGAAAATTTTGATGAATTTATTAATGGATTTATTCGGTTGCACCCAATACATATATGCACCGAACTCATGGATAAATAACTGCCTTCCAACGTAACGCGTGTAGTTTAACAGATGCCTAAAGATAAATCAGTAGTTTTATCCGATTTAGATAAACTTGAGGATCTTGCACCCGGACAGTTGCAGCTAATTGGATGTATTTGCCCTCCCAAGGAGTAAATAATGGAAACTGAACCCAATAATGATTAACTTGCAACTGATTAAATATTAAACATTAACATTTTGTATATTTACCTAAATTATAATTTTGTACATTTAAGTGTTCCTATTTTATTAATTATTTTAAACTATCTCACTGATTTATTTCATAATAAAGACTTGAACTATTAGCTTTTAAAATTTAATTTATTAGAATTTTTTTCTATTTAGTATATTTATAAAAACCATTTTATTTATTTGAACTGTTATGTTATGGCATACAATATTATAATTAAATAAACTTAAATGTATACCTTGATCATTAAATGCATATCTTGAAACACAATAATCACAATTTTTGGGGAAAAAAGGAAAAATAGAAAATAGGTTTTACAGTGTTTTGTAAAACAAAAAAACTTTATTTTATTGTTTTAAAACAAATTTGAAAATGATTATTTAATAGTTTTTACTATTAAATACGAATAAAATCTATGATCTTTAGAGTGTTGTATCTTAACGTGAAAATCTTATAAACATCAAATATAACTAATTTTTGATCAACTAACAAGTATTTCAATAAAATTACTTAATTACTTAAATATTATTCTCTATTTTCACCAGAAAAGTAGAATTGTAATAAAATTTAAAATCCATAACTGACGTCATATGTGCCTTCTCCCAGTTTTGAAATTTAGTCTGTACAGAAATATCAGAATAATTGTAAGCACACACAAATTAAAGATATATAGACTTGAACTGAGTATCGTTGTTATTAATAATTTCAATTTTACAATAATGAAATCCTAACACAGTAAATTTATTAGTTTGTATTTTGTCCAATTATTATGAAAAATACTTGAAAAGAAAAAGGACAGACATACTTCGCATGTGGGTGCAGCCGCTTTTATAGGTGGAAAGTTAGGAATTTAATGTTTACCTGTGAGCAATGATAAACCATTGATAAAAAAAAAACCATTCTGAGTGGAGTTCAGTTGATATTGTTGCTTTGTCAACAATATTTATTATTATTATTTATTTATTTATTAAATTATATACGGCCACGGTGGGGCAATAGCATAATATGTCATATTATGGTAAAATTATTACAACAATGTAGATTTCCATGACAACAATGATTGTTTAAAAAATATTTAAAATAATAAAAATTTAATACTAACAAAAAATAAATAAAAACATTATTTTTAATATTTCAATCTTTTTTCAAAAAATGACTTCTCTAAAGTACCACCCAGAGAACATTTCCTTCCAGAACAGGTGGTACATAGCTACACTTAATACATCAGATCCAGATTTCTATTTGAAAAGTTACTCACACACAAAAATAAAAATACAATAATAAAACCAATAGATCACTCGATATACTCCAAATCTAAAATCTATATACTTCATATGGAAAACTTTACCACCTTGTTACAGGATTACGAAATAATTTTCCAAGGAAACTCACAGAGAGCTTAAATATTTTTAAAAATACTGTTACTACTTAAATAAGAAACACCGTTATGTTCATATAGTGTTCCACTAAACCCTAGTGCAAAAATAATTAAATCAAAATATCATATAATTAAAATGATTGTGACCCAGAGACTCAGCCTATCCATTGCTAAAATCGTACTAAAATTTGTTGAATAAATACTTATCAAGATATAAGGGTATAGGAAAAAGAGGGATTTTGTTTTGTAATAAATATATATATATATATTGATAATTTTAAAATATCATCCAAGTGATCAAATTATTATTAACGAAAAAACCAAAAGTTTCACTTGTTACAAGGTTCTCTACATTTCATTTCTTAATGCTCACGATCATTGGAATGACATATACTTGAACAATAATGACCATATAGTAGCAATGTGTTACGCAATAAAGCACAACCACCCTCCATAAATGGTATAAAATCTTCACTAGTCTAAACCATTGTAAAGACTCCAGAGTGAACTGCGCACTCCAAAATAAATTGATCCTAACCTTTAATCACAATCCTTTTAAACAAAATTATTACCAAGTAAAAATAAAAACCATACAAATAGGTACCATATGAATCCCGATCAATTGAGGATTTTTCAATTTGCTTCCACAAATCCCCAGAATTGTACAAATTGTCCATGTTTCCCATTATGTAAAGTCCATATTTTGCTCTTGACAATGCAATACATACACTGTTTTCTGTTTTCAAAAATCCTACATTTCAGTAGAAAAATATTTTATGTAAACTTACAGAGCAAAGGTGAAATAATTAATCACTGTACGTTGTTAAAATAGTCACTTGTTCATTTTTGTAACCTTGTAACAGTAAATGTCAAGAGAACGTAATCAAAAATGTAGCTTCGTGTTCATTAGTCTTACTATTAATTTCTTGGATCTAAAAAATCAAAACAAGTGATCAGGACTAAGTTTAATAACAAAAACGTGAGAAAATATGTAAAAATATCTCTTTTTCATACACATTATGATTAAGGAAAAATACATTTTTAGTGACATCACACACATTTTCTCTTTTGATAACAAAAATATGGTTTTTTGAGTCTGGATAAATAGTCGAAGATGTAATATTGGCTATTTCAGACGCATTCTATGTTGTTCATTTAATGTGTAACAAGGTACACCATTGTTGACCATGCGTTCAAACAATGAAATGTCAAAATTATAATCCTTTGCAACCCACATACTGCATTACTAGGACACAAAAAATAAGCATCAAATTGTATAAAATTATACTTAAATTAATTTACTATAATTAAGCAAAGTGCATACCTATCAATAAAAGATGTTTACAGTTTTTAATTAGGGAGGAAATTATGTGTGCTTCCAAAACTTCAGCAGCTTCCTCAACTATCACTGCAAATGTTAATTCATCTCATAAAAGGAAGTATAAAACAATCATGTAAATTGCATAAAATTTTAAAACTTTTTTATTGCGATTTACGTTTAAATTTGATTTCAACACGCTTATTAAAAAAAAAAAATAGTCGTCCGATGATTTTGCGAATTTTACCACGTCTAGGTAAGTCCAACATAAGTCTGATTAATAAGTTTCAAGTCTCTACATGTATTTATAACCGAATTAAAGCAAAAAAACTTCCAAAAATTAAAATTCCTTTAAAGTTCAAAAGTTTTGGCGATGGTACTCTAAGAAAGTAAATGAAAAAGTCAACAAAAAAAGTATCTCGTGATTTTTCGGTTAAATCATTTTTCTGGTAGAAAACATCGTCCGTGTTTTTTTAAACCAATGAAATTGTAAAATCGTACGTTATCCTTCGTTTTTTGACGCTTATTAAAAAAAAAAAATAGTCTTCCGATGGTTTTGCGAATTTTACCACGTCTAGGTAAGTCCAAAATAAGTACTATAATAGAACTATTTCAGAACAACAATGATGTCAGATCTACTTTCTGTTTTAACTATTATATCAATCGAAAGTGTTTTGTGTGAAAATGTAGACTATAACGATATTATTGAAATGTTCGCAGAAATAATAGACAGGAAATTAATTTTTGATGAATAAAATGTTTGTGTATAGTATTTTAATTTGTCTGTTTATTTTTTTAAAATGCAAATTGGCATAAATTTAGGAGACGATTAATGAATTATATTAATAGGATGAGTTGATAAAGAAAAACATGTTAATTCAGTCTACTGTGAAATTATTTAATTTACTTTACTTAAATTATAATATTTTATGGAAAAAAAAAAACTCCTTAATAATTAGTGAGGTATTTACCAAATTATCTGTTATCATTTTGTGATACCACGATCTTCCATGTTGGTGTGAAGTCTCGTCTCATAATTATAATACTTAATATATAATAATAATTACTTTATTTGGGCTATGATGAGAACACTTTTTAATTCTTTTTTTTCCCTGTGTTTTGGTGTTAGTACAATCTTTTCTTTTTTTTTCTCATCAATTGTCGATCAAGAACGATCCGCGGTTCACACTCTACAGAGTGATTATTACAGAGTTAATTATAATTTAATATTTCAGAAGAAAATTTTCAAATAGTGATAATCAAAATTATCTTGGCTTTACAACACGACCAAGACCAAAACGAGACCACCACTGTCTTGCAGATTTTTTTCCAAAACCCATTTATATGAATAAAAACTATTATTAATTATTAATGTTTACAGGGAAATGACAAATTAATAATATTATTGCAAATAAGAAATGATATTAAATATTGTTAAAATAATTTAATTTAAAAATGTTTTTATCTTGTTTTCAATAATTTGACATTTTCGTCAACAACTATAATATATTTAATACATAGTTGTGCATGCTTACTAAATTCATATATTATAATAATATAAATACTCCAAATAGCACATACTAAGTATATTAGTATTTGAGAATAGGTAATAAATAGTAGTAATACCTACCTATTATTAAGTCACTGATACGGTTTGTAATAAGCACTATCTAATAATAGGATTTTATTAAGAGAGGGGGTGGTTGAATGAATTGCTGGAGAAGTGTGGTTTGCAAGCTTTTCTGTTAAAACTCAGCTCTTTTATCTCGATAACTTCCTATGTCCTGCAAGTAAATATTTTTTAATTAATTTATCATTAGCATATATTTGTCTCGGTGAGTCCTATAGTGTATATTCAAATGTACATTGTAAAATTTTCACTTAAGAAAATTAAAAAAATGTTTTTTGGTAAAATAAAATTGGGACTGAAAAGGTTAAGGCATTGGCAATACCAGCTTTTTTTTTTTTTTGGTACCATTTCTGTATACCTACCCACTCTCCAACAAGATTTAGATGATTCTCAAATCCTAGTTCTAGATTTAATACTAAAAAATTTAACTTCCAAAACCACCCATTTTGAAATATTTTTAACCTGCCATGAGTCGCATCATTATTTGTAACACATGAGGTCGTACAAGATCTTTTTGACAACTCATTTATATCTTATATTTTTTTTTAAATATTTTACATACAAATGCATTTATTAATGATTTACAAAAATTATACTTTATTTATTTACTATATTTTAAAATCAAAGTTTGTATTTATGGAACTTTATACTAAAGCCCAAAGTGAAAATAAATTATTAAAAATACCAACATAAGTGCGAATAATGTGGCGCATCTAAAATTAAATGAAAATATTATAACCTTCGATTAATTACTATTAATTATTAGAAGAGATAAAAGGTAAGTGACTGGATAGATTTTGTGTTGGTTTTTAAACTTAAAATTGGAGCTGATGAAAATAATACATAAAAAAATTGATAGTTTAGTAGCACACGGTATTTTTGACAGGTTACAAATTTAAAAAAAATTTTGTTTGATATAATTAAATATTATAATTAGCCACAAGGCTGTAAGTTGAACTGAATCACATTTTTGGGATGGAGGATTTAAAATAAAAACATTTAAAAATACGATTACCATTTATCACATTTCTACCCAACACTCAAATTAGTAACTGTGTTAATTATTATTATTTATCAAACAAATTTTGATAAATCCCCATTATGATGAGAAGAAAACATTATTTAGGCATAATTTTATATTTATAAAACATTATGTTGTTATCAATAAATGTATACTTAAGTGATATTTCTTTCATATTATAATTGTAAAAAATATACACCAGTGACAAACATGGTTTTTAACTATTACTTTATGTACTACAATATATATGGTTAACAAATTACAAATTTTATATTTAACTATTATATGTTTTATTTTTAAAAATAAAAGTAAAAATGAATATTAATTTTATTAAGAAAAAAAATGAATGAATTTTTGTTTAGTAAAATATTATTATAAATCGTTCAGTTGTTTTTCAACAACATCGTCCAATGCAATATCGGAATAAGATCGGTTGTCAAATGTTTGAGTTTCCATCAATTCATCTTTTCCATTTTCTCCAATGTTTTCTTGGTCAATTTTTTGGTTTTCAAGAATCTCTTGCAAGTCAAAGTCCATAGAGTTGCTCAGAATATGATCAGCTATAATATGGCAACAAATAAAAATGATAGTAATTTACAAACAATTGTATATGGTTAATCAAATTTTTATACATTATTAATATATGAGACAATTTCTTTGAATAGTTATATCTGGAGTTCTAGCGAATCAATTTGCATGATTTTTTTTTTTACTTTTTTTAAACGCAAGTGTTCGACAAGCCATTTAATGAGAAAAGTTCCAAAAATTGATTATGTAATAAAAGTTATTAAAAATATTAGTTTTTTGTGTAGGTACTCAGCAAATTGCATTACTTGTCTTGTATATCACACATATTTAACTCCTCCCCCAAAGTCTTTTGCTGCATACTACACATATATACTCCATTATTTTTATATTTACAGCTACTTTATCAAAAAAGAACATTATCTACTTTTCATTATGAAAATTTAACACCTAAAGGATGGTTAAAAAAGAGTTTGGTATTTATGAAACAAGAATTGTTTATGGATTCATTTATTTATGGGTCACCTTGCCAACAACAGAGATGAAAAAGAAGTTATAGTTATTCAATTTGTCACAGACAAGTATTTTTTTAATTTGATAAACTAATAAAATAATTTAGTTTATAAATATGTCTTGAAAATTTAAATTTAAATTGTAATTTTAGAAATATCGAAATTGAAGAATTACATTGAGAATATATATTTTCTTCTACTTCCATTTTTCTAGAGGCTTCCAACATTTCTGCTGCGGTTGTTTTAGTGTCTGTCTTACGAACATTTCCTCCAGAAAACTAAAAAAAAAATGATATAAAATCCACAAATAAAAAGGTAATTTAGTTTATATGCAGTATCCAAAAATAAATTATTGCAAACAAAAAATGATTCTGAGCGTAGTTCGGTTAATTAGTTTTAGATAAATTTAAATGAACATTTTATTAACTTATAACTTTTTGTGTTTTTAAAATTTTTTAACTTAAAACAGTTATAATAATACATTTTCCTATTTTTTTTTTTTTAACACTAGTGCAGCTGATAAACCTTTTATCAAATTATTGGATTTTTTTATGGAACCAAAGTTTTCTTTTTTTTCTAGCATGTTTACTCTCTTTACCGCCATTATTAAACTTTGCCACAGGTTCAAGATAGAGATCTCGGACTACTTATATCTAGTCTTCAGCTCTTAAGGTTTTTAGATAAAATAAGTATAATTAGTAGATAATAGTATTAAAAGCTGTGATTTTAAAGAATTTTATTAAAATTTGTGCTCTAGCAGCTTTTAAAAATCATTGAAGACTACAAATATTCAATATATAAACATATATGGAGCCTGTTATCAAATTATCGAGTATTTATAAAAAGTGAAAACATGTTGTAAAAAAAAATTAAGAACTGGACAGATTGTCTAGTTATGAATAACTTAATAAACAACATGAAAATTGTACCATGTGTATAAAGTGTTTATGTGGAAATTTTAGTTCTCTAATATATTTCACTGAATTATAACAAAATCAAAATTAACAGCAACTTATATATTGTATCTAAGGTCAAATAATTCTGTTATACCCTGTATATCCTGTATTTCCCTCATATTTTAATAAGGGTACTTTTCGGTTATCTTGATTACTTATGATTTAACGGTTATCACAATTCAGTTATTTCGATTACTTGGTTATGCGGTCATGAGGTTAACCAAAAACATTAACTTGGTATCACCTTTTCTAAACTTATACATTTTTGTTTTATTCCATTAAAATTTGTTTTTGATTTAAAAAAAAAAATCTAGGATTTACCAACAAATAAGAAAGATACTGTGGCATTCTTTCAAGAAAAATGTATTTTACTCATAGAACCTATTCTAGTTTAAGGTCTATGATTTACCAAAGAAATAAATGTGGATCAATTGTTAATTTGTATTAAATTTTATATCTTAAATATGTGATATCATATAATAAATATCAATATGCAATATTGTTGCTTTTTGTGTTGTTAACAATGATTTAATATTAATATGTGGTTTATCTGTGGTAGTTGAGATTTTTCTGTGTATACAGGTAGTCGATATAACAGAAAAGTGCCAAGAAAAGTATAACTGAAATCACAAAATCAAAAAATGATCTTACCAATGTACCAACTAGGCAACATTTTTACTAGGAAGTATCCCTGGTCAAAAAGTTGCTTACCGACAAAAAACAAACCCATACATCATTTTGATAATAATAATTCCCTTGCTTTGCTCAGAATCTAAAATAAAAACCGTATATAATATTAGTAAATGAGTTATTACCAAATCAGTTCTAAGCTTATAGTTTGTTTGTAAGAAATTTGAACGATCATGTGGAATTCGCAACCCAATTGCTGGCTTTATTGGTTGCAATGGCACTTTATTTATCTCATTACTTGCTTTCATTAGCATCTATAAATAATCAAAAAGTATACTGTTATACTCACCAAAGTATTGTTAAATTAGTAATATAAGTAGGTATGTAAAAATATTTCAATAACATAAATTATATAACTTTGTAACACAATTTGTAAAACTTATTTAATTACCTATATTCACTAACGAAATATAAATCTACGGTTCTCATATTGATTCTGAATTTAATATTTAAGTTGCATGTGCATGAAACATTTTAAACTGTTTATAATATTTGTTTTACTAAAGAATTAGTAAAAAGTTGTGATTTGTACAACTTAGAATATCATTAGAAGTTAAAGTATTATAAGCTATAAGTATGTAATGACCATAGATTTTTTCAAATTCAATAAGTTCAGAATCGGTTTGATTAGTTTTTATATTGTCAATAATTAAGTTATTGCTCGAAACATATTCTGTAATATAATTTGGAAGGGATAAGTAGTTACTGTTATATATTTTTAACATAGAAACAGTGGCATCCAAACCGTTTTCTAATATAGCATACCAACTTTACAAACCTTTCCATGGTTACCCCACAATTTATTTAATCGTTTATATTTTATATATATATATATATTTGTACTACACAAGTACAAAATTCTATCATAAAAGATCAAAATAAAGAGTATTATGTTATCAGCTTTCTACTTATAATTTAATCTAATTATACCTTTACAATACAACCCCAGTCTCTACAAACCACTATCACTTATATAATGTGTAGAAATCACTACTCTTTAACTATAATTTGGGTCCCATATTCAGATTTTCAGAGTGTAGCTGATTTAACTACTTCCTAAGTATTAGACAAATTTATCCTAAAACTCTATAACTTTAATAAACCTAATCCAATACAATTTTTCTTTCTAAATTTGAATTTAAAATATTGAAACACCATTAATTTATTTAGTTTCAATTTAAATTACAATTTTATATAAGATTATAAAGATTATAAAATATATTAGAATATGCACTAGCACATATTCATTTAGTTATAAGAATAAAATGCTTACTTAAAATACTACATAAAAATAATGAAATAATCTCACATCACGTGGAGGAGGTCTACAAAATATCCCATCTTGTGCCAATTGTATTGCTACTTTAACATCATCAACATCAACATTTTTTTTTTTAGCAAAGTTTGAAAATGTCTTAGCATCATCCAAAAGAAGAGTTGTGTATCCTAGAAAATAAAACATAATATATTATGTCACAACAAAAACTGTAACAATTTAAATCAAATGAAATTTACTGTAATTAAATTCTAAAAGATGATTTAAAACTTGATGGTCAAATTCATTTATTCCTAAATCTTTCATAATTGATACAATAATTTGAGTATCTTTAGGCATGTGTTTTCCTTGTGAAGACGACATTTTGACAGCAAATAGAAATACCTACTCTTCGTTATTCAATTAGTTTGTTTATCGCTTATAAATGTAAAATAATTATTAAATTCAAATTAAAAGCAAGCATTCAACAAAGTTTAGTTACAAACACCGATGTTACTGGCCTGCACGATTAAAGACAATATACCTAAAATTGTGTTTGTCAGTTCACAATTAAAATTAACGATAACGTGTCCTTATCTTAATCATAGATAATATTGATAATATTAAGATAGGTAGTACGATTTAAGATACTACGCCACCATGGTCTTAGAAGTCCTAAGAAGACGGTGTAAAATACTAAACATTTAAATTCCGATTATCGCTCTTCTAAGATCGTAATTTCAATCGTGATACATCGTAGATATCTATAACTTTTGCAGATAACGACTACGGTCTCCACAGACTGCCAGTGGAACCAATTTCTTTGGGCGAGTTTTTAAACGGAGTTTTCGTAGTGGGGGGAACACATTGATTGAATCAAAAAGTGATAAATTATAACTGCTAAAATCGTTGCGATTTTTGTATTCCCCCCACTTAGGTATTTCCCCGTCTTAAAATTCGTCTGCACTGTTATCATGAACCGTACTGTGTATATAAATCATTCATATCAGTCTTCATATGTTCGTGATAATAGACCTCGTGGTTTTATTTACAATTATTATCATTTAAACTTTAAGACGGTGTTAAAAATGTTTTTTGAAATAATCTTACCATAAATTAATTATAACTTTTAGATTTTGTAAGCGCCAAAATGAAAAACAAACCACTAAGGCATAAGGAGTATAATACCTTTAGGGTAAGAATAATGAATTAATTTGAATAGGTTAAATAAATTATTAAATAATAAGTTTATTATGAAGTATTTGATTTAAAATATCAATAGCATTAGTTAATTTATAACTTTATTAATTAAATTTTAATTAATTTACTTAATTCTGATATTTAGTTTCAACCATTCCATGTGAGGATATCAGAAATTGATGTTGATGTAGTCCATCGTATCGGGCATAGTAATGAAGACTTTGACAATGATAAAAAAACGAAATTCTTCCAATCTATTGAACGATGGAATGATTTGAACAGATCTGAGAGTTATGATGAATTGTGCAATAACCTAAAACCAATGCAGTTGGAGAGCTTGCCTCAACTTTTAGCTAGGAAACAAGAAATATCACAGGTTCTATTTAAATATTTGGATAATCCTGATCCACTTTCGGTTCAAGCTGCATTAGAGTAAGATAATTAATTTCCTATTACACTTAATTTTTATGCTATTTTCATGATCTTTTATTTTTTGTTTAAAAATAAAATAAAATTCAGTTCTTGTTATAAAGCCCTTGTTATCTGAAAAAAATTATGTTTTTCTACCTACCTATATAATAGTAATACTAATTTGTTTTCGTTTCAATAGATTTGTTGTAGCGTTTGCTCAAGATTTACAACAAGAATTTTATGTATATTTTCCTCAATTTCTAAAACATTGTATAAAACTGCTGCGGACAAAAGATGCTGAACAGATAGAATGGTCATTTACTTGTCTAGCCTATTTATTCAAGTTTTTATGGCGTTTGATAGTACGTGATATAAAACCGGTATTTGAGTGTGTTGTTCTTTTGCTTGGTGATGATCAACCGAATTATATTAATGATTTTGCTGCAGAAAGTTTTTCATTTGTAGCTAGAAAAGTAAAAGACAAGAAAAGCTTTTTGAAAATGGTCCTTAAGAACTTAAAACACAAACAAGATGTAAAAAAACATTGTTTTATGATATAATATTATACCTAGGTACATAATGTGTATATTTTAGTAACTTATTTTACAATTTTAGAGTGTTTATGGTTGTTCTAAACTTCTTTTTGAAGTAATTAAAGGAATGTCTGGTGGCTTACATACATGTGCTGATTTCTTTTTACCAGTTTACATAAATTCTCTTGCCGATATTGATATCTCTTATAAGTTACTAAATGATGTTTTAGACATGTTATTTGATCATATTCTTCAACATATACAACCTAATAAAAGTGCAATTATATGGACAATACTTAAGGTATGACATATCAAGAAACTAAAGTTGGATAGTTATTTTGTTTTTATTCCAGGAAACAACATCACAATTTTTGAAAAACCATGATGATAATCAAAATGAAAGGACTTCTGCAAATCTAAATCAAGTGTTAATTCTTTGCCATCGTTTTGTGGCTCATAAAAATGGGTCATGTATACAAAATTTAACTGAATTGTACGAATGGGTACTTGGATATTTAAACCATAGACCCCAATTGGCTCAGGATCATTTAAATACTTTGAGTTCTATTGTAAGCACACTCTGCTTATCAAATATTGGTTTGCCATCATATCAGTCAAATACTCTCATAGAAAAAGTTAGTAATACTAAAATTTGTATTACTTTGTTTTTACATTACCTAAATTATTAATTATTTTAAAATTTTTGTAGGTTATGTCTTTGAATAATATTGACATTTTAGTATCATTTGCGGAACAAATGTATACTTATATAAATTTTGAGCTTTTAATTATTCAAAAACTTTTAAATTTTATTATTGACCTTATAAATTTAAATCAAGAAGTTCCCAAATCTATTATTATTTGCTTGTCTAGATACCTAAATGATAAATCTCCATTAAGATCTTATGGATATGACAAATGGAGGATCAATTTCAAAAATACACTTTACGGAAGGTTATTATATTATTTAATAATAGTTTTGTTAAATTAAAACTATTAATTTATATTTAACTATTATGATAAACATTTTCCAATTTTTCTTCAACTATCTTCATTTTTTTTTATAGAGTTTAGAAAATATAATTAAATTACACTTTTATTTTCAAAGTTTAATTATAATGAACCATAACAATGATAAATGGTTTATATTTATTTTTAGACATCATGGCAGTGAAATTATCGGAAACTACATTCTGAGATGGTTAGAAAATGTTGGAATTGTTAATTATGATGCAGATGATATTACATGTTATCTGATTTTACTTCAGCATTTCAATCATAATGAAGCAAATGCTACTGCAGTTTTAAAAAAAATGTTTGAATTCACAACCCAACAATTTGAAAATGGCAGTATTAAAAATTTTTTCACTTTTCTCAACTTAATTAAAACTATTATGAGATTGAAAGATGATTTTCATGATTGGTATACTTTACCTAAATTAATTCCTCAGTTAAATTCATTTTTAAATAATAAATTTGGATCTTGTGCGTTGATTTTGGAAGTAATTTATGTATTGACTACAAGCTTAAACATTCAAATTAATGATATTTATATTATGGAATTGGAAAAGAAACTTATTGATTTACTGTCATCACCCTATCATCAAGTGCGTCTAATAAGTTGCAAAATTTTAGTGTTGATAAATTTTCCAACATGTTCACAATTTGAGGAAAGAAATAAGCTATTTAAATTGTTAGAATCTGTAGAAACTGTACCAGTTTCATTAAATGAATACCGTGAACGTCTTCTACGTATACAACATTTAGAATATAATGATACATTTGAAAATAAGTATATAACTGTTGAAGATGTTTCAGAAATTGCAGTAAAATTCCTTTTAGGAAATTTACATGTCAATTTTAGACCTATGTGGGATCCAGTTATAAAATTAATAGTGTCTCATGCTAAATCATCAAAGACATTTTGGCCTGTATTTGAAAAAGAACTACAATTTAGTACTCAACATAAAAATTATATTATGAAATCTAATGGGCTAAAAGATGAATTCAAAAGTAAATTTTTTTGTTTAATGATTCTTTTAATTTAATTTAATTATTGTTATTATTTTTTTTATCATGTTAAAATATATTTTAGTTGATTTTATTAATGAACAGTACACAAAATTGAATAATGCAGCTGAACGAGTAGATATGACTAATTACCGAACTTTATTGTGGACTGCTATGGCAGAATTTGGAATCTTAATAGAACAGAAAAATAAAGATATTGTAAAACATTTCCTACACTTTATTTGGTAAATTTTGTTTACTTATTTATTACATTTCCAAACTAAATGCATTTCACTATTAATATTTATTTAGGTCTGAATACATGAAGGGTAATTCGGAACTAGCAAATAGTTGGAATATTAAACAAAATGATAAAGATGAAAATCCTGAAACTGATAATGAAAGTAATTTAAATGAAATCCATTCAGTTGAACCATTTAAATCAAACAACAAGGCTCTTACTAAGTAAAATTTTTAAATAAAATTTGACAATATTTTTTTTTTACATAATCGGGACAATAATCATGATCATTTTATAGATTACTATTAGCTCATTTAAACTTAATGTCAAATATTCCTAATCCTAAAAGCATATATAAAGAGGCTGAAGTTTATGATGTGTATTTAAGTCTTCTATCAAATAAAAATGCAGAAGTACAAAAAGCAGCTTTTGATTGTTTGTTAACATATAAGCAGAAACATGTTACTCCTTATAAGTAAGTTAATAAATAATTTATATATTTTTATATTATAAAAATTGTTTAGCTATATCAAGTAAACTCATTCATATTCATGGATATTTTTAAATTTTCAGAGAAAATCTTTATAAATTAATTGATGAACAATCTTTTAAGGCTGAGCTAGTCATGTTTAGAGTGGACACTGAAAGTAAAGCGATACTACCAGAGTATCGACCCCTTTTAATGCCCATTATAATGAGGTAAACAATATAATATTATAAATTATATATATTTGTGAATTACTTTGTGAAATTATTTCTTTTTAATAAGTTCAATATTATTGTTTTAAAAAAAATATTTTCATTTTAGATTGGTGTATGGCAAATTGTTAGGAGGAGGTGGTCCAAGAACAGGTGGTAAGTCTTCAGGACAAAATAGACGGACCGCTATTATGCGTTTTCTCGTAGGTTGTGAAGAATCTGAACTTCTTGTTTTCATGCAAATGATATTCAGGGCCCTTGATTCTCAAGTTCAATGTAATTTGCTGTAGTGTAAACAATTCATATTTTTTAGTTTTAATTTCAATTTTTTAGTTTCAGAATGTCCTTTAGAGATGATTCGCCATATTGTGAACACTATTGATTTGGAACATGTTCTTCCACCAAGACGTCTGTTATCATCGGTGAACATGTGTGCTGTTATATTGAAACAATGCGGAGCATTATCAGGCACAAATGGTCTTTATTACATGCTTAAAGTTTTATTGTGTATTGGAGCTAATATAAAAGCCATGTTAATGCACCGTTCTTCTGTACATGATGGTTATTTAAACACAATATCTAAAGTTCGAATAACTACAATAGAAACATTGACAGCATTTTTTCAACATTTTGAAAATTTCCCATGGACTAGAAATTTCCTTAGCTCAATATTTGAAGTGTTCATCGAACCAACATTATGTAAAATGTCAATTGAGTGTTTTCAATATCCAACTCCATTAATGAAGTTTTTAGTTGTTTGGAGCCAAATACCGAGGTAATTAAATAATTAATACAGTTATAAACACAAGTTATTCCCAAAATAAACTATATGATTAAATTACTTTTTAAAGTGTATTAATTTAACTCCATGGTTTATTTTTAGATACTATTGTTTATTGGGATATAAAGTAAATGATTTAACGCCAATTAAAGTTTTAATTGATCTTTTAACATCAGAAAAAACTTACGGAGGAGTAAAAAAAATTATTCTTGAAGTTATCAATAGGTTATTAACTTTTGATGGAACATATAACGATGCAATGGATGTTGATGTTCCGGCTCTTGATGTACCTCTTCCCTTGTTACCCTCAGAGTATGAAGGTAAAATTGTTAATTAAAAATAATATGAAGTATTATGAACATCATCTTATATTATTAAGCGAGTATGATAATTTAAATTTTCCATTTTACAGATGTTTTAAATGTTGGTTCACGTTTACTATTTCCATATCTTCCAACTATTCTTAAGTATCTTTATAACGAATTGTCAAAAAAGCGAGGTGTTGGCCTGGAATCAATTGAGATGTCTATATTGACTAAAGCTTCTGAACTTGTGCGAGATCAACAATCCAGTTCAAATTTGTTATCTTTATTGTTTCCAGTTTTGTTGAAGAAAGCTACTGGCGATGATATGGCAATTGCTCCATTATTTGCCACTGTTAATTGTTTGGTGTCAAATGTTAAAGATATTGGTTTAATTCCTCGACAATTAGCTACACTTTTTAGCAGTGTTACAGGACAACATAGTAGAAATATGTTACTCGAGTTCACCAAAATTATTGCAAAAAAGAGTCCGTAAGTAATTTTGGTTTTATTTGATAACAATTTGTATTGTGTTTTATATACTGTTAGAATAAATTTTATTGGTTCTACTATTGTTTCATATTTAGGAATAGTAAAATTCACTGTGATATATTGTGTGAATTAAATGCTTGGGACAAGAGACGTTTGGATCAACCAGATTTTGATTGTAGAATGAATGCTTTTAAAAAAATTAAAGTTTTATTGGATGACAATGATGTCTCAGTTGAATTTGGCGCCTTTGTGATTTATAACTGTTTCTACATTTTTAGCAATGTGAGTAATGTGTAGTGTCAGTGATATATTGTATTTTTTATATTGACGTTTTTAATATTACACAATATTTAGGTAAATGATATTGGACTGAGAGACACAGCAAGCACATGTTTAAAAAATATTAGTTGTTTTCTTTGTCTGAAATATGCAAAACAATCATCTGAACGGACATTTATCTTAGATTCAGTTTTGTTGCCATCAATACGTTCTGGAGTTCAAAGTTCAAAAGAATTAGTTCAATATGAATCAATTTCGCTTTTAGGACATTTGGTTTGTTACTAAAATCAAGTAAAATGTATTATGATTTATAAGATAATGGATAACTATTATAATTTTTTATATTAGGCGAGAAAATGTGCTCATGTTCATTTTATATTTAACGATTTACAACCTTTGTCTAATGAAACTGATCTTGAAGGAGATTTTTTTGAGAATATTCAGCATTTACAGACTTATCGAAAAGTTAAGGCTCTCCATAGGTAAATTCTTATTTATGAAAACTAATTGTTGTTATATTACAATAATTTATTACTGTTATTTTTATTGATTTTCAAATAATATTATGTTATCTAGATTCAGTGAAATCATGAAAAAAAGTTACCGTTGTCCCAGGCCTAAAACAATTGTACATTACCTATTTCCATTGGCTAATCAATTTTTATGTTCTCAAAAATATGCTGCTAAAAACAGTCTTATTGATGCTGCTATTGATGTAAAAATTATTTATTAACTTGAATTAGAATTAATAACTATAATAATCATCACCTAATTTTATGAATACTAAACATAATTGTTTTAAATAATTTTAGGCTATTATAACAATGAGTCGAATACTCCCTTGGCAACAATATGAAACTCTACTAAAACTTTATTTAAATAAAATGCGGTCATCAATTGATTTCCAAAAACAAATGGTACGCATTGTGTCAGGCATATTGGACTCTTTTCATTTTGATTTGTCACGAGCAGCTGAAAGAGAATCTAAAGCTATTTCAGAATTGACTCCTGTAAAAAGTATTAAAAATAGTTCTCACATAGTAACATCAGAAAATAAAATGGAAAATGATCAACAGGATGAGGTTGAAATTCAGATGGAAATAGATGATGATATTGATGAAGAAGAAAATACTAAGTTAAGAGAATTGATTGTAGAGAAAATGCATATTCTATGCCCGTCAACAGCAATCAAAGTTACAAAAGCAATTTCTATTGGTTTATTGCCTCAGCTAAATAATAACCTTGCTCAGTACTCAGAGTCTGACCGTAGTCATAAAATGAATAAAAAACAAGTAGAATATGATAAAGAAGAAATGGAAATGTTAAAAATTCCTGTTGCACTGGCTGTTGTGAAACTGTTAAAGAAATTGCCAGAAAATATGCTAGAAGAAAATATACAAGGTGTATTTATGAAACTATGTACATTTTTAAAATCTCGTCTGGAGAGTGTGCGACGTGTGACCCGTGAAACATTGCAAAATATCATGATAACACTCGGCACAAGTTATATGAGTATGCTTTTAAATGAAATGACTGCATTGTTAACACAAGGTTTTCAAGTGCATGTACTTATTTATACAATTCATGCAATTTTTGTATCATTAAGTGAACATTTTGAAAAAGGCCATATGGATAGTTGTTTACCTTATATTTTAGAGGTGAGTTATATACTTCAAATATATCAAATACTTATTCTTCCAGCTTCTATCACTCTTCAGGAATTTTCACCGTCATCACCAAATCATTCCACTTGTCACGATCACATACTAACTCTTTAATTCTGCACTCCGAGGCATTCTAAACCATTATCCACATTATTAATATAATTACTCTATGATAGACCTAACCTAACTTAACCTAACCTTTGTGAAAGCCACATTGATATTCACCTAAACACTTTTGCAAACAGTTTTAGATAGTTCAATGGGACTTCAGTGAAAACTTTATGTACAGAGTTCAGTAGAGACATCCCTTTATAATTACTACTCCCCATTTTATATCTCTTCTCGTGAAGTGGTACAATTTTTGCATTATTTCCTCCTGCCATACCTTATAAATAAAGTTATACATATCTTCATTATATTTTATACGTTTTGTTACAATGTCATCAGAACCAAATGCTTTTTTTTTTGGATACTTTATTTACCAATAGCACTGCTCGCTGAATACATGTACTTTCTATAGGATTGAGCGGTATTTTACCATTTAATAGATCAGCAAAATATTCCTTCCACCTTTTATCTTTTTTTCTGGTTTCATAAGTTGTATCTACACTATTCGTTTTGGTTTTTAAGGTGTACTTTTTGATGGTTTTGAAAAAATTTCTCATACTATCTTGCGATCTGTCCTGTTTTGCTTTTCTACAGTATTCTGTTCAGAAATTTTTTTTCTCTTTATGTAATACGTATTTACAGGTTTTTCATTCCTTTTCATATATTTCTCTCATATTTTGATCTAATCTATTATAATATTTTTTTTTTTTAGCCGAGTAATTTTTCTGGATCTCCACATCGTTTAATGTTTCTAGGTTTATACTAAATTTTTTTCGTTTTCTTTCAGCATTCTTAAGACCTTGTAATTTCAACTCAAATGTTGATACCAACAGAAAATGATCAGAATCAGAATATTCCTTTTTGTAATTATCTGTAATAAATGACTGAAATCTTTTCTGTATGAGTACATAATCTATTTGGTTTATAGTTTTATTATCTGGAAATCTCCATGTTACTTCCCTTGTGGATCTTATGGGGACAATGTTTACTGCTTATTACCATGTTCTTAGAATTAAAGGATATGACTCAATCCATTGTCATTACTATGATCATACATGCTCTCTTTTCCTATTGTTAATTGATACTGAATTTTTTTTCCACATTTGGCATTTAAATCACCTAGTACTACTTTTATCACGTTTCTTGGTGTTTGGTCATTGATTCTATTTATCACCTTCTATACTTACTTTACTTGACCCATATATGCATATTAATATTTTAGGGGGTTGTATTCTCAAGACGGCAATCTTTTCTGACATCGGGTTAAATTTTCTAATGTGTGGTTATAATGTAGAGAAAAGTCTCTTCCAAAGTTGTATCCATTCCTGAGTACAAAATTGTGTATTCTTCAATTTTCAATTGTCCTGTGCCCATTCAATTAATTTCTTGCAATGCTGCTATTTTTATTTTGCCCATTACATTAACTCGATTCTAACAAGGACCAGCTCAAAAATTCCCTTAACTCCACAAACTGTTTTCTATGTTTCAACTTATATCCATTACTCCATGTTCAAGGTTGATTTTTTGTTAATATCATAAAACTTTTTACGAGATACTGTATTAAACCCATACACAACTCTCAATTTGGAAGGCTAAACTACCCCAACCAAAATAGAGGACAGGATAGAGCTACTGCAATGCATTATGAAGTATACTGGGTGATGGGGATGCTACTTTCTGTATGTCTAATAATAAATACTTTTAATGAATAAATTATACTTTTATTTATATATCAATGAAAATAGTAAATAAAAATATTTTACTTTATTAGACATTTTTATATTATAACAGGTTGTTAAGGTAGATTTATTTGGTGCAAGTTCTGATGAAAAAGAAGTTGCAAAAATTGCTGGAAAAACAGTTGAAGCTCGAGGTAACAAGAGTTACAATACTTTGCACATTGCAGCAGAATATGTGACGGAAAAAAGTTTTATCAATATAATTATGCCATTTAAAGACGTACGTATCTATTTTTTTTAAATTGAATATGATTTGATTTAAGTTTTTCCATATTTTATCTAATAAATTATAATGGTTTTAATTTTTTTTTTTTTTTAATATTAAATTGCGCAGATATTGTTTTCAACATTATCATTTAAAAATGTCCGGAAATGCAATGAAAGTTTACGTCATATTGTCACTGGATTAGTTGATAATAAATTTGTCAATACTGAATCTCTATTAGAGTTTGCTTATGGCACAGTGTCCCAGAGTATTCCAGTTCTTAATATAGATTCCAAACAAGAAATAAAAACAAGAGAAGAGATAAAGAAACCAGATTCATATATAATTCCTCAAGGTAATATTAGTGTGATTATTATAAAATATAAAATATACTATTACTAATTTTTCTTCCCTGATTTTAGAACCCAAACGTACTAAAACAATACTCGATAAAACAGTTTGTGCCCGTACAAATGCTCATGAACTTGTTCAATTTGGTTTGAGTTTATTCCAATTTATGTTGAAACGAGAAATGTTAAAGAGTTCAGTATTCTCGCCTTTTATTGACCCATTTGTTTCTCTTGTGATGGATTCACTAAAATGCCAACACATAAAGGTATTTTGCTAATATTATTTCTTTTTGGCTTTTATCTTATATTTGTTTTTAAATTAGCTTATTACCTTGGCCCTTCAATGCTTGAACTGGCTTTTGAAACGAGATTTACCATCTGTGAAGGAAAATATTAAATCTATTTCAGAAAGTTTATTTGAGACCATACACAAATACGCAACTGGTCAAAACTGCACTGGAGATAATGCTGATCTTGTTATGTCTGCGTTTAAAGTAAATAATATATTCAAAATATAAAATATTAATAAAAAAATATTTCAGATTAAAATGTATAAATAAAGGGTATATAAGGGTAACTTAGTATTTTCTATTTAGTTTTTTCATTATTATTATTTTTGAACTATTGATATTTTAATTCAGTAATCTTGTATTTTTTAGACCCTATCTACATACATCCGCGAAGTAAAATACCATAAACTGAATGATGACCAATTGCGTCAAGCTGTTCTATATGCAGAACAAGAACTTTGCAGTGTTGAAGATGGAGGGAACACTGTAACCACAACTTTTACTCTCATTAAAGCTTTATTGAGCCGTCAGCATAATTGTCATGAACTTAAGGAATTAATGATACATGTTGCAAAATCGAGTATTACTTGTGAACGTGATGCTGTACGCACTCAAGCACGTCAAACATTTTACCAATACTTGATGGATTACCCTATTGGTAAAGCTTTAAATGGGCATATTCAATTTTACTTGTCTCAATTAGAGTATGAAGTTCAAAACGGACGTGAATCGGCATTGGAAATGATTACTTTATTAATAAAAACTTTACCACCTGTAAGTTAAAATGTATTCTTTAGGGAACACATTTGACATTTTTATAAGACAAATATTATTTTTTATTATTAGGAAGTATTAAGAAATCATAGTTCTACAATGTTTATATCACTCGGGGCACGAATAGTTAATGATAGTGTAGCATCATGTCGTAAAAGTGCAGCAGAAGCAATTTCTATTATGTTAGGCAGATTGACTAAAAATATCATATCAACATTATATGAAATAACTTTAACTTGGCTACAAGGATCAAAAGTACTGAATAAAAAATGTCATTACATTTAAATACATTAAAAAAAAAATTAATTTTTAAAATTTGCTTATCTAGATAATTCATAGGCAATTAGGCGCTCAGTTAATAAGTATATTTGTGACTGTTGAAGATCAAGAATTCAATAGTAGGTTAAAAACAACTTTGCCGCTCCTGTGTAAATACCTTAAAAGAACAGTGAATATTGATGGACCTGGCCGTTTTGTACGAATTCACGAGCCTGTAGAAAATGCTCAGGAATTAGATCATCTGTTATTCCAATGTCTTCAAACTTGTGTAAACATTGCTAACACATGTCCTAATGCTCTCACTAAATCATCTTTAAATGAACATATCAATAATATTGCAGGTGAGTGGAATACTCGTTTACATTAATGTTGAAAATAGTTTTTAATAGTAACATATATTTATTTTAGTGTCCTGTCAAGAATTACTACGAGATGACCATGGATGGGTGAGACTTGGCGCTCTTCGTTTTTTAAAGAAATATTTATCAACAGTAGATACTAAAGCAATTGCACTGTTAGCTTCAAAAAAAATTGATAAGGAAGAAAAGAGATTTTTGTATTTTAATGCTAGACAGAATGTAAAAATGTTATGTTTGGACCTCATAGATCAAGTTATCCCAGGGCACGAAGTACTAGAAGAAATACTAAAAGAAGTAATTATCTTTACCTCTAAAATGTTCTGTTCAAATGTTAATTGCTTAGATTGTTATTCAATTGGTAAATTATTTTATGTATTTTTTTTAACTATGCTTGTATTACTTATGGTTTTATTAATTTTTAGACAATGGATAACCTTTTATTGTTAGCAGAAATTCTGAAATTTGTGCAATCTAAAAAAGTGAAAAATGATAAAAATGAACTTTCTTTAGGATGGCTGTTAAAAAATTTAAATAAACTTATATATATTGAAGTTTCTAAGTACCCTCAACACTACACTGTGGTAATTATTTAATTTTTGTGTTTGGTTTGTTTATTTAGATAGTCATTATAGTGATAAATCCATTTCTATTAGTCATTTAATTAAAAAATGTATATGTTTTGTAATTTAGAGAAATACTGTGTTTAATTACTATGGGGCCTTAACTACTCATTTAGAACGTCCCAAGTTGCTTTCGGTTGTAAAAATAATTTTAAAACCATTAATTCGTGAACTATCGACTACTGATGATGCTAGTGTAGATATTCGACGAGTAGCCAAATCTGCATCAAATGTAATAAAAAAGAAATGTGGAGCTGAAATTTACAATGAAAATTGTTCTATTATTCAACGAAATTTAAATGCTAGAAGAGCATTGAGGAAAAAGGAATCTTTACTGCAAGTGAGTTAATGATCACATATTACTAATTATAAATTTATTTTGTGGTACATACAATGTATATATTATTATATAATTTAAACTAATTTTAACTATACATCATTATGTATACATAAATAAAATCATACTAGTTATTTAAATGTTTTATTTTAGGTTGTTACTAATCCAGAATTAGCTGCTAAGAGAAAAATTACTAAACAAGCAAAAAAGAAAGGAAACAAAAAAAGAAAAATGGAGAAACTGAAACAAAAAAATATTATAATGAAGATAAAAAAAGATATAGATTTGGAAGAATATTAAATTTTGAATTATAAAATTATAAATTTAAAATGAAATGTAGTTTTTGTAATTGTTTTAAATAATGTAATAAAGTTGTAAACAAATTACGCATATGTTTACAACTTTCTTCCTTGTAAATATAATTGTTACTCTTATTCTCACTTTCACATCTCTGTTAGTGTTTTACATGTCCTCATATAACCGTTGTAACCACAGCTGTAGTCCTGTAGAATAGTATAGTTAGATAGTGGTGATTATAAATTCATATTTGTACATTGAAAAATTTAATGCTATAAAAGAAATTTATCATTAAATTAAATTTAAAAATTAGAGCTCAGTTGAAAACACTTTTTCCAATATCTGATATATAAAACTGATAACCAATAAAACATTTTATTTGATTGGATATATGAATTGATATAAAAATACCATTATATTTTAAAATATATACTTACTAACTTTCTATGTTAGTCAACATTTTTTTAAAAAATCTTTCAACACCTATTTAATCAAAAAATCAACTTTAATCAAATAAATATATAAAATATTCTCAATTGTAATACAATAATTACTTACCTATGTACAAATATACAAAAACATTGAATGTACCTATCTGCTTAATATACTTAATATTATTAGTCTACATTTTGAAACTATGATGTTGGGTGTATATTAATTTTATGAATAGGCACAATAGATCATTATTGTATATACTTACTAATAAAACACTTACTTAGCCCAACTTGTCACTCTCTCCAAACTTTGTGTGCACATGAATAAACTTCGTAAACTTCAATAAAACTATAAATCAGATCAGTTTGTGATTTACTATATCATATGTGAAGCGACTGATGCATTAACCCATGAAGCCACCCGACAAAAAATCATACAGATGTCAAGATAAAGTAGAATTATTTTCAAAGTTCAAATTACATTTTAATGTGTTATATTTTAGATTCTGAGCGGAGCAAGGAATCTATTGGTTTTACAATGATATTTATTTTTTTTCCAGTGAACAACTTTTCTACCAGCGATTTGTTACAATTTTTCAGTATAGCACTTTTTTTGAAAAGAATACTGGCAGGTGGTATTTTAGGAAGTTCATTTTTTATTTTTGAAGTGGTAATCATAATAATTGTGAAAAAAACGTAAAAAAAAAAACATGGGACAATTTACGTAAATAATGCTTTTATTATTTTCAATTATGTGTTTTTGTTGTAATTTAGTGAAAAATATTCGTAGAGACTTGACATTTTGACAGGTACATTATATTTGCCTTTTATAGACGTGATAACATTTCTAAAACATTTGAGCCGTTTTAAAGCTATGTCATAATTATGTGAATTACGTAATATTTATTCGGTCGGTATTTCTAATAATTAAATTTTTAAATAATTGTTCGATTAAACAGTTATGATTGAAAATTGAACAGGAAGTTTATTATAAGTTGTACTTAGTGATCAACTAGGTGAACAATTTTCATTAGCAACGACTATTTATTGCGTACAGATATAGATTAATTACCCTCTATATTCTACTTTCACAATTTCTCATCTATAACAGTGGTCCACCTATCGTGTGAAGTATCAGTGGTGTATTTAGGAATTTTAGTAGGGAGGATGAAGTATATAATAATTCACGGACACTTTTTTACACTGTACCGTGTGAAATTGTATTAGGTAAGTACCTATTTAAGAAGGCATACTAATGTTAACTAATTTTACCACGTCTAAATAAGTCCAATATAAGTATAATTACTAAGTTTAAAATCTCTGTGTGTATTTATAACTGAATTACAACAAAAAACTCCAAAAATTTAAAATTCCTTAAAAGCTCAAAAGTGGCTCAATAGTTTTGACGATGATACCATAAGAAAGTAAATTAAAAGGAAAAAAAAGGCATCCCGTGATTTTTGATTAAATTTATTTTGTCTGGAAGAAAACGTCGTCCGTGTTTTTTTATAAATAATGAAATCGTGAAATTGTACGTTTTTTTCCCACTTGAGTGCTTCTATTTAAAAAATGGCATTGAAAATCAAAATTACTTCTTCAAAGTACCATCTAGACAATTTGAGCTTTCAGAAAAGTTGCTACACGTAAAAATCGGAGCAAGTTTACTAGGAAAAAACGTGTCCATCTACAGACTAGAAGAAAGAAAGAAGAAGAAAAAAAACATCTTAGTGAAACCAATAGTTCCCTCACTACGCTTGGAATCTAAAAATATTATAGTTTTATATCATCTAATTTATTTGTATAAATTTTGTTTAAATTATTGGATTGAAATGCATGAACCACTTTCTTAATTTTTGTTGAAGTTGGACTTCGTCAAACCACTGTTACCTACACCCATGATTTAATGAAAAACATTCTGAACCCCTCCTCCAGTATACAATTCTGACTATGTCGCTGTAATGATTCTAACGAAAGATACGGTATAACTTGGACTGTTTTCGTTTTTCGTGAATATAGGTAGTTTGTGATAAAAATAAGTTTTGAATTCAAACTTGAAATCAAAGTACCTCAATATCAAAATGGGTTTTAGAAAAAATACTTGTTGAACACCATATTTGACTACCTACTACCTACCAATAACAGTGAAGTAAAATATTAAAACACGAGAATATTAATGTCACGTCAATTCTAATTGTCATTTTTATCAGATTGTTAACTTCACAATGCTTATTTTGTATAGATAGTTTAGGTACCTACCTATCTAAAGTCAAAACTTCATTAAAGCTAATGAGTTGCGATTTATTTTTTCAGTTCCCTGCGGCCTGCGCAGTTCACGAAACAAAAAAAAGTAGGTAATTATACAGGTGCTTATATAAGTATGTACGACGTACTTATATCTATATTATAATAATACGGAATAACGTTAATTTATGTGGCCCCAAGAAGAGGGATCTGTTTCCATTAATCATGTTGTCTATCTAGAAAGAAACTGTTTTTTATTATGTATTTTATTTCTTCTAATGGCCGTCATATTTAAAACTAATCGGTCAATCTGTAACTACAATATTATTATTATTGTTAGGTAGGTATTTGTTTGCACAAAGAAACAAAACATTTTTAAAAGTAAAATAAAACGCTGAGCCTAAAGACACGAACGTCAAAAACCGATAATATATAATTAATATTATAGGCACGTATATAACTTCAGGTCTTCAGGGGAAGTGGTTTACACTATGGGTATAGCGAACCCGAGGCCCCGAGCTTCTACTGAAAGAAAGTCCCAGACGGACGATTCCAATAGGTTGGAAACTCCAACACGAAGGTCCTTTAGACATATAGGATAGGTGTGAATAATCAAGCATTTAATTATACTAAAAATAGAGATATTAATCTAATTGTGGGAGACTTCAATGCTAAATATTAGGTGGCAACAATAGTTTGAAAACGGCCAGAAAAACACGGACTAAAATTTGATAGTCGTGGACCATACTGGTAGCTGAAGTATAGAATATCATAAACAAATCAAAAAAACAGGTATGAATATGTACGAAATGTAGGTATATTAGTTAAAAAATATTACGGTCTTTTTTTTATACTGTCAACACCTTTTCTACCACCAATTTTGTTCCGATTTACAATGATAGCACATTTTCTAAAAAAAAATTGACTGGGAAACTAATTTAGGGAGTTAATCTTTGAATTTTTGTTGTTTTCCTAACAAATGGGAAAAACTGGGAAAAAACATGAGAAAACCGGGAAAAACGTAGGAAAAACAGGAAATAGGTGCAATATTAAACAAATATTACTAAAGAAAATTATAAGTTATAATGCACAGGCACTGACTACACGGGTGCCGTGGTGTTCGAGCACTTAATGTTCTGCTCAAAACCCCACGAGATAAAAAAAAAAGTAACAATATAATATAAAAAAAAACTATTACTGACTTTTAATGAAAATATATTCAACGTAAATAATAACGTCATCTTAAGATCATTTAGCATATCTACTTTCCCTTTTTTTTTTTTTTTGAATTAGTCAACAAACTTAATTAAATAATAAGGGTATACATATTGAGTTTATTTAACAGGAATGAGGAAATCAAGGTGTAATGTTCGAACATATATATTATTACAAATAATAACTTTTTATTGAATTCGATTAAATATTACAAATTGCGATATAATAATATATACGTTATCATAATACGTTAACAAAATATAATTGTACATATTTTTTTTGCCTTTTGGTTGTATTCGTGATGAAAAAAAAAAAAACCGAACACAAAAAAAAAAATAAATGATTTAATAATAATAATATTTATGCAAAATGTTGAAAATTGTCTTTATTACTGCTTAAACTTATCATAATATTATAAACAAATATGATGGTACTGTCGGCAGAGCAATAAAATCATTTTATTTTGTATACATTATTTCCAAACGAATAACCCATTCTATAATAATAATATTGATAATACATTAACAAAATCGAGTTATATAATGTTATATAATTATATGTTATAATAATATTATATTATATTTTTATATAGGTAACAAAGTGTGGATATGTTAACATTGAATAGGATACCTAAGGGTTATAGGGCAGAATAAAAAAATTTCATATTTCCCTTTAAGGCACTGCGCGCACATTATAATATTGTAGAGGGACAGAGGGAGGATAGGACACGTGTATAAAATATTATAATACCTAGATTTAAAATCAAAACTTTGGACCGTTAGCTTCCGTAAAAAGACCAGCTATTTTGCGGTGGGTACCTACAGTATTTTAAAACAGAAATTTAAATATAATTCGAATGTGTCGAAACGTTCAAATAATATCATATTAGGTATAGATAATTGGTACATCTAGGTACACCTATAATAAGTACCTAAACTATACCTACTGTGTTTATATTTTTTTAGTTTTTGCAACGTTTGTCCCAAGATAAGGCATTATTTTTTTTTGTGTTCCTTATTTAGAGTAGCTATTTAAGAGCGGATCCGTGGGATGCGGGATTACTGAGTGTAAATGTTCACTCCCATTAGCGAACAAATAAAAACAAAAAATTTACTAAGCAGGGTTCTTATAATAGCATAATATAATATTATCAATGTTTGTATAAAGTTGAAGTATACATCATAAGGACATTATAAAATATCGAAGATAAAATATTATACAGTTCATTTATGAGAAATAGTAATTAAAATCAAAAATTGTAACGATGGAAAATAAAATCGATTTTCATATTTATTTTTAAAGTCAAGAACTAAAGTATGTCATAATCAGAAACAGAGTCAAAAAATTAGAAATGCTTAAGCAGAATACATTTTTCTAGAGCTAGTCATGGTTTTGGAGGGACCCAATAAGCTCTCTATAATCTGAATTTGCCTTTAGAGATTATGCGGAATAATATTCGTTGACGATTCTAAAAACTATAAATCGAAAATCTATATATATATATATATATTTATAAACTCTTTAATCTGTGCTCAGTCACTTAAAATAAAACCTAACCACGATGATGCATGGAATAATAAAAAAAAAAAAAACCATAAATAAACATTATATTCGTGTAAATGGATTGCGAACAGTGGCGAACGCAAGGGTTTTTTGAGGGTTCAAATACCCCTCCGAAGTATAAATTACATCTTAATTTGTATTTAAATTTTAAATAATTTGCAGATTTATAGCAATACGCAAAGATCGTGGTAGATATATTTTGCCCCTCCCTCCATCCTGAAATGTTTTCTGCGTTTACTCTCGATTGTGCAATAATGCAAATGAAGATATGTCAATGTTTTGTACAGGTACTTATAACAATTTTCTAGTTTCTAGTTTATCATTTCCTTTGCCTTATCTACAGGTAGGCATAGGTATGTAGGTAAATATTGTTTTTTTATATAACAAACCAAACAAGTAGAAATTATTCGCGAGTTTAGTCAGTCATGTATACCATGTGAATTCGAAATCCTCTTTATCGCATAGGAAGGTACCTACGGAAATCCTAGTCAACGATATTATATGAATATAATATAGATATTTCTACAGGAATCCGTTTTATGTATGTAGGTCCTTTTTATAATATGTTTTAAACATCAATAATGTATTGTTTGTGATAGTACATATTATTATAATAATATTGGTGCAGTGTGTGGTCGTAAATAGTAAAGATAAAACAATTTCATTTACTTATAGAAAAAAAAAAAAAAAAAAAAAAATTAAAAAAAATTCATCACGTTTTTCTTCTATAATAATATTATAAAATACGTACCTATTTAGTATTAAACAGGTCGAAACAACGTATTTAAAACGAACATTTCACACAAGCATTTATACAATAATAACAATAATGTATTTTTGTATTTTTGGAAAAAAAAAACAAATCGTTTTTAAAAATTTTGCAAATTATACCCTTGTAATTAATATGTTGTATATTAATATTATACTTAATCATATATGATATTATTTATAGTAATGTGTCTTATTTAATTATATAACATTGTATTTTACAAACACATTTTTTTTTAAATTATACAAATTTCATCGTGTGGCATGTACTATTACAAACGCGCAAGTATACGCGATTTAATAATACTAATATATAATTGATAATTTATATCTATATTAGTTATGCAACTTATGTGGGTACCTATATGAATAACGAGTTTAATTGTTTCAAAAAGAAAAAAAATAACTAGAGTACTCGTACTTTACGCGAGTCTGCTGATTTCAGAGTCGAACGAAGAACACGGGTATTGAGTATTGGGAGCTAAATGACTATTTGAAGCGTCTATACTCTGGCATATTGTATCGAAATAAAGTGACTGGCTTAGCCGCTGTGATATCCGGATCGTACATAATTTATATTGTGGTGTACCGTGCATGTGCACTAGCGCACTCTTTCAGACAAGGTGGCGACGATGCACAAATGAACACTTTAAGTTTAAATGATAAAACATATGGAACATGATGTAAACAAGTATGAGGGTGCCTTCTTACGATAAACGAAACCAGTGCTACTAGGCCAATCTAACCTACTTACAGTTGAATTAGATCTCAATAATTGTAAACAAATTTAGTGGGTGTACGATACGTTTCAGTGGCTTATTTAAAAAAATCATATTTAAGCAAATAAAATTTGTCACCACTTTAAAATTGATCACCAAAGACAATTCAGTCTATACTCAGCTTGACGTTAAATTTGCCACTGAATTATATTAAAAGATATGATTTATAAAATGTATAATATTAATATTAAACTGGTTATATTTTCAGTGCGTTATTCGTGTTATTGAATAATAACGAATAATAAGTATGAATAATATAGGTATGTATAATTTTTTTTACGGAGATTGGAATTTTTGCGAATGTTAATTTTTTTCACATAAAAAAACGAACTTGAATTTTTCACGAACTTAGACATATTTTTACAAACATTATAGTGTAAAAAATAGTAATAGATATCAATGCTTATAGGTATCGACTCTGACTACTTTGATTACTGAGGGTGGTTTAGTATTTACTGAGTGTAATTTATAGGCTACACAGTTATTGTGCAGTGAGTCGTCTGGCCGTCAAATTTGAGAAGTCTTTGCGGCTTTTAAGTTTTTCTCGTAAACTCATACGGTACCTACCCATTTAGATATATTGCCTGTTTCTGTATCTTTTAAAAACCGATTTAAATGAGAAAAAACTAAAGAAGAACCGATGTAAGTAATGATAATTTACAGTTTTTCGCGAAGGCCCATTTTTCTGGTATTTATATGAATTTGTAAATCAAGCTCATTATTTTTTTCGAAAACAAAAACTCATATCAGTCGAGGATTCATATGGGTAGTGATAATTTTTTTTTTTTTGGGGGGGAAGAGTGTTTGAACCCTCAAGACACCAATATAATTTTAATAAAATGTCATCTGAGAACAGGTATCTATTTGGAATAATACCTTTGAAATATAATATACTCGTAATACTTATAGTTCAGAATTCCGCAGAATTACGATAAAATCAACCACTGCATATGGGTGCTGTTTTTGTTGAAGGGGGCCGGTAAAACATAACAAAAATTCGATGATCATACTTTATACATCGAAACGACGTCAATTTTGATGTTTTGATGTTTCAAGTTTATTTACGTAAATAACAATAATAATATGTATAATATATATATTAATAATTATAAATTGATATAATCATTTAAAATAATATGTAATGCTGTACAACGCGATAATAATAATAATAACGAAAAATATTTCGTCGTCGGTGTTTTGAGAAAAAAAAACCTTTCAACCGTCGTTATAGTCGTTGTCGAACAGTGCGTTTGTGTGTGTACTGTGTATGTTTGTTTGTATGTAATTATACGGTGTGTGTGTGTGTGTGTGTGTATGTGTGAGTGAACGTCGCAAAAAAAAAAAAAAAATGCAAAAAAAGGTTAACGTTCACAGTTCGGCCGCCGAGTCGCGGGCGGCCGTTTGCCGCTGGTACAGCGACTGCGGCTGCGGCTGCGACGACGATGACGGCGGCGGCGGCTGCGGCTGCTGGCGCGCTGCGGTTCACGGCCGCCGCCGTCGTCAGTCCACGCGACGGCGGCACGTGCACTTGACGATCCACTCGACGTCCACGTACACGCTGTGCACGTAGTTGTCGGCTGTAGCCGAAAACGGCCGGCGGACCGGTTCCCAGAGATCGTCGCCCGGTACGGCGCCGTCCAGCCTGTCATGGCCTTCCACCGGGCTCCGGCACAGAAACTCCACCTTGACCGTGGTGCTCAGCTCGGGCGCGCATTCGACATGGGCCGCGCACGCTCCACCGCACCGTTTTGGGTGAAACGTCTTCCGGCTCCGGCAGTCGCCGAATTTCAGCCGGACCGGCACCATAGATTTGATCGTCGCCTTGCACTCATGACCCTTCTGCCGAGATAAACAGAAAAAAAATAATTTCATTTTATATTACAGGAGAATTAAAACAATTTAATTTCAATATAGATCAGGCGACGGTATTCGGAACTGGATTCATGATTGTGATAGCCCCGTGCCCCAAATTTCGGATTTAGACATTCTCGTGATGGAATATTTTTTTCGCGGGGGTGGCCTATAGTATTATAGTAGTATAGTATATTTCTTACGAAAAATGTTTACGAAATTTACGAAACGTAATTAGATGCGAGACGTTACTTTTAAAATTAGAAAAAGAAATAAATTTTTGACAAATACCTAACTAAACAGCGATTTTTTCAGAACCGTGTTAAAGGGGAGCAATGAGAGAATTTGGCGTATGGGACACCCGGCTCAATATAAAACTCGAAATAAAATTAATAAAACCATTGTTCTTTGTTTTATTTTCAAATGCTTTACTTAGAGTAACAATGAATATGGTTTGGTAATTAGAAGATCGTAAGTACAATCTGTAGTAACGTATAATGTATACTTACGAATAGATAAGATTTCGTAAGTAAGTAATAATCTTATTTGGTGAAGGTAAAATATTGAAATTAAATATGAATTTAAAAAAATTGTAAATACAACAAATTTGGAGGGGATTAACTCCCTCTGTCAAATCATCCACTGATAAGATCTTAAGAAGGGGCGTTTAAAAATGGACGCCTCCTATTCCAAATGACCTAACGTGACTCTGGATTTTTTCGAAAATTATATAAATAGTATTAATTTTAAATATTGAAAACCTCGTAGCGGAACTTATTACTAAATAGCGAACGGTATAGTTGAAGCGGTATAATAATAAAAATCATAGCGTGCGACGTTCGTCTAAAAAAGTCTCGAGATCGCGATTATTTTTGTTTTGTTTTAGGCAGTGACATATTGTTAAGGTTTTTTCTTTTTTAATCAACAATGTTTAGCGGGAAGAGTGTAATTTTTTATTTTAATGTCTATAAGGCGAATATTATATTATAACATTATCATAAGGTCATTGGGGAAATGGGAAAACTCCTATCTACACCTCTCTCCCGTACCTAAATACGTCTCTGCCGTCGAGTATAAAGAGAATTAAAGTCCTAGTGTTTACTTTGTTCTCTGTATACGAAACGTGTAAAAATGGGTAGAAATAATTCGGTACTTTATATTTTGCAGAAGATATTTTATTTTTATTTTTAATTCACGCCTTTTTTACAGTAATTGTTTTATGACTCGAATTAACATACAGATATATACATACATAGTTATTACTATTGTTATATAATCGGGTAATTCATACACATTTCAGCGAATCAAGTAGTTCAAAAATTTTTGAAATTATAGATCTGTAGTATGCTGAATTGTCACACGTTATAATATTATTATAATATACAGTGTCCTACATTTATAATTTGGTCCTTAGTTTCTTAGTAATAGCCGTTTTAGTTTTTAGAAAATTGGCGTGAAAATAATTTATTTTCAATAGAATAACACGTTACGCGACAAGGAATCACAATCAGCATAGTAATTTCTAATCTTTTATTGAATATTAATTATTTATATGACTATTTTCTATATATTAAAGCCATTATAACCAAGAAACTAGGTATTAATCGGATGTGGGATGTATACCAAATACATTAACATTTTTAGAATAATACATTTTACATAGTGACAATTTTAAAAATGTTAAAAAGTGGAAAAATAAAGTTATTTTTTCAATGATTAAGGGATGAAAATAAAAATTTAATTTTTTTCTACATATGTGTCCTCATACAAAATCTGATTGATAAAGAAAAAAAAAATTAATATTGAAACAGTTATTGACATTGTTTGACCAAACATAAATGCGTGAAAATTGAACAGGAGGTTCACATTATAGGTTGTACTTGCTGGTCCAAAAAAAAAAAAAATTCGAGAGTAATGTGGTATTTTTTTTTTATAAAAGTTTTAATATTAAATTTTGAGGAAAATTGTAAATATTATTAAAATCGTTTTTCGTTAGCAATGGTTTATCGTTGTTTATAGATATATACATGTATACAAAAATACGTACCCACCTAAACTTAATATAAAAAAAGGGGGCACAGTTAAAACGCCCAAAGAACAATAAACATTATATACACGAAATAATAAATTAAACAGAGTGTATATATAGAGCAATATTATATTGTTGTGTAGTATAGTGTGTTTGGTGGTAATTTCAAAATGGAAGGAATATACGCGCTGCAGGGATGCGAATATATTTAAACAAGACAATTTAGAAGTAAGAGCCAGTGGGGTAAATTAACCGAAACGAGTATATATGCAGGTATACGTATACATATGGATATACACTGCAGTTTCTCACAAAGGCGACCGAGAGGGATGTGCGGTCAAAGGGGATAAGTAGGCTGGCAGGCAAGCAGTCACAGAAACAGATAAGGTATACCGTTGGCTGGCTATATGTGTATGGGGACGGCAGCGTATAAGCACTTTAAATAACCTGTGACAGAAGCCAAATACGCATTACCGTATACAGGTTATATATAGAATAGACAGTTCCCTCAAAAACGTCTCAGTGTCAAAAGGGGTTCCAAAACACGTACCTACAATATAGTTCGTTCGATGACATTTAAATTTAATAAGTCTCGTATAATATTATTTATATCCTTATAGGTCTACCTACTTTGGTACTTGCAGAACATACGGGTTTTCTGACTTCATCGCCGATACGTGATGTGGCGTCTTTCATTATGTTAATAGTATCGATATTAATTTAAAAAAATGATAAATCGTTTATTTAAACCAGAATCTCGATTGGTCGAGTACGCAAATTTTTTTGAAATGTGTTCAATTTTAGATTTTGAATCGCGCGAGGAATTTATTGGTTTTACAAATGATGTTGTTTTTTTTTTTTATTTCAGGGAGGCCATTTTTGATTTTCCCAGGTGTTTACATAATAAATAGCAAAAATTAAGAAAAACGGGAAAATTTACAAAATGTATTACTTTCAAATCGTAAATATTATCGCCTTTCAAAACACGTACAACCAAACACCGCCCAGAATCGTTGTTCGTAAGCAATGATTTATTTTTTGATACAGATATACTTACTTTGAATTTCTCTCCTAACTGAAATTTGAAAATGGTAGTGGCAAGGGGGTGGGGGTAAAATTTGAAATTCCCAAAATGTACATACGTGATAATATGTACTCGTATGTACACAATTTCATCCCCTGATTTTATTTGGAGAGTCTATAGGGGTATAAAAAACTGAAAATTTCCCCTCCCCTGCAAGAACATCATTAAGTTCATGTTAAAATTTAAACCACTAGAAAGGTCCAAAAGTAGTAGGAAAACAGATACAATACAGCGAAATAGACAATAGTTCTTATTTTCGGCGAAAATTTGACAATTGATTGTTGTGTCGAGTTTGGATTGAATTAATATTATTATAATATTACCTTATATTATGTAAATGAAATGAATTATAATTTATTGTTCCTTTTTGCTTTAATACAATTATTATATTAGTGTCGTTTAAATTTTTAAACATTGAAACGTATAAGTCACACTGATCATTTTATACAATATTAGGCCAACACAATATATTGAGCAAAATAGTTTTGTCGAAATCTGTTACAAAATAGAAATAAATTATCAGTTACATCCATCTCAAACATAAAAAAAAAAATAAGTTTTTCTTCCGTTTAGGTAAAAAAAAAGAAAAGAAAAAATTAGAATAATTTTATTTCGATACATTATTATATAGGTTTTCTGGCCTTAAAACGAATAAAAATATGTCCTCTACGATCGTTATTGGTAAAAGTTTTACCGGCGTCGCTAACTTTTAAGGTTTCCAAAAGTGTATAATAATAAATCGTATGTATATTTATATGCGCGTGGAAAATAAAAGAATAAACTAATTTCTATTCAGATTGAATCCGAGGGGCGTGAAAAGTTGTCGATCGACTTTTTTGACTTAAACTGGAATATTTTTGATTCATTGTCTTTCACTCCTTCGGTCTCCGTATTTCTTTCCGGTCCACCCATTAGTTTTTCGTCCTTCTCCCTCACACCCTCCGCCCGAAATTTGACTAGCTTACATACCGTCTTGCATCGGGTTAAAATAAAATTTTAAAAAAAAAGGTAAACACACGACCTACGGCCAATACTGCAGACGTGACGTGCAAGTAAGACATATTTTTATCTTCCTCGCGTACTGGCCATATTCAGTATTGCATTATTTGGAATAGTCGAAAGTTGCACGTTGTGCATATAATATTGAAATACACGTATAAAAAAAAATATATATATATACTTGTTAAGTTAATGGTATATCATTATTATTGTGATGATTGCACGTACTGTTGTCCTTATAATTTTGTTGCTTCGAAACTTGACCATAATATTCAATTATTGCAATTTTTACCAAAAAAAAAAATATATATATATATAATATATACATTGGACGATAATCTTCTTTTTACCACGTTTGTTATATAATTATGTTTGTTAAAATTTGCTTGTGAAGAAGGATCTTTCTAAACGTGTGATCTATTTTCACCCAATTTATCATGTGTTCCGATTAACTTGACGTTTTTCATGCACTCGACGAGTAACGATTTTCTTGTTATCACATACTATCAATACTCAATATACGGTTAATAAATTAAATTTATATAGACTTGTTTTATTTTTTTTTATAATATGTATATATTAAGTACACCTTTTTATGGTAGAAAGTTCAGAATTTTTGATTTTTTTTTCTATATATTATTTCACGTACGTTCCTCATGTATAATATTTTAATGAAGGAGATATTATAAATATATATATTTTTAAGTATTTTCATTTTGAAGATTTTATATCCTACTTTGTTTAATGGAAATGTATATTTTTAATTCCATATCCTCGGAAAGCAGGCTTTAATGCTTTACACGAAACCATCGAATATTAAGCCACTATTTTATTATTTATAACAATTTAAAGTTTTGATAATTTGAGAGACGGGGAAGGAAAATACCTTGTGCATTTTATCTATACATTTCTTGGATGCTTTAAACTTTAAATGCTCGTATACATGATAAACTATATTATATAAGTTCAATTTATATTATGACAACATTTTTGAAATAGTTTTATTATTCACCTACTATATAGTTTAATATATATTATGAATTTACGAAGTTAAAAAATGAGTTTCCGGCTAAACTTGTGTATAAAACCTAAACACATTTTTAAAATGAAAATTAGTAGACAAATTCAAATTTCCTATAAAAGCAGTGTAGTGATGTATAGGATAATACATTTAAGTGACTACACTTCGATATTTCAAAAAGTATAGATTTAAAAAAAAAAAATGTTTGTTGACTATTAAGGAAATAAGTAGCTCTACTCTATTCTAATGAAAATATTATTATTTCTCTTTAGCATACGGTTTTAATCTATTTAAGATAATATTCGAGATAAATTTCTGTGATGTGTTAAGTAGGGAAATTTTTCTATATAATTTTGACAGTTTATTTTATCCGATTTTTTATTAAGTATAGTACCGACACCTCCCATGGTTTTACTATTATTTCTTCTCTACATGTTTGATTTATTAGCTGTTTTAAGTTATTCATTAGTATTTCCTTCTTTCTTTTTAAATTTTGATATTATTGCATCTTCTCCAGATGCTTTTTTTTCTTTTAACATTCCGACCGCCACTCTAACCACCTCTTAGGAAAACTCTTCTAAATATTGCTCTACTATGGAAATATTATGACTTCCCCTTTTTTATTCGAGTTGGTATATTTAGAATTTTCTTGAAAATCTTTTTGAATTCACTTGTTACCTCTTTCTCATAATTTATTAATATTCCCTCGTTGGTTTTCATTGTTGATCTGTGTTCGAAAGAAAAGTTAAACATAAACTTTATGTAGGACGTAGGTATTAATAAAGACTACATATGAAAAAAAACATATTCAACTAAAAACGGTAAAAAACCTAATCAATTATTTATTAAAAACGTATATGTGATGAGTAAGTGGACATGTTCTCTCCAAACACTATTTTTATCAATTATTTAATTTGGATTATAAAAATGACTAGAAAATCGCTTATTCTTAATTTCATTTTTTGAGTACGTAAAAAGTATACAAAAAATAATTTAACAATTCACTAAAATATTACGAAATTAATGGAATTTTTTTTTTTATTTGTCCTATTTTAATTTATCATACTCGTTTTTATATTGCCTGTGTATTATGTATAGTTATACATTTGAATAGTATTATTCAAAATCGCTTAATTAAGTATACATGAATTGATAAATTTTAACTATAGAGATGTAAAATTTATATTATTTAAAAGTTAAACATCAAAAATAATTATTTCTTCTTCATTATATCTACTTCTAAATATTAAAAAGAAATACAAAGGAAGACTTTTATAATATTTATTATTATCGTATTCATACGCGAATATTCGAATGCCGAACATATGATTTGCTGTGAAAGTGACTCGTAGATATTATAATATGATGTATTATACTATAATGTTTTACCCATTGTGTATAATATTAAATCTTAATGAACGTGTGGCTTACATATTATTATAAAGCACGCATACACGCGGGATTCGTATAAGTGAATTAAGTTTTAATTGCATTAATCAAATTCAGCGGCCGTGTGCGTCCTGATAATTTTGTTTATAAAATATGATAGTGTACTTGCTAAAAATAGTGAAGAAAGTTTGAAAATGAGACGATGTATTGGTGTATCGTTTTTAATGTTAAATCATTGCTGATGAAATACGATACTGAACGAAGTTTGGTTAAACATATTTGGAAATACCGTAATTTTCATGATTTTCGTCAAAATATGATTTTAATGCAACACAATAATTAATTTCCTCATTATTAAGAAAACTGTTTGGAAAATCAAAATATGACCTCTTCAATGTACTAAGTAGATCCAAAATAATTGTTTTTTAATTAGAGCAAGATTTCTAGTACAAAAAAAAATAATCACACACCATTGTAAAACGAATACATTTTTCACTCCGTTCAGAATGTAAAATGAATAAAAAGAGTTTCTTAGTTTCTTTAAAAAGCCTGTTGTATTGAAATATATTTAAAAGTTTAAGATGAATTCTATACCAATATATAATGAATCAAAGAGAAAAATTCAATCAACTTGTAATGTACTCACTCTAATATGATGGTGTCTCGCGTATTTAGCGTTCACCAGTGGTGGTGAGTGACATGGCCTGATCTGACAAAGTCTGGTTTCGTTATTGGGTTTACACGCTTCGTTTGCGTTGGACATGCGCCTCGAAAGACCCAAACCGCACTCTGATGAACATTCTGACCACGGCGTGACCAACGCTTCACAATTTGGCGGCCTTTCCACTAAAAAAAAAAAAATAATAATAATGAATTACAATATAATGTTAACGTTAATGTATTAAAGTAATATAATATATTACGTTGTTATATTATAAACACATTGACAACATATTCATTTTTAAATTAATTAATATTTTCTCTTTCTCTTTCCCTTCTAATGCCATGATTACTCTTTAAAAAGTTCCCCCTTTACACTAGGTCACTTGTTTTTATTTTGAATTTCCTCTCTATAGTTTTCGACTCACAGGCTTTATAAATCCTGTTCTAATACGTCAATCTACTTTTTCCTGGATTTTCTTCTTGGTCTTCTTCCTTGATGTTTCCATTGCATAGTTGCTCTAACCTTCTCGTCTTCATATCCTCTAATTATGTGGTCATTAAATCACTCTTAAATGATATGTTATTAGTACTCGACAGTTGCTTGTTATTTCATCGATGATGAGTCTGTATTAGATTCGTGCACCACGATCCGGTTTTTAAAATCCGGAACGGATCAGTGTAGTCAAATTAAGACCAGGGCCGAACCGGACTAATGGAATAAAACATGGGACTAGATCAGACTGGACCGTTTATTATTTTTTTTTTAATAAATAAGACCGAATCAGACTATACTAGACTGAACCTATAAGAGACTGATTTATTATTCATACATTATATAATTAATAGAAAAGAAATCAGATGTCGTAGTAATAGTACAATAAAACATTAAAATTAAGTCTGGTCTTTATGTCTGTGTGTCGTCAAATTAAAAATATTTAATATTAATTGATAAATACAGCTTGGTACCAACAATAAATTTTGGGATTTTAAGATATTGAATTTGGATATAATTATTTTAACTTTTTGGAAAGCTAGGGGGTAGATGTCACTCCCTACCTCTCCTTGTAGGTTTCCTTGCGGTAGTGCATAGTGTCAACTGCTAGTAACAATTATTTGTATTTTCCACTAAGGACAAAATATTGATTGATTGTATTCAAAAAAATAGATTGACTAAAAAAAAAAAAAAATGTTTGTTCTAATTAATATTTGTCTCCATCTTTGTTATTGTCACTTGGAGTGGCACTTGAGTTTATTGTAAATTATTAAATACAAATAAATATTAGGCAAACACAATTTCACAACTTAAAAACTTTGCACTACATTTAAAACGTTTTAAAATTGTTTTATCGTGTAATTTGTGTGTGCAATCTATACGAATGCCTAGAGATAGGACAAGCTGGGACCACATGATAAAAATAATTTTAAATTGAGTCCCTCCACTTCAAAAAAAAATAACGGATATACTTCGCACGATGGGTGAGTCACCGTTGTATGTGAGAAGTTGCGAAGGTAGGGAAGAAATTGAATGTATTTATATCTGTACGTAACGATTAATCGTTGCTAACGAAAAACGACTCTGAGCGGAGTTTGGTTGTATATGTTTTGGAAGGCCGTAATATTTACGAAAATAATACGTTTGGTAAATTTTCCTTGTTTCCCAGCTTTTTTCCACGTTTTTCCCATTTATTATAAAAACTCTTAGGTTAATCAAAAAATGACTTCCTTAAAGTACCACTCCAGTCATATTTTCTTGCAGAAAAGGCGCTACACTTGAAAATCGAAGCAACATTTTTGATAGAAAAGTTGTTCACAGAAAAAAAAAGACCGTAATATTTGTTTAACTAATAACTACATTTCTTACTTTTTTCCCCCGTTCTTTTTTTCAGTTTTATATTTGATGAGAAAATTTAAAAATAATCTCCATAAAGTACCTCTTCACACCAATTTCCTTTATAAATAGGTGCTCTACTTAAAAATCGGAGCAAGATCTCTGGTAGAAAAGTTGTCCACAGAATAAACAAAAAAATTAAATACAAATATTTGTAAAACCATAAGCTTCTTCGCTCCACTCAGAATCTAAAATACATTATAAATTATTACTTCTAATTAATTGCTAATTTTTTATTTGGTGTTAGTGGACCAAGAACTTGTAAAGAAGGCTATAGAGTCTATAGTAAGAGATTCTTTAACCAACGATAATAAAATAAAAGTATAAATATTTTCGCGGAGTCTAGACATTTCAGGAAAACCTTAAGAATGTTTTTAATGCATTATCTATTTTAAGACGTAATGTTCGAACTTTAAACTACCTGTACAGAATTATATTGAATAATAACAATACGAATGTTCTAATCAAGCATTTTGTTTTAAAAAAAAAAAAATATTAATATTTTTGTATTTCTTATCATGCTACGTCGTCGCGGCGTACGGCTGTTTTAGCGATATTATCGTTATTTTTTTTATTTGCACTACATCGTAAATAATAATATAATCTGTCCTATTATTATTTCATCTTCAAGTAAAACTCTTAACGATTTATATCGTTGGCATTTTAATCTCATCAATTGTCCCAGACTTGTCGGTACCAAGACGGTTTATCAATCAATTTCGCATGTTCGGCGTGCACGCGAGACTTAGTCGGTCGATTGAATTCAATCTCAGTGCCCGGGCACGGTATAGTGTTCCGAAGTGACAAGGACCTTAAAAATGCACAAAATACACTGTTAAACTATAAATTATTCATCGCCGGCCATTACTTTTTCCGGTCCATCTGAGTTGGTGGCGACGGAGAAACGTAGGAATTATTAACGAGACGTAAAACAAACAACGTGTGTTTTAAAAAAGAAAAAAAAAGAGCGTAAAGAAAAGAAATACGCCTGGGGAGGAGGGTGGGGGGTAAAAGAAACGTTAATTTGAACGCGTTTTCTTCGCGCCGTGTCGCTAAATGATTCAAATCCTTTACGAATCCTTTGCATATGCGCGCTGCGCACCAATTTAAGTTTTAATCCCGTCACGTTTCCGGCGCGTTAGTTCAGATGCTAAGCGTACATTTACGTGTGCATCGAGTATAACAAGACTTTAGTTGGTATGTGTGACTTATGTATGTTTAATTACCGTCTTATAGCTGCGGAACAGTTTCCCGCCCACAAATAAAACATATTACGCGTATACTGGACGAGTTTCGGAGACGCGTGATCTTTATATGTATACGTCCGAAAATTCCGTATTTTATTTATGCGAAATTTGTGTCGCGCGAAAATATCAAATCGAATCATCCGAACCGCACTGGTAGCGTTTTCGTATTTAAAATATAATTTTGACGTAGGCACTGTCTAAAATCGAAAATTATATTATGATACTACTATTATTTATTAATTTTTATCGCGTGGTTAAAATCGTAATATTGTAATTTAATATTAGCGATGCCTTCCAAAATTCAACAATAAATGATGATACGTTCCAAAACTCGATAATAATAATAATAATAATAATAAAATAATTATTGGATTTTCATTACGTTCAGTGTTAAATTTGACCGATTTGTCCGTTTGAAAGTCCACTTATCAGTTCTTATTTACCACGATTTAAATTTATGCCAGGGATAAAGTGCCAATTATATTTGATAATATACGAAAAAATGTTGTTACAATCATAATATTACAAACAAATTCCATTATCCTGTCAGTCAATTTAAATATGTTGATATCCAAAACCTAACAGCAACATCAAAACTAAACAGCTGAATTTTTGAAAACTAAATTTTTTTATAATATTGTTCGACGTTTGAATATCTTTTATTCTGAATTTCACAGAAGTGAGTAATTTATTGGTTTTACTACAATATAAAAGTAAAATCATTAGTAAAACTAATTATTTATGTTATTTTATATTTAATGTCTGTGAAATGTTCCGTTGGAAATCTTGATCCATTAAACAACATTATCTGATAGAAAATTGTTCCTATAGTTAGTATATCCGAGGGTTATTTTTTAATTTTCTTTACATAGTTTTATTTTAATGAGCAGAAACCGGGAAAACACTTGTAGGAAAAACGGAAGTATTTACAATTTCTGTTATTTTTATTTTACCTATTGTCGTATTTTAGTAGGAAATGATCGTAGAGGCTTGAAATTTCGATAGTATAATTATATTAGTACGTTATAGACGTGATATAATTTTAATAAATATTCCGCTGGTATTAATAAAATATGGATGTAAATATTGATATTTATTGTTATTAGCGTTTTAAGTACAAAAGTATGTTAAAAGTTGTCAAAAAATAGGAAAGACTAATTTGTTTCATAGTTACAAACAAATACAAAATTAATTCAATTTAAATCTACTTAAAAATGTTTAATAAATAATTTATACAAATGTATATAATATCTATTCATTAAACGTGTAGAGATTGTAAATTTAGAGAAATTTAAATCAACTTAACGCGATGTAATTCAAGTTTAAATTGTTATTTATTAAGTTAATGTAAACAAAAATAAATTGAGTTAAGATAAGTTAAAAGTTAAAATTAACTTAACTTAACTTGATTACTAATCTTTTAACTCGTTAATTTCCAAACCTTGGTTCAAAGTATGCCGAGCTTTTTTAAAAATAATTTTAAACAATATAATTATATGTGCAAGTTTATATTATACAGTTTTTTTTTCAAATAATGTGCAGTAATATTTTAAAGAATATGCCATTATGCAAATGAATTATTATATTTCTTTAGAGTATAAGCAAAGTGTATTATTTTTATTTTTAAACAAAAGTTTTTATATATACATAGGTACCTAATATATTATGTATAAAAAAAAACCTTATCCGGTTAACACATTTACGTACCTACTTTATATTTATTTAGAATAAAAACATACTTTTTTTTGGTATTATGAAAATAATAATATAATAGTTTAAATGCATTATTTTTTCGACCAAAATACAAATTTTTAATTTGGCTTTTTTTGTATTTATATTTTATACAATATACTTTATTCATTGATATGCATAAATTATATTTTAAATTATACAGTCTTTAAAAGACGTGATATTCACGCATGTGTTGCCTTTGTCCTACAAACGTATATGACATGGTGAATTTGCGTTGTACAGAAACAACATTGCGATGTACATTTTAATATTAGAATGAATTAACTGATAATAAACATTAAAGATAAATCATTATCTATGCAACGATAGAAGTTTTTTTTGATATTTTAATTTTTAAACGAAATATGGACTGATATGAGTTCATGTGAAACATAACAATTTAAACATGTTTATATCTTGCTTAAAAATTAAAATACCGAAAAAGATTGATATAATTGCATAGGTAATGCTCTTATTTTTAATAAGTTGTACAATACATCAATTGGTGAATGGCCATCTAGATTCCATAGATCTAAATATCAGAAAAAAGATCTAGTTTTGACAAAGATAACTTTCAAAGTTTTTATTACTATTCAATCCCTATTTGTCAAATACATTATCAAATAATAAAATAATCCTATGTATAAAATGATGAGACTAATTAATGAGATCTAATTATTCACTATTTAATTAATTATTATTATTTAACATATTTCATTTTATATTGAATGTCTAATTTAAGAATTAACTGTAATTTTAGTTTGTTTGTTATGAAAACATTGAATTGGATTAAACCCGTATAAAGTTCAATAAATAATATTACTATAAAATTAAGCTACGGATTTTTAAGGAATTTGGTTTTTTCTATTCTGCTATTTCAAAATGCTGCCTAACTCCACGATGTCAAAAAGAATAAAAGTCAGACTATATGTAATTATAATGAGGCGAACTTTAATGTACACATGTGATGCCTGGAAAACGACCAACACGACGGATATAAAGCTGAGGACTTTTGAAAATAAAGTTTAAAGAAAAATGTGTGAACCCATATTAGATGTTGGGAGAATGGGAGAATGGCAGATGAGATACAATAGGGAATAACCGAATATGTTGGAAATGGGAACGATAATTAACTTTGTCAGAGATCAGAGAATAAAATAACTTGGGCATATCATGCATAGAAAAGAAAACGAACCATTCAGTGAAACCCTTGAATGGGTACTTTAAGGGAAAAGGTCATGATGCAAATTCAGAAAAAGATGGTTTGATGGAGTAGAGAAAGACAGATAACATGATATTATAGTGGCGGCCAAGACTCTCAGATAGTAGTTTCACCAAGAAAAGAAGAAGAGAGATTTCAAAATACAGTTAAATGATTCGTTTAATTTAGTGGAGGAAAATTCAAATTAGTTAATAACCACTACTATATTATATAGTAGAATCTTCGCATTCTTTAAACTTGTCGGGAGGAGAAAAGGAGGAATCAATATTTTCGGTATTTTCGGCAGGTTTATCCGATTCATTTGGTTTTTTTTATTTCCCCGTAGACCTTTTTTGCGGTATTCTTAAATGAAAGAGACAACGACGGTAATATAATAATGACGCAAGATTCAGGTTTATCGAAGAGAGACATCTATCCGACTTTTTCGGATCCTGAGACCCAGTCGTGTGCATATTTATTAAGTGGGGTGCACATAACGTACTTACGGGATGAGAGAAAGAAAAAGATGGTGAGACAGAGAGAATTATTTGCGGAACATTTTTAAGTGCTATCCACTCGTGTGCACGCGATGGTTTTTAAAAGCTCTCTCTCTACCTTTGCGGCAGCCGTCGCTGTAGCAGCGTGTACAATTCCGGTTCGAGGGTTCTTTTAAAATCGAACGTGACGTCGCATAAAGGCTCGTAGATACAGTGGTTCAATCGGCAGTGAGACTCTCTCTTAAATGTTTTAAAATTTACATTTCCTTTTTAGAGTTTCCTTTTTGAAAATAATAATTGCGGTTTTACGGGGAGAAATAGCTATTCTGAATTCCCGACGATGCGGTAAAATAATACGATTATATCGAATAGAGTCCCGCTTTCAATTTTCGGACATTCGTTTACTTTTTTTTTTCTATACTTACTATATTCGAATTCACGTAAGTAAATGACAAGTTTCATAATATTATACAGTGTGGGTGTATAAACCCGTTTCTGTTTATGAAATCTAGGGATAGACCGATGCCAATTTTACCGATATCCGATTCTCTGATATAATAATTATGCTACCAATTTAAAACAAATTTTGAAATTAATCGATAAATCGGTTGAAAACCCGATTTATTTAATTATTTTTTCATATCTAGAGACGTAATAGACAATTTTTTTCTTGAAAATACCCCATCACGTATCGGTAGAGAAAGAAAAAACATACTGGTTTATGTATAGGCTCCCTTCTAATGAAACTCTTTGGCTGAGGATTGTGGTGTTGAAATGTAGAAATAGTTTTTTTTTATTTAGACTTTTTTTTGTCGATGAATTCTTCTTCTATTTTTATTTTAGGTTTATTCGGCCTCTAAAACTAAGATAGGTAAAAACACTAAAACAGGTTATCTTACAACCAATTCGCTAATTTTATTATTTAAATCTACCACTTTAATTTTTTCCAATTAGAGCCATTCTAACGTCATACCAACGTTTGATATAGTTTTTTCATTCAATTAAAAATATTGCGATTATACGAGGTATGGCTATTAAATAACGAGACTGGTTACGAAAATGTGTTTTATTATAAAAGTTATTCTACATTCAAATGCTCCCCTTCCCTCGCCACACACCGTTTCATTCGTTTCTTCCATTGCTCGAGGCAGTGCTGGAAGTCTGTTTTCGTAAGACCATTCAGGAGTTCCGCCGATTTTTGTTTCACCTCTTCCATCGACTCAAACCGGATTCCTTTTAAGGCAGACTTTATCTTCGGAAACAAGTATAAGTCGCAGGGTGCCAAGTCGGGTGAGTAAGACGCATGTTTGAGTACTGGAGTGCCTTAAGCAGCCTCATATATACGCCTCAATAACGCTTCACAGACAGCGCGTTATGGGCAGGTGCCCATATCCATATTCTAATATCGACCGTTTCTTACGAACGCATTCGCGCAATGTTGCCAAAACTGTCAAATAGTAATGTTGGTTCACAGTTTGACTCTCTGGAACCCATTCAGTCATCATGATACCGTTGATATCGAAGAAAACGATCAGCATGGTTTTGAATTTGGATTACGACTGAATTGGATTCCGGTGCACTCTCGACCTTCAGAAAATAATTTATGCCACTCAAAAACACGCGCCCGAGATAGGAAATCCTCACTATAGGCCTCTTTTAACAACTNCAGTTGGAGTTTTTTTTTAGTTTAACGAGAAAATTTTACGTTTATCCGTTGCTCATGTTTTTCGTTACACATGGTTTTCGGCACGAGAAAAAAACACGTTCGTTTCAAACCACTATTGCACAAATACTATAATAGTGACGAAAACGTGTTTTGGTATGCGCATAGATAAGATATTTAGATACCCAACGCATTAATCATTTTTTTCACTACCTATCTAGGGTGCCCTCTAGGCGATTAGTCTCGTTATTTAATAGCCATACCTCGTATTTTACATTTAATTTGTTTAGTTTTATAATTTTTTTTTTTTTATGATCCTTCAGTATATTTACGCATTTTCAGTGTTAGGATTATCTAGATAAAATTACCTAAAATATAATATTGGTAACGACATAGGTAGTATATTTTGCTTAATATTATTTTAAGTAAATATATTTTGTAGATAGTAAGAATATTATATCATTATTCTTAATAATTATTTTTTTTCTAATCACCTTGGTAGTTTATACATTCTTCATAATTGTAGGTTTTATACAATACAATATTATTTTTCTCATATTCAAAAAATTAGATTAGATCGAATTCCTTAACTTCATACCTATACAATGTTGAATACCTTTTTAAATATTGTATCTGAACCTTTTAGAAATATTATTACTATGAATTATCATAATTATCTTTCTATGCTTTTCAGAAAACTGAAAACGATCTCTTACTAAAATAAAAATATTGTTTAAATTTCGAAACACTGCGAATATTATGATATTCATATATTTATTATTTCGGATAAATTCGATGATAATATAAAACTTACTGTTTACATTGTCACACATCCATTCCCTGCAACATTGTCCCGGCACTTCGACTAGTCGGGGATGTCTGCATAGGCCTTGAGGAGATATGTTTTCTTGTGGGCACAATGACGCACAAGCGTAGGTTCCGTTCTAGAAAATCCAATCCAAATTATTATTATAGTTAACAATAAGAAATTATTACTATACACTCTTGTAAATCCGACCACTATTAATATTTTATAATACGTGAAAAACATACCCGTTTATAATCTACAAAACGCCATTTAATATTATATTTTATCGTCGAACAATACCTATTAATCCCGTTTAAAATACATCATTTTATCCTAAACAGTGCGAGTATAAATTTACTTCCAGGCTATTTGTTTGCAATTCGAAATTTCGAAACGTACTTAGAATAATTTTTATGCTATTAAACCTAAGGAAAAAAAAAAAATGAATGTATTAGTCGGTTAGGCAGAAGCATTGTAGTACGCGATACGAGTACCTAAAATATAAAACATTATTGTTTGCATAATCAAACGTATCAGTTTTGATAATTTTATTTTGTTAAACATGTTTACTATCATATATCTAAAGTATCTACGCATAATAATTTTTGTGCGAATTCAATTATAAATTGTACAATCCTCGTTTACGTGATGGCCAATTGTTTTATTTTTCCAGTATGCTTTAAAAAAATTATAAATAATAAAATAATAAAGAAAACACAATTTATAAAAACTATTAAAATTTATTCGTAAATAAATATAGTAAAAAAAATATAAATGAATAAATGCGTCTCCTGGAGTATTATAAATATATTATACGGCCGATTTCGAATTAAAAATTCATCATCGGGTATATCACAGTCAAAATGTAAAACGCGACTGCACTAGTCGTTTGTAATTCATAGAATTTCGTTTTTAATTCTGATCGAAGTGTGAAATGTATTAGCTTTACTACTATGATATTATGTACGTTTATTGTTTTATTGAAGAAAATGGTATCAAACAGATACCAGAGTGGCTTCAACGAAAATGTTTAGCCTTTAATAATTGATGATAATGGATGATGGATATTACCTTTTATAAACGACTTTTCTACAAGAAATGTTGCACCAATTAACATTAACTATTCTAGTCTTGTTCTAGTTGAAGCATTAGGGAGGTATTTTCTTTGTAGTTTTCTTAATAAATCAGAAAAAATGTACATTTTTGATATGGTTTTTGTTGATTTCTAGGTTTCTGTGGGAAAGAGGGAAAAATATGACTAATAACATTTAGCTCAGAATTATTTTTACATATAGATAACAATTGAGTAACCCACTCTATATATTTTCCCTTCCAACTTCTCCCTTAAAACAGTGCCACTGTGAAAACTGCATACCCATCAGCAGTATCAGCCTTTTATTTTTCAAGTCTCACAAGCACATAATAAATTCGCATGTACTGATTTAGAATTTTATTGAACAATGTTTTGTCAATGAAATATTTGATGCATATTCGTTTGGCCAGTGAAAAATTTGCAATGTTTAACATCTAAAGCTTGTGATAATAATATTATACTGATCACAAATCACAATAATAAAAGGTTAACAGAAGGAAACTGTATAGGAAACTGAATATACACTTAAAACTGTATATTTTTTCTAAATGTCTGACCATATAAAATGGCCAAGTTACGTAGGTTCAAATACGTTAAAAAAAATGTACCTATATTTCAAAAAATATGTCGCGCTTTGTAAAAATAAATATACTCTTTCTTAATAACTATACAAGTCTCTTGAAACTGGAGTTGATTGTTGAAGGACTTTTTTTTGTATGTGTTTCTATAGAATAATGTGTGGAAAACCTATTGTTTTTTTTTTCATAGTATAGCACTACTTCGCTGACACTTACTATTTTGGTGGAAATAAAAGGGTTTACTTAACTGTACACTGTGAATTTTTTTTTTTTAAGATTATATTATACGAGTGATGAAATAAAATACATTTTGTATGGTATACAAATAAACGTTTTATATACTGAGAGCTAGACTCGGTAGTTAGGGCTATGCATATATACACTCCCACTCTTTCAAAAACTAAAACATACATATATGTCTTACACCATGGAAATACATGTACCTATATTATAAAAAATATTATAAAACAATTACCTGACAGGTACACTGTGTTCTGCAATCTAGCCTGAACGTTTCTCCGTTGTCGTAGGTCTTATTGTACACCGTACACGGTAAGCCTTTTACTACTGAAAAAAAAGAAAATTATAATATTATAATAAAATATATTTTTGAAATAAACGCGATTGAACAGTTTTTGTTTTGCTTTTGTTTTATTAGTAATATTTTTGGTAAAACTAAAATATAAATATTATTTCAAATAACCATAATATATTTTTCGTATTCCAGAATATTTTCTATAATAATTTTAGAATTTTTATAATATATCATTGATGATGTCGACTTACAACAATTTTCTTTAAAAAAAGTATACAATTAATACGATTAATTAAGCGTGCCCATCCCATTTTTCGGTTAAATTTTGCATATATTCAAATTTTGTTTTTTGGAATTAAAAATTAACTACACAAAAAACTACACTTAAAAAGTGTAGTTAAAGCCGATATTTTCGAATACTTAGATTTTTACAACATTTAAGGAGTATCCTGTGGCGATACCAACTTTTGTTTTTCAGATGAGAACTATATTAATATTTTCATAAATACGTATTATGAGTATTTTTTTAAATACATTTTAGTATCAACATTTTTAATTTTCGTCAACTCATTGACGAGATATTACATTTTTAAGGTTAGGTAGGGGGAGAGTAGTGGAGAATTAATAAAAGGCCATGTGCCATGTCGACACACAAATGGTACTCCAATACTCTTCTCCCTAACAAAACTTAAAAGTGGAATATCTCGTTAACGGGATGACGAAAATCAAAAATGGTGACTCCAAAATTTATTTAAAGTAATATTCTGTCCATTGAATTTTTAATATATAGGTTTTCATTTGAAAAACCAAAGTTAATATCGCCAGGATTCTCCCAAAATGTTGTGAAAAATCTAAGTATTCTAAAATATCGGTTATAACTACATTTAAAAATTCCAAAAATTAGAATTTGAATGTATTCAAAATTTAACCAAACAAATTTGGTGAACACGCTTAGTGAATCATAATATAATTCATTTTGTATAGACAATATTGTACATACATTCTGTATAAACGTATGATCCGTTTTATTGGTGAATTATTATCGATCAAACGATAGCGTCAGAAGTTTATCGAACGAAGTTTAATACCGATGTTATCGAAAACAGAAATAGTTATAGTGTAGGAGTACGTACAGATTAAATGTTTATGAGTTATAGCTGTTTAAATATTTTGACCGGAGGAGTAAGGAAGGGTTATCAACTTATTGTATAAAAACAGATATGAAGTATATTGTCCTTCCCTACTCCTTCGATTTAAATGTTTAACTGTTATAACTTATAACCCGTAAATGTCAAACCTAATATTATTAATGTCATGCATATTAAAATGCTTAGAAAAGCAATTTCTTTTTGAACCAATGTTTAAACGGGGTAGTCCCTATATAAAATAAAATGTGTATAGGTATTTAATTTAAGGCATAAGGTACAGGGGTAAAAATTTTCAATAGTGTAAAATAAAGCTTAATAATTATTACATAATTAAAAAAAAAAAAAATAGTAATGCAGTTTACATAAAATCCTCTGAGGAAATTGCTTGTTGGTGATAAATGGATCACTCTGTATAAACTCCATACAACCAATAACGAAGTTATATTATATTGTAACCTGCCGAGTGTGAAAGGGACGTGATGATGATTGTAGGTGGGGTTGGGGTATCAAAGGGAACTTTGTTATTGATAATGTATAGGTGTACAGTCGATTTGCTAATAGCGCTCGTTTATAATTAATATTGACTGTACAGGCCTATAATACGTTTGTATAACACTAATATACAGGGTGATGTATAATATATACAGGATGCGATTTTGATATGTTTACAGAAACTTTTTTATTGTAAAAAACGAGCTGATACTGCTATGTTTTATTGCTCAACTTTTTTTTGCACTAATATTGTATATAAACCTATGATGAATCTCGTGTTCAATTTTCAAGAACTTCGGCTCAGTTAAACAAGATTGTAATCATAAAAAAAATCTAAAAATGCATAATGCCTATTAATAGTTCACAAATCGAAACAATTATTATGCAAATATTCCCGACTTTCAAACCTAATACAAAGAATATCAAAAATTGTATTCATAAATACACCAATTAGACAAAATTTGCTATCAGAGATGCAACCACTAAACCACCCCTGATGTTGATAATTGGAGTAAAATAACTGTTAGAGAAGTTGTTAATACATAGGAAAAAGCCTGTCTAATTATACATGCCTCGCTGTACCTAGAATCTAAAAAACAAAATTATATCAGCAAAATTCACAAATAGATAAAACAGAATAGATTTACGATTTTCTTCGTAAAATTATAATTATAAATTTACAATTTTACATGGTGTTTTATTATTAATGAGCATCAAGTGCAGGAGTAGTATTTTTATTTAACACATTTACACAACATATTAATATAGTATGTGGAGTAGAGACCACAGGAAGTTTACCTAAAAAATAAGCCCCAGAATAAAATCATTACTATGCTATTGTATAGTAGATTGGTTGTATAATACGCTTTGCTCGTGAAATAATAGAAAAGGGATTCCGAATCTAGTGGATTTCGAATTCTGCCGGTAAAAACTTCACTGATTTACGAGACTGCTGTTATATACATTTTTAATTTCGCTAACCATAATCTTTAATACGACTAGGTATTTATATATACATAGTCTTGCACGTCATAAATGAATGAATAAATCCCATAGGTACCTGTCTAGTCGTTACTGGTATCAACGAAGTGTTGCTGTGATTAATAAATCAACCGTTTCAGTATATAGGAAGATACCTTACCTACTCGTAAATATTTTATAATATTGTCGAAAATCTGTTGAAACCTTGCAACTGTTGAAGCGGTTAATATAAGGTTATAGTTACAAAACCAAAATCGATTTACTTTACAGACAATATTTTCTAAAGTAAAAAATAACGTATATTCGAGATATTAGAAAATTACGGCCGAACAAAACAGCCTTTAGTGGTGATGTAATGGTTATAAAAAATAATACCAACTTTATGATAATTTGATTTTGCAGGAAAAACCATAATATTCAAAAGTACCTACTGAATGCCAAAACGTAAAATTTAAACGATATTTGAGGTTTGAGGCTTTATTGTGTCTCTTATTGATTTTACTTTAGGTAGGTACGCGAATATTTTACTCCATAAAACGTTAACATCAGTTTGAAATATGAAAACGTCGTTTTCGCAGTACCTACTGGCATTTTGAATCACTTGTAAACAATATCTTCTTATTGATTGGAGATTATGTTGCACTTCATATACGAGTATGATAGATCATACAATGATGGAAAACATAGGCTTAAAAGTGTTAAAATATATTCGTAATTACTAGTTTCGTCTTACTTCTGAGATTATATAAAATATTGTCAAATTATTAAAAATCATATCAATCATATTTTATGTATTTATTGTTGTTTACGGGCAAATGTCCTTTTTACAGAACTATGTAATTAATTGTAACATTTGAGATAAAACTAAAGACAACAAATATATATACAGCATATAATATTTTCTATCATAGTTAAAATTAATATAATAATCTTACTAATTTTAAGGCCTTAAATTTAAATGTGTTTTGAGGAAGTAATAAAAACCAACTGTGGTGGAAATCCTAATGGCAAAACAAGAGCCCTTGAAAAAAATGTATTGTTTCTACAGTTGGTGTTGTAATGGGGAATTTCAAATAGGTCTAAGTTCGTGGTGTTTTTATATGGTATTCGCAACCAATTAATAATTTTAGTATATCTATCTAAACAAATAAAAAAATTATAATTTTTTTGGTGCTGCATAATTATAGATACTCATCTGAACTTTAAAAATGATTAAAGTCAAAAATTTAATAAATATAAAAAGTTGAAACGTCAAAATGTTCAGAAGATTAAAACTATAAAATGGCTATCTTCAAGTTTTTCGAAAATAATAAATTAAAAAGTAATTTCTTAGGTTGTTTTTACTAAAATATTAAAATTTAATTCAAGTATAAATATTTGTAGTCTTTATACCTGTGAGTAATATGAAAAAAAACATTTGATTATCATTATTATCTTAAGAGATATTGTATTGGGTATATCTTTGTGGGACGACTTTTATATATATATTTATTAATAATTGTATACTAAAACACTATCCTACTGTATTTGAGTAAATAATAAAAAAATCGAAAATATTACTACGTGATGTATTATTTGTTATAACAATTTAATTCACACGGTTTTTCACTTACGTCGTCGTTTTTGTAGTCCGTCTTGAACGTCATTTGGACAAACGCTATATATTTATAGGCCACTTATTCTCCTTCTACCCGTAGAAAATTTCAGTTGACTTTTATTATTGTCGTAATGTATTTCTCTCTAGTGGTCGTCGGCTTTTGCCATACACTATCCACGTCTTAACAAATGGATTCACTATATATATTACTTAATTTTCTAGATATAATAATCTTCAGGTGAAGTGCGAAAATGTCCCCCAAGGGTTCACAATATTTTTCTACGTCATAAAAGTTATTTACTGTTTGTATTACAAAAGTATACAGTACACACATTAATATTATTTTTAGTCATATTAACCTAACAGCTTACCTACTTTTATATACATAATATACCTATACAAAGTAATTCATTAAGCATGCTCACCTCATTTTTAGCGGTGAATTGGGAATGTATGCAAATTCTGATTTGGGAATTTTAATTTAATTTTTAAGTTTAGGTAGTAGGAGAGTAGCGGAGCATAATTTGTGTAGTGGCACAGCGTTTTGTATTTGAATAAAACTATTTGTCCCTTGCCTAAACTTAAAGGTGGAATATCTCATTTATTTTTTTTAACTATTTATGCGATTTTTAATATACATTCTTGTTTAAAAAACTAAAGTTAGTACGCCACATGATACTTCTTAAATGTTGTGAAAAATCTATGAATACGAAAGTATTGTCTTTAATTACACTTAAAAATTCCCAAAATCAAAATTTGGATATATGTCCAAATTACCCCTAAAAATGGGGTGAGTCAGTATGAATCAGTATATAATCTTCCAATTTTGTTATGTTTGATGAATATTGAGTGTGCCGAATCTTCAGTATAATTATGTGACTTTTACTTTGTTGTTTAAATCGGCATTTTTTTTTCTATGAATATTAAATATTTATTTAAAAAGAAGTGAGGGCCGAGGGGGGATTTTAGTGTATTCAGTAGTATATTTCGAAAGTGCCTTCCAACGTCAATTTTTCACATTACAACTATCACAAACGTGTTAAATATTTCATGTTTCTGGATATACAATATCGGGTTTAATATCGTGTTGTCTAAACGTTTTTATAATGTAGCCAATACCATTTTTTCTGTTGTCATATCTCGTATTTAAAATAATTGATAGACTAATTGCAGAAAAGGGACATGTCCACTTTTGAGAAAATTCAGTTATCACCCAATTTATATTTATCTCCTTTAAATATATATTTTTATAAAAATATTTACCGCTAAAGTTAGTGTTTGGTACAGAAAGGAGACAAATTCAGAATATGTGATAGCTTTTTGTGACTCTTATAGAATTTGATTTTATGGACATTTCCCTTTTCTGTAATTAGTGATTTAATTGATTCGAATTAACATCATGAACATAACGTGAAAAATACTTCTTTTGGGTTTGACATCTTTATTAGAACAAAATAAAAACTCATCGCAAAAAATAGGTATAATACGTATTCTAAAAATAATCTAATCAAATTTGTCTTTTCTTTTAAACTGTTTTTTTCGAATTTTCCCCGAAAATTGAGATTATTGCACTAAATTGTTTTTAGTTTTTACATACTTATATGTCAAAAACTGAAATATTCTAATAAACTTAAAATAATTATTACAACAGCTGATAAATTATTTCCGCGCGTACATATTTTAAAGATGACAATTTTAAATTAGAAAATTAGGTACTTTTCGAGGTAAATAAATTTCACTTTTTACTTGATTATGGAAATTGTAAAATAAGGATTTTAGTATTCAATAGAACATTCTAATATATTTCAATATTAAAAAGTTTGATCATATGTTATATTGTTGGATTTTGTTTTAAAATAAATTTTCATCGGACCTAGTTTAGTTTAGTTAAGTTTAGTTTTACCAATTTTTCTAATTGATATTTCTTGTTAGTTATCATTTGCTGTATTTATGTCAGGGATAAGGCGGGTAATTAAATTTAATAATATAGGCAAAATGTTGTTAATGTTATAACCATGTTCTATTATCTTGGAACGCAATCGAAATATTTGGTATCCAACAACCTACCAACAGATCCATATTATTTAGTTGAACACTGGAAGGCAAGACAATAACCTTAATATCTTAATCGTCAAACTAAAATATACTCCCTCAAACAACAAGCTTTATTTAAAAAAACGTATGTCGTAAGCAAAAAAAGACGTATGCACGTCCCTACATAATATTTGTGATGCACATTCATAACTCACATACATCGCAACTCGAATTTAATTAAAACCTCTACACGATAAAATTATACACATACACCATTACCACATTACCTGATTATTCATGGAAAAACCTAAACGGTATTACTAATTTATTGTAATATTAATTGCCCGAGATTAAATCGTCAGTTTAACGCTATTATTACTGTACAAGAAAGTTTTTAGTGCGGGGTACTCTATTCGTTATACCATTTTAACACTGCATCACGTACGCAATTTAAAATGCATTGTTCAATAATATTATGTATTCGGGATATTACTTCGTTTGCTGTGTACAATTGTGAAATAATAACGAATTCGTTGCAACCGCAAAGGTTTACCTGCAGAAAGTGTGTTTCTCTTTCTCATAATTGATAGACATCACGACTTGCAACTTAGAATTTCAGTCTATATAATGCAATTTATATTTCTTGAAATGCGATTAAACTGTTGTTATTTGCTCGTTTCTAAAATATCCAAATGCCTTTTTTAATTTAATTTTTATTAACAGCGTAAACATGATTTATTTAACCGATTGAATTTAATGAAATTCAATTAATTCATAATTTTTTCTGTTCATCTTATAAACTGTATTGGAAAAATTACTTTTTATTAATTAGACATCAATTATCGTTGTAAAATAAATGACTATATTTAATATTATTCCGGTATCTACCTATCAACAATATTTTGTTTAGGAGGCGTTAATTCAAATTGATAGATATTTATTTAGTGAGGTCAACTTTGTAAGGATAAAATTTCCTATATCGAAACAATCAAAAGTCATTTGATGATGTAAATTTCGAAAGGTAACGGAGGTATATAATTTATATGGAAATCGAGTTAATAATTATATAATTGCAGTTTACGTAAAAAATAATAATTGATATTTGTTTTCTAAAATTCGTCATCCAAATTTGTGATAAAACATCATCATATAATATTTTTAATATTTATATGTAGATAGGTAGGTAGGTAGGTAGTTTAATTATTATTGTCTCATTTGAAAAGAAATTCTCTCCATGGAAATTAGAGAAACTAAGTTTTAAAACATTAACTTGTATACATGTCGGTGAATTCGTAGTTTCGTTGTATACGCTATTATTTTCAATGCATTAAACTAGGAAATAAAAAAAACACGAATTAAAGTAATGCGGCTGTGTTAAATCACCTATACATAATGTTAGTGCACAAAACTTTTCGAACTTGTCCACTGTCTCAAACGAAAATAAAAAGAGCTGATACAACTGATGGATGTGCCACTGTTGTAATTAAGAAATCTGAAAGGTATGCTTAGAGTTACTTAATTTATATTTGTATGTAGCGATTAATCATTACCAACAAAATTACGATCCTGAATGAATTTTGATTGTATACGTTTTGAAATTGTTATTTTTACGTTTTTCGTTAAAATTTGAAATGAAAATACTTATAAAAAAAATCTCTCTACATTATGCTCAACATTTAGATCACTATGTGAGACTTATGATAGTCCTCGAGTTAAATTTATAAACATTTCTACAAGGTGAAAATAATTTTATCCACATAGAATAAAGTAAAACTAAAAAAAATTCAAAATTATCAAATACCTATAAATAAGTGGAAAATCTATAATTAGGACAATATTAGTATATTAGTATATATATATGAAAATGTCAGAAACCAAATTATAATAAAAAAAGATGTCTTATGATAATGGGGACAGGTGCAGCCACTGCTATAGATAATTTAATGTATACCTAAAAACAACAATAAACTATTCCTTACGAAAAATCGACTCTGAGTGGAATTTAGTTGATATTGATGCTTTGTTAACAATATATTCACATATTGTCATTCCATAGTAAAATTATTAAATAGACTTTATATATTTTCTTTAATAATATTTGTTTAATGTTGTACCGATTTACCCAGTTTTCCTACGTTTTTCCCAGTTTTCCTAGGTTTTATCCCTGTTTTTCACATTTGTTAGGAAAACTCATGGAAAAATTGAAAAATTACTTCTTTAAAGTACCTGAAGCAAAATTTCTGGTAGAAAAGTTGTTTACAGAAAAAAATAAGGCGTGATATATTTTAAGTAATATCATATCTCTTATATTTTCCCGTTTTTTTTTCGATTTTCCAAATTTGATGAGAAAACTCCTGAGAAAATCAAAAAAATGACTTCTTTAAAGTACCTCCTCACGCCGATTTCCTTTCAGAAAAAGTGCTACACATAGAAACCCAAGCAAGTCTTCTGGTAGAAAAGTTGGTAAAAGATAAAAAAAAATAAACATCTTTGTAAAACCATAAGCTTCTTCGTCCCACTCAGAATGTAAAAAACACACTCGAAATTATGAAACGGTCGATTTCGTAAACTTTCCCGTTTTCCCTAAATTTTCACAAAGAAAATATTACAAAATTATCATTTATCCACCGATCAGACAATATTTTCTTTCAGAAAGGTATTACTCTTGAAATTTGGAACATGATTTCTGGTAAAAAAGTTGCTCATAAAAAAAAAAATAATAATAATAAAACATACTCTATTATTATAGCAAAACCAGTACATTACTGATCATTCTCAGAATCTAAAAATACAAATTAATATTGCTGTAAAACCTATATAGTTTTTTTTTTTAGAATCCAAAATACTCACGTGAACGTAATAAATTACAATATGTTGGCTTATATTTTTTTTTTTTAAACCATGGACGTTATTGAACACTGGAATTTACTACCTATTATATCGAGATACAAGGAATTGTATTTAGGAAAACATGTTTAGTGGCTACAGGTCGTTTTATACTACATAATATTTAGTATATTATATTATAGGAAACAAATTAATAACTTCATAGGACAATCGAAAGAAAAGGGCGGAAACCAATATAATAGTGAAAAATATTATTCAATCTGATATTAACGGTTGTAAACTGTGGATTTTATACAGGTTATATGTATGCTAAAAGTTAGTCTCCGGAGATCATGAATAATTATAAAAATAAAAAAAAATAAAAAAAATACGTGCTGCCGAGACCCAAGGCAATAAAACGAAACAAAAGAAGATGTTAGGGCGTAAAAAGATACTTTTTTAAATACTCAAGTATTTTTTTTCCTCCGTGGTCGGGAAACTTACATTCAAATTTACATACAATTAAAATAAATTATATTTTAATCCTAATATCGGTCACATCGTCGAATATTTTAACACTAATAATAATACCTACTGAACGTAATCATCAAGGTTAACATAAATCGTACGCCGCAGTATTAACGGTAGGTAACAATAATATTAATATACCTATAGGTATACTTACTTACCTATGTAGACTTTGTCGGTATAATATATACAAGAACACTGAAACCGTTAATGCTCAGTATGTATAATATCGTTTTGCCTAGGCAAAAAAAAACATCGGAAAATGTATCAAAGTGAAGGAAGTACCTATAATATAACACGAAAGAAGAAAAATAATACGGTTTGAAAATAAACACAATACTGAACTTTGAAAACGGTTTAAGTATAATATATATGTATAATATACATACAACAATTCCGAATGGACCAAGTCTATAGTTAAACAGAAACTAATTACGTTCTTATGGTTATGAATACGTACGTATTATGCCTGCGCGCATTCGCGTGGGATAGTGAAAAAACAACGTCGAAAAGAGACGTTACGGGGTAGTTTTGTATATTATAATGTAGGTACGAATATACGTATATTATACTCTGTTAAAAGGCCAAGAGGACGGAACGAGAAAATAATGTGAAATTACAAAGGTTCAGAAGAATGAAAAAAAAAGTTGGAGGGCACTCCGAAGAGATATTATGTATATTGTATATATAGCGACGCGTGGATAGAAAGATAGAAAGAAATAATAATAATTATTATGCGCGCGGAGGCTGGCAACCTCTAGGTTAATAATAAAGCCTCAAAAAGACACTCGAATAACATTTCATTTAACTGAATGCTCGGAAAATCTTTATTTTCTTGAAAGTTTTTTTTTGTAAAAAAAAAAAGTAAGTAGTGTTTTGATATAGGGAAACAATTCATATTGTTCTCAAAATTTTCTGTTATTTCAGTTCGTATAATTTACCGCGAAGTTTAGTAAGGGAATGTGTAATACTACACTCTTAAGTATATCGAAGACGAGAAACAAATAATAATAAGGTTTGGGGCTTACAGCACTTAAAATCAACAAAAATAAGCCCTTACGCTTTTACTTAAATTATTCAGCTTTTTGTTTAGTAATTTTTAAATGCTGAAATAATCACTTAAAACATATTTGAAAAGAAAAAACTATTAAAAAGGCATTATTTTTAAAAAAAACTATCAAAATAAACACTTGTAGATTATTTGTATTGCATCATGCTCAAAATAGGCAAACAAAAGCACTTTCAAATTTCATAATTTTACTTGTAGCGTGGTATCAATTTCCAAAACACTGACTAGATCAATTAATGTCAAGCCAAGAAAATAAGCGAATGGTATAAACTCTGAATTAATAACTCTCATTAAAAATCGTACAGTGCATAAAATAAAATTTAATTAAAACGCAGGAAACAATTAATATGGTTTACGATATCGTTTTACATTTACGGTGTTTTATCCGTGTCGATTACTTTGTCGATATAACTTTTAGGTAAGTATTGTTTTTGAAAATAATAATAATTATTGTTTATCCATTATTATTTTTTTTGACTATTGTGTTAGTTGTTCGTGATGCGATTAACTTTCGTGAAGAAGTAAGATATATTTACAATATTCCCGTCAACAATAATTATAATTCACCGTCATTGTCGATTTATTCTGATGTTATCAAAACTTTCAGACACGGACCACCCAGAAAACATTAGATTTTTTGATTTTTTTTTTTTAAATTTTCCGTTCACAAAACAATTTTCTATCGGATCATATTTTCATAGATTTTACAATAAAGTATTTAATATTCCTTTCCATTCGTATTATTAAATTGAATCGAGAACAGCGTTTTTTCAGGCCAAAAATCCAGTTAAAACGAAAATGTTTTAAATGCGCATGATATGATTTGATAATATCAAATGAAAATCTGAATTGCATTTAAAAGATTTCGTTTACAATTATTCGAGTCGAATTAATTTAATTTCGCTTTACTTCTTTTGGTAATTTTTCTTCTTTCCACTACTATAGTATTGATCCTGTTTTAGAATCTCCAAATTTAAACCACTCATAATAAATTGTGTAGTAATGGTTAAACTATACAATAATATTGTTGAAATCTAGGAAGGTTTGAAATTTAAAATGGACGTTTTTAATGGCAAACACGAATGCACATTGGCGGAGTATTATGTATAATTATAGATAAGCATATGAATACGGTTGTGACGAATAATGACGAAAAGCTTGACAAATACATATTATATGTATTTTTAATCATTGCCTTTATATTATTTTGGCCAATTTGAAATTTTCACCCAAATAATATAATATAATATGTTAGGTTTTTTGATCATTACCATTTGCCCACGTCATGAATATCTGTGCGAAAGAGTATGGTATTGTATAGATGAATTGAATTATATAGACAATGCTGTACGCGTAAAATGTCACGGAAAGTAAACCGCTTGGCGGAAATGAGTGGAGTGGAGGGTAAGTAGGGGACCGGATAATCGAGTTTAGTACTTATAGTTGGCGTATAATGGACCGATAAAGGTCCGAAAAGAACTGGACGTAGAACGGTATCGCGTGTCGTAAGTTTATATTGTATACGAGAATAAAAAGGATAATAATAAAGGGAAATAGTTCGCGGAATGCCGTCGACGACCTCGTGACCTAACCGCGACAATGGCGAAAGTATTGTTGTTATCGACCCCTTCTGTAAGCCAACCTGATAAAATTTTGAACTTAAAATTACAAAAAAAAAAATCGAAAATAATTTATATGTCTGTACGATGAATGCGATAAAACGTCATAAAAATATTTGTCTACAATATATAATGTTTATCGCATAGATGCATAAACAACTATCTAGTCGACTTGGTATTATTGATGCCAACAAAATGTCTGACTTTTTATATTAAAGAGGTCCACGTGTTTACATTTTGCTTATTGTTAATAACTGAGTTAAATCAAACTTATGATTGAATAATTAACGTTTATTTTTTTAACCTAATTAGTTTTAAACGAATTAAATAACACAAAATTACAAGCTAAATTGAATTATAATGTTGAATTATTGAGTAAACTATAAGAAAATAAATAATAACAACTTACAGAAATGTTTAGTAATGAGTTTTCATGCGCGATATCGATATTCTATGATATAGAGTATGATATAAAACAATAATAATTATGGTATAAAGTCTATATCTTTGTTGGCGACACGTTTTATTACTTATAGCTCTATTCATTGTACATGATCTAAGATTTTAATATATGATGTGAGGTTTTGTTCGTGTATCTAAACGACTAGAGACTCTAAACTTTTAGAGCAACTTTTTAGTAAAATTTTTGATCTGGTTGGTGGATTTAGAAGGTAATTTTTCCTACTATATAGTATCAGACTATTTTTATTAGATACATTTTTTGTTAAAATCGTGTCAATTTCTTTTGAGTGTATCGCCGAACAAACTGTATAATAATTGTATAACACACTGTGTGTTACTTTTATAAACGGTGCTCGGTTTGGTTGTATATATATATATACTAGCAATCGTTTAGATTTACGCAAGCGACAATAAAAATAGGATTTACAAAAACATGTATACAATATATTTTTACTAGGGTTTTCTCTGTTTATTTTTTCAACTTATTTTGGTTTTAATGTCGGTTACAGTGTCGAGCAATAAACTTTATATATAACCGGGTTCATAATAATCCCTTTTATTAATTTGCTACACGATCATAAAAAAACCACGGAGGGGGTAGTTTTAATTTGAAAACGACGATCCACGCACCGTCGTCATCGTCGTCCATAAAACCAGAATCAAATCGGCCAACCAATAAAATGCGTATCGATTGAAACGTTAATTGATAATAATAATAGGTAGGTACTATTATGTCGTTAAACCGTTCCGAATTGTATCAGCTGCAGTTATTCGTTGAGCATTCATTTTGTGTTCAAATATAAACTAGCAAACAATTTATAAACACGTTTCTCATCAACACGGATTAATATCTGGGGGGTGTATTATTATTTAAAAAAAAAATTATAATAAGAAAAATCCTAGGAATTTAGGAAAATGGAGACGGGTGCAGCTACTGTTATAGATAATTTAATGTATATCTGTAAGCAACGATAAATTATTGTTTACGAAAAAACGATTCTGAGGCGTAGTTCAGTTAGATAGTGATGTTTTGTCAATAATACAATGTATGGTATATGCTATATTATGGTAAAATGATTACAACATTGTGTGTTTCCATGACAAAAATGATTGTTTAAAAAAGATTAAAATAATAAAAACTTTATAATAATAAAAAATAAATAAAAACAGTTGCCAATGACAATCTTAATTTTAATCTTTCTATATTTTTTAACCTGAAGATCGAAGTTTTCCTCATTATCTCGAATATTGATGAGAATTTCAAAGATTTCAAATATCACCCAGAGAATATTTCCTTTCAGAAAAAATGCTATACTTGATAATCGGAGTATGCTTTTTGGTAGAAAATGTGTTCACAAAAAAAAAAAAAAAAAAAAAAAAAAAATAAACATCATTGTAAAACCAATATATTTTTTGTTACACTCACAACCTAAAAGAGTAAAGACGAACATAGTTCGCACGATGGGCGGTCACTCTTGTAGGTGAGAAATTTCGAAAGTAGTGGGAAAATTTAATGTATGCAGCGATTAACCATTGCTAACGAAAATCGATTTAAAGCGGAAATAGGTTTATAATGTTGCTTTTAAACCTTGATATTAAAATTCTACATTACTCATTTTTTTTACCACAAAGTACGACTTTTAATGAACTTCCTGTTAAATTGTTTAGCATTTCTGTTAGGTTATTTTATAGTAAAATAATTAAACACGATTTAAATATTTTCTTCAATAATATTCGTTTAATGCTGTACCAATTTTCCCAATTTTCCTACGTCTTTCCCGGTTTTTCATATTTGCTTGGAAAACTCTTGAGAATATCGAAAAATGACCTCTTTAAAGTACTTCCCCACACCGATTTACTTTCAGAGAAGGTGTTACACTTAGAAATCTGAGCAAGTATTTCGATAAAAATATTGTTAACAGAACAAAAAAAAATAATAAACATCTTTGTAAAACCATAAGCTTCTTTGCTCCACTCGGAGTCTAAAATGAAAGACACTACATATTTAAAATTCGTTACTCGATACTCGATTTTCGATATATTAGTATAAAATTGAAAGCAAAATGTACACCTTCTTTCTCTTCGTCTTCTAACTCTTTAGGTCGGTTACCTATGTCTTAAACTTTTACTTGACCTGATCTACATCATCCTCATATACGCCAATGACCAGTCATCCTTGTATCATTCTCAATCGCGTCCATCGACCTCTTTTTCGGTTTTTATTTTCCGTATTATTTCTCATCATAGGTTTATTTTCATTATCTATTTCTAGTGATTTCATCACTATTTCCGAGTACTCTCTCCTCATAACATGCTCAAATCATCTCAGTATATTCACTCTCATTTTGTCCAGTATCGAAGCCACGCTAAAAAAACAAATTAGATATTACAAAAAGATATTATTAAATCAAAAATACTAACTTATTGAATTTAATCTATGTAATCACAACATAGTTATCATGTTATTGTTTATTATTTGTACAAGACAAAATATCGACATTAGTTTAAAAAATAACCTGGATTTCGATATTTGATACTTTATGTGTTGAAAGTAAGATTAGCCGGAATATATTTTCTAGGTGGATTAATATTTGGTGATTTTCGACATTTTTTATTTTATAAATAGGTTAGGTTAGGTTATTAGCTAATTATTTCTACAAGTCTATAAATATTATGTAACTTTATATCCCTTATTTTATCATTTAGCTAATAAGTTTAATTTAAAAAATACCATAAAATACATAATTAATTAAATGTTTAAATAAAAATGCTTTTTAATAACCATAATAATGACATTTGTGAATTATTTATTTTAGAATGTTAATATATTACATTAGTACAATATTCAAAACAATCCAAATATTCAATATATAGATGCAATATTGCAATAATTAAAATACAATCAATATAGGTAGTTAAAGGTGGTATAGGTTAGGTTAGGTTAGGTATTAATGCTGGTAACAAATATATGATTAATTTTTTGAAAGATTTTCTAAATGCAATGAAAGATAAAATGAAAGAGTTATTGTAGGTACTTGAAAATCATTTAATATAAAACAATTTTTTTTTATTTTTCTGCTTTATAGAAAATCTATAAACAAATTCATTCAAGATTTAAATTTTTGGCAATATTTTTCTCTTTAAAATAGATGACAAACTGACTAGTTTTTTGACAGACGATTTATCATAAAATTCTTTAATCTTCTTAGACGAGATATGTGTCTTCATATGCACTGGACATCGGTATGGTTATTGATATGATGAATAATTTATAAGTTTTATTAAATATAATTTTATATTTTTCAAGAAGATCAAAATAATTCACTATACTTTTTATTTTTATATTATTTTTGGTTTCATATTTTTTTTTTATAGTTGCAAAATGTTTATAGTGGCAAAATGTTCAGTTCTGACAGAAACATTTCTAATTCTTAAAGACCGTATAAATTAATCACCGCTGTGGAGCCATTAGATAATATAGACTCCTCTAACATAACTATTAACTAATGGAAATAAGAAAATAAATAAATTAAATACAATTTTCGAATTATAATCAGGATTTAAATCAATAATACAAATATAGTTTACTATTATAAGAAATTCAAACGTTATGACTTTATGAGCAATTTAGTGGTTAATATCATAAGGTATTTAAATGTTTATACAATTTGTCCATTAGCATTTAAACGTTTTAAACGTTATTCGACTTGAGTGGTTTAAATGTTTTTATTTTTTTTTTTTTAACTAGCTTTAAATGTCATACACAATTAAACGTTTATAATTTTATGGCTATTTACTATTTGTATTTAAACACTCATTTCATATTCTTTTAGATGAAGCTAGTCAATTTTCTTGGTAACAAGATACTGTTTAATTTAAACTTTAAATTATACATAGTATTGAGTAATATTCATAACACAATTTTCGAACAACTAGAATCGAGTCTACACACGCGTAACGAACACAGGTTAAAATCCAGACAAATAAAATATAACTCTTGTAAATAACGAAACATGGAAATATTAAATTAAAATCTACAAACAAAAATGACTAATATACTCTGTGATAGTATGATAGTAAAAACCACACAAACGTGTGAATATTTGTCGATTAACTGTAATTATAGTTGTAATGAGTTGTTTTATTCCGAATATTGATACTAAAACTAAATTTAAAACATAAAAGTGAATATTTTTCTGACTTTAAAAAAAAAAATTATTAATGTTATCCTTTGCTGTCGAATAAAAATTAAAAGCTAAAACGAAATTTTTATTGTCTGTTATAGTGTTATATTCGTTTATCGTTTGTTATGTTATCAATTATAAGTTTTAATCGTTTATCGTTGGTAAACTACTACTACTACTACTACTACTATACTAACGTTTTAAAAACGTTTTGAATTAATAATACAAAACAAAATCAAGTATCGATAAACTATTTTTAGATCTTAGGGGTTCAATAATTCCGGGGCTTATGATGTCATGGTTTTTGTATGATAATTTTTATACAGCCCTCTAAAATATTCTCAGTTTTAAATTTTGTTACTTGCGTTTAAATTTAAATTTCAATTTAAAAGCCGAAATTTGCGTTTTATGTATAAGAAAAAAACTTTGTAGACAGATAGATTAATGTATCTGGTCTCTTACGTATACGGTGTAGTTTTGAACGTTCAGATATTTTGCTTTAACACCATTATCAGTAATCGGTATGTAGATAGTATTTTACATAATGTCAATATCAACGTATAATAAATACTCAAATAGTTTACCTACAATAATATATTTAGTACTCGATTTATAGAATTATGTAAACCTACCAAACCTACTATACTATATAATATAATATATTATACGCAATAATAATATGCAAAGCCAAGAGTATCAATAAGATGAAAATAATATTATTCTACTTATATTATAGATTTATTATATTATAAATAAATAAATAATATTAAATGTATGATAAATCCGTATTATCGTATAATGGTTTACTGATGGCTTTTCGTTGTTATTTTAAACCGTATTTATTTATATGTTTATAAGCCTATAAACACGTTTGTCGGACGGAGAGTGAGAGAGAGATAGAGAGAAGAGGGGAAAAAAAACGTTCGTGGCGTTTCGACATTTTTCGACCCTAATATATATATACCTTTATAATATAGTGTATCGCCTATTCGTCTCGTGCAGGGCACCATATGCAAATGAAAACGCATATTATGGAAAATTAGGTCACTACGTTTGTCGGATCGTCTGGAAACGGCGGGAAACATATTATACGAAACGCCGATAGAATTATATTATTATGCGCTGCAATATCGTATAAATCATTAAACGTATTGCAAATATGTCGTTTAAATTTCCCATTCTATACGTTCAAACAACGGCAGTGTCGTAAATGTAGGAATTATATTTTCGACTATGAAAATACGAATAGCTAAGCTACTTCTAAAAATGTGTTAGTGTGGTTATAATTATCAGTAAATCTGGGCAATTAAATCGATTTTTAAAAAAAAAAATCTAAATAAAGTTATCTTAAAAAACAAAAAAAAATAATTAGTATACTAAGTTAGAGTTGATTTTAAAATAGTGTTATAATATAAGTTTAGTTACTAATTTTCAGACAAATAATAACAAAAGTTAAAAGTAACTTTTATCAAATTAACTTTAAGGTTAGGTTGCGAGTGATCTGTTTTTTCGGACCACTAAATATGTGGTTCGATTTCGGTCATTAATACATATTTTTTTTTAGAAAAATAAAGAACCCTTACCCTTAATGTTTTAATAACATTTTTAATACTCTTATTCGTTATTAAATGATATTATGGTATTCGATTGAGTCTTTTATCGATCTCTGTATAGTATAATAATACTATATTTTATAGTTTTATGCCGTGAAATAATAAATATTACATAATATATAGTAGGCGGTTTCTTTGGACGAAAATAATTATTATTTATTGTTATGTTCAAATGTAATATAAACGCGTATCGATTCGATTCTTTTAGTACGTGGGCACCTCTGATGGTGATGCTGAACACTCTGTACAGTAATAACATTCGTTTTTCGCGACCAAAACCGATTCTGAAATCTCGTTAGTTATAATATCGTGCTACAGTGTCTCATAATAATATATACGAGTTTGTGATATGATTACGAAAACATAAAAGGAAGATTCACAGCTCTCTGAAAAGTAATCTGATCGATAATAGGTAACTTTTTATGAAGACTATATATGTTAAACTATTGCTTACGAAAAACGATGAAGACGAAGTTCGGTTACACAGGCTTTGAAAGGTCGTATTTACTTATTTACGATTTTCGTCAAAATGTGATATTAAAAATCATATTAAAAAAAAAACGTCCGATGATTTTGGAAAGTTTACCACGTCTAGGTAAGTCCGATATAAGTATAATTACCAAGTTTAAAGTCTCTAAGTGTATTTATAACCAAATTACAGCAAACTCGTAATTTTTCGATTTAAATCATTTTTTCTGGTAGAAAACGTCATCCGTGTTTTTATAAAATAATTAAATCGTGAAATTGTACTTTTTCCTATGTCTTTTCTCACTTAAGTGTTTTTTTTTTTTTTAAAAATTGCGTCAAAAATCAAAATATGAAATTTTTAAAATACTATCCAGTACAATTTAAGCTTTCAGAAAAGTTGCTACACGTAGACATTGGAGCAAGTTTACAATGAAAAAACGTGTCCACAGGAAGAAAGAAAGAAGAAAAAAATAAAATAAAATAATAAAATACATATTGTAAAACCAATACATCCTATACGCTCTGAATCTAAAATATGTTTTTAGATTCTGAACGTTACAAGGAATTTATTAGTTTTTTTATATTTGATGATGTATGCTTTTTTTTTTTGTGGTCGTAAGTATAAGTTTCCGTTTGCTTTAATCATCTGCAGCGACACCGTAGGTAGTAGCACCGATAGCAAATTTAGTTTAGTCGATACACGGAGGAGGTCATTTTTCGTTGAATTGGTGTATTTCTTGTATTATTTTCTTACGGAGGAAAACCGAAAAAAAACCCTGTATACGAACAATAACAAAAACACTAATAATAATAATGTTCGGGCGGTCGGTCGGCCGAGTACCGTCACGCACAGATGGCGTGCCGGAAACCCATATATGAGACCTATGAAAAGCGCGCGAGCGTGTGTTGTGTATAATAATGTATAATAACAACATATATAGTGGGACGAGGATTTATATTTTATACCGGCAAATAATGTATGATATATATTATATAGTGTGTGCTGTGTGTGCGTGGACAAGAGAAAAATAACACAGTGTATACACGACAGGCCCTGGGTCGGGGTTTGAATAATGGCGGGCGTGCATAATCGGTATAATATTATAAGAGTTATCGCTTCATTACTGCCGCCGGCCACGCCATGTGCCCCTCGAATTTCATTTCGATATCAACCCCGGCACGACGTTCGTACCTACCTACCTACCTATACAGGATTATCCTTTCATCGAGAACCGTATAATATAAGCGATACACAAAGATTTCGAGTAAATTCTATTTTGGAGTTTTCAGACATTACAATAGCGACACATAGCACACATAATAGAATCGTTTATTGATACGAATTTATTCGCATCGTTTTCGTAAATTATACTCATATTACCTACGTATTATACAATATATTATCATAAATACATTAATTAAAAGGTGTCATGCTACCATTATTGAATATGAGCAATTTTAGTGAAAAAACACATAATTGGTGACTCAAAAATGTTTAAATATGCTTTCATGTAAATTTAAAACCGGTCCCTACGTGGATCCTTATGAAAAGTATTGATTATGTTTTTATATACATTTGTTCAAAAACATGTTCACTTAAAACGAAAAAAATACTATCCAAAAAGATTTAAGATTATATTATTTTTTACTCTTTATGAAAACTAAAGAAAACATAATTACATAATATAATGTATGGCATATTTATTTTTAATTAGCTTAAATGCAACAGTAGATATTCAAAATTAAATAGCCGCCTTTATTGTGCGTAACTGTGTATAAATTAATATTTTACTATACATAGATATGTATGATTATGCCACTTGTGTGGCAAAATAAAGTTATGTTCTTTGAATTTCAGCATAGACTGTTTTATGCGAACTAGTTCTTAGTTCAAAATAAAACGGTTTTTCGGAAAGATCTAATGTTTAATATTGTTCACATTGGCGTCTACTTTACTAATAATTTTAAAATATAACCTAGTATTTTAAAGTCAAATACGATGAGAGCATATTTTTACAAATATTTGAATATGTGCCTAAAAATATTAGCTGATTTTGGATAAAATACGTTTATGAGTTTACCAGTTTGAATAGTGGAAGAGTAGGGAAGGATAATTAATTTCGTATTAGTATTTAGATAGTTGCCCCCCTCCTCTGGTATCTCAGTTGAATTATGCTTTGGTTTTTTTTTGTGATCGAGAGCGAAATAAGTAAAAACGAAGAATCTCTATTGAAGATCGTCACAAAACTGTTTTTAGTAGATTCAGTTTGATTAAGTGATATAAATAAAACAAAAAAAAAACCTTTTGTCAATCACCCTGTCCAACTGGACGTAAACGTTAAACAAATAAGCGTCGATCAATTTTCCATTAAATGCGTAAACGAGTATTATCGCGAGAACAACGTATGTAAAAAAAAAAAAACCTCGCACATTACAAGCGTATTATGTGCATAACTGCGTTAATTGTTATTACGGTGACAATAGGTTCATTGATCCGACGTGCGCACCTTTTATAGGCTACTAAATCCGATTATAACATGAAAATGACAATAATAATATTTTGCACATTATATTGAAATAATGAAGATAATAGACTTTTTTTTTCATATCCATGACCATTTTTTCGGTCAATACAAATATAGGTACTCCAAAAATATCAAAACTAAATTACCATATGCCTCGAAAGATGCAGATTTTCCACCTTGTGTTGTATGTGTGGCTTTATTTCAATAACTATGGTTTGAATAGTGTCTTACAATCTAAGTAAAAAAGTGGCCAAATTGGTTTATCACTATGGAATGGACCGCTATTATTTGTATTCTTGCACTCATTGGCTATATGACTCACAAATTTACTATACTGTAATACATTAAAATACAATTTACTTGTTTAGTGTTATCCTTATAATATTATTATGTAAATGTTACAACATTTTTATGACTCATTTCGTTATTTGTTGGGAAACAACTTTTATTTATTAATGATAATAATAGATAGTGATGTACACTTAAAATTAAATCGAAGAAGCAAAATGAATGGTTACTATAAAACCCATCCCTAAATTGCTCAAAATCACACCAAATTTATATTAGCTTAAATATATTCTTTAATATTATTATTAATTTATACACTTGATTTTTTTATAATTTCGAATATGATAAATAATTTTAGGCGAATATCATCACTCACCTAAAATGTTGGTGTATCAATTGCTATCCCAGAATTCTCAAGTATGCGCCACTGATAATAGGTATTTTACGAAATGGCGGCTCGGGAAAAGATATCAGTTCAACAAATCAGAATGTATTATGCGATTGGCGATGTTCATAATAAACATCGGCTCTCTAGTCATCATACATTTCATAGCAGTGATTAATATTACCAATGATTTTTCCTGATTAAATTATGTATTTTGAAGTTCATTTTAATTATACCTGTCTATGTAGATTGTATAAATTAGAAAACCGATTTAAATTTTTTAAAAGAGAAGACAAAAAACTATTAAAAATAAAGTACAAAACCTAAAACCATTATAGTATTTAAAAGAATCAATTGATAAAGGTGTTATCTAATATTTTTAAAATTGTTCAGAAAGATGATTTGACAAAAAATTAACATATTTTGAATAATATAGGAGTAAAAAAGAAGAAAAAAAGATAGTTGTACTTGACGTAGTATATTCTATTCATCCTGTGATTACGGTGAGAAAGAAAACACCTCCAAAACGATCTACCACGAATACTATTATCGGTGGATAACAAAAAAAAAAAATAAAAAAATGTTAACGGATTTCCGCGTACGACGCACGATGCTTTCTCTTCTACCATTCCACCATACCGAGACCGGGTTCCGTCCGATCCCGCCGGACGCTTCCAAAATGCCGACGGGAAGGACATCCGTCCGGAACGGGTGCGGGTCGGGTGTATTTGCTTGGTTTTCGTTTCGGAGATTGTAGGTACAAACGAAATCCGGCAAAAAGTGTGCCTTTCTCTGTCGGTATGACAATATATACAAACACTAGCTATATATACTTTCGCTACTCCAAAATTATATCCCTACACCTTCCATTTTTCTTCATTATCCTCCTTCCCATTCCCATAATCGTTCTCTGTATACATTAAATTAAGGCTGCAGGATGTAATGAATACCGTTTTTTTTTCTTTTAGTTCGGTTTATTCTTGTATTTAGGATGCATAAAAGTCTGGCGGCTTTTTAAATTTAGGGTTTTTCGTATAAATTAATCGTTTGAAAAAAAAAAGGTCAAAATGGAAAATTATCAAATTTCATGTGAAATTAACCTCAGCCTAAAACGATAGGCCGTATAAAACGAGAGAGGAAATGAATGGTGCCCTAAAATGTACAACAAAATTGTCTGGTCAACAATAATTGTTTAATCTACGTTATTTTTCCTAACTTAACCAGAAGGTTTAACATATAACCTAATTTGACATTCTGTTGTTTTATAATTTTAAAATGTAGGTAAATTAACTATGTACCTAATATGTTTCGTTGTATTTTTCCAATAGGAGCATTACTCACATTACTCGTTTGTCAATACAGTGGTTATCTGAAAATCGGCTTTCATTATCCAGATGCAAATTTCATCCGGTATATTTAGAAAAAAAAAATATAATATTAATTTTGAACACATGTTAAATATAAATTATATGAACTTTGTGGTGGAGGGTGGTGGGTTATGTGTCATCGAATTGAAAAAGGTTGACGTCTACAGAGATATTATTATTACCAGATGAAAAATCATATCTATGCATACGTTAACACTCGTGATGTTTTGAAAACGCCGCAAACAAAATCCGTAAATGTCATTAATTAGGTACGAGGGGGGGGGGACTTTGAAAATAATAATAATGTAGTTATAATGATATAGGTATGAAAATTATTATTACAGTTATATTTACGGTGCGGTGCCGGTGCCGCCATTAAATTGCGAATACCGATGAGAAAATTAGTCATTTCATAATTATTATCGCGGTGGTGGTGGCGGCGAAGAAATTCCTTTGAGCGCACTTTTTGATTGCGCTCAGTTTCGTGGAAATATTTTCGATAGTAATAATAATGATAATAAAAACAATAATAACAACTCTAATAAAAACTGTGTGTACGGCATTGTTGTTGTGCGAATGCCCCTGGGTTTCACGCTTCGGAACCGAGTCAAAGAGCTCACGAAGTTTATACGGGTGATGTTGACAATGTTGACACGCGGTCGGCGAAAATAAATACTAAACTACCTCACGGATTCGATATAGCGTATTTTTCTTTCACGTTAATTTTTATATTTCATATACTTTTTCTTCCTCAATGGTGTTTTACAATCTCGTATTTCATGATGCGTTGTACTCGCGGAAGCTCTTCGGTTCCGAGGCTTAAGCTAGTTTTCCACTGCGAAATGTACGTACGAAAATGTCTCTACATTCAGTTACTATAGATAATGAAATGTATCAATATTCGGAGTTACTACCGGTGATCGTCACCATCCGTGCATGTAGACATTACAGTTGAATCCTACTTAGTGATGGCAAGATACTTCAAAATTAGTACCTTGATACTTAATTCTGTTAGATACATTTATTTTCATTATCTATATACAAATACAAGATAATACTTATGCAATTTATTTGAAACATTTTTAAAAAATGTCTAACTATTCCGGTCATTAACGTACAAACACCTTACATTTTTAGTGTATTCTTGGAAAAGTTAAAAGAAGAAATCATCCATTTGACCCCTCCCTATGGGCACTTATGAGTATCTAGATACTTGATACTTCCCGAAACTGTATCATGATTAAAGATAAAATTGTATCTAAGATACGTATTTAAGATATTTGTATTGAAGATACTTCTGATCCGTATTTCCAATCCGTATAATTTAGTAAAAACGGTATAGTCATCTGGTAAAACGACTAAATATTTCGGTTCGTCAATAGGTTGTATGTAGGTCATAATAGGTTAGATTAGGGTAATTAATAAGTGGGCGCAGTAGACTATCCACATAAACGAGATAAAAATATTATGATGGATATCTCGATATCAGGTATCAAAAGGATGGATAGGAAAAAAAACGAATATATAAGAGAGTTCTTAGATCATATCCATAACTGAGAAAATAACGAAAGCTAGATTAAGATGTAGTGGCGCAATTAAGAGAGCTAGGAGGGCTTAGCTCCCCTGGATTGTCTGACGCTTCCTCCACATTTATTCAATATTATAGTGGAGCTCAAGTCCCTCTCCCGAGGTTGATGAGCTAATTGCGCCAATGTTAAGATGGTTTGAACACGTATCTAGAAGACAGGATAAACACATAGTCAACAGAATGTGAGAATGGCAGGCTAAGGCGAAGAGGGGCTGTGGAAGTCCAAAGAAAAGATGAATGGACTGTGTGCACGGAAAACGTAGATATCACTGCACAGGATGCGATGAATCGATTAGTGCCTGGAACCAATATCAGTGGACCCCATAAAGACGGGAAAGCGCCACTGAGAAAGAAGAAGAAGTAGTTGTCGCACTGTCCGTATCAATATTACCTAGCCAATCATAGTGCAGAATTGTGAGTGCACATACTCGTTATAGTAGCGGAAACCCAACTTTAGTAATTTTTCTCGATTTTCGAAACTATACGTATCCGTAGTCCGTACGTCACATCTCACGTGAGAAATTGGCGGCGGATGGTGGTAATGAGCTGTGTGCAGAATAGAAGGTGACGGCGTGGTGGTTACGGAGGCGACGGCGGGCGTGCGCTAATTATTATTGATTACGCGGACTGGCGGTCGGTCACCGTACAATCAAAAAGGTTACTATGCAATATAATATGTTGTTCCGATGATAAATAGACGGTACACGGCCTTTCGGGACCTAATAATAATATAACGCCCGCGCATGGCATTTTATTATGTTTAAAACCCGACCCGAAATCCTCCGAAAGTATCTGATCGTTTATAACCATATAATATATATGATATATTATACATGTGTATATAGACTACTGCGCTGTAGTTTTTGGAACTGAAATGTAGATACCTATTTCAGTGTTTTATACAATATTTCGTCGATTTGTGCGAAAAAAACCCGCGAGTTTGCGATTTTTCCGTTCAAATTATTATGATAATAATATTATCACTGCAAGACCTTTGTTATTTGATATAATAATAATAGTAATATTCAACAACAATATAGGTATGCGAATTCGACGTGATTTATGATAGTAAAAAGGGAAAAATATGATTTACGAATTTTCATATAACGTTAGGTAGGTATAAAACTATACGCGGTCCGAACACTATATATACGGTGGGTATAATAATAAATCGGTTTGCCATAATTTTTCCCGAAGGAATTCTACGTTAAATAATATTGTATTATATTTTGTTCTTATTAAATTGGAGGCAAACTCTAAATACTATTCTTAATATGTGTAATATGTTACGTTCGGATCATTTTAGATTTTGAGTTCAACAAAAAACCTATTCGTTTTACTAAGACGTTTCTCGGATAACACTTTTTCTGATAATGAAATGCTCCGATATTTTCATGTCTTACTTTTAAGATTTAAGATTTTCTAGTCGGTGGCACTTCATTGCTTAAAACATTTGTTTGTAATTCTCAACTGTTCTCTACCTAAATTTTTTGATTTGTAAAAATGCTCCAAATTATTCAATTAATATTTAAAAAAATGCAGATATTATGCCCGTAAGTGATACTTTAAACCCCGCTTACATCATTTTTTGATTAAAATGATTTATCATTGCTTTCAGTTTATAAACTAAATCATCCTGTATCCTATGTCTTCCCATTATGCCATCTTGATAACAGTGGCTCTTTCATGAACAACATAATTAGCTCTCGACATTTCACACGAATAATACAATTGATATTTTAATTTAAAATTAAATTCGAACAATGTGCATTACGGGTATGACCGGTTTTACTTTAATTTGATACGAAATTTTATGGCTGTATCCGAGTTGGGTTCTGGGCCTTTTAGTTTTGATAAGTAGTTCACTTGTTGGGTCCCAATGAATATCGGGTAGTATTTTAGTTAGGTCCTGGCTTTCTATAGGTAATATACTAGATAGGTCTGAACGTTTAAAAGTAATACAAAACATTTTCCTTTTTGTTTTTACAGACTTAAAACTTAGGATCTATTTTGTCAGTGTTTTTTCTGTTTTTACTTTATACATTTTTCTTTTTGTAAAATATAGTCTCTTGGTTTTTTTCTGAACTTTTAATTTTAATATAAGTATCCATTTGATAAGTTTTTAAAACTTCTACAAACTGGTAAATATTAGAATGAATATTATTTTTTATTTTTCTTAACTTCCAAACTATTATAATTATTATTAATATTACCAAACTACATAGTATACTACCTGCATAAACCCGAGACTAACTAATGTAGAATTTTAATCGTGGGACTCAACTCGGATGCGCCGGCATCAATGGCGCACCTTTCGTTTACCTTTTGTAGCATATTAACATAATATGTAATAATAGAAATTAGGAGTTTTAGGAGTTAAGAGTACCTAAAAGCTCAAATTGTATATTAACTTTAAGTTTAAACCCAACCACTATCGATAAATGTTTTATTGTAAACATATAGTATTAATTAATTTGATTGTATAGTTAAACTCTGTATAGTTGTTGATAAACGATAAGTGTACGATAACTTATTTTTCTTAATATTCATCTATGATGGTACCAGCTGGGGCCATCATCACTGATAACGACTACATCTAGTCCACCACATCTCACCAACCGATTCATGAACAAGGATTAGTGATAAACCCATTTTTGATGCTACTGGTGCTACAGATGAATTACGGAACATAAGGAAATTTGCGTAAACGATGATCGCTACCTGTTTACCATTTGGCCTGAAAATTTCCACGATCTCGACCTGAACAACTCGAAATACCGCAACACTCATGGTTTCTTCGTAAATTTTCAGTCTGTTACTATACCATCATTCTTTTGTAACTATTCGGCGTTCCCCCGGGGTTTTCACGTGTCCGTTGTTTCCTGCCGCATTGTTGTTTTCGGGGTGTGTGTGTGTGCGTACAGATGGGGGGGTCTGAGTACGAGGAGGGCGATGGTAAAAGCCGCAATATTTTGATTCCGTGGTTCAACTTTATAATGAGAAAACTTGAATCCGCGAGATAAGAATCTGCGGTGCGTATATATACGAAACAATGCGCACGGTGGCGGCGGTGGTCCGATAATTTTCGCCCACGAACATTTTCGGCCGCATTGATCCGAAAGATTTATCGACTTGTGCAAACAACGATCGGTTCAACGTCGATGTATTTATAGCAGCTGCAGTGTTTGCCCATTGTTGTAGGTAATGAATTGCGGCGGCGGTGGTGATAAACGCGTAATGATCGCCAGAGTTTCAGGTATACACCACCGGGGCGCCGGATACCCGAATAATAATTATCGCTGTATGAGCGAATGCCCGAAATCAGACACATGTCATCATTCCGATAAAAGCAAAAATTATAAAAAAAACCAATACAATGAAAAAAAAAGGCTGATACTGCTGATGATTGGTATGCTACTGTTTTATGATGGAATTTGGAGGGGGGTGATAATATGGATGTACAAATAGTGGCCCTGCAGAGTTCTATGGAATGTGCAATAATTTTGTGCTCTGCTCAACAGTTTATATAAGCTTTTCGATGATTTCATTGTGATTTGTCTATTTATTTTCCTTATTTTATTTTTCGTTATATAAAAAATCATATTTATTTTTTCTTACGATTTTATACATTTTATTTTAAAATAAATAATGGCGTTATAAATGCTTATTGATGATGAGTCATTAGTTTGTTACAATATTTTAAAGTTTCTGATTAAAAATGGTTCTCATTGTTACTATGAAGCATAATTTTATAAATGATTTTTGTTAACATCAACAAATCTTAGAAAATTAACAAATTGCCATTAGTAAACATTTCGTGAAAGAAAAAAATTTAAATTTAAATTTAAAAGAAATGTATAAAATAACCGTGTTAGATGTATATTTTGATTTGATTTATTTTATTATTAAATTTATCGATAAATGATTTGTTAGGTTAGACCGGCGCACATTCCATGATCCTGTACGTAACGATATAATAAAGATATGGAACGCATGCACTATAATATAGGGCAAGTTTACAGTTGCCACGAAAATATATATACTGCAACATCATGTTGACCGTTTCGGAATAAGCGCCTGGTCAGCGACCGATAACCGATAACCCGGTCGTAGGTATTGTTTTCAGTGTGCTATTCTAGGGAAAATTATATGCGTCTGCCGCAGTATAGTAAAAGACACTCTGCAAAATACTCTGAATGGAATTATTCGTACAATAATATACCGTAAGCCGATAAAATCTGTAGAGATGAAGAAAAAAACGAAATCGGCGTGACCTTTATCGTATAATGCGGTTTTACTGCTGCAGTTTTATCGCTAAAACAAAAAAAAAACCCGTTTCTACAATTTATAACGGACTTTATTATTATTGTTATTGGGCAACTGTTTAAGATTTCGGTAAAAATGTAATAATATAATAAGGATCACTCCAACGTATGTGAGGGTTCAATTTGAATGTTCGAGACAAAAATAATACTATAAATAATATGTCAAAAACCGTATTTTCAGTGATAACATTTTTTTCCTGCCGTTTACGCGAACCAATACGAAATTTAGGGTTTATATTTTTTATTCCACTATCAAACCATAAAACATACACTGTTTATCTAAATCGATACTTTACTGTCCCTAGAAAATATTAACAGTATTATTTTTGTACTCTGGAAGTGTACGTTTTTGTTTAAAAAATGCCCACAGAGATATAGTTAAATAGATACTGAAACAACCAGTTATAATATTTTTATTTTAAAATGTATTCATTTTTCATGCCGTAGATTTTGAAAATCAAAAATTCAAAAATCATTTGGTGGTTAAAACGAACGAATAATAGTATTAATGCTAGATTTTGAGAGAAGCATGGAACGTTTTATAATGTATACAGGGTGATTCACTAAGCGTGATCATCCCCATTTCGTTGGTTAAATTTCGTATGTATTCAAATTATGATTTTTAGAATTTTTAAGTGGAGTTAGAGTCGATATTTTCGAATGCTTAAATTTTTCACAACATTTAAGGAGTATATCGTGGTGATACCAACTTTCGTTTTTTAAATGAGAACCTATATTAAAATCCATAAATTAACGGAGTAAAATACATTTTGGTAACAAAATGTTTGATTTCCATCAACCCGTTAATGAAATATTCCACTTTTAAATTTAGATAGGTGGAGAGTAATGAAGCATTAATAAAACGCTGCACGCCGTGCCGTCACACAAATAATACTCTACTACTTCCCCCTACATAAACTTAAAAGTGAAATATCTCGACAACGAGTCGAAGAAAATTAAAAATTTTAACACCAACATTTATTTAAAGTAATACTTTATCTATTTATGTAATTTTTAATATAGGTTCTCATTTGAAAAACCAAAGTTGGCATCACCATAGGGTACTCCTTAAATATTTTAAAAAATCTAAGTATGCAAGAATATCGGTTTTAACTACTACCCTTAAAAATTAAAAAAAACAGAATTTGAACATATGTAAAATTTAGCCAAAAAAAATGAGGTGAACCGTTTAGTGGATCACCCTGTACACTTTACGAAAAAAATGTCTCCAATCAAATAATTCTCCAGTAATATTTTGAAATTGATTGATGTATTAGGGACTTTTTTTTTAAATTACTTGTAACGTAAAAAAAGTAAAAAAGGACAAATATTCCGAAAAAAAAAAAAAAAAAAAAAATAAAAATAAAATTGAGCGTTACTGTGCTAGACATATTTTTAGATTCTGAACGAAGCGGGAAATTTATTGATCTAACTATGTTATGTTTTTTTTTTTNTTTTTTTTAAATTACTTGTAACGTAAAAAAAGTAAAAAAGGACAAATATTCCGAAAAAAAAAAAAAAAAAAAAAAAAAAAAAAAGCGAATATAATAAACGCAATGTTGATGCTTGTAGAAATATATTTTGATGTTTTGTTGAAATTTAGTGAGTAAAATATTCTATAGGGATTTGAATATTTTATCGATTACTAATGTTAGTATTTTCTATAGAAGTGGTATAATTTCTAAAATATTTTGTCTTATTAATTTTGAAATATTTGAATCTAACCTAACTTTTTCAATGTATGTTAATAAAATGTTTTTGACCACGTATAATAATCGAAAACTAGATATTAGGATTATTATAAATTGTTCTTACTGTTTGAAAAAAAAAATAAAAATAAAATTGAGCGTTACTGTGCTAGACATATTTTTAGATTCTGAACGAAGCGGGAAATTTATTGATCTAACTATGTTATGTTTTTTTTTTTATCTCTAAATAACTTGTCTACCAGCAATCTTATTCTGATCAAAAATTTTTTTGAAGCATTTTTATTATCTAGTTGGTGCATTTAGAATGTCATTTTTTAATTTTCCTCATAAGTTTTATTAATAAATGTAAAAAATTAGGATTTTGTCTTATAATTTTTGTTGAGTCACAATAAAAAAAATACCATTAATATACTCCGAACAGAACCGTTTTTAATTAGCATTGGTTTATTGCTACCTACGTATAAATATATATTAATGTACTTTACACATCTTCCTTTACAAGTTCTTTCCTAAATCACACCCATCATCATCATCAGAAGTATCAGCTTTTATTATTTTACAAGACGTGTTTGAATTACATTTTGATTAAACTCGTAAAAATGATGTAAAATTGTAAATTATAATATTGTAAGTTATCAAATAGTTGTATCAAATAATTAATATTATCAGCACAGTTGACATTTAGAGATTAAAGTGCAATCAACGTGTCTGCCATAAACTTGTATTGCATTTACTTTGAAATCGTCTTATCGGTACAAAATAACGTATACACCAGCGGATATTACATTGTTCGTAGATTAGGTCTGTCGAGTAAATGGCAAAAAAAAAACAACAAAAAAATCGCTAATGGATGACGAAAATTCGGGACGCAAAACTAATGTTTCAGGGACGACAAGGAAATTATTAAAAAATAACAAAGGTCATGAAATTAAAAAAAAAAAAACACGCAAACAAACAAACAAACCATGTCCAGAAGCTTTTTATGGGTTACGGGAAACAGCAGCTTGCGGGAAAAGTGGATAATAATATTACGATTGTTTAAAGGAGAGTCGGGTAGAAAAAAATTAACTAAATCGAAAAACGAAATGACTATTTAAGAGGCTATTACATAAATATCTCGTTTTATTATAATTAAAAATTATTGTTCTTTTTTTTTATATAATTTATATATTTAGGCATATAGGTAATTAAAATAAATTATGTGATTACATAATGATTATACACGTGTGCCGTTAGGTACCACCGTATATCAGTAATAAGTCGCTATATTTATAATACATATATATATATATATATATTTATTACGATTATAATTTCTAATTCGTGTTAATCTCTCTATTAATATATTTATATACTAGCTATCCCGCGCCCGGAGTTGCCTGTGCCCAATTTGTATTATTATTATTTTACTCATATTCATTTTTGATTTTGGCCGCACCAGAATTGAATGAAAACAAATACGTGGGAAGTTGGTAGTCCTCCTTCGGTGGACTAAATGTGTTTTATTGTGAAATTTTAATAGTGTAAATAATAGTAATAATAATAATTATAATAGTGTTCTTTTCCGTAACACCAAGGTAACTCGTGAATAAACAAAAGTAAATAAATAAGCAATTGGATATTCGCACCAAATATACCTAAAACTCATATTTGACCCCCTTAGGGATTGAATTTTCAAAAATCCTTTCTTAGTGGATGTCTACGTCATAATAGCTATTTGTGTACTAAATTTTAGCCCAATCCGTCCAGTGGTTTAGGCTAGGCGATGATGAATTCGTCAGTCAGTCAGTCAGGACTCGTTTTTTTATATATATAAATAATACCATATTTGAATTAAATGACTAGCTGATTTATCATTGCCTAGATCAAACCACTGGACGGATCGGACTGAAATTTTGCATATAAATAATTATTAGTCAAATCTCTAAGGGGTTAAAATAAGGGTTTTTAGTCAGTTTGTTACGAGTACCTAATTGTTTATTTATCTATTTTTGTTTACTTACGGGTTACCTTTGTAACATGGATGACTTTTTGGTTGGCACGGATAAGAAAATTATTATTATTATTACTATTATTTACACTTTTATCTAGAAATAGCTAAGTACTGCAGGGTCAGCTAGTTATTCATATTATGGATAAACTAATCACAAAACGAAGTTAAAAACAAAAGGAAAGAACTAATATTGTTGAAGGGTGTGCCACTGTTATACAAGGGAAGTTGGAAACATAGGATGGATCTATAAATGATCTATTTTAGGCATGGGCATCAACCATCTTGAATAATATATTTGATTTAGTTGTGGTCTAATGAAGTTTCTTTCACTTCATTAAACGGTAGGTTATCAATCAGGTCCTAGTTCATTAGAATAAGAAAATATCAAATAAATTTAGAAATATAAGTTATCCGTTGATTGATCTTTATGTACATTTAAATTCAATATTACCGATATTATGATTATTATATTCATGTGATCATATCAATAATATATTCGAATGTACCTTATATTTGTCTTAACATAATTATTCTCTAATTTTGTTATGTCATTAAAACTATATCGATGGAATGCTATAAAATAATTTAAATTGGTAGGTAATTGTTTGAATTTTAATGAAGGTTCGACGAATGAATTTAACCTGTTAAAAATAAAAACCCATTATCTTACTCGGCAGTTGGTTGTATTTAAATTGGCAAAAATGTCGGGTATACTCTCTGCTATACAGTTCGTTAAATTTCCAGCCTTTGGGACGTTCTTTCGTTTAACAAACAAAGGGTGTTCTGTCAAAGACAAATAATAGTAATTTAAGTTTTTTGACGAAAAAGAAACACACTTAGAATGATTACGCCTTCATCCCACGTTTGATAGCTGAGAAAAGAAATCTAATGTTTTTTTTTTTTTTTTTTAATGACTTAGTTAGGGGTTAGATTACAATTTATACTTATTGTTGTAGTATTCTGTATTAGTATAGTTTTATAGTGTTTCGTAGCTCTTAGTAAATAGAGGAAAAGAATATCATACTTTTGGAACATGGATGTGTATATAAATTATTATAAAATTATTTCTTTAGTTGTTTATTATATTTTTTTATTTCAAAATTATAGAAACCAGATAAGAAACGAAATTAAAACAAATGTATAAATGCAAAGATTTTAATGAATATTTTGATAATATTGGATTTAGAAACTTAAGAGATTGTTGGTACTCCGTTTGATTCTGAATAATTTCAATCAATTTATGTATTAGTATAGTAAATATGTTCATATATATTGTAAATAAGAAATTTTAAATGAGATATGTTTTGAGAACAACACTACTATAGTTAGCTATTGAGTATTGATAAATCAAAGCAATTAAATATGTTTTCAAAATTAAAATTGGATGAGCGGTCGCGCGTAAATTTTACTCCAGCTCATTGGTCTAAAACGCCACATTTGTCTGTAAAAACAGTCATAATCCCGTTTAAATTGGTATCGGGCAGGCATTAGATTATTGGAAAAGTTTTATCATTAAGTTGGTTTTTAAATAGTAAAAATAATTTTCAAAAATCAGGAAAAATCGTTTTCTACTCTCTTGAGCAATTTTTCGGGATCTATATTTTTAGGAATGTAAAAGTAAAACTATAATATTATATTAACCTTATACGTAATAGGTACGATACCTAAGTATTGTAAAAAATAGGTCGATCGGTATTCTTCAAAGGGCAAAGTAACAGTAAATTAAAAATACATTTTCCATTTTTATATAACATGGCACTGTTTGTTAAATTTTAACGATGTGTTTTCGATTAAATTTTAATTAAGTCCAAAATAATAAAATATATAATATATCGTTTCGCAATTGTTAAAAACAATGCTTTTCGACACGTGTTGTTTACGTCTCCGGTTTTCAACACGATTTTCGACCACCAAAAAATGCATTATCAAATAAAATAAACTGCGTTTTTATTGTACCAATAATAGAAGAAATTCCGATGATCCCCTGTAGATTAAAAACTTTGACTCTCGTTTATTTTCAAGTAAACAGGATTTCTTTTTTAAAATTTCTATTCGTTATATAATAATAATAATAATAATTATATTCTACTGCTCGCGTGCGTCGAAATCACGTGAACTTTTCTCAGGACAAACTTTTTAATCGCCATTATATTTATTCGTTTAGAAATAACAATAGTAATAAATACTCTATAATCATAACCGTAACCAGAAAATAAAACGTTAGGTATAAACCACTCTTTGGGTGTTACCCTGAACATTTTTCTGCGTAGTTTGCCGTGAATAATAATAAACGTGTGTATATATTATTATAATAATGTACACAAGACGTTCGTTCTTTTTTGCCCCTTCCCCTTGTACATAGCCGTTTGTTCCCTTAACATAAGTCTCGTCCATTTATCAAATCTGTGAAACGATCGTGACAAAAAAAAAAACAGAAATAAATAAATAAAAGAAAGTTTATCCGCGTCAGTTTTCTCGAGACTCGAGAGCATATTATTTTCCGCTGTCGTGAAATTTCTCTTTCATTACACCCACTCTAAATAATCGTCATCCTCGTCCAGAAGGCTGAATAGTTTTGACATTTGACTACGATTTTTTTTTCGTACTCACCGTCGTGATAAACCCAACAGTTAAATTTTGGCCTATACAAGATTTCATTGATTTTTTTTTAAGATTCCGAGAGGAATGAGATTTATGATGACGTGTGTTTTTTTTAAATTTCCTGTTGAATACGTTTATAAATACAGAATTAATTATGCCAAAAAATGTATAAATATATATATATCAATTTCGATTTAAAAATACGTATTTTACTAATCGCTACTAAAAATCAAATTTTATCTTTACTTATTTATTATAGTGGCATTCAAAATTTGAATTGAATAATCTATTTTCTATTATCGTTCATTTACAATTTTTACTTACAATAATGGTTTTTCTACGGTACCAAGTACATATAACTTTATTTTCATCTCAAAGACAATATTTTAATGTTATTTTCGAGTTTGGGAATAATATATGGACTCCTTCCGAATGTTTCGGAAAAATCGATTTATATTTTGTAAGCGGGAGTTCACCACATTCTCATTAACATTATAGCATTTTATGGATTTGTTTCGAGTTTACAGGTTTTAAATAAGATCTGTGCAAATCCGTGTTTCCATAAAACTGTACGAGAAAAATGATTTCTAACGAATTATTTTATATTTGTTTTTGTCTGCACCCATGGAATTCATTTTAATCGGGTTAGATATAATACACTTTATCTTTTATAAATATACTTATGTATTTTATTTTTTAGCTAAACTCAACATTTTTTTTCTCTAAATTGTTTCTTTCTTTTTTTATGTATATTGAAAAAAACCCAAAAGGTTTTATTCTATTATCAACTAAGAACGATATATTATTTATTTAAAAAAATGAATATTGTTAATGAGTGTGTGAACTTCGACTGTTGTAGGTGAGAATTTGGGTGAATTAGTTACATACATGTATTTAATTTAGATCTGTACGAAACGCTAAATAATTGATGGTTTAATAAGTTCAGTTAAAGCATATTTTGAAATGCTGTAATTTTTATTTCCTCAAAATTTAAACTTAAAACATTTATACAATAATATAAACTTCTGCATTGGTGAATAAAATGCTCAGATTTTTTGTCCACGGCGGTATTTTCTTTGAAATATTTTAATCGATTTTCTTAACATTTTTCAGAAACTAACAACGATATAATATAATATCATAGGTTTTTATTTTTTTTAAGGTTTTTTTTTAATTTCATTTTTTAAAGGGTTATTTTAGTTACAAAATTAAAAAAAATCATGACTAATACTATAATTTTACCTCGTTGGAGAGCTTTTTTAGAATCGTTTTTTAATTGTAATGATGAAATCAAATTGTCCGATAAAACATCGTAAATCTTTCTAACTTGTCATTTACAACAGTATTTTAAGTTCACGGTATAAAATATCTATGTGCGGCAATTTATTATTTCAATCGAGTGACATGAAAATATTTTAACAATAGAATTATTAGTGTTTTTATATTATTGTTTTAAATTAAATTTTGTACGCATCTAATTGAATTAGAACGGAATGCTTTTTACTTCTTGATTAAATTTTATTACTCTAATGTTTCTTTCTACATAACATTATATACATGCCGATAAAACTTTTTCGCAAGAGCCCCGTAATTTTTTTCCCCGACTCGATTGTGCATTGTGTATATATTATTATTATTATTATTTTATACAAGACGACCTCGGGGCGATTCGAATTTTTCTCTACTACCCAAGTAAGTTATTCCGCGGAGTTTTACTTAAACGGAAAGTCTGAAAATTTACATAACAAGGAGCCAAAATGCTGCTAGATGCGCCGAGAACGCGACTATTGTATGTACGCCGCCGCCTTTGCGTAAATACTCGACCGACGAAACGTCTATTCCGACGTATAATTAATGTGCATTCGTATATTTGATTTAAATCCGTGTAATTTAATCAAATTCTCTTCTGCGGACCATGGCCCGAGAGCGTTTCCTTCCGGACGTTTCTAATTTTGCAAAAAAAAATCACACTCGTCTGTAAACGGTTTCACGGTTATTACTATTATTATTTTTATTATACCGACCGTTTCCTACACATTCCGGCGCTGTGTTATGGTAATTTATTTCATTCGCCACGAAATTGTGCAGTTTGCGACTCTTAACTGTAAGTGATAACATTGCAATATAACCACCACCAGTTTTCAAACCGAAACCGATTCGAAGTTTTCTTAAAATTAACGAATTCGTGTAGAACTTATTATTAATAATATGAATCAATTTATAGTTTCAATCAAAAAATCCAACTTGTTTCGGTTAAGCTCGAGCATTTTGTTATAATCATCGTGAGTAGATCTTATTGGGAAAAAATAATGCTTAATTTTGCTAATTAAGAATCTTAGTAGAGCGAGGAATGTATTAGTTTTATAATGATGTTAATTTTAATTTTTTTTTTCCTGTGAACAACTTTTCTACCAGAAGAAATTTTGCTTCGATTTTCAAGTGTAGCACTTTTTTTGAAAGGAAATTTGACTGGATTGGTACATGAAGTCATTTTTTGATTTTATAGGGGTTTTCATAATAAATGGGAAAAATCGGGAAAAACGGGAAAATTTACGAAATTTATTATATCCAAATCGTAAATATTACAACCTTTCAAAACATGTAAAACTCAACTCCGCTCAGAATCATTTTTAATTGGCAATGATTAATTCTTGCATATTATATACATCAAATTTCCCCTGTACCTTTAGCCCACCCATCGTTTGAAGTATATCTGTTTTTTTTTTTGTTATACGTGTTTGGATTTTTAATTTAACGCGACTTGTAAAATTCATGAATATTTTGCATAGTACTTATGTATTTTTGTGATATTACCCGGAGACCTAATTTTGTGATTTTTTGAGATAAGTTGGTATTTTAAAAATTTAAAAATTTCGCTTAAAATTCAATTGAATTTTTGAATCACTCTCTCAGTAAAATTAGTTTAATTTCTAATTTTCGGTGTAGATTTTAATAGCTCTCATTGAAATTAATAGCTACGATTACGTATTTTTCTTATATATATATATACACGATTCTATATGATTTTAAATGCAACGTCGCCATGTATATTGTAAATACATATGCATATTACAAATTGATATGACATAATATATTACAAACCACGTTCAGATTTGTCCATGGGCTTTTTTGTTTAGCTTCTAAGAACGGGTATTAAAGTATTGTTATTCGTTACCTATATTGATATTTCCCAAATCGTCATTAATACTCATTATTGTTATTTGTTTCACAGTGGTAGGCATAATATCAAAACATCAAAAAATACATGGCCTCGGCACTACGCGTAAAATAAACCAATGGCTCATTTAAAACGAGATTTGCTTGCCTTATTAATAATGATAATGAAATTGGTTTGCAAACTAACTGGTAACCAATGACAACTTAAATTGAAAAAAAAATTGTAATTATATAAGTAAAAATAAGAAATAAGACAATTATAATTGTATTAATTTATTTAAAATAACAAAAACAAAAAAAATTATTATAAAAAGTATTATTTTGGGTTATCATTTCATACATTTTCTTATAGATAAAAATTAAAAATTAAACCATTTAAATTATATTTATATCATTAAGCATAATGATCCTAATAGCCAACATAGATAATACTAACACTTTGGGTTCTTCTTATTTTATAGGTATTTGCAATTTTATTGTTTTCAATAAAATTTTCGATTTTTTGCATGTACAGTTTTGATAGGATATTATAATATAATATATTCGTTATAGATTAAAAAGTTTGTTTAACGAGAAAAAATCATTAAAAAAAAAAAATTAAAACCGTGTAGTAAATATATATTATTGTCACCAGTGACGTACGAAGAGGGGCAGGGAAAATAGGAATTATAATTCATCTGATATTGACTTTAAAATACAACTATATGAGTGTTAGTTAGTTAGTTAGTAATTGTTTCTTAAAAATTAAAAAAAACCTTGTATTTTGTGAAATTTACTTTTTTTGGATCTGGCTTTTAAATGTTCATTATTGTCAGGTTAGGATGTTAGCGTTCGAAACTTGTATCACTTAAAATGAACAAAAAAACTGCAATGGAATACAATAAGGTGAAGTCAGATAAAAATTATAGGGCCTGGGGAGTCTGGTTTTTCCCACAGGCTATGCAATCACAAAGTAGAAATTATGCAAAAATAAAAGGCATATTTTTTTTAACTTCCAAAAAAGCCACTTTTAAAATTCATATTTTAACTCGTTGTAACATGATGTAAATTTCAGCACTGCTAGATTTAAATGTCAAGTAGAAAAAAATATATAAATTAAAGTTCCCGAACCGTCTTAAAATATAAGAAGATTTTGCACGATTTATGCACGATAATCATAATTACTATTTACTATACATCCCCTTTTCCATTGGAAATTCCCGGGATCGCAAAGTCGTAACGGTTAATCGTTTATTTTCGTTTATTACTATTAATTACATTTCATAAACGCCCGTGCCCCGAGAAATCTAAATTAAACGCGTTCGCAGCGTCCCGAAACAACCCAATTACCTTTATGGAAACCGACCATAATTTTTATTCCATATATTATATTATTATTATGTTGTATTCGCGTATAATGTATAAATATATATATATATATATTTATATGCGTTGAATTCAACCACGAATAACCATGCGTCGCAGCGCATTGCAGTGGATTAAACGAATGTAACGCGCGGCTAAGTCTATTATATTATATTATGCGCTCGTGAACGTGCGTGCAATAAAATATTTTTCGTCGTGTGATATTTTACATTTTTTCCGTCATAATAATAATAATTGTTTGCGTTCCCACGCATGCGATTGAAACATTATAATTTTTGTTGTTGACTTTTTTGATCTTACGAATTATTGATGTATTTATTTTATACATTTTAGATTTTGAGCAGAGCGAGGAATGTATTGGTTTTACAATGATGTTTATTATTATTATAATTATTATTTTTTTACCCGTGAACAACTTTTATACTAGCGATTTTACTCTGATTTACAAAAATAGTACTTTTTCTGAAAGGAAGTATGACTAGGGTGGTACTTTAGGAAGGTCGTTTTTTGATTTTCCTGGAAAGAAAACGCAGGAAAACCGGGAAAATAGGTACAATATTAAACAAATATTATAAAGAAAATATAATAATTATAATGCATTATAATATGTATATTGTTGACAAAGCAACACTATTAACCGAACTCCACTCAGAATCGTTTTTCGTTAGTAATAATTAATCGTTGCGATTAACAGATATACATCAAATTTTCCTTCTACCTTCCCAACTTTTAATTAACAACAGCGGCCCATTCATGTACGAAGTATGTCTCTTTTTTTTGTTAACTCTCCAATGAAGAAATCCCGGACACGGATCTGATACCAAAACGCCTCGGAAACAATGACCTCCCCATTCTATTTCATATATTCATAGGTTTTTAATGTAGCTACAATTTTCTTAAATTAACCTATGGGAATGATTTTGTTATAAACGTCTCTGGCGACTGTATTTTTTGTACCAAAACAGTTAATTGAAATTGTTACCTATTAATATAAAATTAAAATTTTGCTTTTGGAACTAGGTAAAAAATATGTCAAAAGACGGTTCATATGACTTTAGGGGCGCGTAAAACATTGGAAAATATTTTATCGGCAAGTATTTTTTTTGGAAAAAGAATTCGTCAGACAATATGTTGTCGGAAAATAATTTTTACCCAACGGCGATAACATGCATTTGTTGATGTTGCCGTTATGATGAAATTATATTATATTATGAACAGTACCGACAAAATACTTTCCGATGAAATATTTTCCCAACAAAATACTGTTCCGACGAATTATTTTTCTGAAAAAAAACTTTCTGACGTAATATTTTTTAGACAAAATATTTTCCAACGAATTATATTTCCGATAAAATACGGTTCCGACAAAATACGTTTCCAAAAAACCCATTTCTGACAAAATACCTTCCAACAAATTATAGCCCTTGAACTTTTGTACATACTTCTTTACAGATAAGGATTTCGTCGTTAAATATTCCAGATAAATAACCCAGACCTAAAGTCAAGAGGTCAAACTAAAAATCTGATAGTTTCCATATTCTGAGCGTATCCAGTAATTTACTGGTTTTATTATTATGAGGACTTTTAGTTTTATACTTTTAATTGTAAAATTAAATATATAATTTACTTCGAGTGTAGGGGGTAAGTGTGGAGTATGGAAGTTTATTTGGGTTACTGTAACATTTAACTTCTTTAACCGAAAAATAAAAGCAGATGGGTGTGTCACTATTATAGGTGTGAAGTTGGTATTAGACATGTTTCCTTCAGAAAAGATGCTATACTTAAAATCTGGAACAAGATGCTGGTATAAAAGTAGTTACCAGAAGAAAAAAATATATCATAGTAAATCAAATACATTCCTCATTGTGCTCTGAGTCCTAAATTGACTTAATTTAGAAATATTCCATAACTTCAAATATCTTATACTGTACAATGAGAATATGTATGAACCTATTATTGATAAAAATTCTGGTGCAAAATACAATTCATATTTTTTTTACTCCTGGCGATGGGGAAAAATGCAATCACTTTTCAAAAAATTTAGTGAATATAAATTGTTTATATTTTGGATTAATTTTGTTGAAAATTGATTACCTATCCTACTTATATAGACAATGTAGTGTATCCTATTAAAAAAAACAACTTAATAAAAAAAAATGCACCCGTCGAGTAATATTTATATATCATACATGAAATTCGATTGTAAACAACGGTTAAAAAAATAACCTACCTATATGAAAATATACCCAAAAATCGTGTCATAAAATATATTATCGAATCACATAATATAATATTATAGTGGTTTGACGTTGTCAGACCAGGTCTTCAGTGCAGTGAAAATCGGGTGAATATATTTGAATTTTAGATAGAGTCTATTAAATATATCTCTACAAGTTTATCTTTATAACTCGATAAACGTTGATCGGTTTGCAGTTTCTGTTTATTTATAGCTAAATTTTTAACAGTTTTTGTCTATGTTCGAAAACGTTGACGCGCGGGAGAAAAAAGCTTTGTAGAGTCCCCGCGTCAGGTTCGGTGCATTAAATCGATTTTACAAAAACAAATACCGAAAAAGTGAGTGCAAAGAAACCCGTCGATGCGAAATCAATAAGATAAATAAATTCCGTCCAAGTATTACTAAAAAAAAAATACTACTGCTGATGAGTCACCTTGCTTTTATATTGAATGTGGTACGTTAGGCCATATTATTTCGTATACATAGAGTTGTTTAATTTATATATCTGTATGCAATTAATCCTTGCTATCGAAATACAATTATGAGTAAAGTGTGGTTGTACACGTTTTTAAATGACGTGATTTTTACGGTTTTTGTAAAAATTTGAACTTAAAATGTGTATAAAAATTATTGATGTACATTACACTCAATTTTTTTTTAAACTCATCTTATGGTAAACTTCCAGTAAAACTTTTAAATATTTGTACTCAGCCAAAATGATTTTATCCACATAAAATCAAAAAGAGATTTAAACTAATCGAATTGAAAATAACATATTTTTATTTGTCCGTTTCTATATTCGTTGAAAACGTATATTTGCGGAAAGGTAAAAGTACTTTCAGACGATATACGGCGTCCTTCGTGAAACTATTACACGAACACGTCCACCGCCATTGTCAGTATAACGGACGTACAAACGAGATTGGTGACAACGGGGGTTCTAAGTACGACCGCGGTAGTTCGTTAATCGGTTTTCGCATCGACCTGACTAAATGGAGTTGTGCTTTTTATTTCTCTGTCGTTGAATTTTTTTTTCGTCTCTTTTATCATCTCCACTCGAGTGGCGTACTTGAGGGGGGCTCTACAGGGTATTTTCTCAGACGTTTTTTTTCTTTTTTTTAGTTTTTTATGTATTTATTGTCGACTGAGTATATTTTAATATTTGACCTGACATTTCGATATTCGAAATGTATAATACATACCTGCACGATAATACGTATCAACTATACGGTTATTTACTGCATATTAATTTTTTCACGTATTATCGACTGCATAATATAACCTTGGTAGATAATCGATCTAATATCATCGATACACGTATTACACTGTGCATTGCGAAAGAGGACGACGACGTTAGGGACAAAGACGATGGTAAAATCCGTCAATCCGTTTCTGAGACGTATCGTTTATGAGAGTATATTTTCTCCTTTTAAACTTCTTTTTTTTTATTTTTTTCATTTTTCCTTATCGTATTGCCTCCGGACCGCCAAAACGTATCTCGTCACACACGCCTGTGCGTACAGTTATATATGTACACGATCAAAACGCCCAATTCGTATATTCATTGTATATACTCTTGGGTAGGGGACGAGGCTATTTTCTCACATACGTCGTTTCCGTGTCCGTCTGTCCGGGAAAACGGCAGCGGGCCGGGAAAGACGGCTGTTGCCCCAGAGACCTATCCATTAATTCGCGGGCATTCGTCGGCGATGCGCCTGCACAACCTCCTCTGATCGGACGGCATAGAGGAAAACCCTATCCGCGAGCGCACGTGTGCTTGTACATGTACGTGTGTTTGTGTGTGTGTGTGTGTGTGTGTGTGTGTCAGCAATGAAATCTTTTCTCCGCCGCCGCCGACTGTTGATTGATAACGGTCCTCTGGTCCGGACGTCTTGAGATTAATTATTATTATCGGCGGCGGCGTTCCCGTTTCTTAACGCCTCGAATACCCCGCAGCGCCTGCAATCGTTCCCGTTCCGTCTCCCGCCGATCCCCCGGCCAAAACCGTGCCAATTTTGCTACGCACGCACTATACACGCGTAGTACTGGCGTCACACCCCGTTCCCGTCGGCGGTGGCTAATAGGTACGTCCTAAATCCCGATTCGGAGTGGTCGCGTTCCCATTCCTCGCGAACGAGCGCGAGTCTCCCGTCGATTCATCTCCGCCGCCGCCGCTGCCGATCTATGAGAGACCGTTCCAACGTAAATTATATTATAAATGCCGACCGCACTCTTACCACCGACGCGGTTACCGTCGTATTTCGAAAACCGTCGAATCGGGCCGTAAGTATACTATACACAGCGTGACCGACTCGACATTTTTCTGTCCGTCATCGTTTGTTAAACACCGTGATATTATAATATAAAACGCGACGGTCTTCTTTGACGGGCAAAAGTCTACGGAAACGCATATAGTTCGATTTCGATTTGGAATAATTTTGTTCACGCATTAGTGACGTCGGTTGCGAGCGACATCCCGAGGACGAAACGCTCTTGGGGTTAAAACGTCTCGGGTTAGGTACCTACCGTCATAATATTATATTAACACAAATTCGGTGATTAACAAGCCGAAATAAAGAAACGGTTCGTCGGGGTGGTATAGAAAATAGTTTATTTTTTCAAAATGCCTACAAATGCCTACAAATAAACTCACTCAAAACTTTTTTTTTTTGTTGAATAATCAGCTGTAAAATGGGTAAATGTCACTTTTCCTTGAGCAATAAAAAACATAAGCTCATAAAATAAATAAATTACCAACTATTGTACTTAGAATTCACTATTGGCTAACGAATTTAATGCCGACAAATGATATTCACGGACCACGACTGACACGATTCTACTTTAAAATGAGATGAACACGACGTGAATTTTCGACCACTAAAGGTTCCATGTTTTAAATTTACATTTAGGATATCAACTTCCTTGGAGTTATTATAGTGGGATTATAATTTGGACGAGAATTTTGTGTTTTGAAGTTGGTATACCTGGATATCAATATTTTGGACCGTTTTATTTTTGTCTCATCAGTCGGGGTGAAGAGCGGTGTATTTCGCCGTAAACCGTAAGTTACAACTGAAAAAATAAACTATTAAAGTCCATATCAAAGTGCACTAATTATTATTATTCTTAGTTATACATTTCACAAGAGTAATAAGGAAATAAAAATGAAATTGGAAAAATAAATCACGGGAGAGAAATTCACCTATCACTCTTATTTTTATAGCTCTTACCCCATCACCACTGTCCGACTATCAAACGCAAAATTAAACTTGTGCGTGTACATTTCGTTTGTTATTCGTCTCGATAATAAACACCGGGCGTCACGTTCACCGGTAATACCGAACGTGTCGACGGTTACGGTTTATTATTGTTGCTGTTATACGGGGGGCGGACGGAAAAATAGCGGTACCGCAATAATAATAATAATAATAAAAAAAAGCAAATAAATAACAATAATAAAAAGGAATACGAAAACTATGGCGGATTCCGACCGAAAGTACGTTTTAGGAAAAATCATTTTTTTTTTTTTTTTTTTTTTAACGCTCGCCAAAGTGGAAATCGTTTTGCCACCACCAGGACCGTGAGACGACACGTGGACGGAATCGTTTCATCGGATCGTTTCCACCCAAACACTTTTCATCTTCCCTCTTCCAAACCCCCTCCCCAAATGTACACGTTTTCTTCAATATTTTCAACTTCGCGATTTTCGATAATTTTTTGTTCGCACGTCGCGTGCAGACCGCGTGACACGGTACAAGGATTATAATATTATCTACGACCGATAATATTATACTCGAGATGCGAACAGTATCTCGCACCGCCGCGTCGTTTGAAATATGGAAACGCGGTATTAGATATCAGTGTAGGTAGTAAATGGTTTCGGGAATTCTTATCGGCCGGCGGTTTCCCGTTTCCGTCAACGGCGGCGGTAATGCGTATCCGCGTGTTTACGCGCGTACTTCTGTACGCCACTGCGGCGTAGGATTTAACGTGCATTATGTAAAACGAACCGCGTTATCCCGTTCGCCGTCATAGTCACTCCCGAATAAGTCCCAAAACGTTTTATCGCTCGTAACGATCACCGCGTAATGTGGACCCGGCCGTTCAGAATGACGTAAATACTCTTGCTGAAGTCCCGCGTAAACTGCGCACGTGTATAACATGTTATTATTATAAACCCGGAAGGGAGGGCGTAGCTATAAGAAAAAAAGACGGACGTTTTCATAACACCACATGCCAATGCACTGCGGGCACGTGGTACGGAACTGCGATTGTTGGGCGTCATATAAAAGAAACGAAATAAAGATGGAAGCGATAGGGAACGAGAATGCCGAGGTGAATATTTTATTTTGCGTGTTTAATACCGGCTGTTGCAGTCTAGGAGCAGCATAAGTGGAGAAAATTAATAAATGTTAACGGATACGGAGAGACGTGGAGGACGAGCAGCTAAACCTACTTGCGCGTAGCGTTAGAGAAAAAACAAGATACACGGATGATGAAAAATACTTTTGTACGAGAAAGTTCTGTAAATACAACCTCTTGAGAAGAAAAAAGTTAATAGTACCTATTGTTCCATTTTCTACTTATGTGTATTTATGATACAGTTAATAATAGAATGCCTCATGCAACTTTCTATATTACTGACATATAATAGACTCTATGTTATAGAGCATATGATGAAATCAACCCACGCCATACTTAACCGCCCGTGTTTACTAAATTTACGATAACCGAAATATCTTATAATCGCTAATCGTCTAATCTACGACAGGCGGCAAAAGAGAAAGCAGGAACATTATTGTCACAATGCCACACGCCGCGGTTATCCGGTCTATATAAAGTCTTTAGAATACCAATGGCGGGGAAAATCGTATGCTAACAAACTTCCGCGGTGACCGGGGGGAAACGCAAATATTATTACTGACGCGACGAAAACTTAGTCGACCGAACCCAACCACGAGAATGGGCAATACCGAGCCGAATCGGAATACGGGTAGGCACGTGGCCAGAACTGGACGTTCTCCCTCCCCCAAAGACACGATTAAAGGGTTTAAACCGTTGGAACTGTGGTTATCGAGTGATATTATAATAATATAAGAGCATATCGCAGCATTCGATAATATCTCCACGAGCACTATTGTAGTATACTTTAACCGAACCAATAAGGTTTTAGAGGTCTAAAATCGATAGAAGTGGGCCCATGGCGACTTGTCGAATGTTTCCTGTTTGTTTAAAGATTAGAAAATACTGTTAAATAATAAACGAACAAGACGAGAAGTTGGATCTTATTGTGATTTCAGCAAATTTGCTATTCACGTTTGATTCTGCCGTGTGGAATTCACAAATTTTAAACATACTTATCCAAATACGGAGCTATATTTTGCCGTTACGACGAAAACTTCATCAACACATTACTAGATGGCTAGAAGAACGCTTTGGATTCCTTTCTGGTTCCTTTTAGAATAATTCTTTTGCCATGTATTATGCCGGTTCACCGAATGAGTGCTTGGATTTTATTTCCATCCGCCATAGTGTATCGACTAGGTAATCAACTGGATGGTATACATTTTTATTTAGTTTGATATTTTTTTTGTCATTTCGTATAAATTCTACACGGAATTTAAAATTATTTCTATGGTCAAGTTATTTTGTTCGCCAATTCTGCCAATAATTTATTACTGATGTTGTTATAATATCAGACAACTTGATATTATAGCAACGAATAATTAAAAATATAATATACGTGTTATTATTGTTACTTTATCGATTGTATTTTTGAGACGCAAATAATGACGATCGCGGTAATTTTATGTTCGAATACCACGTTGAACGGAAATATATAAAAAACGCTCGATACATAAAACCAACATCCTATATCATATTTTATGTTCTATTTTATAATGAAAGACTTTTTTTCCCGCCAAATTGTAAGGCTTTACATAAGATATCTTATCTTCTGTGAAGGTGCAGGTACGTCAAAAACATTAATAAATCATACAACTATAAATATATTATATTATATAAAAAGAAATTTCTTAAAACCGAAGAAGTACCTACATAATATATAAAACGTGTCCACGCATTAAACCGAAAAATATTATTACTTGCAATTTCGTTGGAATATATTATAATAAACGATTTTTCCTTTTGAAGGGAATTAATAATTGCCTTAAAAATAAAAATTGAAAAATTCACGAGAGAACTTTGTTCTAAAAGAGTGAATCTATAGCTATTTTGAAAATACACACGAAAAACTTAATTATAAAACGCCTAGGTAAAAATAAAAACTAATATTAATCTACAGATACGTCTTTTCGTACAATTGGTTATTTTTAACAGTAATAAATATATAATAGCCCGGAAAGAACTCCACAACAATTGTATTCAATTGGGAGATCGTCGTCACCACCAGTGTTGTATAAAGATATATTTTAAATTACCTATGTGAAAATATGAAATAATTACTAGAGGAACTATGTAGATGAATGATTTATACTGATTTAATCATCTAGAATATTTTAGATATAAATAAATAAATAATCACCAACGTTAATACGTTTATTACGAATCTCAAAACTAAGTGCTAAACATACTAAAAATTTGAAATTTTTAGTTAAAATTATTGAAATGAATACAATTTGCATTTTACTATTATTTTCGGTTTTAGTGGCGTAAGTGATTTGAATGGACAATGATAAAAAAATATCATAACTAGGGCTCGGGAGTTATAGGAAGTGTATATTTTTCTGTATGCACTAAATTTATAGCAGACCAAGCTAGAAATATTTTCTATATGATAGAGAGTTTAAAAATTGAACATTTAAAAATGCATATTTTGCATATTTAGTTAATTTTAGAGAAAAAGTGCATATTTCGTCGATTTTAAATAATATTAAATTTAAAACTCAATATTATTTAACGTAGTTATTTTTTGTTATTTCTTACCGTCTCAGTTTATTATTAATTTAACGACAATAGTGCGATTCGTATTTAATATTTATCATTTTTATGCATATTAATCATTATTAATGACATTATGTATTTTTGAAGAATAAATTGAATAATTTTTCACACATTTATTACATTTTTTGCATATTTAACATTTTTCATGCATATTTGCATACATATTTTATCTTTTTTAGCTCCTGTAACTTCCGAGCCCAAATCATGACGACATTTGTATTTTTTTTCATTTAACTATTTAAGAGTATACGCAACTATCCTATAGGAACAAAATTGTATAAAACAACACCTACCTCTGCATATGCCCGCAGGACTGTAGTAGTCGTCGTACTGGCACACTAATCCCTTTCTCTGGTCGCACACGGCGATCCCGTCGCAGGGGTCCCCGTCCTGTCGCGCGCACACCGGACAACAACCACATCCGTCTCGGGTGTGCGGTACTCCCGGTTCGCAAACTGGATCCCGGTTGGCACATTGACACGGATAGGTACAATGCGATCGGACCTGTAGACGAAAAATTAGGAATAAGAATCACACTCACAAAAAATAATAATAATTAAAAAATACAACTACGAGTATTTTGAAAAAAAAAAACGGAATTTCAGACAAACGCAGTCGACAGTAATAATTATTATAAATACCGAGCAGTGCTTTTATATATCTAGGTTGTGCATTTTACTATTGAAGTGAATAACCTTTCAACCAGTATAGATTCGTTTTAATTAAAAACATCATAGTAATTTACTATAATAGAATTTCGCTTGTATAACGATGAGTGTTTAGAGAGAGTTATCTTTTGATATCACTTGAATTTTCCCTAGAAGGGAGGGAAAACCAAGAATGTATACTGTCATCGGTTTTTAAAGATACTGGAAACGTCCGAGATTTTTTTATATATGTTGATTAAATTATTTTGCTAGAATATTTTAGTTGGAAAAAAAATAAAATAGCTGATATGGGCGCAGCCACTGCTATAGGTAAGAAGTTGGAAAAGTAGGATACATAAAGTTACTTAATTTATATATGTACTCAACAATAAACCATTGCTAACGAATAACGATTTGGAAGGAGAAAGTTTGGTAAGCTATATTTTGAAATGCCATAATTTTCATTAATATTTTATCTTAAAAAGCTTATGAAAAAATAAACTAATGCATTAAACTCACATTTGTTTTTCAGACCACTAAGTATAACTTATAATGTACCTTGTGTTAAATTTTCAAGCATTTCTAAAAGTCACATAATTTTAATAACTGATACATACCAAATAAAAATACACATAAAAACACGAAAATATCATATACCTATAAATAGCCTAAAAATAGTTAGACAATTCTACCACGTTTAAAAAGAGCAAATATAAGTATTTCGTGAAAAATATAGGTCTTACAATCATTTTTAAATTAATAACAACAAAAAACCCAAGTGCATAACTAAATAATTAAAAAAATAACTAATAATAATACACTGCTCAGAATTTTTATGAATGGAATAAACTGGTTATTGTAGTGTAAATTTTGTTTCTTTAACAACATAAAGAAATACAACCAAAAATACTCCACTCACAATTTTGAAAATTATAGTTTATCGTTACGTACACACACATACATGAAATTACCTGACAGCCTTTTTTCTTTTATAAGCGTTTAAATTGCAATTATGAAGAAAAAACTCTTTAAAAACCCGTAGATTTTGAATACTGTTTTTTAATTTAGGGTTTTAGAGATTGTAAATTTTGTAGCTTTATGAACTGTCCGATATTTTTGCTCTGTTCAACTCAGCAGTGTGAACTATCATAATATAATATCTTCACAGTAGGTACTACTGTTTTGTAATTCTTAATGATAAATGGACGCACGCGTTCAAAAAACCATAAACTGACCGTAGTTCGGTTTGTTGTATACAATATTTGTGAGAAGATTTCCAAATATTGCATGCAGGTGTACTCATAAAGATTAATGAACACGATGTCGTAGTATACACCTACGTCTAGTCACACAAGCTCGGAGTCAAACGTTTTATCAAAAGAAAACAGGATTAGAAAAAAAACGGTCTTCATTGAAAAAAAACCCAGTGTCGGTCTGGTCAAGGCAGCTAGGCAGCGATCACTGCCCGGGACCCTAGATATTTTTTTCTACTATAGATACACGGAGTACATAGGTACATCATAATTTATAAATAATCGACACACCAAAAAACAATCGGGGTTTTCCAAAATAAATGAGCAATAGTCGATAAGATAAAATCGTGGTTTGGAGAACAATAGGTACCTCTACAGGTTATTGCACAATAATTGTGTCAAACTTCAGGAGTTATTTCTACACCTCAAATGCAACAATAATATAATATAAGTAAGTTTTATAAGTATAGTAAGTATATGTAAGTATAATATAATTCGACAATTATTAGAAAAGTTCGGAAATAAACTGTCTGTTCTCATAATATAACTTATTATACCATAATATAGTCACGTAGATTCCATGCACTATTCGTTTTTTTCCATTTATGATAATTGTTGTAATATTAATACTTAATAGTGTAATTTTTCTAAAAGGAAATTCGACTAGAAAGGTAGTTTAGGGAAGTCATTCTTCGATTTTTCCTAAAGTTTCTTCAGCAAATGTGAAAAACCGAGAAAAAATATGGGAAAACCGGGAAAATCTGTACAATATTAAACAAATATTTTAAAAAAAAATATATAAAGCCTATTCAATTATTTTCCTATAATAAGACAAATTGTATATTGTTGACAAAGCATCACTATTAACTGAACTCTGCTCAGAATCGTTTTTCATTAGCAATGGTTTATCGTTGCTTACAGGTACCCATTAAATTACTGATAATAGTGGCTACACCCTATTATCCTAGGATGTTTTTTTAGTTTTTTCTTTATACCAAAGGAAATATATACAAAGGTGTCATTTATTTTAATTTTTAATAAATTACAATTTGTATCAATTATTTAAAAACTAAAATTAAATGTACTATATCTGATGACTTAATTTATCTACTTAACACAAATAAGAATAATGAAAACAATGAGGCACGAGTTTTTTTTAAAAACTTCGATTTTTTTTAATTTAGAGTGAATTTGTTAAGCTTTTTATCTCTTAATATAGAATAAACTAAGAAATCAGCCATGGAAAGGCGGGCAATTCAGTAAAAATCCTAGGTTTTTAAATTTCAAAACATCTCGGAAAGAACTACAGTAAGATTTGCTTAACCTACTAACTAACATTAATGTAATAATTATTTACCTTACTTAGGGTTAGGCTTTTCCCCAGTCAAATTATTTTTAGTGAATTAATTGATGCAAATCCTAACCTAACTGAATGATTGTAAAATATTTCGTCTGTTGTATAAAAAAATGACCAAAAATTATTATTTAAAATAGAAATGGAAATTGTATAACGTAATGCAATAATAACAATTGGGAGAAATAGTATAATTTAACATAGACTTTCCTTATGGTCACCAAGAATTACGGGTCTCAGGCAATTGTCACTCCTTTCCGCTAATCGATAACGTAAAAATTTTTCAAAAATTATGCAATTCACATAATATGGTTACACTGTTTCCTTCTCTCTGCTGAATCGGTTCATTATATTGTTCATACGTCTACTGTCCGTCACGAGTGTTGCGTACACTAAATATTATCGTACACGACTTGATTTATAATGCGCTAGTGGAAAATATATCGTATTTTTTCGTTCACACGCGTTTATTCCAATTTTATGTCGACAAACGAACGAGCGTGGTAAAGATAAACGGGAAGAAAGATTATAAAATGGCTTTACGCCGTCGTCGTTCATAAATATTAATGCATTACAAAAATGTATTACGAGAAAATAGCCGGTTTCGTTTATATGTTTATACGATGGAACGCGAATCAAACACGATAATAAATAATGTATCGCGTATTCGCCCGAAATTATTAAGTCGGCCCCCGGGACGGCGCAACGTAGGAGGATTTTCGTCCGAGACGAAACGTTTGACGAAATATTAAAGTTTACCGTCATTTACGCACGCCACGACGAGTATAACTCATTTTCTGGGGTCCAACCTTTAAGTGTTGTTACAAATGTTTTTGATAGATTTTACTTTGTTCTGATTTTTTGTGTCTTTAAACGACTTTCCTACCAGAAATCTTGCTCCAATTAAAATACACTACACGAATTTTCTTGTAGATTTTTTAATCATTTTAGTGCACTGAGTTTATTTGTTGATTTCACTTGGAGTTTTCTAAATAAATGGTTAAACTGGTAATATTTATCGATTCTGGATTGTTTCGACAACAAGAACACAAAATACGACAAATAATACTTTGTTCAGAATTGTTTTTTTTAGCAATAGTTAATTGTTACATAATTTGTACGGTTTTTGGAATGGATCCATCGTAGTGTTTGCATACGAAAAACGTTTGAATAATTGAAAGATATCATATCAAATTTTGATGAAACTCATAAATAATACGGCCTTTCAAATCACATATAACCAAACTTCGTTCCGAATCGTTTTTCATTAGCAATGGTTTATCCTTCCTTCCTTACCAAAAAAACTAAATAAATATATGTACAGCATCAGTTTGTTGAAGATTCTGAACGTATTGGTATTACAAAGATGTTTTTTTAAAAATTTTTTTTTTACACTATTTTTACTTTATTGTAAAAAAAAAATTTTTTATACTATTTTAACTTACTCCAATAATCAAGTATAGCACTTTTTCTGAAAGAAAATGTTCTCTGGGTGGTACTTTAGGGATGTCATTTTTTTGAAATTCTCATTGATAATCCAGATAAAAAGGAAAAACTGGTTCTTTAGGTTAAAAAGATTGAAAAATTAAAATTAAGGTTTTCATTAGAACCGGTTATAATTATTTTTTATTTTTATATATATATTATTTTAATATTTTGTAAACAATTATTGTTGTCATGGAAACGTACTTTTCTGTAATCATTTTTTATTTTAATATTTTATTTAAATTTAAACGTGTTTTAAAATGCATAATTTAACTGTCAATTTTATTTTATTGTTTATTATTTCCATGGATACTATAGAAATATATAATTTTAAATTTAAGGTTAAGTGCAGAAAGGTGAATACCTAAAAATAAAAATAAATGTATTAAACTTGTATATGCTTTACGTTAGTTATTTGGAATTTTCGGGAATACATTTATTTTTTCAACATTTTTAATTTCCGTCAATCCGTTAACGAGAAATTCCATTTTTTAAGTTTAGGTATGGGAAGAGTATTGTGCACAAATAAAACGCTGCGTACCGTGCTGCCACACAAATGATACTTTACTACTCTGCTCCTACCCAAACTTGTTGACTAAGTTGAATATCTCGTTAACGGGTTGACAGAAATCTAAAATGTTAACACCAAAATGTATTTAAAGTAATACACCGTCTATTTATGGAATTTTTAATACAACTTCTCATTTGAAAAACGAAAGTTGGCATCACCACAGAGTACTCCTTAAGTTTTGTTAAAAATTTAAATATTCGGAAATATGGGCTTTAACTACACTTAGAAATTTCAAAAATCAGAATTTGGATACATGCTAACTTTAACCAAAAAAATTTGATCAGCACACTTAGTGAATCACCATATTTATATTTGTTTTTAATTGATCCTTGCACTAAGACATTAATAACAAAACTCGAACATAAATAATAGTTTGACGCGATTACATTTTTTTAGAATACGGTCGTTTTAAATTCAACTACGCCAATACAAATGGAGTTCAACCGTATATACGGATCCCCGTCGTTGGTTTTCGATATTATTGAGCCCAGCATGAATGGGTTTTGAAAAGAGCTGTGTACGACTGGGAGCCGATATCGAATAATGGCGACGGACGTAGCGCCGTTAGATTTAATTAAAATAATCACGTGACGTTTTATGCGAACGGACCGCGTGATCGAAATATCCCGGATTTAGTTTTCGGATATAAAACGTCAACCGGGAGAGAAAGGGGAGGTGGTAGAATATTAATTTATTTCGGGACAAAAAAATCGGGTCTGGGAATGACGAACAGCCGCCGCCACCGCCACCGTTATTGTGCGATTCGGCGGAGGTGTCACCCCCAATAATTCCATTTAAACCCCGTAATATTGGAATTCTGTATTTGAAAAAAAAAAAAACCATAAAAATTACTATAGAATATCGCGAGAAACGATTACGAAATTATTATTATTATTATTATTATTATTATCGTTTTTTGCGTAACGATATTTTATTTTTCGTTATTTATTTAATCGTTTCAACATACGCGTTGATAATATTAATATGTCACTATAATATTCAAACTAGTGGTGAGAATAATCCGGATTTGCCGTAGTTCAATAATCCGAATTTTTAAAATCCGAAAATTTATTTAATTATAATTATACATTTTGAAATCCAAGTTGAAAAATTGTATTTTTAAGATCTAGATTTTCGGGTTATCTTGATATAAGCTACGTCACTAATTCAAACACGTACAAAATATTGTATAATATCGATACGTTGTAATAAGCTTATATATATCGAGTGCGTTTTTTTTAAATTTTTTTAATTGTTTCCATAACCAACTTGCAAACTATAACGACTGTGTTCTGGTATTATTATTAAGTTGCTTGTTACGCGTGTGGGTTTTCAAAGCTGTTTTTAAGAGTATATTTTGGATCTGTTTCACAGCCTTCCAAATAAAGCTTTTTGTTGGAACAATAATGATATTATATTTTTTACATTTTTACTATTATTATATTACGTCCAGCGAAGCAATGGCGGTCGAATCCGCGTTTTATGATGATTGCTCGACATTCCCACCATTCGCGATATTTAGTTAATGTTTTTTATTAATTAAACACACCGCAAACTTCTAAGGGGAAGGGTAACGTTCATCGTTAATGGAAGATTCCTTTTGCGTGCACGCGCGCGAGTCGAGAGTTATTGAAACTCACTCGAAATACTTTTTTAAAGTATTTTTATTATAATTATTTTTTTAAGTATCTCGACAGGTACATATTATACCCCGGTTATTCGTATTTTTGTTATTAATTAGTTACAGAGAATAAACCAACAAACAAACGTACGAAAATCTTGATATAAAGTAATTTTAACCCGCGTTACCTTGTTTGTAAAATTATTCAAAGAAGCCAATTAAAATTTAAAATCATTAAAAAACGTGGATAACCAATAATAAATATATTTTTTTTTTTTAAATTCACATGGCTGTATAAATTAAATACTTACTATAAATTTATATGAAATGGTGGCAACGAAAGAAAAATAAAAAATACCTACTTTGGAAATAATTTGAGAAAATCGATTTCGTTCCTTTATATTGTAATCGAATACGTGTCGAATTTCTATTACGTCTATGTTTTGCTAAATTTGACATTATAGATATATTTACAACTGCACAATAACAAATAAAAGATTATTTCATATACCGAAAAGTGCATTTGAAATCATAAGATTTTAATAGCTGCGATGATATAAATTAGCTTCAATATTGTTTAAATCCGAGATATCAAATTAGAAAATTTAATGGATACTGAAAAAGTAAAATTTTGTACTGTTCATTATCATAACTGATCGTCAAGTATTTACGTTTTATAGAATTAAGTCGAACAATATTGCAGAAATATTGTGTAACCAGCTTTTTTTAGGTAAACAATTGGTTTAACTCAAATTGTATTTTAACAAATATTACGTGATGACTGCAGTACGGAACATTACAATCATCATTTACCAATATTATATTATTCGCTATTTTGTACACGCAGTTAGTTCATTAAATAATTATTAATTAATCCGTTAAACATGAAATATTATTTGAACGTATATTTAATGGCCATCACCATGATAATATTGTGTAATATGTTATTCAAAGAGTGTACTGGTAAATATTAAATCTTAATTTTTTTATATGTAAAATAAACGAGACGAAATTGAAAATATACATTATAAACAATTGTATGAATAAAAATACATTAATTATTGTGAATGGTTTGATCTTAAATGAAAATATTGTATTAACAGAAAATTTAGTTTTGAAATTTAAAAATAGTTGCATTAAGTTGCATTGTTTAGTTAACTATATTATAATTAGGTAAACGTGTAATATTTATAATCGAGCGTAGCGAGTAAACATTTTATAGGAGCATGATATACTTCTGTAAATACGCCAGTTTTGATCTGTAATCAAGACTATAGCCCTCCACTTCAAATCTCAACACGCTATTTTTGCCTATTATTATTTGCATTACTGTTATTCATGAATTGTATTATTGTTGAATTATAGCTTGTTCCAGTAAGTTTGTAATGGATACAATATTTTATATATATAATATTAAATTTATGCCACAATTTCATCAATGTAAAAAAATAAAAAAGTGTTTATTTTTGTTACATAATTTGAGAAATATATAATCCCATATAATATTAAGTACCTTCTTCTTTCAGTTTTCAATCCTTAGATTGGTTTGCTGCAGTTCTCCATGCGATCCTATCGTTACTTAATTCCTTTAGTTCCTTATAACTATTCTTCCCCATGTCAATTATGATTTACTTCATGTACTCCATCCTTGGTCTTCCTCTTCCTATATGGCCTTCAACGTCACCTTCTATGACGGTTTTCGATAGACTCTCATGGCGTAGTAGATGTCCTATCATTTTAGCTCTTCTAACTTTTATGGTATGCCATAGTATTTTCTTTTCTTTTATTCTATTTAATACTGCTTCATTCGTTATTCTATCAATCCATTTAATTCTTAACATTTTACGATAGCACCACATTTCGAANTATATTTTTAAGAACCTTTTTCTTATCTCTAAGTCCATACTATTGGTGGTTAGTAGGTGTTTTTTATTCTGGAAAGCCATCTTCGCTTGTGCTATTCTACTTATTATTTCATCTTTACAACGGCCATCTTCCGTTATTTTGCTTCCTAAGTAATTAAAGTGATGCACTTGTTCAATGCGTGCGTTATCTATATGTATATTAAGTAGAACCTGGTTTGTCTTGCTGCACGCCATAACCTTTGTCTTTTTTTTATTTAATTGCATTCCATATTTGTCCCATAATATTTTATTGACCTTAGTTAAAACCTTTTGCAGGTCATTCTCTGTTTCTGCGCAAAAAGCAATGTCATCAGCAAATCTCAGTACGCTAATTGTTTCTCCACCTATTCTAACTCCTTGTTTTACTTCTACTCTTAATTCTTTCAATACTTCTTCAATATATAGATTAAACAGCATCGGTGATAGGTTGCAGCCCTGTCGTACACCCTTTTTAATTTTTGCTATTTCTTCTTTCCCATCTATACGTATTAGTAAAGTTTGGATTTTGTACAAATTATAGATGCATCTTCTGTCGTAATACTTAAGTATTACCTATTATTAAGTATTATTAAGTACCTAAATACTTAAAATAAGTATCTATATTATAGTATTAGAATTTTATAGCTATAAAAAAAAATTTGAATTTAAATAAAACATTTGTATTTAATACTTCCAAACAGAGCAAATTTATGCTGCTTTTCATGGTAAGGTTTCAATATTATTATTATTTTATAAAAACTGAATATTATAATATTATCTTATGAATATATATTCTAGAAAATTGTTTACTAAAATAAAATAACATTGTAGCATATACAAATAAAAAGTAAACATGTACCTACAATATTATATTGTATGAAGAATACAAAGAATCTAAATTTAAAAAAAAATTATACGTTGCTTTAAGTATTATATATGTTTTAATTAATATACGGTAATTGGTTTTGATAGCAATATGAATGATATAAAATATAGGAAGGAACATCGGGAGTTGATAATTTGAATGGTGTTTAAAGGTGTTTTGAGAAATTTTAAGTTAATTATAACTTTATGTTTTAGTTTTGTAGTTTCGTTAAGAATAACTTAAAATAATTCAACGCCTGATATTATTATTTTTTAACATTTCGTTAAATAGGTTGCGAAAAAGCTATAGACTGTTATAACATTGCATTTGGAAATTATGGTAAGTAAACCAAATAATATTACGCACCTTTTGTATTCATACAAATGTTTGTAAGTAATGTATTGGTTTTACAATGATCATATTTTTAATTTTTTTTTCTGTGGATAGCTTTTCTACAAATAATTTTGCTCAGATTTTCAATGATAGCATTTTTTTTGAAAGAAAATCTAACTGGGGTCATACTTTAAGGAAGTTGTTTTTTGAAGCGCCTTTCATAATAAATGGTAAAAATCGAGAAAACAAAACATGGAAAAATTCGAGCAAAAACGTAGAAAAAACGGGAAAATAGGTTCAATATTAAACGAATATTATTAAAGAAAATATATAATGCATATACAGTTTACCATAATATAAGTTACTTTACAATAATATAACATATATATATATATATATATATATATATATATATATTGTTGAAAAAGCAACACTATTGACCGAACCCTAATCAAAATCGTTTTTCGTTAGAAATTGTTAATCATTTGCGTAAAGATATACATTAAAATGTCCTTTTATCTTCCTAGCTTTCCACCTTTAACAGTTGCCCACCCATCGTGTGAAGTATGTCCGTTGGTTTTTTTTTATTTTGTGTGTGTCTATAGTTTCTACGTTCATATTTTAGATTTTGAGTGAAGCGAATAATGTATTGGTTTTACAGTGATGTTTATTTTTTTATTTTGTTTTATGTGAACACTTTTTCTCACCTTTTCTGAAAGGAAATGTTTTCTGGGTGATACTTTCTTGAGCTAATATTAGAAATTTTCATTAATATTCGAGATATTGAGGAAAACCTGGGGTTCCTTAGATTAAGAAAGATTGAATGGTTAAAAATTAGTTTGCCATTCGTAACTGTTTTTATTTATTTTTTGTTTTTATTAAGTTTAATTAAAGTTTACATTTTTTTATTTTAATCTTTTTTAAACAATTATTGTTGTCATGGAAACAAATTATTTTAATTTTTTTCACCATTAAATTCCAAAACGTATGCAATAATATTGGTTTTACTTATTTATTGTGGTCCATTAATACTTAATTATTCAAATAGATTTTATCTAAAAATAAATGATTTTAAATTTAATAGTACATAATTGCTAAAAAACGAACAAATTCGACATTATTTTAATAACAAATTTTATTCAACAGACGAAACAAAATCTAAAGGTAGGTAATATGTATAAAGTATTATAATATAAAGTAATTAAAGATTTTATATTAAAAAATAAAAGTGAAGGAAAAAATATTTATTATCACGGAATATTGAAAATTAGACTTAGTTTATACTTTCATAATCACTAAATTACTGAATATTTATATTAACACTTTCTAGACGAAATTTATGTTTATCAGCGTTTTAAGTTAAAATTTATGTTAATAATAATGTTATTACAGGTTTTTTTTTGTGAATAATATTATCTTAATAAATTTTCATTATAATTAGGCGAAGTACTTATGCTTTATAAAACACTTTTTTGAAAAATAAAAAATATTTCCTAATTTGTTTTTGTAGGTTTTCCAAAATTTTACCTTAGTTATCTTTATGCCAAAGTGAATATAAGTACGTAAAATATAATATAAATATTTATTATACAATATACCTACATATACATTGATAATTTAATAATATACTAAAAGCACTTTGTAGTATGGTCACCCGCGGATGGAAGAGCGGGGGCAGTACCTTCCTCTCTTTTACGCCTGGAAATATGATAATTTAGATAAAATCGTTTTTTTTTAAATCAATGATTGGTAAAAGTTTTTGCTGCTCTATTCCTGTTTATTTTTACGTTTTGTAGATAGTAGGTATTAATTTTATATAGGTATCCAAACAAAAATTATACACCCAAAATAATTTCATTCTGTTACCCTTTTGAAAATTTTATTTGAAGTATTTATAAGTCGTTAGAGAAGCAAGAGAAGTTAATAAAGGAAATAAAGCATAACCTATTACTTATATTTTATGTTCGATTATAGGCAAAATTGAATCACCGGCTCAATTTTGTTTCAACCTAACAAGTGAGTAAAAATACGAAGTATAATGAATTATTTCAATAGTAAATTTAAGTTATGACATTCTGAAGTACTTATGCAAACTTATAATTATATTATTTTCTAATGATAATAACATTTAATTTTTTTGTTTTAGATGAAATTGCGTATGGACACGATTTTTTTAAAACAAGTAAGAATGTAGTAAAATAAATAATGTTTTCTATCTAAAATCCGTGTTTGGAAAATTAATTTATAAAAGAAATGTATTTTTATTCACATTTTTAAACTGAAAAAAGTAGTGCATTCCGAACCATTACTTTTTATTTTCAAAATGAATGCATTGTGAATATATTCACATTCATTAAAATGTGGAATAAATTTCGATTAAATTCCAAAAATAACCAATAAATTATTTAGGTATGTTTTCCCGTTTAGTAAAAAGAAAAAAAAAATGAAATAATTATTATTAACACTTATGCTTCTAATATTTGTATGTGTTATTTTTTTGCAATTCTATTTACATTCTATTAAAGGAACTAAGATCAATTTAAATTAATGAATTGGCATTCACCATTTCTTAAAAATAAAACTAAATATTACCTAAATTCATAATAAAAAAAAAAAAAAAACAATCACCATAAATTGCTCATTGAATATGTTGTACCACTAGACAGTTTATTGAAATTAATTACGGTTTACTTATAAATCTAGATTGTATGAGTAAGTACCTACATCAACAACTATTTAAATATAATAATATCATGCTCAATTTAAAGAAGAATGAGTAAATAAATGAAACAGAAATAATTATAACAATTGTTTACAATAATACCATTTCATGATTTATTGTAAATCAATTGTTAATTCTAAAACCAAATTATAATATTTTGATTTTCTTAATACTTAGAAATAATGGCAATAGCAGGATTTACACGTAAGTATATTGTTATATTTTATTTTCAAATCCATTTTTAGCGATACAATTTTTTTTTTATGAACGAATAATATATTATAGAACATGTACAACTTGTCATTATGTTAATGTAGCTTGGGCAAACACCTGTTATGTATGTAAATAAAATAAATATGAACAAAGTTGGCAACAATGTTTAAAATTTCGTACGCAATTATGTAATCAAAAATACGTCCTAGGATAATGGGGACGGGTGAAGCCACTGTTATAGATAATTTAATGTATACCTGTAGGCAACCATAACTATTTCTTACGAAAAAACGATTCTGAGCGGAGTTCAATTGATAGTGATGCTTTGACAACAATATATATGTCATTTTATAGTAAAATAATTAAATAGGTTATTTTGATATATTTTCTTTAATAATATTTGTTTAATATTTTATCCCGAATTTTCACATTGGCTGGGAAAACCCCCGAGAAAATCGAAATATGATCTCCTTAAAGTACCTTTCTACACCGATTTCCTTTCAGAAAATTTACCACTTTTAGAAATCGGAGCAAGTTTTTTGATAGATAAGTTGTAAAGAGATAAACAAAAAAAAAAAAAACATTTTTTTAAAACCATAAGCTTCTTCGCTCCACACAGAATCTAGAGTCAGATACCTAACGTCGTATAAAATCGTATAGTTTAAAATGAAATCACCGATAACTAACATACTCTATCGTGTTTTGCTCGATTTTTTAAATCCAACTGGTAGTTCCAGAGATTAACGTGTTCAAACAAAAAACCAAATAAACTTTTCAGTTTTATTATATTAATAATATAGATTATGTTTTGTTCTAGAAAAATTTGGTGTTCAAGCCTATGAATATGCGTTGTTTAATAATCGTATGTAAATTTAATTACCTAAATATTAGTATTTTACCAACCACCTCAGAAGGGCATATGATACTACGGGTTTAGTGGATTCAGAGCCCCGAGTACTTACTAGTGTAAAGCCTAGGGTGGAATTGTAGTAGGCATACAATTTTGTTTTTGTAGATTGGAGGGATTCATTTTATAGTTGACAATACTATTCTCCTTGTAGGAGGGGATTAGAATCTTCACACGGTTCCTCTACTTGCCGTAAGCGCGGCAAATGAGGTTGAGTCAGGTTGACAGTCAGTGTAAAATTCTGCCAAACAATATGAGGATTTGTAAATAAGAATTTTAATTATATCGGATGTGCGAAGAGACAAAAGATGAGAGGCGGTATAATATTGTATGATGTTTGCAGATAATTTAGCTTTGATTGGCAAAAATCTGGAAAAAGTTGAAACGCCTAGGAAATTGAAAAGAGGAATCAACGAAACTCAATATAATTAAAAAAGTATTAGCCTTTGAACACCAACTACCAACTACCTTACCGAGACTGAAAACACTGAATCACATATGTACAGGAGAGCACCTCGCTCACGGGCAAATCTCGTAAAATTGGGTATCGTAGACAATCCAAGAAGTAACTGTGAAGAAACACAAAACGGCGGACATCTGTTAAAATGCAGGAATGCGCCACAAGATTGAAAGGACCTGCTTGGTTAATATTAACACATCGGGAGGTTGATTTCATAAAGTAATTGTCAGAGATGGGAATATAGGGTCCGGGCGTGGACATTGAATATCAAAGAAATATTACTGTCCGCGTCTATTATAGATGAGTCAAAATACACGAAAACCCCTATCTTTTGCTGGCACCTTAAAATGTTTTTTGTTGTGAGAGATGTCTTAAGATAGGATTCACTGTAATCATTGATTAGAATAGTAAACTCTATGTATAAAAGAACATGTTCTGACCTACTGACTGACTGATTCATCATCGTGTAGTCCAAACTACTAGACGGAACGGGCTGACATTTGATATACAGATAACTATTATGACATAAGTATCCATTAAGAAAGAATTTTTGAAAACTCAACCTCTAAGAAGGTAAAATATAGTTTTTTAGTTATTTTTGATACGAATATCTAATTGTTAATTTATTTATTTTTGTTTATTCATTGGTTACCTTGGTAACATGGATGACAATTTATTTGTTACGGATAAGAAAACTAAGTTTTATTATTATTACTACTATTTAAGCTATTATCTAGCAATATCAAAGGATATAAAACTTTTAATTCACCGAAGGTTAGGTGGACAAATAGATGGACTACCCACTTTCCATTTATTTGTTTTCATTCAATTCTGACATGGTCAAAACCAAAAATGAATATGGGTAAAAAAAAAAATTAATACAAATTGGCATGGACAACGTAAATATTTTTTCTTATAACTATCATGTGTCTGTTATGGTTATTCTGCTAACTTTATGAGGGTGTTCCCAACTGTCACTGGTTTATACAATTCCCATAAAAATTGTCGTATCGTTTACATTGATTACATGATTCCTGTGTCTTTTCATCTAATTTCCTGTAAAAGCTATTATTTGATTTCATATTTGACTACTTCTTTCATTATGTTGTGAATAGCTCTAGGTTTATAAAGTGTGAGTACTAACCTTAAAAAAAATAATTATTTTCTTTTTTAAATAATAAACGAAGAACGGGAACGAATTTATTTTTAAAAAGAATGTTAACGACACAGAGATTTCGGTAATATGACTGGAAAGTGAAAATCTGTCATATTATATGGAATTTGGAACGTACAAACACTTTATAAACCTGGAGCTATTCACAGCATAGTAAAAGAAATGGATAAATATGTTTCTTTTTGTTATCAGTTTTGATATAGTTCATGATGTACACGTATTATTACATTTAATTAAATAGTTTCATGAATTCTTATTTTAACCAATAATCAGAATCGACAGAGCTATATGTTAACAAAAAATTGGTTAGAAGAAGCTCGTCTAGTAGATTAAAAATTTGATAAACGAAATTTGTCTTCCCAAAAGCGTTGTACACACTTTTCAGAGATGAATAAAATAATTCTAGAAAATAGTTACGTTCCTATTCCTAAAAATAAGGAATTAATTCACGTTCTTATTCCTTTAAAAAACAATGGAATTAATTCTTTCACTCTCGTTCCTTTAAAAAGAAATTAATTCCACGACTCGTTACTTAAAAAAAATGTGAAATCTCTATCTCGTGGTAAGATTGTTTGTTCCTGGATAAAGTGATTTTCACAATGAATATATTATAATACAATATTATTTGGTATATAGTCAATAAAACTATAAAAATAAAAGATTCGAAATGTATTTAATTGTTAGTAAATGCAGTTTTTAATGAGGAACAGATATTAAAAGGTGAGTTATATTTTTAAATGTTTTACATACAATTAATGAACTATAAAGGTAATTTGTAAACATAAGCTGTATACAAATAATAGCTTATTTGTAGAAATCTGTAGAAATTTTCAGATTTATTTTATTTTACATTTTTAACTCATTTAGTCTATAAAGTTAATCTTAACCAAGGATTGATAACAAGAACTTTTCATAACTTACGAAGTAAAAAAAAAAAAACGAAAAACTAAATATGCGATGAGCAAGTTCAAAATCTTTTCTTTTTTTTTTTTGGTGAGTTTGAGACCACAAGGAAGCAATTTCTAGTGTTAATTTAAAAAAAAAAACAAATTTAAAAATCAAAACAGCTTTTTAAACATACAATTATTTTAAATCAATGAGAAACGTTGTTAGTTATTTTTGTTATACTTACGTAAATCAAATGTCTGAAAATTATTAACAATTTTTTTCCTGTAATAACTCGTTCATACTAATGTAAATATAGTAACACACAGTATTGCGGGATATAAAAGTAAGTAAAACTTATTTTCAAAGTGAATTTGAAGCTACGTTATTTTTAAAAGAAAAAACGAATACGTATATAATATCTTCAAAAAGTCGGTATATAAAAATTATTTACAAAATTGGACAGTCAACTTATTAGTTTTAACTATCGAGTTAAGTTAAATTATTCTAAAAACAAAAAAAAAATAATAATAATAATTAAGCTAAGTTAATTTTAATTAACGTGAAATTAATCTGAGTAACTGTTTGTTAAGTTACATATTTTCTGAAAAATAATAACTTATTTAAATTATAAGTTACTTTTTAAAAAAATGTTTTTAATGTTGTTAATTACACTCATATACGTATTTTATTCTTTAATATTTAGAATTTGATCGACTTGTATTATAAGAGTTGATTAATGGGATTCCTTATTATGTAATAGTGATTTTTACGTTTTTTTTTTTTTTTTGTCGGTATCTATTTTATGAATAGCATTTGAAGAATGGCGCACTGGGGGCAGTAAGTTAATTATTGTTTTTTTATTGGTTCATTGCATGCTATAATCTAATGCGAATTGTAACTATTCTTATACGGTTTTTATTAAATTACAAAGAATGATGGAAGTTTTCTGTTTAACATTACATTCAAGACGTTGTTTTAATTTTAATTTTTGTCAATATTTTAACAGAATTTAAATCTAAAGATAATGCTTTTTTATTTGAATAATACTGATAAAATAACTACAATATTATAATATTACTTATTACTATAATCGTATGTATATAATATTACCTACTATACATATAATATTAATAAAACAATTACGATTCAGGAAACTATATTAAAATTAAAAAATAAAAATGTACATAATAATAATAATATTCATCTATTTTGAATGTCGTCAATGTTTAATTTGATAAATGAACAAATACGCATTATATTAGAAAATTACATATTTTATTTTAGATTATATGGTCCGTTATATCAAAAAAATGAAAACTCAAGCCAATATTGATGGTAACTATACAGCAGGATATTAACTAAGTCTTATTGAAAAATATTTTAGCCAAATAATTTATGGTGACAATCATATAAACATTACACAATAATAACTAATGAAACCAATATTTCTTATATGAATATTATTATAACAGTATAATATGTTATTTGCAAAAAATATTATTTATTACCATGTGAATGTATATATTCGTATTATATGTATGTACTTATGCAAATTTAAAATTGTTTGATATTTTAATAAACTCACTCAAATTTTTTTCGAATATACAGTTGAACTTTTAACGAATTTCTATTTAACGAAAGTCTCTATACGTGTTTAGGTTATTAATGAAATTTTTTATTAAGGTTTATGAAATTTTCATTCAAAAACATTTATATTTAATGAATTAATTGTGTGTTACTTTTCTTCAATAAATATAAAAACTATTGCTATTTAAAATAAGTACAATTTTGTCAAGAATATAGATCATATGCTATCATACCTTGTTAGATTGTATTACCTTAGATTATTGTTATCAATATACAAATATAAAAGACGAATATAAAAAAGTTCTTCAATAAAGAATAAAACAATTTTATTAATTGAAATATATAAGTAACCATCATACTATCATATTTTAATTTTATTTATTTGAGTTAACTGATTTATAAATAGTAAACATACATAAAATAATACATTATTATATACATACATAAATGCACACATTTTTTATTATAAAAATGTATTGTTTTGGGTAAAAAAAATGTTATTTCTTTTTTATGAAATTTATATACAACAAATTGTTTTCAAAGAACCATTAAGTTTATTAAATAGAAGTTCGAATATATATAATATGTTGTTTAATACCTACGTCCAAAAGTCTATAGTTGTGTATTTTTACATTGAATTTATTAAGTTATTTGAACAATTTTTTTGGTTGTCTGAAAAATACAAATTCACTATTATAATATTCTAAAATATCAAAAAATAATATTAACTTTAATATTAATATTACGATTATCAACTATTGTTTGTATTTAGTATTATTTATTGTTTTCATATTTTGCTCTCTTTTCTAAAATAGTGACTTTATTAGGAAATAATTATATATTTTTTATCATTTTAACCGGGTAACGATTCATTTTTTCCACCTTAATTGATATTATTTATTTACTTCAGATATAACAGACTAGAGTGTTTATTTCAATTTTATAAATGATTAATATATGTATAAACATATTAATTATTAACGAATGTCTATCTATTTCTTCATTAGATTTAGAAAATGCTTCAAGTGTTCGTGAATGGTGTCTTGGTAAATAATATTCATAATCTTGTAAATAAAATAAAAATATGAAAAATAACTCAGTCAAGCTTAAAAAGTATAGAACAGAATATAAAAAAGAGCTGATACTGGGTTGGGTGCAGCAACTGTTGTGGTGAGAAGTTGGAAAAGTAGGATACATAAAGTTATTTCATTTATATCTATAAGCAACGGAAAACCTTTGCTTGACGAAAGACGATTCCGAGTGCAATTTGGTAATACATAATTTGAAGTGTTGTAATTTATTTGCGATTTTCGTTTAAATTTGATTTCAACACACTAATTAAAAAAAAAAAAAAGTTGTCCGATGATTTTGGAAATGATGTCGTAAGAAAGTAAATGAAAAAATCCAACAAAAAAGGTACTTTGTTGTTTTTCGGTTAAATCATTTTTCTGGTAGAAAACGTCGTCCGTGTTTTTATAAAATAATGAAATCATGAAATTTTACTTTTTCCAACGTGTTTTCTCACTTAAGTTCTTTTATTTAAAAAATGGCGTCTAAAATCAAGAAATTAGCTCTTTATAGTACCATCTAGACAATTTGAGTTTTCAGAGAAGTTTCGATTTGTAATGATCGGAGCAAGTTTACTAGGAAAAAAACCGTGTCCACGGGCTAGAACAAAGAACAAAGAAATAAACAGCATTGTAAAACCAATAGCTTCCTCGTTACGCTCGGAAAATGTCAGGACCTATAATTTCTATCATTACTTTGATAACAGATTAAATTTATTGCATTGAACATTCTGGATTTATATACTAAAATTAATAACGATGATTATTATTATTATAATTTTTTCTGTTGGGGCTATTTAAGTGCAACTGCTCTTAGTTACTCTCAAAAGTACCTTTTTTTTTTTCAATACCATTTGCCCTTATCTAATGATTCTAATGTATCAGTTGCTCCCAACACATTATAATAGAAATTTTTTTTTCAATGATAATAATAAATGACATCTTATACTATATTCTGGTAAGAAAAAAAAAACCGCATATAATGAAAATAATGAAAATGTTTTCAAATCAATTAGAAATGTAGTAATTCAATAAAATCGTCAGCGGTTTTTGTATAAATGTAGCTACCAGGTCTTACCTACCAAACTAAGTACCTACCTAAGTCTTGAAATATTATTTACTATTATTATTATTAATAATAAAGATTCAATGAAAATAATATGCATATTATGATAATACGTTATTACGATTTATGTTAATTATAATAAACTGTATACATATTGTGATAAATTTTAATAAAATTCCTCTTTTTTACTATAGTATGTATACGCGCTATTTTATACAGGGAGGATAACTGGTACATTTGGTTGAGGGTAACTGGTATATTTGGTTGGGAACAACTGGTATATTTATTAAATACCGAAAAGAGTCACTGAGGACAGCTGGTCGACACCCCTATTTAGATCGTCAACATGACTGTTGAATATTGTTGTCAAACATATTCTCCTCCATCTATCCCGATTTTTTGATAGCACTCGCTAACCTGAATTCCTATTATCTAATTCTGAGAAATTCTTTTTGACGAAATCATGTTAACCAAGTTGTAGTATTTTTACTTTTAGGGTTTTTTTTATGAATTTTTTGGCCATTTGATTCTTGTTTCTTCTATCTGTGATACTTTCAGATTCTTTCTCATAAAATAACGAGGCGAGATATTATGAGTAAGATAGCTCAAAATACTTGGTCGTTTTAACAGCGCCTCTGATCCCATATTGTATCTCTTAATCATAATGTAGAGATCCACTAAAAAAGGGTATTCTAAAATTTAACACCTAAAGAAGCTAAAAGAGGCAAAAGGAGTTAAATATAGAAACAGTTATTTTTAAAAGCTACAATACCTCTGAATAATGTAGGTTTTATTTTTATTTCAAAATTTCTCGGATTAAAGTTGTCCTAAACATTGTTGTGACAACAATATTATTATATATTACTGCAATATTTATTTATTAGTATTATTACGAATTATTTTACTGCGATCGTCCTTGGAATTTTCATTTCGACTTGGTGATAAATCATGATAATAGAAAACCTTGACACGTGTATATACTCATACAATCAATAAATTAGCTAAAATTAAATCTGCCTATGTAATAAAAGTTGTCCCTACTAAACAATGGGTTGTACATACAATTTTGTTTATGATACGGAACAGGTTATAATACAGATAATATTGATACATAGGCCAATTGAAAATAAAATTAAGAGCACTAATTGTTTTAAAATTTTCGTGAATAGTATATGTCACTTAAAATACAGTTTTATGAATTTTTAAATAGTGATGTCACAGTGAAAAATAATTAAAACTTTTTATATATAACTAGTGAAAGATATGATGTATTATTGAAAGAAGTCAAAGAATCAAAATCTGTCAATGTTAACAAAACAAATCACTATCGATGATTTAACGGTTTGATATTGTTAATATTATTGAAGTACGCAGGATTTTTTCAAAGGGGGTATCATAATATACATTAATTGATGATCTCCAATACAACTTATTTTTGCTAATATCGCTTGGGAACTATATTTAGATAGTTACTACCTTTTTTTTCTAGACATATTGTTTGGAAGATTTATTTTCAAATCAGAAAAAATAAGAATAGTAGTAATAATAATAATAATAATAATAGTTTTCTTGTCTGTGCCAACTGAATTATCATCCATATCACCAATGTAACCAAGTTAATCAAGGTAACAAGTTAATAAATAAACAATTAAATATTCCTAATAAAAATACCTAAAAACCTAATCATTGCAATTTTCGTAATGATACCTATTTTTTATAGTAATATAGCCTATATTACTCTGGGATAATATAGCATTATCATGGTGAAATGATTTTTGAAATTGGTTTAGTAGTTTTTGAATTTATCCAAATCTTTCTTATTTATAATATTAATAAGTATAGATTTTTTATCACAATATATAATAATTAAAAATAATATAAATGTGTGTACCTATCTATCTAATATACTTCAATAATAATTATATATGAGTAAAATCCGAATATACAGCAGGGAAAACAAATATCACAATATTTTTAAACAATTTCGAATTTTTACCAATGCTGGTTCTTTACCCTAAGATTTACCATATCTCGTATGTAAAAGTCCGAACTACAAAAATTACTCGGAGTTTGACCAAACTATTTTGTGTATCCTAGGTTTGACTGGTACTCGTACTTCTACCGTAATATATATATATTACACTTATTTACCTCAGCATATTTGTATAAGGAAACCAAATATTATATTTTAGATTTTGAGCGTAGTGAGAAATGTGTTGGTTTTACTATGATGTGTGATAATTATTTTTTTATTACATTTTAATATACAATTTTGAAAAAAAACGTAAATATTACGGTATTCTAAAATATGTATAACCGATGTTGCTCAGAATAGTATATAATTAAATATGGTTTATCATTACTCACAAATATAAATTAAATAACTTTATAAAACATATCTCATCAATTAGTTTTGGTTGTTTTTTTAATTTATTCATAGGTGTATATTATATAGATTGGAACACAATTAGAAAAAAACATCCGTCACCAAATCTAATCGGTTAACGCTTTGTGAGTAATTATTTAACTCTGTATAGGTAATAAAAAGCAACGGGCTACGAATTACAGGGAAATATAAGCCATCATAATAAAGCTAATCGATCGTCAAACTGAAGATACTATTGCAATATCATCTTTTGTTCGTTTATTTCTGATCAATTCAGCATCCTACACCATACTACAACAATATGAATAGTTTTAAAAAGAGCCGACCTGCTAATGGGTTTACTACTGTTGTAGGTAGAAAGTGAGAAGGAAGATTACATACTTTTTTTTAATTTCTATCTGTAGGGCAATGTAAATCATTGCTAAAGAAAATTTTGAGCCAAGTTCGGTTGTATATGTTTTGAAATGCAATACATTTTACGATTTTTGTCAAAATTTTAATTTAAAAAACTTGTAAAAAGAAAATAACGAAATCGTACGCACTTAATTTGTCCTTTTTTATTTAGTGTTTTTTTTCGGTTTTTCCTAGTTATGAAAAATTATTTGTTTACTTATAGACTCCAAAATACAACAAATAAAGGTATCTTGTTATTTTATAATTGCAGTAACATTTTTGGTAGAAAAAAAATATACACATAGTAGTAAAACCAATACGTTCCCCAATATCCTTTGAATCTTAAATGCTGATAGTCCAAATTGGTACCTATTCTCTATCTATATATATACATACATTAGAGTGGTTTTTAAAAACGAAGATCAAAATTTCAACTAATAATATTAATATCAATACATTTCGTATATTATGTATTTATGTATACATATTTTATTTATTTATAATTAATTCCAATTTAATATTTATTTATTTCATTTTGTTTTGTTATAATCAGATGGTTTAGAATTGACTTGTAAATGTAAGTTTATATGACATAATATAATTGTAGATGCAAACTAATGCTGTTTAGCAATAACTTGTTTTTTTTAAATACTATTAAAATCAGGGCTTCAAACCGAAATGATTTATTGTGGTTAATGGTTTTATTTTTCTTCTATTTTTTTCGGTTTCAAATGCCGCTTAATATTGATCCTACATATTATAGTTTTCAAAAACCGGTTTTCAGATTAATAAAACCTGTTAATTTTGTTTTTTTTTTTTTAAATTAATTTTTCTTAAGACAATATTATACAGGATCTGGGTATAACTGGACTATTTGACATTTTTACATATAACTACAATGTAAAAATGTCAAATAATTATATACAGATAGAAGACTCATAGACATATGTCTCGTCTACTTGATGAAATAAAAAATTTCATAAAAAACCTAAAAGTTAGCCACATAGTGGATGCGACATAAGTTTTTTCATAATATATTAATATTTGCTATTTTATAATAGCACCGATGATAACACTCAGCTGTCTAATCTCTAATCATAAAAGTATAAAACACAGTAGCCAACAATCTCATGTGTACTTAATTAGCATTAAAGGCCGTAATATAAAAAAGTTCAAAAACAAAAATAATTCTGGTTAAACATATGGTTTTCGTTCTATAAAATAATAAATTGTGGTTCCGTTTCCGTTTTGTTCATGTAAATTTTCCAATATAACCGGTTAATAACGAAATCAGTTATAACCGGTTTGATTAAAATATCAAAATTATAGTTACCATAATATGTACCTAAATATTTTTTTATTAAAAAAAAAAAATTAACTAACTATTAATTATATTTTATTGTTACATCAGAATTTAGAATATTTTCTACAACGCTATATAATTTACGTAACCTGCTCAACAAGTGTATTCCTGCAAATTACTTATTAAACATTAATTATTATAATGATATATATATAAGTATATAGAGATAGATATTGATGCATTGATTTATATTAAATAATGTGTTGACAAGCAATTTTATTCAACAGGTAACTTATATGCGGATTTTGGTGATGGTAAATATTAATTTAAATTAATTTATATTTATAATTTAAGAGCAGGTTAATTATGTGATGAAATTTTCAATTAGACAATTAATAAAACATTTTAAGAATTCGGGAAAGAAAAACATATATGCGTTATTGACTTTAAACAAGCATATTATAATTTTATAAAAGATTAGTTATGGAAGGCCTTAGAAGAATTTAATTATCAGCCAAATTAATTAATAATAAAAAATTCTAATGCATAGCAGTTGAAAAGTTTAAAATCATAGATACGAAACGTAGTTAGAGTAGTTGGTGTTGGCCATAAGCTCATAAAGAGAAATTGCTGATCTCCGAAAAAAAAAATACTGAGATATACGTCTTCGGATCTATAGTTTTATAATTGAAAATGAGGAATATTGAATAAGAATCATTAGAAATGTGTACCAAATGTACCTAATACTCAATATTAAGTCATTTATAAGAGGCACGCGTTTGGCGGGGCAAGTATGGATCATGATCCATACTTGCCCATGGATTATGGTTCATGAATCCAATTATATGATAATAAAAGAAATAATAGGCCCTAATCAATGGGAAAATTTACACACAAAACTCTACATCTGATGGTGACCGTTTGAAACTTATCTTCAATGAAATGAAGATAGATTCCCTATCAATTTCAACCGTCAGGGTAAACCTTCAGACTGGATCTATCCGTCGGAAACAACTCTTACGGATATCAAACATATTTTTGAAACACTACATGCACAGTTCAAATTACGTCATTCTCCAGATTTTAAAGACCTACGCTTTTCATCAGATCGAACGAGCGAGAACAAATAGCATTACTTTAGAAAGAACTCGAATTTTGTCACGAAAAAGGCGATACGGACAATTAAATAATACATAAAAGGTAACCCACAATTATAAATTTAAAAAACACGTAAAATTAAATCCATTTACTATTTCAATGTATTACCAATATGTACGTGATTTAAACACTAAAACCCATTTGTTAAACTTCCGCATTCCCTTATCTTGCTTCAAAGTTTATGCTTTTACTGAAACTTGGTTACCCAACAATAAAAATATATTAGAATTAGTCTTAAAAGAATATAATATTAATTCGATATTATAGAAATACTCAGATTACCAATCTTACCATAGATGATGGAGTGCTTATCGCTGTAGATAACAAATTACTGTTATACATTTTAATTGTGTTGATAAAATTAGATCATAAAAATGTTATAATAAGCCCTGTTTATATTTCTAATAAAGTATCTTTATAAGTATATTCAGAATAGTTTAATGTTATAAACGATACATATTATAAACATCCCAATTCAGATTTAATTTCACTTGGTGATTTAATATTCCCTTTGCAATTCTAGAAAATACAAACAATTTCTTGAATGAAAACATTTGTTTCTTAAATATGAAATATTTAACCATTACTAATTTAGCCATATTCAAACAACTCTTTTGGAATCTTTAAATATAAATGCACAAACAGATGTGATATATATTGATTTAAAATAAGCTTTTGATCGGATTGATCATAACTTATTGATATAAAAATTAAAATGTAATGGTATACAAGATCCACTTTTATCATGTTTTTCTTCATTTTTAACGGAAAGATTTCAAATTGTCAAATATAATGATTTTTTTCAAATCTGATATGTATTATATCTGGGGTAATTCAAGGAGACCATATTTGTCCACTATTATATTTCTACTATTCATAAGCGATATTTCTTCTGTACTAAAACATACTGAAATTCTACGTTTTGCCTATGACGCTAAAATATTTAAATTTATTAACTTCGTTTATTATAATTAGCAGAAGCTTTGGAATTACAATCAGATTTAGACGCATTTTGCGATTGATGCATTAATAACGGCATGGAACTAAATATAAGTAAATGTTTAATTATCTTATTCTCTCTCAAAAAAAAAAAAAACAAACTATTCTTAATTTTAATTACAATTTTTAGTTCCCATTCAGGTTACGAAAGAGTATCCAGATTTTTTAGCATTTCCATTTTAAAGAATCGTAGAAAATATCTATTTTTTATTTTTCTCTTTAAATTATTAAATAACAAAATTGAATGCCAAGAAATATTAGAAAAACTAAATTTTAAAGCAAAAACTATCGTTACAAGAAAAAATGATTTATTTATTTTAAAAAATATACGTACTAATTATTCTTTTTCCTCTCCCTTAAATTCACTAATGTCCAATGCGAATTCAGTAAAATTAGATTTTTTTGCAATATAAATGATATTAAGTCAACATTTAATGTACAATTATTTAAATTATGTTTCTATAAATTATTTTCTTTATCCCTCTCTCTCATATACTGTATTTTAAGCTGTCTTAATATTAGTTATTAAATTGTATTTTATTTGTTCACTGTTAATTGTTTAGAAATACTAGAAGTACTAGAAATAGTAAAAAAACGAAGGCATTGATTAGGTTATAGAAGTTGAAAAAGAAGATGCCAACTTATAATATTATTAATCATATATCAATAATTTATATTTTGTCTTGTCTTATCTAAATTAATAGTTGTTAAGAATAATTAAAGTAACTAACTATATTTTAAAATATGATTAAAGCATTTTTTGAAAAAGAAAATATTTTCTTTTACTGGTCCAGATTTTCTCTTTTCTCAGTGTAAGAGAGTCTAGGATTTATTGTAAACTTTATATAATAGTAAAAATAACGAAGCCAAATATTCAAATTTAGTTTTATTAATAGGAATACCTACTCATTACTTAATGCTCGTACTTGATTATAGAGAAATTTAATTAAGTTTTGTGATTTCTGGTTTTTATTACAAGGTGTAATTTGCTTGTAAAAAATTCGATAAAGATGATCGCTTGCAATGCTTTTTTTTTCTAATACGATTTTATGCGATTTTATTCTTCTTCCATGTTGTATTTTTAATTAGGATGTGAAAGTGGTGGAAAATGTGCAGAATATGCTTTCAAAAATTTAAGTAAGTTTATCAAATTAAAAACTTTTTCAAATAATAATTGAAATTGTCTACATCAACATTTGTTTTATCTATTGCTTCATGAATTTGTAGGATTTTTCCTAATATAAGTTACCATTTAAAAACCAAAAATTGGAATTAGTTTTACCAACATACACAGAAATAAAAACATAATAGCAAAAAAGAGCATAAACTGAGGAAAGGTTTACCACTGTTGTAGTGGGAAGTCAGAATGGTAGTAAACAAAAAGTTGTTTAATTTATATTTGTAAGAAATGATAAACCAATGCTAACAAAAAACGATTCAGAGTGAAGTTCACTTATACATGTTTTGAAAGGCTGTAATGTATACGATTTTTGTCAACATTTGTTTTTAAAATTGTTATAAAAAAAAAAAAAACCACATTAAACTAAATTTTATGTTTGGATACCTACCAAATAAAAATGATGTAAATAACTCGTATAATTTAAATTTCTATGAATAGCTCAATTGCTTTGAAAATTGTTCCACGTTAAGAAAAACAAATATAAGTTTTCTGTCAAAATTTCAATATATAATCTATAAATATTATTAACTGAATTGCATTACAAAACAAAATTAAAAATAATAAAATAATAATTTTCGTACATTTTCTATTTCTTTCTAAGTATTTTTCAGTTTTGCTCAATTATCAAAAAAATTACAAAGAAAATCAAAAAACAACTTTCATAATTACCACTAAATTTCTTTTTGCTTATCACCTACTTATCCTTGATCCTCTCCCTATAAATTCTTCATTTGATAAAAAAGATGCTCATAGACGAAAAAAAAGCACACATCATAGTAAAACCAATAGAAACTTCGTAACGCTCCGAATATAATACACTATTTTAGAACAACAGTATTTTACATTTTTAAAAAGAAAATTCTCTTAACTACTTTTCATGATAATGAATGTCTAAGTACTCTGCAAATATATTTTTTTTCGTTGTTACTAAAATAATTTAAAAATAATTTTTAGTTACTACTGAGATAAGGGGTAAGTTGATTTTATTTAAATTTGTATTATGATACTGTGTGGTTCATAACCATTAAAGTTAGATACAAAGTTAGTAAAGAAAGTTACGGCGACTTGTATACGCGTATACACTTGTGATAAAAGAAAAAAATTAACAAAAAGAACAGAAACTGCAGACGGGTACACCACTGTTGTAGGTGGGAAGTCGGGAAGGTAGCAAATAAAAGTTATTTAATTTATAGCCGTAAGAAACAATAAACCAATGCCAACAAAAAACAATTCAGAGTGAAGTTCACTTATACATGTTTTGAAAGGCTGTAATGTATACGATTTTTGTCAAAATTTGATTTTAAATACTAAATTACAATTAATTTTTTTTTTTTTGATCACTATGTACAACTTATAATGACTCTTCTGTCAAATTACCAAGCATTTGTATTTAGCCTAATAGTTTTTCTTACAGAGTAGGTAACTACCAAATAAAAATTATGTAAACAACGTATTAAATTAAAATGTTTATAAATAGCTCAAATAGCCCTAATGGTTTAAAAATTGTATTGCATCTAGAAAAAGTAAATTAAAATTCTTTCAAAGTTTCAAGTTTCTTTGAATATTTTTAACAAAATTCCAAAAGAAATTATTTTTAAAAACTTGGGAAAATCAAAAAATATTTCCTTTCTAATGCATAGACTAGATAAAATTTCTTTTTAGAAAAGATGCTATACTCCATACATTTGGGCAAGATTTCTATTAGAAAAGTTGTTTTACAGACACAAAAAAACATATGCACATCATAGTAAACCAATTCTATCCTTAGTTATGCTCTGAATCGAAAATAAGATATTACGTTGTATCAAAATATATTATTCTAATATCCATAGTAAAATAATGTTTATGATTTTACTAGATATTTCTGAAAAATACATGAAGTATCTTTTTGATTCAATTAAAGAAGGTACGTTATATGATATAGAAAACAAAATTATAAATCGGATTATTTTTGACATATTTTAAATATGATTTGTTCATTTAAACGTATTTTTATACTATAAACTATATTTTTAAGAGGATTTTACAATAATATTTTGCTATCATTATCTATCTTAATGGACAATGTAAAAAAAAGGAAGTACGAAAATTCGTACTTCTAATAGTTTAATAGGATTTAATAGGGTTTAATAAACCTAAAAATAAAAAAAATTAAGTCATCAAATAATTGACGACAACATATAGTATGCTTTCAAAGAGAGATGTTTTCTAAAATAAAATTAGAGTCTGTTTTTTTCCCAATTCGAGCAATGATCATAATATACTTAACAATATATTATAGTAAACAATTTGAAAAAAGAAGTATATAATCCATTTTTTTTTTCATTAGCTTTACCACCTTTGAATTTACCAGTTACATTTTGTAAATTGAAAGCAAGTAAGTATATATAAAAAAAAGCCCATTAAGCTTATTATTTTATTCATTGGTATATTATATAGTATAGATTACACCTTTTAATTTGACGTATTATTTGAATTTTAATAGTTGCTACTACCTTTATAATGTATACTAAAATGCTATTATTTAGTGGGGTTAAAACCGTTGAAAGTTGTTTTTAAGATTCAGTTTTCTATTTTCGAAAGTACCATTTTAATAGTTGTACAAAAGTACAGAGCAAAAATTTGTACCTGATATACATATAATAAAATATTTGTATTTATTATACATATAGATAAGGAATTATTTTATATAATTTTGTATTTTTTTCATTAGATTTCCTGTTTAGTAATTCAAGAATGAAAAATAATACGTATATAACAGCAATTATTAATGGTAAGTTAATGGCGAAGTCCAAATATAGCCTTGCTTTGGTATTACATTATTAAAAAAATATGAGGAAAAACGACCCGTTTTAAATTAAAATTTATTTAAAAAAAAAAAAATAATAATAAATCTGTTGGTGAATCAAAAAATAATATTAGTCTTTTTTTTACATTGAACTGATGGCCTATGTTAGCAAAATAGTTTATTCATTTTCTTAAATTTTTTTCTTGTGCTCAAATAAAAAACATCTAATCACTTGTTGTAAATAATAAATAATAATTAATTTATGCCCAAAAATACTTAATTTTTTTTCACGTTAAATAATCTGTATGTATAAAATCCAAACCCCACTAACTCATTGTTGGCTTCATTTCAAAAAAAAACTCAACGTATTCACTTGCAATTTGAAATAGTGGTTCCTCTAATACTTTCACCGTGCAATGAGAAAGCATTTTTAAAAATTCAACCCCTAAGGGGGTAAAATAGGAGTTTTTAAGTATATTAGACCCGAATATCTAATTACTTATTTATTTATTTATGTTTATTCAAGGGTTACCTTGGTGTTACGGAAAAAAAAACTATTATATTTATTATTAATATTATTACTATTGTTTGAATTATTAAAATTTCACAAAAGAACACATTTAGTCCACCGAAGGTGGACTACTCACTTTCCACCTATTTGTTTTCAATTCTGACACGGCCAAAATCAAAAATTAATATGGGTAAAATAATAATAATAGAAATTGACATAGGCAACACCGGGTGCAGGAAAGCTAATATGTATACATATTAATATAATAATTTTTTTTTAGATTTGGAGCGTAGGGACAGATTTATTAGATTTACTGTGATGTGTGCTTTTTTTAAAAATGTTTTTTCTGTCTGTAAATAACTTTTCGAAAAGAAATCTTTTTCCGATGTATAGAATATAGTAACTTGTTTGAAAGGAAATTTGGTCTAGTTGGTATAATAAAAGGGTAATTTTTTGATTTTGAGTTTTCAAAGTAATTAGGAAAATCCTTAAATAACATTGTAGGTGAAACGGTAAACATTTACAGTGAGCTTTTGTGTTACCGTTTTTATTGTTTTTAATATTTGTCCTCAATATTTACTCTTTTTTTCATTTACCTATGTTTTATTTGTAGGCGATTATCGTTATTATTTCTTAAACGTTAGTGATATATTGCATTCATTTATAATAGGGTTTTTTTTCGGGACTTTTTTGCTTTTATTTGTATATGATACCAGAAAATATAAACTTGTCTATGCATACTTATTTATTTTATTTATTTGGTTGAATAATATTTATTTGTATACTATGTTTAGAATGTGTAGGTATGTACAAATTTGTGTTATAATATTTATTTATTAACTGTGAGCATATTAACGACAGTTAATAGTTATTCATTAAATTATGTTTAATCTACCTATAGTGTTATATTAAACACATACTTATAATTTTGATATATATTAATTTATCTTGTTTTAAGTTAATGGTCGACTTGAAGTCGAATGATTGAGAATTACTATTATTATTTAGCTGAGATAATTTAACATTGTCTTCGTGTGTTTTAACATTTAACTTAACAAGGTAAATTTATTTTTCATTTACTTTTAAATTTTAACCGATAACTTAAATTGTTGAAATTATTTTCATTGACTCGCTACTTTCTTTGTTTAATCTGACATAAGTTAACCTAATAATGCATTCATTGTAAGCAGTTAAGACATTGTTTTTAAAATTTTAAATACAAAAGGAATACGTGAATCAATGTATGAACATTTTATTTGCCTACCGTTAAGGATAATACATTTGTTTTTATTTAATATTTCCCATATAATAATAATAATATAATATTAATTTGTTTACTATAATAATAGAAGACATTAAAGCAGAAGGGTTCTCCGGTAAGTTGAAATATTAAATAAGTATCTACCCACTTATAATGGCGTGGTGAATGCGGTATTTTGAGGCTTCTACAAAAATGACGAAAAGGTGGTAAGGCTATAGAACCACAGACTAGTGAGTTTGAAGTTATAACTAATAACAATTAATCATTGATGTCTGCGTAAGATATTTTGGTTAATTTAATTTACTAGAGATAACTTAACCTTATTACGTGAAAACATCGGTTTTCACACAAACTAATATAATTTAAAATGACTGTTACTTAGAAACTAGTCATCGGATATAAATGTATGATACATTAAATTTTTTAGAAAAATAAACTACAAAATGGATGACTTAAAATTATCCGAAAATAATAAAATAAAGTTACTTTTTTAATAAAAAAAAAAATTCATATATAAATATTTGTAATTCTTATTTTTGTGAGTAATATAAAAACAAACATAATTTGATTATCTTTATTATCTCCGGAAATATCCAAGGGGTATATTTTTGTGGGACAGCTTGTATATCTACGGAATATTTATTGTATACAAATATTATAAAATATAATAATTTTAAATTATAGTATTTATTTTACTTTTTTTTTCAGAGACGAATATTGAACAAAATAAAGAATTCGCATTTTTTCATAAGAGTAAATATCAAACTTACAGTGGCGTTTCTAGGATTTTTCAATAGAAATAAAAAAGGAGCTTCACTAATAAAACTAGTACAATAATTTGTTGTACTTAGTTAAACAAGTAGATGACAAATAGTGCAGACTGCAGATGTGCAATGATAATTGTTTTAATTTATCAGTGCTAAATAGTTCTTCTATAATAATAAAGCCCCCCCCCCCTAACTCCTCCGGGTATGCTATTGTCCACCTTAACTATAAACTATTTGTAGTTAAAAATATAATAGTTTTTAACTGTATAATACGAAAAATGTTCGTTAAATAAGTACCCCTAACATATAAATTCATTAAAATAATTTTACCAATAATTGTTTTTCTATTTGTATAAATTTATAATCGTAAATTCTAAATGTGCACACTTCTTATACCTCTCAGTTATACCAGTGATTCACTTTTTTCACTGTTTGACGAACATAAAACTGAATCATCAACTCTGTTTATTCATGGTTCTTTTAATAATATAAAAATATACTATTTAACTGGTTGACCGTCTGATAGCCACAGAAAATCACATCCATTTATAAAATTTGCGACTAAGATCTAAATCATTGTAAGATCAACATTCAAGTTTTCACCCTTTGAGCTAGAAAATCAGAATCAGATCTACCCAGTAGTTTTTGGATGATGCATAAATTAGATTTCAACCATTTTATTATTTGTATAGAATACTTTTACATAAAGATAGATAACAAGATTGTTTGTTTGTTTTCATTTATATACAAATTAACTTATCTTTGTACTTTTTTTTTAAAAAAAACTGTTTATTTGTAATTTTGTATTATTATTTTTGATTATTAACTATGAATTCCAGTAAATTTTTAAATTTATCATGGGTATACTTCAATTTTTTATGTATCTGAAATTCATCATATCATATCATAATTTTGATGGTGGGATAAATAAATTATTTAAACTATGTTTGAAAGAAAACGATTTAAACAATTGATTTAAATGACACTAAACCAGAGGTTCCCAACTTATGGTTCGTGGACCACTGGTCCACAGATATTGTGTGGTGGTCTACTAGCAATACCTATACAATTTAAAAATATTTAATTTTTCTATTGGGACGTGACACAAATACGGACAATCGTGAATAGTAAACTAGGACGAATTTTAAATATAATGATTTCGAAACGATAGGTATCCGAAGAAAGTATAATTCGAAACCCTTTTATTGTAAATTTCGATAATATACTTTATCATGACTAGGAAGATTTGATAGAGTTACTAAACGGTTGAAACTGTAAGGACACGTTTGAATCTAGCATGCTTATCGAAGAGTTTTGGTGTAAAAACGCAATTGCGTATCTTAATTTTTGAGAAGTCTTATTAAGATATTTTGTGATGTTTTCAACAACTTGTTTGTGTGAATAAGAATTTGCGGACTATTCTATATTAAAAATAAACAAAGAAACCGGTTGGACATGCCACTAAAGACATGCATACAGTTTTGAGCAGTATTTCCTCAAGAATACCTTTGTTATTAAAGGAAATGCAAGCCCAAAAATCACATTTAATTGTTTTTATAATAGTAATTTATGTTAAATTGTTGACGATTTTAATCTTTACTTAAAATTGATTAATTATTAACATTATTATTAGGAATTACCTAGAAGGAATTTCATTGTTTTTTATTTATTTCATAATCTTAATTCTAAAATCTGTGAAAATAATTTATTCTTATTTATAAGAAAAATAAGGTCTACAATTGAGGTAGTTCGAAACGTATCGAAAATTTTCTGGCCTGTCAAGTGTTATAACAATTGGGAACCACTGCACTAAATAAACATTTGTTTTAATCAGAAAAAAATTTCACTTAAAAGTTAAATTCATGAATTTCAGGTATCGAAATTCAATTTTTGTTTTTATTACTACCGAAAAGGGCTACATATTTTCGCCCAAATCTATCTACTGATTTGCACCCAAATGATCTTTTTCATAGAAACTCAAAAAGAATAATTTGGTTCTCACCCAAAGTAACATTATTCATCATAAACGAAAATAAAAATTTTGGTTACTAATGTATTTTTTTTATTGAATGTGATATTTAATCTTTTAGCTCATAAACTTTAACGTAAGTGTATACCTAAGTGTAAAAATTACAAAAAAAAAAAAAAAAAAATAGTATAATAATAAAAAACAAATTATTTGCAATTAACTCATTCTAACCAAACTTCGCTCCAAATCTATTTCGTTATCAATGGTTTATCGGTGGTTACAGGTATAAATAAAATAACTTTATGTATCCCCACCATTTCCACTACCTACCTACAGTGGCCGCACACGTCCCAGCATCAACTTTTTTTTTTATAATATGCTTTACACCTTTATTATATTTACATTGACTAATATTTTAAATATATCTATATGCCATAGCTTTGGCAAATAATTAATTTCTTATTATTATATTTTTTTTTTTTTTTATTGTTTTACACTTGGATATACATTTATATTACGTTTCTCAACTAAAAGATAAATAACACAACATAAACAAACAAATACAGTGGTAACCAAAATGTTTTTATTTTGTTTATGATAAATAACATTACTTTTGGGTGAAACCAAATCATTCTTTTTTTAGTTTGGGTAAAAAAGGTCATTTGGGCGAAAACAAGTTCGCCAACTAAAAAATCATAAAGAGTTCTTTAAAGTAGTTTTACAAAATTGCGCGAAACTAAAAATTAGTTAATAATATTTGATTTTATATTTTAAAATATATAATGTATCCTAAATAAAATGTTTAATTTGTTTAATTTTTAGGAGAAAAATCGTTGGCTCTCCCAAGTAAACAAATTTAATCTTAATAAATTTAGTACACAATTTTATAAGATGAATCCTTTTTTTTTTAAAAAAAAAGAGATTTATATATTCATTAAAATATATTGATCAGTGTTATAATCAGCTAATACGACATAGTATAGTAAACTTAATTGTAATATTGTCGGAACTCGTCTAATATGCTTCCTATCGTGAATCTGTTAATGTAGTATGTGAGGCTAGGTTAGGTTAGGTTAAGTTAGGTTCTGGAATCTATCTCTGGAACTACCAGTTGGATTTTAAAAATTGAGTAAAACATGATGGTGTATGTTAGTTATCGGTGATACCTTCTTAAGCTATAGAAGTGTATACGACGTTAGGTACCTGATTTTAGTTTCTAAGTAGAGCGAAGAAGGTTATGGTTTTACATAGATTTTTATTTTTTATTTTTATCTGTTAACAAATTTTCTACCAAATAATTGCTCGGATTTCTAAAAGTAGTACATTTTCTGAAAGAAAATCGGTGTAGAGAGGTACTTTAAGGAGATCATATTTCGATTTTCTCGGGTGTTTTCCCAGCAAATGTGAAAACTCGGGATAAAAAATTAAACAAATATTATTAAAGAAAATATATACAGCTCATTTAATTATTTTACTTTAAAATAACACATATATTATTGAAAAAGCATCATTATCAACTCCACTCAGCTCAGAATTGTTTTTTCGTAAGCAATGGTTTATCGTTGCTTACAGGTATACATTAAATTATCTATAACAGTGGATGTACTCGTGCCCGTTATTCTAGGACGTCTTTTTAAATATTATTATATGCAATGTTATCCTAGACAAATACAAATAAATCTTTGTGTGCAGTAGGTATTAACGGACCGCCACCATTCTTCTTTTAATTGTAAATCTAATAGATTTGTTGTGCCTAGGTTTTTATTTCCATATTTTGTTTTGGCACATCTCTAAAGTCCATATACATTCAATGGTTTTGTGTTTGTATCCCCGTTATAAGACTAATAAAAAACTTAAAATAATTGACTATTTCATAACTAAAACCTATGTATTTTAAGGTAGTATATACTGGTCATTGATCTGAATAAATTGGTCTCCAATTCTATTTCATTCTGTATTATTGGTATAATGTTATTTTATCTGTTTATCTACTTTAAAAAATCGTCATTTTAGAACTCTATCAACATCCTTAAAACACATACCGAAAATCCACGGCCTTGAGTGCGAGTACCGTAATTTCGTTGAATGATTATCAATAATGTCAGTATTTTAAGTAATTGATACATCGTCGTCTACACTTGGAATAATTTTTCCATTCCTCAATCTTCCTTTATTATATTTCCGTTTACTTTGAAATACTGACTTATCAATTCGAAAAATTTCACCTGAAATACCTATTTTTTTTAAACGCTTATCGAACATTGTAACTGCTACATCTTTACGGAGATTCTAGTCTACAATCGTATTGCGAGTTTTTGCTGTAAAATGTTGGGTTATTGAAATTGGTATTTGATACACTCAGTTTCAAGCTAATTCTATAAATCCCTTTCATTTAATGTTGAATCACTAGAAGCTTTATCATTTTTATCATTATATTTAAATACATATTTTTTTATTTTAAGAGTGGTAAGTTTGGCGACCTTTATTTTTAAACTATAAATAAGTAGTGTATAATAATAAATTACCATTCGAGTTCCTTTTGTGATCTCTATATTATCTTTCTTAAAGTGTGTTTGTCGTGATCTAGTGATTATACACGCTTATTATCATCCTAGGGTTTTTATACTACAGATAATAGTGAGTGGATGGACTGTGTGTTTAAATGTTCCCACTGATAACAAGGATGACCTGTCCTCTCCATTTTTTTTTTTGAAAAAATACAGCAAACGATGAATGCTAAACACATTCTATCACTTGGAATTGTTATTTACTTAAAACTCTGGATTTTCATAATCATTTTTAATCAATTTACATGCAACGTTTTGAATACACAAGATGAAATGGTACATTCCAAAACTCGGCTAAGTCATCTCCGTCTAAACCCAGCTAATAGTTAAAACATGATAAGGACATGATTATTATTATTTATTTATTTAAAAAAAAAAAAGTAATAATAATATAGATTATTTTAGTTTACTTTTTACTAATAATTTACTGAGTAAGGTCTATTCAAAACAGCTTCCATTTTAAATATATCGTTATTATCTTTTGTTTAGATTTATTTTATTTTTAAATATACTGATAAGAAAAATATGTTTTATCTTAAGTTTACGTGTCTTCATAGGTATACGAAAATTAATTAAATATTATATGAATTTAATTTCTAGGTTTTGTGTGGTCGTATATTTTTGAGGGGTTTTTTGACTTTGACTTTCAAAGTATGTATATTATTTTATAAGCCCTCAAATTAGTTAAAAATTACGTCTTTGAAAAGTATAGCCTAATCTTAGAATATTTTTATTATTAGGCGTAAAAGCAGATAAACCAGAGGAATGGTGTGATCGTGTATTACCGAAACTTGCACCGAAACCGAATGGACAGAAATTAGAAGAACTGGAAGAATCGGAATCGAATGAATCGGATTATGAATTGGAAGTATTGACTCTGGGAAAACCGGTTGAGCACCCTTCCTACTAAAAGAAAAATTAAGATACCCAAACTATTAAACCCTTAGCTTTTAGAACCCATATTTCTTAATACGAGCAATAATTTCAATTATTAGAAGCCTATTATATAAAATACAAATATTCCCAGTTCTTATAGGTTTTTATCGGTTCTTTGGGATTACATAGAAAATGATTGAAAAATAAATAAATTAATGTAATAAGAATTAACTACTATCATTGTTAAATAAAATATTCAATTTTTGGAAATTAAACAGAAATATTGTATTTATATGTGTTTTAGAATATCGGCAATAAGTATCATACATTATTTTTAGATAAAATATAATCCCGTTTCAAGATAACAGTTTAAAGTGTTTGTACCAGATTAAATTGAATAAATTCAGTAGCGATCATTATTACGGTAAAACTAACGAGAGACTATTCCATGGGTATGAAAAAAATTATTGTAATATTAATTTAATTTAATATACGTATTTAATACGTAATATGATACACATGATTAAAAGAATTATATGGTATCAAACATAGTTTTGGTTACAACCAGATTACTAACAGAGGTAAAATCGTCCATGAGGTGTTAATAAAGTTTGCCAACGTTTTCAACATCGATTCGTTAAATGTGCATCCCAAAATTAAAACGTTTTCCAACTCTGAATTTCCTTATTGTATGTTATTAAATTTGTATAAGTACTAAAGTATTAAAGGTTCAAACTGTGTTCACTGGGTACGTTAACTACACATATGCATGCTTCCTAGTGGCATCATAAATAAAATTTATTTTGTTAATTTCTAGTTCACTTCGATGAAAAAATAAAAAATACGTCCTAGGATAATGGGGATAAGTGCAGCCACTATTATAGATGATTTAATGTATAACTATAAGCATTACTTGCCAAAAAACGATTCCAAGTGGAGTTCAGTTGATAATAATGCTTTGTCAACAATATAAATATCATATAGTAAAATAATTAAATAGATTTCATATATTTTCTTTAATATTTGTTTAATGTTGTACCAATTTCCCCAGTTTTCCTACGTTTTTCTCGGTTTTTTCAGGTTTTATCCCGGTTTTTCACATTTGATTGAAAAAATGATCTCTCTAATGGTAATTTAAACCTTCCTGGTGAAATTTCCTTTTAGAAACATTTTTATCATTATAAGTTGGAGCAAAATTGCTCGTTGAAAAGTTGTGTACAGGAAAAAAAGAAGGTCGTAAAATATTTTAACTACTTAATAATTATATTTCTTATATTTTCCCATTTTTTTTTCGGTTTTTAAAATTTGATCAGAAAACGCCAGAGAAAATAGAAAATTGACCTCCTTAAAGTACCTCTCCACACCGATTTTATTTCAGAAAAGGTACTTCACTTAGAAATCCGAGCAGGTCTTCTGATAGAAAATTTTTTCACAGACAAAAAAAATAAAATAAACATCATTGTAAAACCATAAGATTCTTGGCTCTATTCAGAATCTAAAAATAGCTGATATGGGGGACGGATGCAGCCCCTATAGTAGGTGGAATTTGAGAAGTTTGGTAACATAATGTTATATAATTTATGTCTGTAAGGAAAGATAAATCCAATGAAAAACAACTCTGAGTGAAGTTCAATCAACATTTTTGAAATGCCGTACATTTTATGATTTTTGGTAATATTTGATTTTAAAACGCTTATACCAAAAAAAAGCTTATTTATTTGTTTTTTAGACCACTTAATACAACTCATAATGTACCTTATGTTAAATTTTACAGCATTTCTCTTTTGTTATATAATTTTAATAACAGATATATTTTACTAGTTAAAACTACATATTAAAACATGAAAGTATCAAACACCTATGAATAGCTTAAAAACATTAAGAACAATTTCAACATTTTATAACTTCTACATAAGGCCAATAAGTACCTTTTTTATAAAAACTACAGGTTCTACAATAGTTTTCAAACGAATTACAATAAAACACCCGAATACCGAACATTTTACGGTATTTTCTAAGTATTCTCTCAGTTTTTCTTAATTATTAAGAAAACTATTCGAAAAATTAAGTAACGACGTTTTTACTTACAAATTAAACAAAATTTTATTTCAGAAAATATGCTTTTTTTGAAACTTGGATATAGATTTATAGTAGGAAAATATAATCTTAACAATTTCAAATAATGAAATTGTTGCACCGTAATTTGGAAAAAAATCGTATTTTTCGTCATTTTTGGTTTTTTAGAATTATTATAAAAATAACTTCAGGTATCAAAAAAAGAGTTTCTTTATCAGTGGCTATATATTAAAAGAAACAAAATCGATCTATTATAATCCAAGTGTTCAAAATTATTGGCTTTAAGTACACTTAAAAATTCCAAAAATCAGAATTTTAATATTTACAAAATTTAACCAAACAAATTGATTAAGCATGCTTAGTGAATCACCCAGTACACACTATACAATGTACCAATTATTTGAAGATTTTTGTAGATTTTTAAAAATTTTAAAAAAAAAAAAATAATCTTTTGTTTTTAAACTGTTAAGACAATTATTTTTTGCGGTAATCAATAAGTCGGTGATATTTGTAAAATCTAACTTAAAAAATACATTGTTGGATTATGGAATTTTGATTTAGGAAAACTCAGTAGATTAGATGTTTGCAAGTTTAAGAAGAAACACACGGATATTTGTGATTTATTTTCTAGTTAAAAATGATTATACAATTTTCAATAATGTAAGTTTATTAGAATATGTTTAATATATGTAGCACCCGGAATTATTTTTCATTTTGCAACGATTTATTCAACAACAACCATTTTTTTTTCTAACAGTGGCATATCCATGGTGTGAAGTATCTCTTCTTTTTTTTTAACTCTATTGAATAATATTTGAAAAAAAAAATCATTATTTGGAATACTGCGGATTCGTTTGATTACATTTTTCTCTTTCTTATATTTTTTTTCTCGAATATCCGTTCATTATAATATTAATATCTAACCCCCCAAATGATGAATTTCTCTCTTCCAGTGTTTTTATTCTCGCGGTGTCCATTATATTATTCGTACCCTCATGTACGGCGGCAATCTCTTTAATTAAATCCTTCCTCTAGGCTTCATTATTATTATTTAATTTTTTTTTTTTAATAGTCTGAATATGAGTTTTAGTTTTAGTTAACCCTTTCGTGTTAAAAAATAAACTATTTTTGAATACTACCATAATATGATAAAAAAAATAATGTACTTTTATATCGAATAATTGATTTATATATTATAATTTCAGTAAAGGCTGTATCATTTATTCATTATTGATGTAAATGATATACATACGTATACATCATATGATGTATACGACAAATATTTTCGAGTATTTTTAACCTAGCCGAATTCGTAATTATTGTTTTATAAAAAAATATATATTGTAGTTAAAAGCAAGAAAATAAATTAAATTATTTTATGTCACCAAATTTCTGTTGGTGTTATTTACTCCCCTTGAAAACTAAATTCAAAACGTATTTTACGTTTAACACAAACACTACGTTATACTGTATTTATACACTCGTATGGTTATTAATATTTCAAGACTTCCGGAAAATTATTTTTTGCGAGTTCTGACAACCATATAAAATCGATTTCCTTAAAATCGCCGTGTGCATCGCGTAAATTTAACCGTATTCAACACGTCTGTCGGGAGTTTTTTTTTATAAGTTATGTATATACGTTTAGGAAAACTATATATTGAGAAAATCGTAAAACGACTCGTTTAAAGTACCGTTCAATTTTCTATAAAAAAAAAAAAAAGAAACCGAGGCGTTTTCGATCATTTTTACCGTCACAAAGGGTGTTTTCTTAACACACACATCACGCCCGTACGTTATTGTAAAAGACTAATAGCGTTGTCGATCTCCTTGGAATCTTTAAAACGAAATATTGTACATATCGCGCGTATTAAAATCTTGTATACAGGCCATAGGATGGTTTTTTCGAGAATGTATAAAGAAACCATAAATAGTATAAACGTACAAAAGCGTCCAACTTGAAAATATGGGTTTTCAACGTTGGCATTGTGTACTTATGAACAAAAACAAATACAATTTATCAAATAAAAATTCTATGTATATTATCATTATTATTACCGAATAAAATAAATACAATATAGGTAAATGATAAAACCATTAAGTTGTTGGCTATTTGGATTTGGGGATTGGTCCAAGACTGAGGAGGTCTACAATACATTTTGCAACCAATCGTTTCGTTTACAATAATCGACAAGCGAGTTTAAAATTAGATTACATAAAACGAAAATATACGTTTGACTCTAAACGCGTATTAAAACGGAAAACGACTTAAACTCGTATACGGAACAGAACTTGGAAAAGCTATTATTAAAAAAAAATATTGCAAAAGTCGTTTATCGCGCGAATAATTTACAAAACTTTCTTTTATTTCAATGTTTCGTTCTCTATAATAAAATCGTTATACATAATTTAATTCAACAGATACGGTTTTTGATTTAACACTGTGGCTTTTTGGTTTTACGATTTTTTAATATTCATAAATCATGAATGATGTTTAATCATTATCGTTTACCCTTTTAACTATGACATATTTATTTTTCTATAGCACGATTTGCAGAACCTTATGAAAACATTAAAAATATCCCGGGAAAAACATTAAAAACATTCCAGGAAATATGTATTCTACTGGCCCCTTTTTACTTTATATCATCAATAAATCACTTTCCCTTGAAAGTGTCCTCACGGTCGAGTGTTTATTCAATACGGGCAACCGATGGCCTACGTCCTACTGCAAGCTTTTGATAGCATATTATATGCCTCTAAAATAAACTAATGTAATTCCTAATGGATTTATTAAATGCTTCAAGATAGCTTAACTATAGTAACTGATGAACGGTTTATTGTCAGCCCTTCAAGAAATATTTTACAACTTCACAGAAAAATTATCAACAATATCTTGTATTGTTTTAGACTCATTAAGTCACGTATCCTGGTAATTTACGGACCCCATCTGACCTTACCAGGTTTGCCTAACTCAATTGTATTGTGGCCTACCGGGAAATTTCCTGGTGACCCAGTGGTCTAGTCCAACTCTAATTATGCGTTTATCAAGAACCAGCGATTATTGAAGGAACATTTTGAATAAATTTGATTTTTTAATTTTGATTATTTCAGTTATTATTACAGTCGACTCTTGATAGTTCGATATTTTTAATGGTTTGATGCTCGTTGCCTTGAAATCTCGTAGTAATCCGAATAAAAATAATGTATGTATGTATGATTTCGTTTTACAGGTACAATTTTGATTTGATTAATTGTAAGGGCATTTTAAAAACCTTTGAAATCAATTTGATGAAATATAAATACAATACACACAAAGTATCTACCTAATGACAGTATAAATATTAGGATGTTGTACCACTGTATTATTATATACTTCGTTTTCTATACTATATAAGGTTTAATAACAATATGTTTGATTTAATAGCCAAAATGGTAAAAAGTCAGCCAGGTAACTGTACTCTGTGAAAATAAAAATAATAAACATACTTGACAATAAAAGGAAGCCCCCCCCCTCGTTTATTTTCTGTATTAGCCGTATACACATGGCCACGCGTAAACATCAAATTTTCCGTTTAAGCGCGTCGCGTTATTTACGTATTCAAAAAATGTCAGCTATCGTAAATATTTTTTTTTATACTTTTGAGATGAAGAGGGTGATAATGATAATGATAATAATAAACTAATCGGAGACAGCTATATATGTATTATAAAGCGACAATTGCAGGAATGTTTTTTAGTGTCGGTGTCTTTGCAGGAATCCGTATGAAACGGAAACGTGCACATAAATTAATTTTTCTCCCCACGAAAATGTCAACCGACCTAAGGCTTCGTCACAATCGGCCGAATTTACAGAATTCCATTATATAAAAGGAGAAGGAGGAGCTAAAAAAAAAAAAACCAGAAAAAGACGAAGAAGTGGACGGAATTTTTGACCCAACGTAAGAGACCTAACGCCGTTATACGGTTAGAATTTATAGACTAAGACCATTCTTACAATGTATCACGAAAACATGGCATTTGATTGAAACAACGTAATGGCGATGGAGATTCGTATGTTACCATACCAGTCAATTGTATCGAGGTGGATGTCTTTGGTGCGGGTACACTCAAAATTAAAAACTGATTAAAATCATCATAATAAAGAAAAACTCCAGAGACAAGTTTAACGTGAGTTCGCCTCAATTTTCCATGGATCTTGTTTATTTTTCATGAGCAAAACTTGTTTTAATCGCTAACATCCTTGTTATTAACACAAATATTTTATATTTTTAAATATTAAAAATACTGTATAGTCAATAGTTGACTGTTTATAGTGATACAAATAATATCATACAATATTTATTAATTACTATCTATATTAAGAATCTTAACATGAATTTTCTTTATTGGTTTTAGGCTTCTATGAATAACTATCCCATTCATCAACAATATCTGTATCATTACACACAAATAGTTATTGTTTAGTCAACAATGAATTTCTAAATGAACCACTAGACGACAAACCACTAACTATACAAACCAATCATACCATGCATAAGTTTTAAGTAGGTAATTTCAACGCAGCTAAGACGACAGAATATTGTAATATTTTCAATTTTGTAGGGGATAATAGTAATTAAGTAACATATTATAAAATTTTCGGTAAAAATATACTCTTAAGTTACAATAATAATATCAGAAAAAAATTTGATAGTTTTTGAACGAAATTTTATACTTTGGTTAAATTATTAATGTACAATATTAATCTCGATCGTGTAAACTTTTTTTTTGGAAATTTATTTGTACATTTATTGTCATCATAACACTCGCAGCAAAAGCTACTAATTTTTTAAGTTTTTATTGGGGAAACGGCATTTGTAGTGTCAAACACTTTGAATTAAATAAAATTCTATGATTATAATTACTCACATTAAAACGAAGTTTGTTTTTATTTCTACTTTTTGCCAACGATTGGAAAAGTCGGGAACAGCACAGGTAGTCTGAGACTTAAGTTTAGATAATTCCACCGTACATTTACATCATCGGGACTATTAATTTTAATAAAATATAATAATAATAGTCCATGCAGAAAATCATCGCAGATTTCCGGCAAGAAGCGTCGTCGTCGGTTTATTTTAGCGATTTTCCCGAGTGCATACGTGAAGTACTATTACGATAATAATATACGAACGAAGAAAACTCGCATATACTTCCGGTATTGTGCGATATCCGGTTAAGACGTTTTTGCCCTACGGAAATATTACATTATTATTATTATATTTGAATATCCATTTCGTAACGGCACTTTCGCTATGGTTTTTCACTTTTCCGGGACGGTGAGTGCTGTGAGGGGGCCCGTCAATTTTACGTCCGATGCACGTTCTGAGTATGTATAAATATATACGATACGAGTATTATATTGTACTTATACGCAAACGGAGTAGATAAGAGTGGAAACCGGCAGCTTTTCAACCCCCTTACTCCCTAATAAAAAAAACCCGAGTAATACCTCTACGACGGAGTGGTGAAAATAAAATAAAAATACACACTCTTATGAAAGCATTATAGCAATTGAATATATTTGTATGTATACTTACTATATTATACATTTACAATAATATGCGTATATTAGAAGGTTTTAATTTTTTTAATCGTGATCCATCATTTTTTTCTGATGATTTTTAAGTGAATTTGATTTCTGTACTTCTATTTTTTTCAATTTTTTACTTCTACTCCATATACATTAAAAATGAATATTTCAAGTTTTCAAATAGGTATATACAGTTTTCTTTTTCAACACAGATTTGAACGGAGAATATTTGTCTAAACCATTTTGATAAGCATTTCATTTTAATAATACATCACGTTTATAAAGTACAACAAAATGTTTAAAAATATAATACTATTCTCTATTCGAACCTATAGAGATAAAAAGGAGGAGTAGTACATTCTAAAATCAAAAGTTAATAGGGTGGGAAAGTGGGGTAGAATGTATGAAAAAAAAAAACGGACGTACATTGCACGATGAGTAAATGAAAATTCCGGTAAAAAGTTGCCTGCTACATAATTATAGGTATTTTCCTTTAAGCATTAAAAAAATATTAAAAATCACGAATTTCATGAAAATAAAAAGTTGAAACGTCAACATTTTCAAAAGAATAAACTCGGTAAAATGGTTATCTTCAAAATTTTTCGAAATTATTAAAATTAATTATTAGTTATTTTAATTTAAATATCAATATTTGTATTCCTTATCCCTGTGAGTAATTTATATAAATAAAAATGAATTGCTCAAAACGTGCAAAACTTGAGAATGGCTGAACCAATTTGACTGTTTATTTTTTTTTTACTTTTTAAATATTTGTTTAACCCTTAGGAAGGTTTTTTTAATAGAAAAATTAGATAAATGGTTTAGAAAACTGAAAAAAAAATGTTTACTTTTTTTAAGCATAGATTGTAAAAAAAAAAAAAAAAGGGTAAAAGAACAAGAAATTGAATTTCAATGTAATTTTTTTTTTAAAATCTGATAAAATGAAATTTGTCCACCATTTGTGTATTCATTTTAAGAAACAACAAATAAAATAAATAATACGATTATAATAATAATATATTTGTTATATTAAATGTATGAATGGAGATTTCAATGAGTTTATAAGTATGACACCACTCTAAAAATCAAAGTTTGTGATTTAAATTTTTTGATTTTCTCAATTTATTTAAAACACGGGAAAAAACCGAGGAAAAATGAGACAGCGGGAAAATAGGTACGATATTAAATAAATATTATTAAAAAGATGTCTTATGATAAGGGGGACGGGTTGTAAGTGGGAATTTGGGAAAGTAGGATACAGAATGAAATTTAATGTTTATCTATATGCAACATGACATCATAAAGGTACATAAGGTACATATTTTATTTAATACTTTGTTTAAAACTGTAGTATTGTTCCAATTTTCCTGTTTTTTCTTGGTTTTGCCATGTTTTTCTCGGTTTTTCACATTTTATGGGAAAACTTTTGAGAAAATCGAAAAATTACCTATTTAAAGTACCTTTCCTATCAGATTTCCTTTCTAAAAAAAATGCTATTATTGTAAATTGGAGCCAAATTTCTGGTAGAAAAGATGTGTACAGGAAAAAAGAAAGCCGTACTATTTTAGATTTTGAGTGGAGCCGAAAAATGGTTATGTGGATGGTTAACAAAGATGTTTATATTTTTTTTTTCTTTGGACAACTTAGAGATCTACCAGAGATCTTACTCCTAATTTTATTGCTAGCACCTTTTCTAAAAGGAAATCAGTGTGGGGAAGTATTTAATGGAGGTAATTTTTTAATTTCGTACATATAAAGCTATTATGACGTAGGCATCCGATAAGAAAGGAGTTTTGAAAATTCAACTTCTAAGGGGGTAATGTAGGGGTTTTTAAGTATATTTGGTACGAATATTAAATTGCTTATTTATTAATTTTTATTTATTCAAAGGTTACCTTAATGTCACGGATGATAACTTGGTTACCATGAAAAAAAAACTATTCTAATTATTATTACTATTATTTACCCTATTAACATTTTACAGTATAACACATTTAGTCCACTGAAGGTGAGCTACGTGGGTAGCTTTCTACCACTTTCTACCTATTTGTTTTCATTCAATTCTAACACTGTCAAAATCGAAAATAAATATGAGTAAAATAATAATTAGCACGGTCAAAGCTGGGTTCGGGGCAGCTAGCATACAATATATTAGATATAAAAAAAAAAAAATATATAATTTAATTATCTTTATTTTCTTTGGGAATATGGGTACATCTTCGTGGTAAACGAAATCAAATTTACTTAAAATTATTTGAGAAATTCGCTGCATTATGTTAAATGCAAGTTACCCTGTATATAAATCATAATTATACCATGCATAATACAAAGTACACCTTATAGTATATCCGGTTGATTTGCTTTCAGTATCGTTTTCTACAGTCGCGAGTGTATTCCTCTAAAATTATTTTTCCTCTTTTATCGCTCTTCTTCTTGTCCCAATTATGGCATATTGCTCCCGCCACGATACTTTGTTTCGGAATACAATACCCGAGAGTGCGTTTAGGTGAATAACGCTTATCCTTTTATGTTGATCGGTTGTCAGAGAAAAGAACAGTAAAAATTGAAATATTAAAAAAAACTGAATATTTTGTTTTTATTACAATTACATTCAATGTTGTTAGGCGTTTAATCGAGATATCATATACTATATGGTGATTTAGGTGGGTAGTAGTTTGAAATATATTATATTTTTGTACTTAAATTGAAATTCACAATAATTTGCCTAGTTATTTAAACGAATATCGTGGACATTTTAACTCTAAGCTAAGTGCTTAGAATAAAGTGTGTAAAAGCAGTATAAAAGATTTATTCCAAATAAATCCTAACCAGCATAATATTATTAGCTAATAGTTGAGGGGAATAATCCGGATTGCCTGGCAATTTTAAAATAGTCATGAACACTAGAAAAGTATTTAAGATAAACATAAAGAAAAATCTAATAAATTATAAATAAATCAAATTGAATATTGTGGTATCCAAAATGAAGATTTTTGATTTTCGAAATGCTGTTTTTGGAGAATCCCGGAGTCGCGTGTTACATCGCTGTTGTCCATTGGGTTTTTACAAAGGGATGCGAAATTCTCTGGACGGGTGATTTATTATCCGGAAACATTTCCATATCGGCTGTGTAATCACCGGACAAACTAAAGCTAGTATACCGGGTCGTTTCCTGATTAAAATGTAGATTTTGATCCCGGTGTTTCGTATGGTCGATTAGTGGACGCGTATACACACAGAGTGATTTGATTTTGTTTCATATTCCCGTGTCAAAACAGGATTGTTTTATGATATCATATTATTATTTGCAATACAATTTGTTTTCAAAATTGTACTCTTATTCCGTATATATAGACACCATAAACATTTAGCCACTTCCAATTTTTAAATAGCAACCTACATTTTTAAAATAATAATATTATTGAATTAAAAAAAAGAAAATTAATTTACACGAATTATTAGGTATATTGTACTCGTTGCTTGATCATCAAGTTTCTTGAAATCCAAAAGCTGTGTTTGGTTAAGATAACTCAAAAAAATTATTTAGATAAATATGAATGATAATTCAAGAAAGAAATTTTATCTAGATTCTAGATGAAGATATGTAATATGAAAAATTCGAATTTATTTAGATAAATATAGATGATAAATACATTTTGATCTAGAAAAGTAAAATAATTGAATTTATTTATTTTTAATAACACAGAGCTAGAGGTCACTCGACAAATGCATGGTTTTTTTTAAAGTCAATTTAGAAAAATGAACTTAAAATTAAAAGTCAATAGTAAAAAGTTAATTAAATTTTCTTCTTTTATAATTCATTAAGTTGGAAATCTAAAATTTCATCAATTTAATTTAACTACATAACTCATTTATTAAGACATTAATAAATGAACTTGTCCATGGACTATGTAGAATCAATGATACTACTAATCTCGTTAAAAAATAACACAAATTATAATTAAGATATTTTCATTCTATCAGTAATTCTGGTTATTTAACATTTTTCATTAAAAAAAAAAATAATAATAATATAAATGATTTAGATAACTTTAAAATATCTACCTACATAATAAAACTATAATTAATTTGTTATCTAGATCATTTATATCTAAATCAATTCAATAATTTCCCAAATATATATTTTCCGTCGGTTTCGATAAATCGATCGTTAACGACGGTGACGACGACGGCATCACATTAAAATGGCTAGCTGAATTTTTCACATGACGGAACTTCAAACAAAAAGTATACACACCGTAACGCGATAATCGCATTTTTAAAATTATTCACGTTGAAACGCGTTTAAAACAAATTAAAAATCAATCCGACGAGCTAAAAGTACGTATATACGCAGTCACGTTTATCTCAAAAAAAAAAAAAAAAACACCAATGAATTTTATATGAATTCCCAATAAAGTTCTAATTTTCCAGACACGGCCAATTAGTTTACGAAATGGAATTTCTTTCTTGACAATAGTCGTTTGCGCAGTTCGTTCGATAAAAAAAAACATTTTACATAAACACGAAACTTTTATTGCTTGATTATTAAATAAATAATATTGAGTTTTTATAATTATAATAATTATTTTAAGGCTTTTAATTATCGAATACATATCGTAATTTTGAATACTTTTTTTTTTATTGTCAGCATTAATCGATGACGTAATGTATACCGAAAGATTAATAGCATTTAGTTTAAAATATCGATAATTATTATTATTATTTATTTTTTTAAATATAAAACATTTTAAGCATCATAGATACGCGCCATAGATACATGATTTTTCTAAATCCTCTTTTATTTTATATAACCCAAGGTTCTCTGGGAATTTCAACTTTGAAATACCTACATATATTAAAGAATTAAATGATCTTTGTTTTTATTTTCATTAGTAATTGATATTTTATCTACTCTTTGAAACATTTTAGATTCTGTTTGGAGCGAGGATTGTATTGGTATTACAGTTATATTTATTTTTCCTGTGAAAACATTTGCTAGATACCAGAAATTTTCACTGATTTTCCAGTTTAGCACCTTTTCTTGAAAGAAAGTTTTTTGGGAAGGGGAAATTTTTTTGTTTTTCCCATGGATTTTCATAAAAAATGTGAAAAACAAAGGAAAAACCGGAAAATGTATGAATTATATTATTTTCAAATTGTAAATATTACGGCCTTTTATAACATGTACAACCGAACTTCGCTCAAAATCATTTTGTCGTATTGATCTTTGCAGATATACATATAGCTACTAAAAAATACATTCATAAATGCAGTAGTAGTTTAAATAATTTTTGGTGTAGACATTTCTAATTTCAGTCATCTCGTTGATGAGATATTCCATTTTTATGTTTAGGTAAGAAAAAGTGGTGGAACACTATTAAAATGCCGCGTGCCGTGCGCCGCATTAATTATACTGTCCTTGATTCCGCTGAAACTTAAATGTGGAATAACTCGTCAACAGGTTAAAATAAATTAAAAATTCAATACCAAATTTAATTTAAACTATTACTCCATATATTTATAGAATTGTTTACATATTGATTTCACTTGAAAACCACTAGCTTAAACCCCTAAAATAAGAATATTAAAAAAAAATTAATTTAAAATTTAAGAACTACGTACTTATTTCTTAAGCGTTCTAAAAAATAAATCCCGAAAAAAGATTATAGTTTCCGATATAATAGGTATATTATGTTCTTTTGATTACTCTTTATAATCATAATAATATATTATACGTTTAAACTTTTAGATACTGAATAAAGAGAGAAATATATTGGTTTTACTATGATTTGTGTCTGCAAATAACTTTTCTACCAGAAATTATGCTCCAAGTATAAGCTTTATATGAACTTTCACGTGTCATGTATTTGGTGCATTATTTGATTTCACTTGCAGTTATTTTAATAAATGATCAAAATTTACGACTTTCTGTAAAATTGTGGTTCATTTTTTAATTACCTTGACAACAAAGGAATAAATACAACTAAACAAATAATACGCTTATCAAAATCGTTTTTCGTTAGCAATGATTTATCATTGTGTACGGATATAAATTAAATTACCTACTCAATATAATCCACAATTTCAACTGTCCTCTTAAAACGTTGAAACACCCATCATCAGTTTAAGCCTTGATTTAAATTAATCGAACAATATTATCAAGTCGAAATAATTAATGTGATAAATACAGGGTCATATTGCTGATTAAATCATGATTCTCGTAATAGTTCTTGATGGTCACAAATACTTACATTAACCGAATAGTATGTAAATATATAGTTTCAAGTATATTTCTACTGATAGTTTTTAAATTTGATACAAATCAAAGGAAAACAATTTCTGCATAACGTTTGGCCAGTTGTGACAAAAAAAAAAAAAAAAAAAAAAACGAAAACTTATAAAGTTACAAGATAATAATATTGTTATCAGTTGAACAAAAATATATTTGACAAGAATCGTTCAGTTATGTATATTCATTCGATAATAAGGGTTTAAATCGATTGTTTAATAAAAATAAAAAAACCGAAGTAATAATATATTTTTTGACATTTGTACTTAACCGAAAACAACCGTATTTGTTTTTCCAACAACGATGATTTTTTTTGTTACCGATTTTATTTTTCATCCAATATTACATTGAGTCGGATTGTCGGACTTGTGCTGAAGTATTTACGTACAGTGCAGTCATCTATACTCAAAAATATAACAATATCGTGGCATGACCTACTCATCACAAAATCAAAATCAAAAATTAACTGTTTTTTTTTTTTTTTTTTTTTTTTTTTTTAATATTATAATATATTAAAATTGTCAAGTATTTATCTTGACCAAATTACGGCCGAAAAGTGCTTGGCGATTTGTCCCAATTATCCAAAACTAGTGTTACTGAGAATAGGGTATCTAAAAGATCAAAAATCGAAAAACGATCTCTTTAATGCAACAACCAGATCAAAAATGTAACAAAAATAGTCTCGTGTCATTTTATTATAAGTGCAAGTTTTCTGTTCGAAAAATCGTTTATGACTAGAAAAAAAGTACATCACTCTGTTCAAAATCTTAAACAGATCATATTAGTTAAATCCATAAGAAGTCTCGTTAAGAAACTAAAAGGATATGAAGAAAACACCAGGACATACGGACATGAGTACAATTTATTTTACACTCATCGTACACCTATAATATTATACTGACCGAGAGACGGTTAATTTTTCACTTACTCGATATATTGTCGGAAAATACACGCGTGATGTAAAAGGCGAGACGCGGAATTTTTCCCCTTTTTTTTTCTACAACGCCGGAGCATTACGATATCTCGCGGATAGCTGACAAACGGTTTTTGACGGAAATACGTGTGATCCAGAGAGCGCAAAGATGAAAATCGAGAACGAAAAAACAACCACAATGATGGCGGAAGTGAGTGGGATGACGGTGGAAAAAAAAAATAAAAAATTTCACGGTCCAGTCACGCGCCCAACGTTTCGCTGTCAACGAGATTAATCGCCTTACACGGCATTTGTGAAATTTACCTTTTCATACAAACACATGCACACGCTCATACACACACACGTGCGTTTTCTTCAATGGTGGCCGGAAAAAACAATAAACGTCCGTCTAACTTATAGACGTATTATAAAAAAAAAAAAATACATGCAGGAATGATGATGGCCGTGCAGACGTAATATTATAATAGTCTTAGAAGAAATGTCTAATATTAAAATATTTTAATTTGAGTACATGGTATAGTAATATTTAGGTCCCGAACATCATCTCTAAAAATTAGTAAAATTATTGCACTAAAAATGCAGTTTTTTTTAAAAAAAAAAAGGCTGATGATGGGTGTGCCACTGCTTTAGGAGGGTAGTTAAAATAAAGGATAATTATATATTATCATATAGTAATTTTACTTATACCAGTATACAATGATAAACCATTGCTAATGATAAACAATGCTGAGCAGAGAAGTATTAATCGTGTTTTCCCCATGTTGCTAAGGTACTTAACTCAGAAATCAAAAAAAAATTATTTCTAAAAATTTCTATCGCCGAGTACTTGGTGGTAGATACCTATGCATATTTTTTCTTTTCGAATATTCGAAAATTTGGATTGTGAAGACAAATTATCGCTTGCTCATATAATATTGCCTGACGTGCGACTCCGAAGAAGTAAATTTGTTTACATGTCGACTCCGCTTACAAAAAAAAAAAAAAAAAAACACACGGTCTGTATTAGCTGTTTTCTACTCGAATATACATATATTATTCATAGACGCACATTCACGTCGTCGACGTCGTATTATAGTGGTTTACATAAAATCCGGCGAGCACTCACGAAATGAAGCTTTGATGTATTTCCACGCCGAAATACTATAATAGACGAAGGGTACCTATACGCGAACTGAAACATTTTTACTTTATTTTTTCCCCCGACATATACACATATATATTAGATACTCCTCGTATACAAACTAATTTTCTGGATTTTTAAAAAAATAAATAAAATTGACGAATTTCGATTTAAAATGCATTCGACGTTTGAAGCGCCTACGTACGAATGTCAATAGCTTTTAGGCGAAAGGAACCCTCCCAAAAAAAAAAAAAATTGTCCCCATATTATATTATTTTATACTGATATTGGCGATTAGTCAGTATAAATTTCGCTTTGAGTACTTTAAAGTAAACATAATATTATTATGAACTGTCGTTTATAACTTAAATTTAAAAATTAAATTGTTTGTTATGAAACGGCCACACTGAAGCACCAGTTGGTCCAGAAAATACAGTTATGTTCCTTCTCTACCCAAAAATATAATATAAACTATCGCTTAGATCCTATACGTGTTGTTTTTAGTTCTTTTGCTTCGAAGACATCGATATATGATAGTTATGAAAGAACTAATAATAATCGGAATTTTAAGCATAAAGCGTACATGCGCACTATTTGTTTATGTTTATTAAAAACAGTTAATGATTGTAATTAATAACGTTATAAAATATAAACTTTAAAATAGTTAAATATATTTGCTAATATAATAATTGTCTTGATGGAGATAAAAGCTATAATTTATGTATTTATAAAAGACATATAATCAGGAACAATTATCTAAATAAAAAAAGATAGTTTTGTTCATTACTTATCATAAAACAAAATGCTAAACGAAGTAAAAGTTTCCCAAGTTTGGTACACGCACATCTTTCGTATACACATTCCATGACTTATTTAACTTAGCTATTTATTTGGTTAACCCTATTAGTGCATAAATTAAATTACATAAATTGTATAAATTAAATGTTTTACCTATTATTTTTAATAAATGTATAAATTTCGATTTAAAAACAATTATCTGAACGACTTTATTATAGTAGATAACAGCTTAGAAAACTCATTTATTATTTATTTATAGATAAGATAAAAATAGGTAGGTTAACTATTTAGATAAAACATATCACTGGTAATTAATATTTAAATATTTTTAAACAACATACTAGACACATATCTATCTACCCTCTATAACTAGTAGGTACCTTTTATTTTACACGACATAGTGCAAAAACTTCGAGATTATACACATCTATACCTACTTTGTGTAACTCTACGTCACGAATCGTCAGAATAATATACGCGTAGCTACACACTACTATAATATTATGAAATATTAACCACTCTACGGCATTGGTGTATGAAATATAAATATTTCATGAAATTTTATAACATAGTGTATTTTTTTGACAACTACTACAACAACAACAACATTATATTATGTTATATAATACCTAGTTGAGTTTAAAAAGCACAACGAAACAGGCCTCATATTATTATAAATAATTTCAAAGAACGATTAAATTCGTAACAGCAGTTACGACACATCATAATATACAAAGTAGATATTTCATCGAGAAACAAAAAAAAAAACGGAAATATTGAATAAATTTAATGTTTTTAAACAATATCATATCATATCTTCAAAATCAATTGTAAATTTCTTGTTTACCTAAAAAATCTAATGCATTTCTAACGATCTGATCCTATTTACACTTATAATAATAATAATATTTATTTTACGGAAATAAATTTCATATGTTCTGGTATTCATTAAAAATTATTCGACTCAAGTATCATAATTAGGGTTCAAGACTAATTGCACTTAAAATAAAAAAAATAAAACTCTATACAACTTAATTATAAGCTCGTTAAGTGCTGAACTAAGAACTTCAAAATTATATTGAAAAATAAAAAAACTAAAAATAAGCAGAAAAAAGCACAAAAAAATTTCACATTCTAACTGACTCCTTTTTGACTCTTGAATCTTTTCCAAACTGTTCTTGCGAATTTGTATTATCCCATGTCCAGTGTTGACCGATGCGGAAATTAGTAATAAGATAAGATAGTCAAATAAATAAATATGGATAGTAAAATTCAAAGGCTAGATTTCCTAAAATTTATAGAGGAAAAAGTAACTGTGATTTCATCAATAGATTAGATCATTATATTAATATAGAGGATGATTTTATTTTTTACCATAAATTAGCAATTTTCTAGGAGAATTTGAAATGAATTTGTTTCCTATTTTCTTTAATCATTGTGGAATGATTTAAGCTTTATTTTAAATATTTTTAATTTTTAAACCGACTTCATAGTATACCTTAAGTTAGTATATAATTTTGTTTTTCAAACCCCCATTTTCGAACACAAATTCTTTAAACGATTATAACTCATAAACAGTACATTTGATATTAGTGTTATGCCTATTAAAATGGCTAGAAAAATATTTTCCATATTTTTTATTTGAATCTGTATTTAAAACTCAGGATTTCTATTTAAAAAATTAAAGTATTAGTATTTAAAAGTACATGGAAGTACGCGAAAATACATAAGTACGAAAGTACTTGGAAATATATAGAAGTACACATAGTTGGAAGTCTGGTGTACGAAAAATATATTTGTTGTTTACCCTCCTGTGTAAACTTATTAAATGTATACGGAATGGAGGTAAAATTAGAAATCGTTTTAAACAATTCCACAATGATTACAAAAAAAAAAAAGGGAAGGAAACAAAATCATTTTAAATCTTCTAATAAAATTGCTGGTTTATAATAAAAAATCATTTTTACTATAGATGTATTATATTGCCATTATAAATAATATATAACAACTATATTTATTAAAATTTTAATTGAAAATATTCGTTAAGTTATTATCTATGAAGTTATTTTGTTTTATGTCCCAAAATAGAAAAAGGAAACATTTTTATTTTTTTTAAATCGTAATATTTAAGATACCTAAAAGTAAAGGTTTTATTTATTTTTCTGATTAAATGTTCATCTAGTACTTGTACTTATGAATAACCATATTTAGTTATATAAAAATAAAGAATTTTGTACCTGTATGGGTGTACATAATATGTGTTACAAACAAATATTACGAGTTTTGGGCAGAGATAACTCCATAAATTTAAGTCCGTAATTTTGTTTACAGAAAAAAAAAAAACATTTTTCGCTATGTTCGAAATCTAAAATAAAATAAAACCTTTTCGTAACTATATTTTATACATATACATATTTGTACAAATAAAAATTACTCGTTAAAATTTATATTTTAATTTTTTCTTTTCAATTCATTAACAACTTTTAAAGTAGTTTTCGTACACTATAAGCTATGTTCCTGTGTACCTACCACGTACTGACAACTCGAACAAAGTTCTCGTCGTTTGAAATTTTAGTCGATTGTTTACGCTCGGTATCTCGAGTATAAAACCCCTAGCAAATGCGTACATAGACCGCAAAAAGAAAAAAAACACATTGCAAATAAGTACTAAAATATTATGACCCGGCAATGCGTACACATATACCTATGTATAGTTGCAGCAGAGTAAACTTGTATATATAGGCAGGTAGTACTTGTCCATTAAATAACCGTAAAACGTAAATATACTCGAAACACAGGTAAAAGGTTTTTAATGATAAGACGTGATGTTAAAAACGTCCTTTTTTTTTCCTCTAGCAAAATATAATATATAACATATTATATGTTCTTATTGCCCTTAATGATGAAAATCAAAATGTTACATTTCTGACGGAGAGTAGGTATATTATTATACAACGGTCACAAGAACTCTATCACAACAAAACGAGCTTCTCTCATGCACACTTTTTTACCGATGCTTTTCAGCACCTCCTGCCAAACATAAATTCTCGTGATTATAACATATATACAATATAAATCTATACATTTTTATTAATTAACATAAAAAAATCCCGAATTTTGTGCCTATCTGATATGATGCACTGTTGGGATGAGCCAATCTTGTCCGAGCCCCGGCTACGATGGTTCTGCTTACAATGGTATACAAAATATTTTCGTATTATTAAAGAAAGAAAATATTGTGCTCGATATCAAGATAAAATAATCTTTTATCAAATTATTAACTCATTATAACTACATTATAACTGTTATACTTAATTAGAGTTCAGATGATGTATGTAACATAAAAAGAAGAGCTGATACTGGGGATGAGTTCGCCAATATTGTAGGTAAAAGTTGGGGAGGTAAAATACATAAAGTTTTAGATTCGAAACGTAGTGACGAATGTATTTTAATTTTAATTTTAAGCAACCATAAACCATTGCTAACGAAAAACAATTCTAAGTGAAGTTTATTGAAGGTTTGATTAGATTTAAGATTTTTAAGGCCATAATATTTAGGACTTTCTACAAAATTGAGTCTTAAAATCATTTAAAAAAAAATATAATATCACATTAAAATTTTTTTTACTTCAAAGTACGAAAAATAACCACTTAAATTTTCAAGCATTTCTGAGTGGTCGAATAATAATATCAACATAATAACAATCAAATAAAAATTACATAAAAAAACTCGTAAAATAAAAATGCCTATTAATAGCTCAAATGTTTTGAATATTCTACTACATTTGTAAAAAGCAAATAAAGTTTTTATCAAAATTTCAAGTATCTACATATATTTTTAACTGAATTAATTAAAAAAAAAAAATTATTCGTAAATTTTCTCGTCCTTTCTATCTTTATTTTTGGTTTTGCTAAATTATTAAAAAAACTAAAGGGAAACTCAAAATACACCTTTCTTACTCATCAATTAGTTCAGAAATTCCACAAAAAAATTCTCTTGTTGTCTATTGCAGTAATATTTTTGATAGAAAACGGAAAATTTAAAAATTTAAAATAAAAGAATCTTAACGCACATAAACATACATACATCTTTTAGCTTTCATTTTTCGTCATTTTCCGGTTTTTATCAATTATTACAAAAACCACTAGAAAAATTAAAATAAAAACAAATTACTTAGTTTCTAATAAGATTAAAATCGCAAAAATAATAAACCTTGATTTCATCTGTGAAATCCGTGGTTCACCGTTTTAATTGTCATTTTAACTATAATTTTGTTTCCAGTTTTTCTATCAGTATTTTATTTGAAACAATTCAACTAAAGAAAAATAACACTAAAACTCTTCTAATAAAACACGACCAATCTTAAGAAAAGTATTAATAATTATTTTTAGAATCACATTACTTGATACTAGGTATACCAGAAATCTTGAACCAATCATAAACTATACATGAAATTTTTAAAAACGTATTTAATTTGGTTGATACAGACTTTCTAAAAGTCTATTTTTAATTTTCATTATAGTATTCCTTATAAATGGAAAATGTAAGTCATTTTAGATTCTGAGAATACTGATAGAGATATTGGCTTTACTAAGATATTTATTTTTCTTTTTTCTAAAGTTTGTGAACACGTTTTTTCATTGTAAACTTGCTCCGCAACTTTTTACGTGTGGCAACTTTTATGAAAGCTCAAGTTGTCTAAATCATACTTTAAACATGTTAATTTTTGATTTTTGACGCCATTTATTAAATAAAAACACTTAAGTGGGAAAAAAAAATATAGGAAAACGTACAATTTCACAATTTTATTATTTTATAAAAAAAAACGGACGACGTTTTCAACCAAAAAAAATAATTTAATCAAAAAATCAATAAACACTTTTATTATTGCCTTTTTGATTTAATTTCTAATGATATTATTTCCAAAACTTTTGAACCACATTTGAGCTTTTAAATAAATACACATAGAGACTTGAAACTTTGTAATAATACTTATATTGGACTTATTTAGACGTAATAAAATTTCCAAAATCATCGGATGACTTTTTTTTTTTATAATAAGTGTTTTTGAATCAAATTTAAACGAAAATCTCAAAAAGAATTAAGGCACTTATGTATTGACGAACTGCGCTCGGAATCGTCTTTCGTTAATCAATGGTTTATCGTTGCTTACAGGTATAAATGAAATAACTTCATGTATCCTACCTTTATAACTTCTCACCTACAACAGTGGTCGCTTCCATCCCCAGTTTCAGCTCTTTTTTTCCATATGATTTTTGTGTATTTCTGTGTTAGCTTGGCAACAAGAGAAAAATGTGAGTAGTACTATTCTGCTCAGAATTAATTTTCAATTGCAATGATTTATCATTGCGTATAGATATATAAGTTAAATTACTTTATATACTTTCTCTTTCAACTTTCCTTCTAAAACATTGAAACACCCACCAATATACAGCAGAATCTTGTTACTACTTTCAGTATTTTGTAATTCAAATTAGCATTATTATGAATTAGTAGATATTTAATAAATTATATTGTTACATACATGCGTTACTGCAATAAATATAGTTAATTTTTTCTTTTTAAATTCGAACAATTTTTATAAATAAGATATTATTATAATAATGCTATTTGTATGTTATAAAAGTAAATATTAAATTTTAAAATAGGTAGGTATTTAGATATTACACTTGTTATTATAAAATATTGATTAAAAAAAAAAATGATCACTCTCAAAAAATTATTGAATACAAAAAAAAAGTAAATAAATTCATAATCAATATTCAAATTCTATTATTAATAAGTTGCATATTCATTCGAATTTGTTTTGTCTAGATAAAATCGGCCATGAATGGAATTGGCCACATTAGAATATTTTACAGTATTAAATCATTATTCTATTATCATATGTTCGTATGTATTATAATATTATTGTACTGATACGTAATGGTGATAATATAGTAATCTCGATGTTGGTATGGTGTTATATAAGTGTATCTATCAGAACAATAGGTACATAATTCTATTATATAATATTATAATCTATAAAAATATACACTCATGATTTATTAAAATGTATCCTATATTCCAAAAACTATTATAATTCCGTTGTTTTATGAATAATTACCAATAATGTCCAACTGATACATCCAACAAAAACTTAAATAAAATTACACGATAGGATTATTCTGCAACGTAGGAACATTTATTTCGTTGTATTTTTTATTTTTTTAATAGTCGTTTAAATCATTGAAGACTTGGTCATGATTTAAGATATACTTGTTGCTTAACGTTGTAACGGAACACACAGTTACAAAGATTAGGTATGGTTAAATAAACAAAATGTATTAGATGAACACCAACAAGTTACTAGAGCTTTAATTATTATCACTAGCGCTTATAGCCGATTAAATACAAAAAACTACTTATTATCACGAACTAAGATAATATGGACGGACAATAGAACCAATATCTGTGGTCGAGTTTTAGCACGTTCAAATGTATAATACTAGTGATGGTGGTAAACTAGAGTTTAAAACGCTATCTTTTAGTTAACAATAATTATTATTAACCTTTGTGAAATGTAGCCACAGTGACCTTATGCCGGCAGTGGTTGTGCGTGCAATCTGCATCAACTAACATTTATTACGTTTTGACTGTACCTACTTGTCTTTCTTATCGTTATCAGTCCATATTATTTTAATTCTTTATTCTTTTAAGTCTGGTAATCGGTCCTTTATCAAGAATTATAGACCTATCTCTATTCACTCACATATTTCTAAAATACTTGAACTTTTAGTTTCATCTGATATTCAACGGTCATTTAACTCTGTCATTATTAAAAAGCAACATGGATTTCGTCCTGGGCGATTGATTACAAAAATTTCAAGTTATATATAAATTTATTCAATTTCTGAATTTTAATAACGCTTTAATATTATTATTTAAATTGTACGGCCGCATACAATTCGATTGGATCATATTTTTTAGTGTTTTGTGTATTTTTTCGTATTGTGAACGGTGTTTATATATCTTACATTATATAAATTCGGCGCCGGTTCGATTCATTCGAATTAAAGGCAAGAGGAAATTCCGGAGTTCCTGGGCGACTTTACATCGACGTCGTCATCAGAGCGTTTGTAAAAACGGGATGTAACGTGGTGCTTTAATGAGCCATAACTTACCGCGGTATTAGAAGTACGCGATGCACATGACACACGTCGGTGGCTTTTAAACTAATCAACAATATATATATATATATATATATATATATATACGTAGTCGCGTATATATATATATATATTGTATGGGTGAACCGCGCATAAATCGTAAACGGATACACGCGACGAATGTTGGTAAAAGCTAAAAGAGAGAAGGTAAAACTTCCTATGATATACGTATTTTGCTCATGTGAACGGGTCTAAAAGATACCGAGCTCCCGAGAAAAAATGGTCCGAGACGGACGAGACGTTGCCAAACTCGGATTTGTTTTTCCGGGGTGGGGGGATGGGAGTTAGGAGAAAATCTGGTTTATTTATATAATATTTTACGTAATAATATTGGGGGACATTTTTGATTTTCGTCAACCTATTAATGAGATATTTCATTTTTAAGTTTGGGCAGAAGGAGAGTAATGAGGTACCATTTGTGTGGCTGCGTAATATATGTCGTTGGAATAGTGTATCACTACTCACCCATTTTTCAAACGTAAAAGTGAAATTTATCATCAAAAAATTGGCGGAAATTAAAAATGTCAACACTAAAATGTATTTAAACTCAATTTTTTTCTATTTATGTAATTTTTAGAATAGGTTTCTATTCGAAAATCAAACGTGAGCAGGAGTTTTACTACCCCTCCAAAAGAAAGGTACAACAATTAACAGTAGTATAACGTTTCAGAGTTGCTTGTATCTCAAAATTATCAACAAAAAAAAAAGCTGATAATAAGGATGGGAACAGCCACTGTTGAAGGTGAGAAGGTGGGAAGGTAGGATACATAGGGCTATTTTATTTATGTCTGTAAGCAACGATAAACCATTGCTTGATGGTAATAGCCTGTACGCGGCGCCTTTGCATAGCGACGATATTTTCCACACCAGAAATGATCGCTAACCAATTTGGCGCCGTACACTTTGCGCCCATGCGTTGTACGCCCATTACCTTTTTCGTGAATTTTGCACCCGTTATCGAAATCTTTACCTACTGAAATTATATAAGGCGAACCATCACTCAAAATTTAAAATTATGTAAAATTAATATAATATAATCGTAAAAAATTGTCAAATTATAGTTTTCATTTAGATTTCTGAACAAATGATAACTGGTAGGTATAATAGTTATGCAATTATATTTCACGTAATTTTATACGTATGGATTTTCCATCATGATTATATAATATAAACTATAAATCGATATAGGCTTCGGATAACTAATAACCATATTATTACTATCGATCAAAATGTTCATTGTTAGTAGTGTTTTGATCTTTGTTGCATTACGTTCGGATTTTCAAATGCACAAGGAAACGGTAGATAATAATAATTTGATAATTTTATACAATTATATTATATTATATTAATTTTACATAATTTTAAATTTTGAGTGATTAGTTCGCCTTATTTAATTTCAGCAGGTAAAGATTTCGATAACGGGCGCAAAATTCACGAAAAAGTTAATGGGCACAAACGCACGGGCGTAAAGTGCACGCCACTATCAATTTTACCACCTCGGGACGGATCTCAGTCTTTGTTCGAATAACCTCAGCTATCTGATAATTATCCAAACTGTCTATGTTGTAATATTAATGTTGTTATGTTGTATGTGTTTAACGTGAAACGTTTATTTCGCTTTATTCATCATTTTTCCAATCTGTCCGACATCAATAGAATCGGTCTTTTCGACAAAACAATTTTCTAATTTCTTAAATATTATAATATGTCTTAAGTCACTTACTTAATTTTTAATCTTGATACCATTTATTAGACAAATCTATTAGAAGAGTTTATTTTTATTTTATTCAAATTGTACATTGCAACACGGAATAATATTGTTTATTAATAAGTAAAATAAGTTAATATTAATAAACAATTAATTATTAATAATTATTAATGTTATTACATATCGGTCGATTCCATAATTTATGTGCATATTATTTTGATTGCATTGTAACATTTTTATTTTTTTGTTTACATTATTGTTAATTTTTCGTATATTGAATATCGGTGCCAATATGTTGTTCACGCAGTAATAACTGGTCTATAGTATAATATTTTGTATACTATTTATATGCTACTTAGAGCATTTACCATAGCTTTAATACCGTCGATTTCTATCAGAAAATTGTGTTCTTAGATAATTTTATCGGCTATTCATTACAGCCTTAACTTGATAAATATATACCATCATAAAACAGAAATATTATGCTGACTCAAAAAAACAATATATTTATCATAACAGTTAGTTGATTATGGATCAAAGCGTATCATTTTGTTTAATTTGGTCAAAAAGAATGAATTGTCACACACTTTGGGTATTTTTTTTTTTATGGTATTGTCAGCTATTTTTTTTAGAGCATTTAGATCCGAAAATGTAAACATCTTCGACTATGTACCCCGAAGTTTCCATCCCTGCTTAAAACTTAATTTCTAAGAGTTATCAATAGTCTATATTCGAACAATATAATATTTTGATACGATTTTCATGCGTTGTGATTATCGAAATAATTTTCTCGGAATTTCGGATGTCGTCCTTTCATGCTGGACCCAGAAATAAATGTCTCCGTGTTTACCTATCCGTACACTATTTTTTTTTGTAGTATACTTTCGTTGAATTACAGCTTTTTAAATCCTCAAAAATCGAAACTCTGTATGGCGTCACACAATTCGGACTCGTTACGTTTATATTTTTAAACATTTTGGTGTGATATTTCGAATGCGTCTTTCACCAGCATTTTTCAATTCGATGATTTTATAAAATATTATAATTATAATTGGTTACACGCAGACTTTTTATACGAAATACGCCCTTGACAATAAAATATTATACGTTATTATTATGCGTCTGGGCTTGTAACTATATCGTGGCGGCGCCTTTGAACCAAACGATCTAAAGACATTTGCTTTCTATAACACACGTCAAATACACACATACACACTCATACACACACACACACACACACTGTCGTCGTTTTCTCGCGGTTTAATCGGTTTTCAAGATATTCGACCACGCAAAAGGCGTTGTTGACAAACCGACGGCACCGTCAAAGGCCACGAACTTTCCGCGGGGAATTCGGATATTGTATGATGTTATGTATTCCGCTTTGACGATTCACTTGACCCGGAAGAACTGTCTGATTGCGCACATACAGTGTGTGTGTGTGTGTGTTGTACACTCACCGTTGTATACGCTTTGTCGGTCCGATCGAGAATTTTCACTCCGATCCACCGCCAGTGCAAATGTCGGTGCCTCGTCTCGGAAACGTATTAATATCGTTCGAGTATAAAATATACCGTGAGAGAATGAAAAACGTATTCCGGCATAACGAATGTTATCCACATAATATAATATTTTACTGTGTGGGGAAAATCTAGATGTATCGGAATTTGATTCTCCGATTTTTTCAATTTTTATATAATCATTGTCAAATTACACGAATACAATATTATATAAAGAATTCAAAAACTATAATAAATCGTAATTTGGGAATTTAATTATAATATGAATAAAAGAATTTTAAAAAAAAAACACAAGAAATCTTCTCGAATATTGTGTTGTGGAATATGGAATCCGGACTTATTATGTTAAATTATTTAACCCGTGATTTAAGTTAAACGTAATAGTTGCTATCCTGATAGCCGTTATTGTGAGAGTTTTTAACATGTGAACAATACGAAAGTTACTACCAAATCATGCTTGATACTATCATACTTGTAATCTGTATGACAATTGTTTTGTTCTATTGCGATAATGATAGCAATCATCATAACTACTAAAATGATGCGAATGACACATTTAACATTTTTTCCTATCACAAAAACGGTAAAAGATCTCCAAACCTTTTTATAATCAAATTTGTAATTAAATTAAATTGTGTTTGCAATTTGTGCTATATTTAATCGAATAATAGTTAACTCAACTTGTCTGAATACTATTTTTAATATTAATACTAAAATAATAGTAATTTTAATAATATACAAATGTCATATGTAGTAGTTATAACATTATCACACAAGCTATCATGTATACAAATATGGTATTAACCATAGACTAATAGACAGAATGAAGTATAAGTAGTAGTTGGTCGTAATAAAGATGTCCGATAAAAATCCATATCAATAATATTGATTGCTGTAATCATTAATTCTAATATAGTACATCTATATTTTAATGTGTCTCCGTTATGTTTTTATATTTTTAATTTCTAATAAACTAAGTTTATACGGTCGAGGTTGAAAAAAATACCAATATTAATACCATAATGGCAAAACTATTATAATAATAACCGTAATTGTATTTTTTGAATCGACGCGGTGTCACTAATTCTAACGACCGTACCACTCAACCCTGCCATTAAATTACTGAAATAGCGGTTTGACTTTTGCGATAGAAACTATCAATGTTTGATTATCATCATATGATCATTATAATAATATAATTCTTATTTTATACATTTTTTTTTAAATATTTAGCTTATGGCTTAGACAATTCCAGTAAGTCGTAGGGTGCGTGTAAAGATATAAGAATATGATTTCAATTATAATTTTAGATTCTGAGTGAAGCGAAAAAGCTTATGATTTTACAAAGATGTTTATTTTTTTTATTTTTATTACCTGTGCGCAAATATTACGATATTTTTTTGTAAATAATTTTTCTACCTGCAATTTCGTTTTAATTAAAATTAAGTAATTTTTCTAAAAAAAAATCTGACTGGGGAGGTACTTTAAAGAGGTATATTTTCTTTTCGGGAGTTTTTCCAGCAAATGTGAAAAATCGGGAAAAACGCAGGAAAACTAAAAATCGGTACAACATTAAACAAATATAATTAAAGAAATTATGGAAAGCTTATTTAATTATTTTACTATAATATGGCATATATATGTTTACAAAGCATCACTATCAACTGAACTCCGCTCAGAATCTTTTTTTTTTGTAAGCAATAGTTTATCGTTGCTTGTAGGTCTACAATACATTACCTATAACCAGTGGCTGCACCCGTCCCCATTATCCCAAGACGTCTTTTTAATATGTGTGGTTACCAAAAGTCATTATTCTGGTAAGTTTTCAGTAACTTGTATTTGTAATTTGTATTCATTATGAAATTACTATCATTCATTTTTGTCCATGTAACGTGCGAACTGCGCGGCGACTGAAATGATTCTAAATTATTATTATTTTTTAATTTTTTGAATCTGGCATATTATTTGACCGGGCAACTCGTTCTCGATCAATACTATTATTGACGGGGTTCGTTCTCCGCGCGTAACAATAATTAATCAACCGGCCGTTATTACACTGCCGTCGAATATTGTCTTTTGTGCCATTATTGTTCCCGAATAAATTCATCAGTCTACAGAAATGTGATTTTAAAAACGCTGCAATTTAATACGGTATTTTTCTTCTTCTTTTTCGTAACTTATTCACGATTAGAGTCTTGATGTTTTAGGCATTCGGCCAACTGTAACTATACAATTTTACAGAATCTTTATCTGAACGAAAGTTTAATATACAACAGAATAGCGAAATCCAAATGCTGAATAAATGCAATATTTGAGTTTATTTCCAAACGCATCTATACGGGGTGATCAATTCTCAATAAGATACTTATTATATCAGAAAATATTAACTTATTTCAGACAACTTATATTAAAAATGTTTGATGTCCGCAACCTATTAATGAGATATTTAATTTTTAAGTTTGAACAGGAGAGTAATGGGTTAAGGTTTTGACGATTAGAAAACTTAGTATAAAGTATAGCAAATACTAATCAGTAATCACACTGACAGTTACATTATGTGTAGTTTTATTCTTGGAAGTGTACAACATTTTACTTTAAGTCAGCTTACATCAGAAATAATACAAAGAATAAATCAAATAGCATTGCTCTAGATATTTACTACCTATGAAGTTAGATCTGAAGAAGTCGTTATCTAATAATAATAAATTATATTCATATTTGAATAATATTTATATGCTTAGATTTCATTTTATAAAATCGTAATTATCACAAGGTAAAATATAAAACGATGATTTACAAGGAAAATGTTCATGTCTCGTAGAGTAAACCGATTTAAAATATTTTTTTTAAGAGGAAAAATTATATTTTTACATGTTTAATTATTGTTTGAATACGATCAATGTTTTACTTTAACTAATTGATTGTTTTTTTTTCTATTTTGGTCACATAATCTAAAATCAATATCTAGCACCTTGTAAGAAGTTTTTCTATTTCCGATAAAAAAAAAAATTATGTTTTGATTGAAAAGACAGGATGTACACTGGCTCTTTTAGAAATTCAAATTGATTGAATCGTTATTTTAGAAAAATTAAGACTTGTAATGCTTAATATTAAGAATTTTCAACAACTTTTAAAAAAAAAAAATTACAACGGACAGGGTATTTAAAATTGAATTATATTGTTTATATTAAAATAATTATAATACAGCGTCTAGGTTTTTAGACACTTCCCAGACTTATAATCTTGAAAAAATCCTGGCTGTACTGGTTTTAGTATAGATACGCAAACGGTTGAAACATAATATATTTGGATGTAAAATAGCATATTCCAATATAATATATTATGACAACGAAATCCGTATCGCGATGAATTATAAGGGCGGCGATTGGCGACGACGGATTAGGGGATTTTATCGACGGTCGGGGTTAAAACACTTGCGCCCGTGTTATTATCATCGGTCCTCGTGTACAAATATATAATATTATTGTTATCGATACGATTATACTGTTTTATTGGCGATGGGGTGAGGTCGAGTCGATAATAATATTCTCGGCGGCTATACTCTATATTATAGTACACTGGCCATTGGTGTTAATGCCAAAATTACGACCGTGGTAATCGTTCTGCAATGTAGGGCCTGGAATTCGTATATCTAAGAGCATTCTCGAATAAAACAAAAATCAAACGCACGATAGTAATCCACTGGCACTACACACGAACCTACCATCAAAAACCGACCACTGACCTGTACCTCGAGTTCGGCACCACTAATTACTGATCAGTGATCATTACTGTAGATATTTATGTATAAAGATTATATGGTAGTCGTTTCGGGAATAGACCATATTATTTAGTAAATCGTTTGTTTTTTTACGAAACATTAATTTCTATTCATGTCCTCGTATCCCATCTCGTCATAATCTATTGGATTCTTACACGCACTACATATAAAAAAAAAAAAAACTAGTCACGAACAAGCCTGCATATTTATAAGGATTTCATCGGCTTTGGAACACCGAATAAGAAATGGCGATATACTACGAGGATAATGCGACATCAATAATTGATGCGAGGGAAATACCTTATATTTGGCATAAAATATAACGGTATCTCGTTACGTGAAAATAAATATATGGCGTAATACATACATTTGAAAAATGCAAAATTCGAAATAAAAAACTATATATCATGTCTAACGTAATCATGTAAGTTAGCCTCGTACATAATTGTGTCGGAGTACATTTTGACATCTCGAACTTTTTACCTGGTCTAGAATTTCCCATTTAACAATGTAAACAAATCGCATTTAGCTCAAATATTTCGTGGATAACTCGAAGTTTCAATTTTATTAGGATCTGCGATATACGAGTTATTACTATATGTGAGCACATTTACTATCGAAAATAAAGTTATTAATGTTATAGGATTTGATACTGTTAACTGGTAAACCAGTTGGTTTATCATTCGATAATACAACACGATATTCACTCAGATACTTGTATAAGTACTTAAGTACCCCGTTACGTTTCAATCGGGCATATTTAAGATTTTAAGATATGTTTTCGTAATGTCGGCATAAAAACGAATAAAATTAAAATAAAACGAAAATTTGATAACTCGATTTCATAGTTAACTCGAACTTTTTTGCTGGTCTTTTTAACTTAAAGTTAGCCAAGTTTAACTTTATTAAATTCTCCTCTTGATTGTCTTATGTGTATTGCTAATGAAGATCCCACTTATAATTATCCGTAAACCATTCATTAACAGATTATTATATTATTATTATTTATTTTAGATTCTGAGCAGAGCGAGGAATTTATTGGTTTATAATGGTGTTTATTTTTTATATTATTTTGTTTTCTGTAACTAAATTTCCATTTCTTTTGAAACTTTTCTCCAATTTTCAAATATAACGTTTTGACTGTCAGGAAATTTGACTAGGAAGGTACATGAGGTCATTTTTAATTTACCCGAGGGTTTTGCATGATAAATGGGAAAAACCGGGAAAAAACCTAGGAAAAACGAGAAAATGTATGAAATGTATTATTTTAAAATCGTAAATATTATGGCCATCCAAAACATGAATAACCGAACGAATCATTTTTTGTTAGCAAAGTTTAATCATCGTGTACAGATATATATATATATATATATATTAAATTCCCTTCTATATCCTATACCTTTCTAACTGCTTACTAACAACAATAGCCTACCCATCGTTCGGAGTATGCTTGTATCTTTTTTTGAAGATATTATCGTATATATAAAATGAATATATTATGTAATGTTATAAAATAAAATAAAATATTGTCAATGGAGTCATTTTGGGCGATGTATGAATAATTTAGAGATTTTTCAGAATAAACAGTTCTCAGAGCATTGCAATGGTTGTGGGGTCAGGATCAGGGTTGTGACATATTATATTATGTTGATTCCCTAGAGAATTCGTATTCTTTTACCCAAACTATACCACTGGATCGTATAAACAATGGCATGCCTTTATGGTCGCATGGACCGCTCAGTTTAATATTCAACCCTCCTGTGTGTGTCCTACCGGGTCATTATCGTTTTGGGTTTAGCCGTAATTGTATTATTCGCCGGCGTTATTTTTTTTCTTTTACAAATTGCCAGCACTTTTTTCTGCAGCTTGAATCGAAATCTTATACTATGTGCCCCATAATTCATTTTGACCACTTGCCGGCACAACATAAAATATGCAAACGGAGTATGTAAAATATAACATCTTATGAAAATAATTTGTCGAATTCTTTAATTATTGTTATTTTGATAGGATGGTGGAGAAATAAATTTTCAACCGTTATCTTCAATGTTAGTGAATGTTAGTGTACACTTGTGTAGTGTGTACAGCATGTTATAATATATTTGCAATATAATTGTAAAGAAAACCTGTTTAATTATTTAGCAAGACGAGACGTAGTCTCAGAATGTCATCAAACTACGTGTACATTTATGTAGGTGATGTACGTATATTAGTATAGCCCGTATCGTTGTTGCTGGTAAAACGTAAAACAAACGACTCGATAGAATAATTCAATCGAAAAAATAAACTTTTCGCGAATAAATTACACTAGAATAACATCAGAAAACTCGGTGAGATCGGCGAGGAACGGTGTATGTTTGACCGATAAGTAGCATTGTTATAATATGATAAAACTTACGCACAATATATTCGGCTCAAATCATGAAATTCAACAGTATTAATAGTGAATCCAAAATTACGGTGCTTACTTAGCAGAAATAGAAAGAAACCATTATTTTAAAAGTCGGAAAGATAGGTTTATGATGTATGCATGATAATTTAGTTTAGACTTTCCATTAAACATGTTTGATAGACGGATATTGGAACATTTGTTTGATATTTATAACAGCAAAAAATAATTTTTCATTTCATTAGTGATGTTTATAAAATTAGTAACGATTTGGTCGATTGAGACAAAGATGGACTGAAAGAGTGAAGACGGATCTCACTAGAATCTCACAAGGAACAAAAATAAAAGACAAATAAGACAGAGATAGATAGAGAGGAGTAGTTGAAGCCGTGTATGTCCTTCGTGGACTGTAAAAGCTGAGAAAGAAGAAGATAAGATGTTTGCATAGTTTTATATGGTAGGTTCTAAGCGTACATATCATTATTTGACCAAATATAAATGATTTAAAATTTAACAGGAGGTTGTACAATATAGATATACACAAATCAAATTTCGAAGAAAATCGTAAATATTAATGAAATTTTAAATCATGTTTAAACGAACTTCGCTTCAGAATCGTTGTTCGTTAATAATGATTATCCTTGCTTATAGAAAAAAAAATTAATTAACTTTAGTTATCAGTATGGATAATATCAACTCTCTTTTTAAAATAATTTTTTTTGAAATATTACAATCATTTTAAAATATCGAATAAGTAGTTATTTTTTAAACAACGAATTGAATGTTTCATTTAGAATAATATAAAAAAAAAATGCACCGTCTTGCATTCTGGAGTATTCTCTTTTGATTTTATAACATAGGTTCTTTTACTGTGAAACCAAAAATTAAGCGAGTTATACGTAGTCTGTGCAAGGATGTTTTTGCTGTTTAGCCCATTGGTTGGTTTGAGACAGTATCACGTTCTATTAAATAATTTTATAATGTTTATAGGTTTATTTCGCGTAACAAAGAATAATATGATGTCGGTGTATGTAACAAAATGTAAAGACTCGTACGGCTAGTATACACGGCTTACGGCCAACGCGACGATCGACCGAACACACGTACGGAATGAGAATTTCCTTAAACAATTCCAATTTACCGAAACGTGTTAATATAATAATATACGTATACGCGTGTTTTAGGTCGGTTGCCGAACTCTAATGTTATTATTCGAAAGTCGAAAAATAAATCGAGCGGAAAAACATCGTTGCAGACTCTCGTCATTGTAAGCTCTGGTAATTCCCGCAGTGTTTACGGAATTTAAAGTCGGCGACGGTGTTTTCAACGACGACGATGGCACTCGTTTCCGGGTCGACAACGACAAAACCCAAAGCTCTGTGTGTCTGTAAAAATAAATCGTGAACGATTTCACCTGATGCCTACATGCGAAAAAAAAACCCAAGAGCAGCAGAGCTTCGTTACTAGAATTAAGTTTCCCTATATGGGGTGTATAATGTTGAAAAACGACTTTCTTACTCACCAACTAGATCTAAAATGTAAAAAAAAGGTTTCTTGTCATTTTTCGATTGAAGCAAGTTTTCTATTTGAAATTTTCTTTACAGACAGAAAAAAAAACATGTAATACAAAAATCATAGTAAAGACAATAAACCGCTCTGCTCCGAATCTAAAATCATTTATTCGTAAAACAGATGTGTTTTTTGCTTCATTCTACTAAAACTAATTATCTAACACTAAGGCTGGGAAAAAATTTATGCACTAAAACTTAGTTTGAAAACGATTGAATACTGGGTAATACTATATAAACAGAGCATGCTCTGATACAGTAACACAGAATGTGTTGTGAAGTGTCGGCATCTGTAATTGAAAAGCCGGGTGATCCATTTAAGTGAGAATATTCATTATCTTGGAAAGTATTTACTTTTTTTGGAATTTATTTTTCAGAACATTTAAAAAACAAACTGCTTTACAATTTTATATTTTTGATATTTTTTATTACGCTTATTTTTGGGGGCAAAACTACTACCTACTTTTGATTTTCAAATTGCATTCTATATTAAAAATTCCTTAAATATATGGAGGATAAGTTAAAATAAATTTGAGTGTTGAATTGTTTGATTTCTGTCAAGCAGTTGATGAGATTCCACTATTAAGTTTAGGTTGAAGGAGAGCGTTGGTGCATTATTAAAGCGCCACGCGCCGTACCATTACACAAATGATACTCTGCTACTCTCCCCTAACCCGAACTTAAAAGTGGAATATCTCGTCAACAGATCGATGGAAATAAAAAATGTCAACACTAAAATTTACTTTAACTAATACTCCACCGATTTATGGATTTATTAAAATGGGTTGCCATTTGAAAATCAAAATTTGGTAGTGGTTTTATTCCCAAAAAGTATAAAATATTGGTGACAAAATATAACATAAATATAAAATTGTAGAGCAGCTTGTTTCTTAAATGTTCTATAAAACAAATTCCGAAAAATGTTAATAAATTCTGAGATAATGACTTTACCCACTTAAATGGATCATCTGGAATATGGAATGAATGGAGTAGTTGTCTTACGAAAAATAGTTTTTACAATCGAATTATGGGAATAATCACGTCTTCTTAACTTAATTTTAATTTGATTTAGATTAATTGAATTTTCTATATACGTTCCTTGATATAAGTATCAATACCAAACAAACAAATATATATATACATTTATATTTTACAAAATAAATAGTTTGTAACAGGTATCCATAGAATAAAATTATTATTATTATTATGTAATATATATATATATATAGCCTGAAATTGAAGAAATTGAAAATGTCTCAATAACGGCTATTACAAAGGAATTGTTGATTGGTTATGATAATAATGTATGGTACGTTACATTTTAAAAATAATCTTGTTAACAAAATAACTGTGTTTTAAATGTGAATATTGGACAAATAAAACAAATTATTTATTTAAGTAACAAAGGGGTGAAAATATAGATTTAAGATTTCTCTCTATATATTCACATATGTGTCATCCTGATACTTTACAATTGAAAAACATAAACAAACATATATAACATTAACGGAGATATCGGAAAGATGGAAAATTCGTAGAACACGACAGGACAAGTATGCAGGACACGGCATGTAAGTATTCTAACCTATTTCCTGGGAAATTTTTTCACTTCAGAGGATTCCGGTATTGTATCGTAAAATTGTATACGAGCAAGTGAAAAGTGTACAACAAAGATGACGGCATGGCGGCCGAGTGGATTTACCGTAAATTACCACGACAACTGCAGATGATAATCTCGTGTATTTTACGACCACCGGTGGCTGTAATTTAATTTAATTTAAGACGTTTTTTTTGCAGGGTAGGTACGAAGACGTGTCAAAAATGCAGGTTTCAAGTCGCCGTGCCGGCCCGGTAATACAATATTATTTAGTTTTTTTTTTTTTTAATTTATTACGAGGGGTTTTTGAGATTTTTTTCCCCCGCAGCAACATATCTATAGGTTTCGAGTTCGGGTGATATTAATAAAAAAATATAAAAAAAATACGCGCTTTTAATGCGAAACGCAACCATATCGCCATGGATTAAAATCGAATTTAAGACGTTTCCTTGTAGCGGATTACTGTTGGTATAACAAAACCGATTTCACTTTAATTTCAACGTTTAATTAGTGCGACAAACGATGTTTACTACACGATCTGTACACACACACACATACAGCACTCGTACACTCACCGTTGATGGATAACGTCAGACACATTTTCCGCCACGGATATACGCGAATAATTGTTTTCGTGACGTTTGAATTGTGCCGTTCAAGACAAAACTTTCTTTACAATTAGTTAATTGTGTAAACTAGCATATTTTTAACGAAAATGTCACTATTCGACCTTTTTTGCACATAATACATAGTTCAGGGTGGACCAGCATTTTCTTTTTTTTAATTTTTTTTTCTTTATGCTCTTTTTCTTTAGCTTGATGAACAAAGTTTTACCCCAAATTTTTAGATATTTAAAATTTTCTTGAGGATCAAGTATCAAATTGATCAAAAATTTCCTTATAGACCACCGCAAAATACAGACATACATTTTACCTACCCTAACCTAAGACTTACAACAATAATAATCAAGTATATAGGTAGATTTATTTTGACTTTATACTATATAGGTATTATTATTGTTACTGAATTTCTAAGTCTATTATTACATACAAGTCTATCAAAATCATTAATAACGGTTTAGCCTATAATCAAATATTATTGCAATCAAAGCGAAACCAATTTTGTTATAATAGGCTTAAATGTTATAATGAGCGCGATACTCGACTTGTGGTGTTTATCGGGTGGGTCAGAACGGTTAAAACTGACCTAACAGTGTTATATCGGGCACTATTGTCAGGAATTAATCTGTTGTTGAAATAGTATTATAATTTAATATCTGCAATGACTATAGTAAATTTCAATATTTTCGTGGTTTATTAGCGTTCGGTAAAGTAAATACGTGAACTTATCGATCACGTTAGAAATACAAATAATAATATTATTCAGTCTATTTCGATAAATATTCCGAGCACCGAAGTAAATATAAGTAATGTAATTTAATATACGAGTTCAAATATCTTTGAGTACCTAGTGACGGAAAATTGATCGCTTCCAATACAAATAATAAACGTACCCATGAATTATTATTATTAAAGTTTTGAAATTATAATTATAATTCTAGAGATTATAATTAATAACGTGTAAATTTTGAAAATCGTATATGCGAGTATTTTTGGTCTGTTTTGGTCTGTGAAATTGATTGAAAATGTATAATGATAATAATGATAATAATACTAATAATACTCTTGCCATTCATATAATACTTGTATACTTTATTTGCGCACGTTTTAAGTAGGGTCAGAGCAAATCAATTAGAACTTTTAATTGTATGTTAAATTCTAGAGATTACCATACAATTATTATACACAATGAAGACATTTTTAACCCGGCAAATTACCCGTTTTACCCATATTTTTAGGGTATAGTCAATTTACACCAAATTTGACCCTAAATATATACAACATTTGTATCTTGCACCAACATATTTTATTTGTGCTTATAATTAGCACCAAAGTAAAGATATGTATCACACATGGTTTGCAGATATGATTTGCACTATCTCAGGTAGTAAGTAGTAGGAATTGTAATTTTCACCAAAATTCAAATCGATAATGTTTTTTCGATAGTATTGAATTTACGCAGTTTCGATATTAGATATTCGATATCCCAGAAATAATATAACATGTATATATATATATTATTGTTTTAAGTGAGAAAATGGAATAATATAAAATTGTATAAAAGTTTAAAAATATCAATCAAATAATATAATAATAATATTTTATAAAAACAAGTGTGTGTTAATAAATTCATTCTTTAGAAATAGAATATTCTAAAGATAAACTTATCTTAAAAAAAAACAAAAATTTTTGGATTTTTAAATTTAAATAGTATCCCATCAATCATACAAAGTATATCCGGTTTTTTTATTGATGCGGTCTTATAATACTATAAACTAGTAGATATTTCCTTTTATTTTTCCAATAGTAATTGATTTTATAAACATAGATTCACATAAAATATATTTCTTAAAAATGTTGATATACATATTACCTAATACAGATGAAATGTTCATAAGACGTCACAGTTAAAAAACCGACCGGAGACATTTAGATGGTACCACTAAAAATGGATATAAAATGTATTAATCGTCTTTTATTAATGCGCCCAATGATGTGTTGTTTTTAATCGATAGTGTTGTTCGTAAACGATCAAAAAATAAAAAAAGAATTTTGTTCGTCTAAAAATTACGACGAACAGCAGACAATCATATACATAATATAACATTTCATCGAGTTCGCTACAAAGTACGTGTAGTTATACCATGTGCAATGTAACATTGTAATAAAATATTATATAGTTGCTTTTCAAACTCCACTTAACCCAAATAACCAATGTGGTAGAGTTTCGATTACATGAGAAATTTCATTCAATAATATAATAATGGATGTTCTTGATTTCTGAATATTATAAACTATTATGTTCTACAAAGATGACGGACGATTTCCTCTCTGCGATACTCGTTACTATTCAATAATCATATAATAAAGTGGGCTCGTGGACAAACAGTATATTATTTTTTTTATTAAAACTATTATTCTTCATGACTGTTTCTGGTTGCAAAGATATATACAAACAAACAAAAATGTGTAAAACCGTTAATGAATATATAACTGCTTTAGACGGGATGTTAGGAAAATAGGTAATTACTGAAATTATATAAGTAAAAAAACCAATCCAAAAACGATTCTAAGTGAAGTTTGGTCTACCATATATAAAAATGCTGCGATTTGTACAATTATCATTAAAATTAGAACTTTTAAACGCTTAGAAAAATAATTATTACATTACACTTGAGTCTCTGATTATTTCATTCAGAATCTAAAAAAAAAAGAAAGTAAAATCGAAAATAACAAAATCCGTTCTTCCGAAATTTTTCTAAACTATTTAAAAAACTATAAGGAACATAAAAATATTTCTCAATTATTTACCAAATTGACAAAACGTGATATCAAAAATTACTCATAAAGATAAAATTGACTATCAGAGCAAGATTTCTTGCAGAAAATTTGTACAGAACACATTTGATTATTTGAAAAATGTCATAAATCAAACTTAATACTCAGAATTAAACACTGAGTAATAGAAAACAAATACCTAATATTTTTTATTGACTCATACTATACAAACGGATTACAAAAATATTAGCAAACATTCACAGACAGAAAAAAAAATCGATTTCTATAACTAAGAGTAGCTAACACTTGGTAATATTTTTATTCATTTTATTCATTTGTTTTGTCCCACTACTTTGAATATGACCTGGTAAAAATTATAAAAAACTAATTCTCTTAAACAATATTTGCACACACATATCACAATAATAACGGTTTATGGAATTTATTGTCTTTGCTTTAAACTTAAAAACGGTATGACTGGTACATTGCTGTACACTACTCTTAAAAGTCTATACGCTTTAATTAAAAACCTTATATAGCTGTCTCATTCATCAACAAGGAATCTAAAATATAAATATACAATTATTAATAGCATATAATACTTCGAATAAAAATAATTTTATAGACGGTCATTATTTGTGAACTTTCAACAATTAACTAAAAATATAGTAAATATTTTGTTAGTTATAAATAAACGTTTGGCTCCTGTTATAATAATCGTGTTAAACGGCGTGTGTAGAATTAAAATTTAAAAAAAAAAAAAAAAAATGGCTGATACTTTTGATGATTATGCCATATTTTTAGAAAGAAAGTTGGAAAGGAATATCTATAGAATAGGTAATTTAATTTACATCTGTACACAACGATGAACTATTGCTAACGAAAAAACAATTCTATACAGAATATACTACAGAATTGAATGTTATTATGGAGATAAATAATTTAAAAAAATATACCTAGGTATTAGGAATATCAGAAAATATATGTTATACGATTTGTAATTTAAAAAAATGTTATTGTATTATATTTTAAGTATTGCATACGATAGTTCGATTATAAAGAAGAATCGAATAAATTTTAATACAATTTTGAGGTGGAGGGCGGGAATCTGAAAAAGTGTAATGTTATCATACACATGCTATGTTACTATATAATTTAAGAGATACATCTAATACAAGATATTTTAATAATTTTGAATTAAAATTTTACTGTATTTTCTGTACGATAATATTGAGCATTGTATTGGTTTTAAAATGATGTTTATTTTTTTTTTTTATTCTGTAAAGAACTTAAATTCGGAATCGCAAAACGTTTCTATGAACGTATTTTTTTTTAAATTTTACTTATTTTAAGATTATTTTTACTAATAATGAATGAATAAATTGATATTCATCAAGATATTTTGTCGTTTTATAACTAAAAATTAAAGTTAGTCCAAGAATTGAGAGATAAAAAATGACTACGTAAATCGCAAAAGTCAATTATCTCTAATAACGAGGATATAATGTAGCCGGATAACTAATAACCGATTACTGATTAGAGTGTAGATTAATGATTTTTTTTTTCGGGATTTACCTTAAGCACACAATTTTCAAATACCGCTCTCATAAATTATAGAAAAACTTAAGACCAAATTACGAAAGAAACTTTACCTATACCCGTATCAATCTGTGCCAAAAACCCAATGAAAACTTTAGAAATCACCTTTAATAATATCGGATGAACGACTGATTTTAGTTAAATAATCCGGTTTTCCCTAAGTTGTAATATTCGTCATTTATAGTTCTTCAAAACTCATTAGTTGGCTCCACCGCTCCACATAAACATTGTCATACCTATAGCATCTATTGACTTTTAAAATAGCCACCTATATTTTTTAAATTCCGCTTCGAAAGATGATATTTTTCTACAAATTTTTTATGAATCCCGCACAATTAATTGGGACGGATTAATACCGTTTATGATTAATGTTTACATAATTAAAAGTTAAAAACTTACAATTCATAAACAGTATGTCTGACATGTTATACTATACATAGCGAATCGTTGGATGATTATTTACTTCTTAAAATAGAATTTAATTTTGTTGGTTGGTTATTCGAAAACTTAATGTGGACATTTTAAATAATTGTGTGTTCCCGGTAAGTATATATAGGTATCAAGTAATACGGGTGACATTTTGAAAATATTGTAAAACATATGGAAACTGATTGGTTTTATGACGAAAGAAAATATCAATGGAATACATAGTAGCTGTACAGTATAGAAAACTCTACAAGGGAAAAAAGTTAACTGATTCCAAACGAAAAACGTGGAAAAAATTTAATCATGTAAAAATATATACATCAGTTGATAGAAAATCGTAGACACTCTTTATCTCTCTTTCTCTATAGTTTTAAAAAAAATCGCGATCGCTATGTATAGAAGACATTAAACCACCGAGAAGAGTGTATTAGAGGTGAACTTTGAAAAAACAAAAACAAACTACCTTATATACTTATACTGTTTAAAATAGCAATCCAAACTTTTAAGTCTCCAAACTAAGCTTGTCTTTTACATTTTTTTCTTTCCATTCATCTCTCTCCTCTCTCTCTTTTTCTCTCTCCCATAACCTTATAAAAAAAGTTTGAATTTTCTAAAATAAACATTAAAAAATGTGTCTTCCGGGTTTTGTTTTGTTTTTAAGTTATTCATTGTCGTCGAATTATTTCAACGCATTCCCTTATTGCTGAGGTTTACCATGGATACTTCGAACAAATATATTTTAATATTTTAATAGGAATATTTAGACCACCTTAGAGTTTATCTAAATTTTAGAAACATCTACAGGAAAAGTTTTTTTCTCTTTTTACACGGGTAGTTTTTAATTTTAGATTATGTGTGGAGTGAGAAACATATTGGTTTTGATATGTTTTTTTTTTTTAATTTTCTTTTTCTGCTTTTAAATAACTTTTCTATAGGAAATTTTGTTGATATCAATGAAATTACAGAGAGCCATTTTTGTTGCAGAATCAACCTCTATTAGTATATTAGTATATTAAGGAAGTCATGTTTTGTTTCTCTAAGCGGTTTTAATAATAATTGAACAAATTAGAAAAAAAAAAATACATTTAGGAAAAACTGTCAAATACATATGGCATTCACAATTGCAAAATTTCAAGAGTAACATTTTTTTTTGTAAGGATATTATATCTTGTCGGTTAGTATGAAAGTTGTTTTTTCAATTTATACTTAGTTTTAGATTCTGAGTGTGGTGAAGAATGTATTGTTTTACAAAGATAATTTTTTTTTTTTATGTGGACACTTTTTGTACCAGAAAGCTTACTTTGAAGTATACGATGATAAGGAAATTTTCTTGGGGTGGCACATTAGGAAGGTCATTTTTCGGTTTTCCTAGAAGTTTTCTCAACAATTGTGAAAAATCGAAAAAAAAACATGGAGGAAAAACGGAAAAATATACGAAATGTAGAAATTTCTTTTTCTCGGTTTTCTTCTTTTCTGTGGATGGAAAACTTTTCTATCAGCAATTTTGTTCAAATTTACAATGATAGCACTTCTTCTAAAAGGATATCTGACTGGGGTGGTTCTTTATTAGGGAGGTCAATTTTTAATTTTTCCTAAAGTTTACCTAATAAATGGAAAACCGGGAAAAAATATTGAAAAACTGGGAGAACGGGACAATAGTTATAATATTAAACAAATATTATTAAAGAAAATGTTTAATGTATAGGTTAATTATTTTACCATAATATATATGTACTATAGACAAGATAAAGTAATACTTTCAACTGAATCGTTTTTTCGTTAGCAATGGTTTAACGTTGTTTACAAATACTTATTAAATTTTCCCTCTACTACCTTCCAAACATCTTATCTACACCAGTGGCCCAACCACGCATGAAGTTGCCCGGCTTTTTTCATAATATGTTTTACACTTATATTATATTTACATTGTCTAATATATTCTAAACATATTTATATGTACACTTACACTTACATTAACATTTCTCAACTAAAAGATTAATAACACATTTTATATAAAAAAAAGAGCTGATACTGGGGATGAGTGCTGCAACTGTTTTAGGTGAGTAGTGGAGAAGGTGGGATACATAAGGTTATTTAATTTATATATGCAAGTTATGATAAACCACTGCCGACGAAAGACGAATCCGAGCACAGTTAAAAAGTATATATTTTGAAGTGTCGTAATTATTTTTAACTTAACCTTCCTACGTTTCTTCCCGAATATTATGAAAACTAATTTGAAAATCAGAAAAACGAACTGCATCATAAAAAATAAGATTAATAATTCAACCAAAAAGGTCAATATTGTTTTTCAATTAGAGTCATATTTGTGCCTGAAAACGTGGTAGGTACTTATTTAAAATAACGAAATCGTGAAAAGTCGTATTTTTTTCCCCAGTTAATCCTTTTTATTTTAAATTCTGTCGAAAATCAAAACATAGCCTATGTATTAAATTAACCAAGTAGATGAAATCGACTTTCAGAAAAGGTGCTACGCCTATACATTAGAGCAAGTTTTCCAAGATAAAAGTGGTCTACAGTATAAAAAAAAAAAAAAATGAAGTACCATTGTAAACAAATTAAAAAGTCGTCCGAAGATTTTGAAATCTTAACTAGATCTAGGTAAGTTTAATATAAGTATCATTAGCAAGTTTCAAGTCTCTACGCGTATTTATAACCGAATTAAAGCAAAAAACTTCCAAAAATTAAAATTCTTTAAAAACTTAAAAGTGGCGAAAAAGTTTTTGCGCGAATCTGTTGGTGTAGTATATGCTATACCTGTAAATTGTTACCTACCAAAAAATTATATGCTACATACCATAAAATGCCATCTACCAAAAACTGTTTTATGTCACGTATTAAGTATTTCATCTACTATTTAATTAAAATGTATTAAGCTTATACTAATTGAATGTATTGTTATAATTTTCTTTGTCAAGTATTTTAATATTTTTAAATACAATAAAATGCTATGTATTTTTTTTTTTTTTTACGTTATCCCAGAAAAATTAAAATAAATCGTTGTGTGTCGTAAGTATTTCAGACAAATATAACAAACCACCAACATTCCTTTTATAATTGGCGGTTAAACAAATTCGTTCTGCATCGGTTTCATAAACATTGAATTCCCTTCTGTATTCTATCTTCCCAACTTTCCCCCTACAATAGTGGCTGCACCCATGTGCAAAATATGTCCGTCTATTATCAAAAATTGGGAATAACTGGTTTTTTTACATTATTTGTAGGCATATTATTTCTAGATACTTAACATTTATGTTCGGTTTTTCCCCTTTACGAAGTCAATAGCCTCTTCAATGCACTAACTATATCGTTAGGAAATGTTCATATACTTTTTATGAATAGAACATGATTTCTAGTAGAAACGTTGTTTAAAGACATAAACAAAATATATATTAATATATATCTTAGTGAAATAAATACATTTAACACTTAGATCAGAACCCAAAATGAATAATAAAGAAATTAATTTTGAGATTGGGTTTGGGGGTATCATTATATTTAATAACAATCCAGCCCACCTCGAACCCCGAAATGGCCTGGGCGTTTTAATTTTGACGGACAAGTATTATAATATGATCATCACAACACTGAAAAATATATAATATTTGTATTTTTCGAATATACGTTTTCGTTAACATATTAAGCATTATTGTATTATAATCTCCTTCTAGGTATACATAATATAATAATAAAGGATACGAAGTTTCGGGTTTTATGATCAAATTCTTGGTAAGCAAGTAAGTGCATAAATTTATTTCGAAATATAATCACACCGTCGCCGCCGCCGTCGTCGCGGACAGTGCTATTATAAATTATTATCACAATATTTTTCACGGTAAACATAAATTCGATTTAATATTTCAATTTGTCTTTTTAATTTCACCCAAAGTTGAGTTTCGAAAATGAGTAATAAGTTAAAAGTCAATTTAGTTTTAACTTTTAACCTACCCTAAAATAACCTTAGAATTTTTCATTATTTTAATTTTCTAGATATTTTACAAAAAACTTAATTAACTACTATAGTTAATTTTGATTTATATCGGGTTAAGTTAATTGAAATTTGTACTAATTTGAACTCTAGAAAAAATATATAATACATACACTATTTAAATGGATACAGTTAGTTATATAAGTTATATAATTTCAGATTCTAAACGTAGCCAGATTATGTAAAATATGTTTTGGTTTTACAAATCATAATTTGTTATTTATTGCGTTGAACAAGAAATCAAAAAATGCTGTGTGATGCTAATTGGAATTGTTATTAGACTATACATTCAGCTTAATAGCAGGTAAGTAAACTATATTGCAGGATAATTCGTCAATACACAGAGTGATTCTTTTATTGCAAACCATAAAAACTAGAAATTTCATTTTTAATTAAATTTGTAATTATTGAAAAATTGTGTATTTACTTGGAAATTATTGTCTTAGATAATTAGATCACACTAAAAAAAAATTGCACCTTTGCTAATTATTATTTATGAAAATTACTAATTGCATTAGTCTTCCGTTTATCGTAAATCTATATCGATTTTCAAACAACAACTCTAGTTTCTAACTTTTTATTCGAAAAAATAATATTTTCCTCAATAGATGATATAACAGCATGATAACGTTATGGTAAATGTGGAAATAGAGATGAAATATCGATAAGTATAGTAAATTAAATCATTATGATTGGCAAACGATTGAAACAAAAAAACTAAAATGAAATATGGTGAAATGGCCACCCTATCCGTATCTAATTATTATACGTTTGTTTTTAGCATAATTTTTTTTTATTATTATTATTACCACGACGTTCGTTAAAATCACTTTGTATAATAATAAGACGAATTTAAAAGGAAATAGGAATGAATTTCAAGCTCGACGGATTTTTATAATATTTTTTAATAATATATACCCATCTCCGTTATCCGTTGAATACAAAGTATATTATTTTACATTTCGCTTCGCCAGGACTTAGGGTGGTGGTAGTTTCGGTAGATTTATTTAAAAATTCAATTTGCGTGTATAAATTTCCGTGCTGACGACGAACGATTTCCCGTTTTTATTATTATTATTTTGACGAGTGCAAAAAAAGTAAATAAATGACGGACAGTGTTTTTTTTGTTTTGTCAAAAATTCCTACCATAAAAAAAGTGCCTTTTATTAAAATACCTATATAATATTTATAGCCATTGGACGAAGTTGAAAAATATACACAGGGGAAACAAATATATATGAAATCAGTAAGCCATAAAATTAAACACATAACCTGTAATGTATAGAAAAAGTCAAGAGAGGGATGTATTTTGATTGGTGCTTTATATTAACTAAATAAATTCCCTGTTTCTTAGATAGAATAAAAGTGTAGGACCCTAACATTCACAATGAAGAATTTAATTCGAACCGAATGTTATTAAAAAAAAAAAAAAACACTCGTGAACAGTAGTGCTCGGTCACTAAAATTAAATTTTCCCCTAACTGATTTTTCATCGTTACAGTGTTTCGTTTTTTTTTTAAATATATATAAATAGGTGATCGGTATTTATACCAATAAAGTAAAATATTTATGATTGCCAGAAGTTTATAAGATTTTATTTAGTAGACATATTTAAAATCCGGTATTTCCCGTGAAAGCATGAATATTGAGCATAAATATGGTTGGGAACCCTTAAAAAGCACATATTTTTTTCTTACACCATGCATATACAAAATCCAAAGCTTCATTTGAAAGGTTTTTATGGGCATACACACATAAAAATACACTCTAACCCTACAACTCTATGGTGATATTTACACTAAAATTCAACCAAAATTATATTATTATCTAATCTTTAATCTGCATATAACACAGCTCCAACTCCCGAGTTTGAGCTTCTTTGGTCCAAAGCAAGTCGCTAAAAGTGTCTAAAATTAGCGTAAGAAAGACATTAGATCGTGTAAAAGTTATTATTTTGATAAAATATTTTCAAAAATATAAGGGTAATTTAAAAAAAATCACGGTTGTTATTTTCAATCATTATTGACTATTAACGATTTTATTTTTCATATTCTTTTTATTCATTCACACATTATACTACATTACTCCTATATTGGATTTATAATTCGTGAGTTATAAAAGTTTAAAATGTAGGCTGAAAAAGCTGAAAAGGGTGATCGTCTAAAATTGATATAATATTTATTATAACCTTCTCTTCTCGTATTAAATTTTTATTGAGAAAACTCGTAACTATTTTCATATTGAATACAGTACTGTATGGTAAAAGTTGGTATATCCGCGAAAATTGATTGCCATGATTTAACAATCTTACGGTTAATCTTCACTAGAGAAATTTAACCACGGTTAAATGGATTTATTAATACATTTAATATATTTCTGAGGGTATATGATTTGTCTAATGAAATTTTGTGCAGCATGTGCTGTATTCATCTTCCAACGTCAATAACGGTCACATCTCTGCTATCGTACGACATAGGAAATTGTCGAGATATTCGGTACTGTATTAAGATTCTAATGTATTGAGGTATAGAATCTACAGTTAAAATAACTTTTTTTTTTTTTTGGAAAATTGGAAAAAAAAAATCTACAATTCACTTAAAATCCTCCGAGAAATTGTCGATTCACGATAAAACATTTTTTTTTTTTAATCTCCCTGTATAATCGTTGTGTTGCGTTTTGTATGAGCAATATAATCATCGAGCAGTAGAGCAGTATATTATGACGTCTTCGACGACGATACATTATGAGCATATTCGTGGAACAGGTTATTATTTCGAGATGAGACGGTATTTAATATAAAAATTGAATTATCTGCCGTTTCGAGGAGTCGGGCCAATTGTGCAGTTATAATTCGAAATTATTGCAATTCTATCGCCGGTGACTTGCAGCGGGCCACGTGACACAATTAATTTTGTCGTCTTGAAATTCCCGAACACTGTCTTCGTTTCGCGTCTTGTTAAACTCGATTTATTCCCTTCTTTTTTCTCGTATTCTCCACGAAAATAGTATTAACAAATATCATTATTTATATATTGTACATTTTCCATCTGACGTCAACGGATATGAGGTTGTATAATATAACAAAATATACATAGCGCGAGATTTAAATAAAATAAATGACTGAACCAGAATTATTATAGATTAATTAAATATCTATGTACACACCGGAATATACATGGAAATTAAAAAATATACATAGATATACTATTAATAGCTGTACATTATAACATAGTAATTTGGAGTTTTGGAAAAAAACAAAAAAATACACGACAAAGATTTTTGTACTGAAAGTCTTATTTGGGGTTTCTTTGAATATTTAATAGTGTAGTATACGAATATTTATAATCGAAAATGTTTGGTTTTTCCATTCCGAACATTGATAAATCTTTAAGTATATATTTTAACATTTCAATTCGGAACACATGTGTATAGCTCTGAGGAATTTACCGGGAGATATTAAATTCGGGGTCCTTTTTTTAAAAATACCGTTCGGCGTCTATAATTAATGGATGTAATCACTTTGCGCACAAAGGCTTGAAAGGGGAACGAAGCGAAAATATAAAAAGAACCCTAGTCATTGGAGTTTTTCATGATTGCCGCTGCAACAGTGTATTTCCGAAGTCCTCAATAATTGGAAAACAATTAAACGTTCAGGCACTGCACTATACAAAAATCAAACGAATAGGGGATAAAATATAATGTTTAAAGACGAAGAAAGAGTGTGAAAATGAGAGAAAAACACATTTCAAAAGACAAAAACAAATATAAATAAAAACCTAATCAAAATATTTTATTTTTTGAGATTTTTGTGTTAAATAAATACGTGCATACTAATTATAGTGTTGGATATTCTCAAACAAATTTTCCCCAATGATCTATCTCCATACGATGAAGAAATATATAAATTCTATTAATAGAATAATAAACAATTTATAAAACTAGAGTGAAATCAACCATTATCGTTTTGTAAATTTATTTATGTAATTATAAACTATAAAACCTTGTATCTTTACCCACCCATCAAATTTTGCATATGTTACTGAAGTAATACTTGGACTAAAGTATATAGCTGCCACTGATTAGATTTATATTCGATTTCTTTCTTTGAGGTTTCTCATAAAAATATTCGCAAAAAACATGATAATAAACAATATAATATAATGCTCTGAAAAAAAAACAAAATATAATTAATTGAATACGGTATCAGTAAAATAATACAAATTCTTATTTTGAAATTGTTTGTTTGAAATTCAAAAGAAACGATTCGGGAATTGGGTTACATCATTTCATTTCCAGGTATGGAATTATTACTATTTATAATATCGATGTCAGCTAAAGCTAATAAAATTTCACAAAAAAATGATTGAAATAATAATAATAACTCTTATTATTTACGAATATGCTTTTTTACATGTTCATACTAGATTATATTTTAAACCACATTGGGTATTAATTTGGGTCAAAGAACGTTTACATAATACGTCTAATAGAAGACGAACCTTCTGGTATACCGTACAATTTTTTGATAAATGATCTGAAAAAAATACAATTTTCAAAATTTGGTGTGTCATTTGTGTGGCGCACAACGTGTTTTAAAAGCACACCTGTTGTTTCTTTAAAGTTCTAGAAAACTAATTCCGAGAAAATTAAATGTGGTTTCATGCAAATGTTGTGTATTAGATTTTTTTGTCTATAAACAACTTTTTTACTAGAAATTTTACTTCAATCGAAAACTTTAAAAGAACTTGTTTGTGGCATTTTAGATTCAGATTTTAGTGATAAGAGCGTTAATTTTACTATGATGTGTGGTTTTTTTTGCCTTTTTGAAAATAAAACTTAATCTGATGTATAATGTGTAGTACTTTTTTTGAAAGGAAATTTGGTGCATTAAAGATTTTTTTATATTCCAAGTCTAAGAGGTATTTAAAATAATTGGGAAAATCCGGAAACAAAATTCTAGGTCAAATGGCAAATATTTACGGCACAGCGAGATGTTATTGATTTCATTATTTTAAATTTTTACACATGATTTTGCTACCAGAAATATTGATACAATAGAACTACAAGTGATCTATTTTTTTGAAATTTTTATCTATTTGGTAAATAAGAAATTCTCTTTTTGATTTTCTCAGTAGGAAAATAATGGTTTTATTTTTTACATTTTTGTTTTTTTGTTGTAATTCAGTTAAAAATATCTACAATGACTTGAAATTTTGATAAAAACTTTTGTATATCTTTTCAAGACGTGTTAAAATTAAATAATATTTGAACCATTTTTAAATTGTTTACGTAATTTTTATTTGACAGGTATTCTGCAAATAAAATAATTTGACTAAACAGAAATACATAAAAATCTAATAAGAAGTTGATTATTAGTAACTTTTATTGGTCAAAATAAAAATTGGGTTTAATTTAGTATTTTTTTAAAAAGAATTATAAAATTAAACTTTGAATATTATGGCCATTCAAAACATGAATAATCGAACTTCGCTTTTATTCGTGTTTTGTTAGCAATGGTTTATCGTTACTTAAGACAAAATTTAAAATACATTTTTGGCTACGCTCGAAATCTAAAACTTTATGTATTTTACCTTTCCAACTTTTCACCTAAAATAATGGCGCACACATCAGCAGTTCAGCTCATTAATTTTGAATAATGGGGACTTTTTATTTTGTATTCTAAATTCAAATTAAATTAATAATGAGAATAACAAAACTATTATTATTTTACAATTAATATATACTTCTTTATATGAATATATATATTTTTGTTAATCAAATCGACAATCGTAACTATGAACTATACGAACGGATGGACATACGGCGGATATAATATGTTCAAAACTTATGTTTAGAAATCGAAAACGAGAATCCGAATCAGCAGAAATTGTTCAATTGATCAATAGTATATAAATTTACGTTTCTATTGAGACATATATTATATAATAATTTAACAATTTCTAAAAGTTATTATCTAGATTATTTAAACATAGCTTAGTTATACTCAAGTATTCTACGAGTGTAAACTTCTGCTTTTGGCAAATATTTATTTAAGAATTAATAATATATCCGGTGACGTCTTAAATGTTTTAGTTTAATTAAAATTCTCGTTTTGTATATTAAGAATTGCTGACCATGACTATTATAAAATACATTTTAAAAACACTACCGTAATATTTTACTCGTATTATATAATAATCATAATATTGTTTGACTACGTTGTCTTTATGCCTCCGTCTACTCGGTGATATTTGTACGATATTTTGTTGTCCAGAATAAACTTTCGATAAGTATGACAGTATTACCTGCGTATCACCTGAGTTCAGTATTATTTAAATAAAATTTTATTCAGATGAATATTATGAATAAAATTGTATTCTAATAAATTATTATTCGGGTGCATTTTTCATAAAACTTACATTCGAATAAAAATGTATTCGTACAATTTTAGAAATTGATTATTTCATTAATTTTTAAACATAATGAATAATAAGTTAATTACTGTGATAATCTTTTGATAACAGTCACTCTCTGATTTTTAATATTTTTCGGATATTATTCGTATGCTATTATGTACAAATTTCGTTTCTAACCAGTGGTTATCTGTTAAACGTTATCTGAACGTGTTTTCCGGTAACCACACAGTGTTTTTCCCGGTCTTTAACAGATTAAAAAGTTGCTTCAATAGTATCAACTCGTGATTCGTGAGTATAGTATTCACTATCAGTTATTGAATTAAAGACTACCGTTGCTTCATTTCTGTCAGACATCAGTGTGGCCGCCTATTTAATCGTCATATTTTTGCCACAACTTGATTACCTAACGTTATGTCGTTAACTTAACCTTCTAACTTCTAACACATTTAGATGAAGTGGCTGCTTATCTAATGCAGTATTATACGTGAATTTGAATTTTGTCAACGTTAATCTGATATGATATGCATTCACGATGTCTCCTGGTAATAATGAAGACAACACGCCCTCCTCCGTGACTAACGTTATCACTCGTAGTAAAAAGACTGTCCAAAATACTACTTATTCAAATACTGACCTAATGGACGCTATAATGGGTATATAACTATCTATATATAAACTCATAATTTCCCCAAGTCACCTTGCTAAGCAATGATAATTCCACCTTATGCAATGAAATTATTAGTCTTCAAGAAAGGATTTTTAACCTAGAGAACAGATCTAACCCTCCAAAACAATGTCTACTCAAATATTTTAAGGGAAACTTCTGAACGATCCAAATACGAATACAATGCCATGTTATATGGTGTTGTTTAATCTAATGCAACTTAAACTATCTAAAGAACTACGGACGATAAACGAACTATCACAGATTGCCTTTCCAATCCAGTCAACCAAGTTTGATGTCAGCTTTATCTGTGGTCCCTTTAACCTACCTAATATACCTTTGTACGAAAACTTGTTTGGTCTTTCATATGCAGGTGTACTAAATGACAAAAGAAAATGTATAGGTTTTTAATATGTCATTTTAAACTTTCAGCAGAAAAAAATCGATCAGAAATCAACATGGGTCCCTCCTTGACCTTGTCTTCGCTAATAGAAATTATACTTCGATCGAAACTTCTGCAGACAGTATCGTACTATGTGATATCTATCATCCACCACTTTCTATAGTTAGTACCTTGACTTTAAAAAAAACCATGTTTAATGATCATCCAAAATATAACGATTATAAACATGCTGACTATGAGTCAATTTTATCTAAACTCGATTAAATAAACTGGCCGCCATGGATATACTATCAAGCCACTAATTTACTACACAATTTTTTAATTAACTCCCCATCAAAGTTTGTTCCACGTAAAGTTTTCCGAAGATCAATATTCCTATTACAAAAAATATTGTTTGTATACTGTCTTTACAATAAATGTCAAATATTAAGAACTTACGAGAAAAAAAACATTGTCAATTTACATTATAATATAAACTTAAATTTATTATAGACGAAACAACTAAAAGCAGGTTTCAACAATTTATCTACCGAGTTTTATACATTTTCATCAAAAATAAAGATTAATTAATTGATTCAACTGTATGTATTTATAGTTGCCTAATGGAAACAAACTTAGTGTTGCAAACCAAATTTTAATAGGAAAAGTTCGTTTAAACTTATTTGAAATTCTGAGATTTTTATGATTTTCTTCAAAATCGCTAACACATCATCATGCACATTTGTTTTTTGTTTGACCATAAGGTGCGAATTAATTAAACCTCATGTAAAATTTCCAAGAATATCTACTCAACCAAAACAATTTTATTCACATTAAATCTCATTAAAACTAAAAATAACTCGAATATGTCAAAAGTTAACACATATCTCAATAATTGCTAGAATGTTTTAAAAACCTTACCACTTATAGAAAAATTTGATATAAGTACTTTGTGAAAGTTTAGGATTTTTTTTTTAAATTTAATTATAAAAAAAATCGAAAATATTGATCTGTTATTTCTATAAACTGTTCCATTTTTTACGCCTTTTCTCAGATTTTCCAGTGACCAAGAAAACTGCATGGAAAATTATAAAATGACCAACTATCGTGTCAACTAGGCAACATTTTGGTTCAGAAAAGACAGTATTGTTAAATTTTCTAGTAGAAAGCTTAACTCGTGAAAATTTTAAATAAAAAATAACTTTGCACCGTAAATATTTATCTGTTATTCGTTTATGTTTAGTCCCGGTTATTCTCAATAATAATTATGAAAATCGCTTGAAAAAACAAAAAAAAACCTCATCAATGCACAAACTAGATTTAATATTTAACAAAAAAGGTTTTTTTCGTCATTTTTTGATTTGATTTCTGATAGAAAAGTTGTTCGCAGACAGAACAAAAATCATCCATAATAATGTGTTCTACGCTTAATATCGAAAAATATAATATAATCGTTTTTATTGTGTATAAATAATTATTTAAATGAAGCAAATAGTGAAAATTTTTCCTTATAATTAGTTAGTTAATAAAATAGCAATTATTTAACTAAACGATCGTCATCACGTCATACAATATAATTAATATTTTCGATTGAAATGTACTTGTATGTATAAATGTATTATTAATGTCGGTGCTTAATAAAACGCGCAGATGTATAACTAATTGTAAAACAACGTGTCCCTATAATATACTGTCCAAATGCACTACACGTTGACAAACAAGGCAAACTGCATTGTACGGAAAAACAATAGAGAACACAAACACAATAATTTGTTCAGCGTGTTTATTAATAATTTATTATTAAAATATTATTTGAAAACGACAGATCTGTAATTATTAGTTACCGTCATTTATTATAATTTTATTACTTAGAATCATTAGATGATGTTTTTGTACAAAAATAAACCCAAAATAACTCTTTGATTATTATTTTAGACTTCAAATTCTGATCGGAGGAGTAAATATATTGGTATTACAATGATGTTTATTCATTTCCTAATTTTTTTTCCCGTGAACAACTTTTTCCCAGAAATTTTGATCCAATTTTCAAGTGCAGCATTTTTTCTGAAATTAAATTTGACTGGAGTCTTCATTTTTGATTTTTCCAAGAAGTTTTCATATAAATGGGATAAAACTTAGGAAAAATGGGAAAATTAATGAAATGTATTGAAATTGTAAATATTATGCCTTTCAAAATATATGTAACCGAACTAGGCTCTCAGAATCGTTTTTTGTTAGCAATGATTAATTGTTGCGTACAAATATACATTAAATTTCCTCTCAAACTTCCCAACTTCTCACTTACAACAGTGGCCCACCCATCGTGCGAAGTATGTCAGTTTGTTTTGTTTTGTTATTGTTATTCGGTTAAAAACAACTATTAATAACTACTAAATAGCTATTTACATGCATTTGAAACTATCGAGTTTTTTTGGTAATTATTTATTTTTATGTGAATAAAAATTGTGTTAGCCGATCACAAATACTTGAAAATTTTACATGAGATTTATCTTAAATTGTAGGACGGGAAAAAAAGTTTAGTGTGATGTAGTACCTAAGTTTATTCTTAAAATATGCATTTAAAGTTAAAATTTGATTAGACATCGCAAAAATCACAAATTTTTTATTCATGTTTAATTGAACTTAGCTAAGAATCACATTTCGTTAGCAATCCTCGTTGCGTAAATATTAAATAATTTGTGAATTTTAATTTTTTTTTTTTTTTTGAAAATTAGCCATTTTGTAGCTTTTTAGGTTTAATTGTTTCATTAAGGAGAAAATCGAAATAAAACATATAGGAAAACGAACAAATTTATAGCGATATCAATTTTATTATTTTTAAAGTTTTTGAATTTAATTTTTCTACAATCTAATTCGTGTATTTTTTTTTTAGACAATTTTTGTCTAGTTGGGGCATTAGTCGTTTTTTGATTTTTTTTTTAAATATTTTTATTAATTACCAACCCAATTTCTCTGGCCTACTAAATCTTTTGTGTTTTAAAGTAACGAATATAGTTTTAAAATATGCATTCATAAGAAATGTATATGAAGTAATAATGCTCATAAGTAGGTACTAGTTTTTAGTAAAGAGGTAGTTATATTTTAAATTAGGTTTCAATTAATATATTTGGTTGTTTCATAAATTTAATCGCGCTCTTTTACCAACGGTGTTCGGAGAAAGGATAGCCACCTGCTTTTTCCTCCGACCATAGATCCGAAACTTTAAATACGTCATCGTTGTCACGATCGGTCCGATTTTCGTTTCGAAGGGTGTTCATTGTACGATACGCATTACGTATATAGATAGTATCGTAAAAACTATTTTTACCAAGAAGACCGAGCACACATGAGCGTGTCGTCACTTTTGATTTAGGGTCGGATTCCGGTTCCTGACGATATTAACGTAGGTATTCGAATTCCGCATATAACGGTACGTGGATTACCTACCGGGAAAACGAAAACGAAAACCCGTCTCTGAGCACGTTTTTATACGATTATAATTGTCTATAGTGACCTACCTCAGGGTTAATGTGTCCAAAATAATGATAATAACGATGCGAAACGGCCATTGTTATTTTTCCCCCCGGACGTGCCACGGATATGTCACGTATCACGAAAAAAACGATGCCGACGTGATTTTTATTCCGTTTATTCCGTATAAATAGTTTTTTGTTTCTTCTTTTACTCTTTTTTTTTTTACCGAAATTGGAAGGGAAGAGAGTGATGTACGGCGACGTTGCCCTGAATCGGACGGTACGAATACACCGCGAGAACTGAAACAATTAAATTCAGCGTTTTGATTCTGTATACGACCTTTCGCACCCCCGTGGTATCCCAAGCCGATTATAAAATATATACTGACAGAACAATACGGTTGAGGTAATTTAGACACCTTTGGTGTGATATTTTAAATGCCCGTTCGAAAGCAGCGCAAAAGCTGCCGACGAGTTGATAAAGCTAGCAAAATAACACGTCAATCCATATATTATATGGGTACCGGAGAATAAAGAAAGAAAAATAAATCTTATACAAAAACGTCAATAATTTTTCGGTCGCCTCCACTAACGTCTTCATATAGTGATGAATTGGCATTTTTCAAACTGTTTTCATTCGAAATACATAATCTTAATTACAATATTTTCTCACGCATACTGTATAATATAAATTATGTATTTCTATCGAAAAACGATACTTAAAATTCGGATGCAAAACGAGTATTGTGAATAATTATTATACGTTAATGATGCAGTTTTACAATAAAAAATTCACAGCTTGTTTTTACGACTTATTTTTTTATAGACTGGATCCTATAAACGGGACCACCGGGGAAAATATATAGTATTTTTATTTGTATGCTTATTGAATATTATTATTATTTCCTCTTTTTTAATATTATATTCGAACTTCAAGAATACTGCACAATGTCACCAGTGTATTTTTATCGGACGGATTATTAAATTCAATTCGACAAAAATTATGCTATTTATCCTATACTATTCTCGATAAAAATATGATATATTTAAAAATTCACTTGAAATTTAAATGCTATTGCTCGTCGTCAGATTGATTTATTATTAGAACGTACTTTTCATCGAGGTCAGGTCAGGTTAGATAAGTGGCGTCAGCTTTTCTTATTCTTGCCTTTTACACCCATCACTTTTTCATAATATATTCTTAATAACAATAGACCACGATCTAGTTACTTTTCCTTCGGTCTCTAATACTTCTTCACCGTGGATTTCGTTTACATCAGACTCGCTGTTCATAATTTTTCCTTCTCTAAAAACACGTTTTTTTACCGTCACAGTTTTTCGTCGCCGATTTATAATTGTAACTGCCTGACAATAAAGCAAAAACTACAACAAATATGTCTTTAAAAACGACTAGTCTTTAAAGCCTTAGGCTTGCAGTTGTTATGAGACCGCGGCCTCCGTTATAAGTATTAAATAGTATGCAAATATTACCGGAAATAAATAGGTTTCGGATATGAGACGGGCGACTGATGATGCCCCGGCAACGGAAACTACGGGAAACGAACTCTGACGTTGGCGGACGGATCAACGTAAGAAAACCTCTGGAGACGAGAGATCCGTACTCGATGATTGGCCGAGTATACACGAAAACGGTCGCCGTCGTCAGTTGATAAAACCTTTCGATAGTAATAATACTAATAATAATATTCTATCGTTTTCTGTAATATATAAATCGTATTATTATAACAAGACGAAATTATCGCCTAGTCGACATATATTTTCATCTGATGTTGACGTTTTTGCCGTTTCAGCACTTCTCTAAAAGACGGCCGTTCCTATAATATTATAATACTCTAATAGTCGACCCATGTCAATTTTCGGTAAAACCCATCGTTGACATCAAACTAGATTTTTAAAAAATAGCAATATAATTACATTATTATAGTGGTGACATTCTATTTGAAAAAACTGTTTTTTGTTTTAGTATTTTAAAATATGTAACTGATACAAATAAATAAGTAGAAACTACAATAAAAATTGCTAAAAAATATTATTTTTATGTTTGCATTTTTCAACAAACGAAAACTCGATTTCGCTTTTTTAGATCACCTATTGTAATACAATACATGTATCTATAGACATGTCATGTATGCATCGTTTATTTTTCTTGTTTTCTTAAAACATAATAATATCTTCTATATGGTATATAAAGTAATATGTCCTGGCTGACTAATTCGCCATCGCTTATCCCAAACCATTGAATGAATCTGGCCATTCAATGGAACAAGGAGTTTTTAATTGTTTTTGGTACAAATTGCTTATTTATTTATTTTTTTTTTTCGTGGGTTAACTTGGTGATATGATTGAAATCAAAAAATAGGTCTAGTTAACTCCAAAAGAGAGATGGTGTTAATATTTTTGAAACATTTATTTTATTTTATTTATCAATTTATAGTATAACTTAGTGACATGGATAATAATGCGATCGTCACAAACAAATTATTATTATTATTATTATTATTATTATTATTATTACTACTGTTATTTACACTATTATCTAGTTATAGCAAAGCATTGCCGGGTCAGATAGTACTTATTTAAAATAATAACTTCGAATCTACAGGTTTCGAAAAAATTAAAGTAACAGCGATGGTGTGATTAAATCGCGTTTTGAATAGTTTTTCGTGAGACTTAAAAGCGTTCAGAGAAAAGGTTAAGATAAAAATTAAATAAATAAATAATAATGAAAAAAAATCATCGAACACGAAGATATTTTAAAAACGAATTTCATACATATAACTCAATTATATTATTATTATTATTATTATTATTATTATATTATAATTATTGGGCATGTATGTAGTGATAATTATAAATTATATTTGTACACAAAGAGTTCATGAAAAATATTGAACATTAAAATAATTCACTCAATAGTAAAATAAAAATAGGATAATACTTCTTAAATATAAATATATGGTGATAAGTAAAGTAGTTGTTTTTCTGTATTTATTGTTTGTCTTTATTTATTTATTTATTTATTTATAGCTCAACGGTAATTTTACAAAGAACTGATGTACTTCATCTTAGAATGTATAGATTATTATTATTTAAATGAAAATTATACACCTAATATACATCCTACCATCTCTAAATTTTAGTCGTTCTACCATAAACAGTTGCACACATTAGTAGTATCAGCTTTTTTTAAGTACTGTCTGTAAACAAATTTTCGACCAGAAACCTTGTTCATACACATCACTGGGATTTTCAGTAACGAACTTTGTCTACATGGTGATTGGGAAGGATATTTTTTAATTTTCATTGTAATTTTTTTTAATAAAAGACAATTATTTTTAAAGATAAAATTATCAAAATACAATGCATTATACAAATTTGAATTTATGCAAATTAATTTCATAGGTATTTATAATTATTTTATAATTAATATTCCATTGCATTGTATTATGAAATATTCTGATTACAAGTGGTTTAGTGTGGCTTGTTACTATCACAAGTAATTATTCTGTACCTAATAATTACATAAACCTATATGTTTATGAAGCATCTTTTTGTGCAGAATAACTGTTGGTTCCCGTAATTTAAACATCAATTATATGATTAAAGGAAGCGAAAAAATTAAAACTTCGAGGTTCAAAATTTTTCCAATTGTAAAACAATATTTATCATGATCTTTGGACAAAATTTCCATTATACCAATGGTATAACGAAGCTATTAGAAAAGTTAATTTTAGAGATCCACCTAAACGGTTACTTGTTCTTTTATTGGACAAGGGTTTTATATAAATTTCAGAATTGGAAACATAATTTCATACAAATTTTATATTAAATATCTGTAAAGGAAAAAGTTCTAAGATTTCCTATATAATTCAAATAACTAACAATAAATTTCGATACATAAGTTTAACGTTTGTTGATTTTTGGGTTACACATTGATTGCAAAAAGGAAAACACGACAAATATTATCTAAAATAAATAAAATGAATAATAATAAAATAAAATAAATAAATGAATCAGCGCCTCACCTGGAGTATAATGTTGCGTGTATTATACGACCGATTTCGAATTAAAAATTCATCATCAATGCGACTGCACAGTTTTACATTTTGCATTTTAGCTGTGATATACCTGATGATGAAATTTTAATTCGAAATCGGACGTATAATATACTTATTATAATATTCCAGGCGACGCATTGATTCATTTATTTATTTTATTTTTATATATAAATATTTGTATACTATATTTATTTAAATTATTTAGTTACGAGTATTAATCATTTTAATAATTTTGTTTTTACTTTATTTTATTATTATTACTATTATTTTACTAAATATTATTTCGTGAGAATTGTTTTTTGATTGTGATGTAGATTCGGAGAGTAGTGAGGGATCTATTGGTTTTACTTATTTGTTTTTTTTTCTATCTGTAAACAACTATTCAAAAAAAAAAAAACTTACACCGATTTAATAAGTGTAGGTAGTACTTTTTCTGAAAGGACATTTTATCTAGTTGGTGAATTAGAGAGGTCTTTTTTTCTAAGTAGTTTAAATAAAAATTGGGAACACCAGAAAAAGACAAAAAATGAAAAACGAATAATTGGATAGCCTTCCAATTTAATATTTAAATTTTTTATATATGATGGTTACTTTATATATCTTGCCTTCCCAACTTTTGCCCTAAAATAGTGGTACACCCATCTCCAATATCAGCTATTTTTGTTCCGATTTTTCGGCTTATAAATTTAATTACTTTTTACTCCCTCATTATTAAAATTTCTCACCTAGAACATTGTCCTGCTCATGGTGTGAAGTACGTCTGTCTTTGATGTCATTTATATTTTATTTCACTTCAATTTCATTATCATTCAATCATTTTGTTTTCGCTCTTAACTCTTATATGTACATCAATTTTCTCTTTTAACGTTAAATCGAAATAATATTTTACTCGCGTATCAAATAATAATCGTTTTCCTCTGCTGTTTTGTTACGGAAACGACGACAGAACGGTGATTAACTGGTATGCGTTTTATGGAAATTGAGAAAATAAGATTATACTGGAAGGTTTAAATAACGTAAAAGACAATAAAGGGATAAAAAAAAGAACAATATTATTGTGCCGAGACAACCGGCTGGATTAGTTAGAAACGTAATCTAATTGACTTTTTAAGTACCATTAGTAGGTTTTAGGACCCAATATTGCTCTGACATCCTAAGTTTAAACTGAAAACCTATTCAGGATATAGTCTCCTAGCCAATGTTAAACCGTAACGGGTTGTGTATTAACAATTACAAACCTACCGTTTGGGCTGGATTCAAATAGGGTCTGTCAATACACTACCTGATTCAACGGTAAATATGCATAGTGCTAAGTTTTAAGAAATTCCTTGCACTTTCCAATAAAAAAAAAAAAAACATTCCCGTTTGCTATTTTCTCAACGGTACCTATATTAGAAAACACGAAAATAAAATAATATAATTGTCGTTCGATTACAAAAAAAAAAAAAAATTAAAAGAAATCACTCCCAGTCTTTTTTTACACATGGACACTTTTGTCAACTGAATGGCGAAGCGGAAAGCACAAACACAATATTTTATTCTATAGAAACACTTTCTTTAAATTAATTTCTTAGAAAGTTATAATCCTACAGCGGCGGTGCTCTTTATTTAGTTGCACAGCATTTTTAAATTCCATCAGCCGATTGTGTCATACTACGATGACGTTACAACGATCTAATGACTTGACGTTATTATAAAGGACGGACGTAGCCAAGTATCGAATTAAAATAATAATGTAAACGGTTTTTTCCCCCATCAATTCTGTTTCTTAGAAATAAATGGATATTTATTGTTGTAATTTAAAATCGGAGCGTAGCAATCTACGTGTGCTTTTTTTTTCTGTTTGTGAACAACTGTTCGAAAAGAAATCTGGCTTCGATGTATAAAGTACAGTACTTTTTCTAAAAGGAAATTTTGATTAGTTGGTGCATTAAAAAGGTAATGCTTCTGATTTTTCAAGGGATTTTCGAAATAATTTGGAAAACCCAGAAAGAAAATTATAGGTGAAACGGCAAATATTTACAGCACGACGTGACTTTACCGATTTTATTGTTTTAGTTTCTGAACAGAGAAAAAAGCCTATGGTTTGACAAAGATGTTTATTTTTTTTTTATCTGTGAACAACTTTTTGACCAAAATTATTATTAAAATTTACAATTATTTTAGCACTTTTTCTAAAAAAAAAAAAATCTTACTAGGAAGGTGCTTTAAAGAGGTCATTTTTTGATTTTCCCAGGAGTTTTTCCAATTCGGAAATTATTATATTAGAGGGTCATCTGTGGTTCTCAGAATGTGTCCAATCCTATGCCATCTTCTAACTTGTATCGTACCGAATATCTTTTTGGTTTTATTTACTACATCTAATATGATGTAATTTGTTCTTCATTATGTTCAACTAACTCACTTCATTCTTCTCCAATACTACATCTCAACATTTCCGAGAAGATTAAGTTCCAATTAGTTCAATACCAAATTTTACAGATTTTCAGAATTCAGATTTCGAATGAACAATCCTAGATTTTATTTCTGTGATAACCACTGATAGCTTTTGAAATGGTCGAGGACATGATTATCAGATGAATTCCATCTACTTTTTGACGCATCATTGACTACATTTTATTCCAATTGGTTGTCAAGTGATATTTTTGGATTCAACTCTAAATTTTCACAAAAAAAATTACACAGAAAATACAAATTATTGCCGTGATTTAATATCGTATAAGCAATATTTCATTATACACATTTATACTTCGTTTTTTTTGAAAAAATGAAATATACTTTAGACGAGATTTTGAGTATTTTAACATTACATACGATATAAAACAAACGAGGTTAAACGCAGCTAAATTGAAGTGCATTTATATTTAGCGACCTTTCATATAAATTTTGCTGATATTTTGTAGATAAAGAAAAACTTAATATTTCAGCAGTGGTTGGTAGTCATATTTTATATACTACTATGTGTGTTCCGCATAACTCAATATGCTGAACGAAAATGTAGACATAGCGAAATTGAATTATTCGGTTAGACTACTGCACCGAACCTAACCTTACCTTAGCAAACCGAAGTCAGTGGAATAATAATAAAATATATTTTAGATACCTATCTATAGTCGTATGATCCGCTAAAAATAAATAAATGTATTATGTGTATAGGTGGGTTGCATGAATGAACATTAAACGCATAAAATAGGATATCAAAATATAACACAACATTTTATTTATGACGGTATACATAATATTATATTAGTATTATAAGTTTACTATAAAAGGTTAATTGAATTAAAAAGGGTGTTTTTTTTATTTTTTTTTTATTAATCAACTACTTTTTTACAATTAATTTAGATTCTAAGTAGAGGGAGGAATGAATTGGTTTTACAATGATTTATATTTATTTTTCTGTGAACAACTTTTCTACAAGCAATTTTGCTCCAATTTGCAATGATGGCACTTCTCTAAAAATAAATCTAACTGAGGAAGTACTTTAGACAGGTTATTTTTAGATTTTCTCATTAGTTTTCACAATAAATAAGAAATTCAGGAAAAATAATGAGAAAACCGTAGAAAAAACGAGAAAATAGCTATGAACAATATTGAACAAATATTATTATTAAAGATACATAATTCATATATTATTATTTTACCATATAATATGTCAAATATATATATATATATATATATATGTTGACAAAGCAACACTATCAACCAAACTCCGCTCAGAATCGTTTTTACCTTAGCAATCGTTAATCGTCGCGTACGGATATACATTAAACTTCCCCTCTACTACTTTCTTGACTTATTTTTTGCAACAGTTACCAGCAGTGTTTTTTTTTTTTATTTGAATCCTGGGCGAATCGAGAAATGCATTAGATATGATAAGTATTTTTTCTAATATTTGAGTACATAAAAAATGTTCTACCAAAAATCTTGATCATCGTAATATTCTTGTAGAATTTGTTTTATCTAGTTTGTAAATTGAGAAGGCTATTTTTTGATTTTTTCCTTGTAGTTTTAATAAGAAATGAGAATAACAAACAATTGTTTGTATAACTTCTAAGTCTACGGTAACAACGATTTTATTTGTTTATTTGTTTATACGTCATTTGGTTGAGAATAATGGTGGACCTAAAATTCTTACAAAATACTTTTATTTGCTAATTCTAGATGTAGTGAAATCTTCTAATATTCTGCTGATTTTAAAGTTATAAGCATTGGACATTTTCCAGTTTTTTTAAATAATTATTTAATTCTGCATGGATAAAATTGTTTAGCCAGGTGAAAATGTATAGAGTAGTATTTTTAAATCATTTAAATTTTGATGAAAATCTTAAAAAATGCATGGCAATTCAAAACATGTTCAACATTATTTGACACAGAATCGTATTACGTTAGCAATATTTTATCGTTACGTACAGCTATAAATTTGATAACCCTGTAAATCCTATTTTCCGAAATTCCAACCTAAAACATATTTATACACCTATTATCAATATTTACTATTTTATTTTTTTTTAATCGATAACGTTTCATTGCTTATTATTATTATTTTTACAACGCAGTTTAAATAATATGTAACGATTCAGTTGTCCTCAATCAATTGCTTCACATGGAATTGTTTATTAGATAAACATTATGTTTTATATTATAATATCGAGTTTGGTTCATGGAAAATTCGTCAAGAATAATCTACGTAGTTTGCCTTTTGAGGATAATTTCGATAATAGTTTACCTGCAACGTTAGCCCCTCTCCGATCCCGAACAATTTAATTCGTTCCTTAAGCCTATGTACACCCAAAACACGCCTTTTCTCCGTTCGGACCACGTATACCTGATCTCCGTCCAAAATTACGACATAATCTAGAACTGGACATTTCCCTGTTCCCGGAACAAAGTTGCCACCTCATATCCTATCTCCCCCTCAAAAATAATTCATTGAAATTACAAACGTACGAAGAAAAATGCACTTACCTCGGCCGAATCTTGGTAGAGGTTACAATTTGGACATAAGTCTTCGATGTACCCGTCTACGAGCCAACCAACTGTGGCGACGAAAATCACAGAAAACCACACGATCATTTCGCCTGAAATCATAAAATATTAATATTAGGCATTTTGTATATTTAGCTACAACACATGTTGTTAAGTCAAACAAGTTCAAGTTATTTTATATTTAAAATAAAATTATGTTTATTAATTTCAGGGAGACAGAATTATTTTCATAGCTGCAGTATAATAGGTATCGTCTTCTGTCCAGCACCACCTCGTAAATGTCAATTTTAAATATTTTTTGTTATTGGTAATCTTGATGCACGAGAGTGCGCACACGCTGAACATTGTTGTCAGTTCGAGCTTCAACCGGTCTCCCACTTCGCGGTTCATCCCCGAAGCTTTCACGACCATTTTTAAAATTTTTATGCCATCAAAACACCTGAGCACGAATCAGGGCTTCATCACCGAACACTTTCACCAATTTATCGTACGTTTCCATAACGGAATCGCCGAGTTTAACGTAAAATTTATATTACGTTGTTCCATATTTGTGACACGCCTTACAAATACGTTGTCGAAAACATAACACAACTGGAAAACTAATTATTGTACAAAAATCGCGAGCACATGTATCGATAGAGGAGGGATGAGAAATTAACCGAACGAAGTTTCAGATTCGCAGTGTTACCACAAGCGTGGCAAAAAAAAAACAGTCTCATTACTTATTGGTCATACCTTGTATAATTATTTTCACCTTGTTTTTTTTTTTTTTTTTTNTAATTATTTTCCCCTTTTTTTTTTTTTTTTTTTTTGAAACTTTTAGCGGCTTTCTTTGGACCAAATGAGCCTCAAACTTAAGAATTAGAGTATTTTTTTAGGCAGTTTGAAGTAATAAGATTTAATTTGAATTTCAACATAAAGTTGTTGTGGAGAGTATATTTTTTAGCATTGTACTTCCTTCAGGCTCTCCAAATGAAACCATTGAAGATGCAATTTTGTTTATTATTTTAACGTTAGTTGATATTACGCTATGGCCTTTTGAGATTTAAGCTATTATTCTTTCTACTATTTATATGATAAAATTTTGCCATCTTTTTGGAAGAGTTATAATATTTTAATAATTACTTATAGTATCGTATCATTAATATACACATATAAGTACAATATTTAGTTTAATATTATAAAGACATATGATTAACTGATATTCACTCATAATTGTTTTACGTGCATATATAAAAATTAAATTACACTAAACAATGTTTAGGTTAGGTTATTTAACATCCTACCTTCCAAACTTCTTACGTATTAAAATTGAATACCTGCCTGAAGGTAATTGATTAAGCATGCTACGCCAATTTTATCGTTATATTTTGCATGTACTATTCAAATTTTGATTTTTGGAATTTTTAAGTGTAGTTAAAGATAATATTTTTGGATACTTAGAATTTTCTTAATATTTAAGTATGCTCTAACTATGATAACTTTAGTTTTTCAAATGGTTTTTATTTATTTATCAAGTATATTAAATAATTTGCAGAAAAAATGAACAGCCTAATTTGAATATCTTATAAAATACATTATTATTATTGTTGTTATTTGTATTCAAAAATAATTTTAGATTCTCCATGATGTGTATTGAACAGTACCTGCTACATTAAATTAATAAATAAATAATATTAAAACCGCTTGAAACAGGCACCGTATTATTGAAAAAAGAAATAATATTAAGAAAACGTTAAAAATGTAATTTCGTATTCTCTGCCCAGAATCATTTTTCGAACGCAATTATTATTTATCGTTTCTCTCGATTATTTTTAAAATAAAATTATTGTATACGATATTATAAACTAAGTAGTTTTTCACCACCACCTCGTGGACTGTTTTCAAACCAATTTATATAGAAATAGAATTTAAATTAAATAATAAAAAAAAAATCCAAAAATATCATTGTCCATACATGAGTGGATAAATAATTAAAAACATTCGACTAAATACTCGCGTAACAGTGTTTATATTTTTTATTTTTTTTTTTTTAAAGTACAATCGTTTATCAAAAAAAATATAATATCCGTCATGGTGTTTTTCAAGTGCAGTGTTATACTCGTATAGTTCTTTATAATATTATAATATAATATATTATGATGAAAACATTAAGTACAGTATTAAAAAAAAAAAAAACAATAACCGTCATAAACTCGCACACGGTGTTAATTTAATTAACTGTAAGTTGTTTTAACGAAATGGTAAAAGTGTAATAATTATTATGAATATTATTATAATTAATTTCGAAAACATAATTTTTCGTTATATACTCTCTAAGTTAAAACGTATAATTCATATTATAATATAATATTATACAGTATAATATTTTTGCACGCCTTTTAATAAATAATAACGAGACGTTAAGTTTTTGCGGATTTTATGGTCTAAGTTAGGTGTATTATAATATGCGCGCACGTACAATATTATTCGCCATTCAACTAAATCACGTCTAACTCCTCGTGTTACTTTTTGATTTTTTTTTTTTGTCAACAATAATACAATTATCTACGCAGAGTGTGAAACAACAATTAATAAATTAATTATGAGTTTGTGAAAAACGTGAAGAGCAAATAAAATTCGAAGTTTTAAATACCTCGTTTTCGTTAAAATTAAAATAATACTATTAGAATTTTATTTTATTTTTTGTATATTTTAAATTTGAATTTATATTAATATGAATATAATATTCATATATGAATCGAAGTACTAGTCAATAAGAAAAACCGAAGAAACCAGAATATGTACTACGTAGTCTGCAAGAGAAAGGTATTTCGACGAATATATGAATTATTTTTTTAAAATAAATACACCAATGAATAAAAAGGTATAGTTATGAGCTCGAATAATTGTGAACGAAATACAAATAAAAAAGCTAGAATGGACAGGTCACTAATACAGGAAGTAATAATTTTCGATTAAAAAGTATACCAGAAAAATCAAAAGGAAAATGCCACAGGTAGGCTATAATTTCGTTAGAAAGATTTAAGCAGAACTTATTAAATATTTTATAAAATTTTAACTGAAGGGAAATAGAAGTGAATAGAGAAGATAAGAGGGATGGGATGTAGATGATGATAAGTGATCTGTGTACGGCAATAACATTAAAAAAGAAAATAATCAGTTTTTTTTTATTTATCCAAAAATTATATTCAAGATTATTATGCAGGAGATGAATAATGTTTAGATCTATTAAAAACTAAGAAAATCTATTTCAGAGACCATATCGTAAACTCATTTTACCAAAACCGTTTTGTATTTTTATAAACAAACAATATATATATTTATTTCATGCTATAGACGATTTTGAAAATTAGTTATAAATACAATTATAGGTGCTAGGTTGGTAACTTACTTTATCATTGTCGGTACATTTTCAATGGTTAAATAGGCAAAATTATGTTGTATACCTGATTTTACATTAACAAAACCGTATTTTCAACAATAGCACAGCCGAGAAATAAACTGTTGTCGCGTATACGTAATATTAGCATTGGAAGGATTCAATTTGGAACTAGTCAGTTAATTTTGTATGGGGAATTTCTTCAAGAAAACGATATAATATATTAATGTCTTCAGCATATTTAAATGCGATGTTTGCTACACTTTTGTTAAGTATGGCGGTATCAGTTCAGTGCAGAAAAGTGGTTATTGTTATACGTAACGGATTACCGAAATATCGTCTATATGATATTATAATGTACACGTCATAGTACGCGATCGAAGCTGGCAAATCCGTTGAAACATAATATTATATTATAATTGTATTGTCTTTGTAAACTTATGTATATATGTATATAATATATACATATACCTATACCTTAATACGTGATATTTTGAATTTCTGAACCAAAAACGGAAGGGTGGCGGAAACGTTATCTGCTCGCATGCCACGCGTACGTAGTTCATAACCACCGCAGAGTGTACGTTTCGACTTTGGGAGAGCGAATTTTACCACTGTTGTCGGCGATATTATAATCCCTTGAAACCAGGCCTTAGAATTATATGCCTAGAGGGTATTTGTTATTGCAGTTATAATATTATACTGCACGTAAATACATATTATTGTAATATTTAAATCCGTTTTTGGAATTCCCGAATACGGAATTTTCGAACAAGTGTACTATATTTGAGAGTGAAGTTTAAACGCTCGATGTATTAATACGTCCCCTTAAGGGGACCCCCATTATTTAAAAGTGTGCGTACAGCAATATAGGTATAATACGAGTTTTGAAAAATAATCATATCCACTCTCAATATATTAGGGATTTACAAGCATTGCGATCAAATGCAGTAGATGCCATTCGAAACTAGAGACTACAAAGGGTGAAGCACGCTTGAAGATATGGAAACTTACTAAAAAATACTATTTGAAAGACTGGGATAAAGGTGGGAAGAATTAGTCAAGAAAGATATAAAAGCACCATAGGAGGATCAGACTGGAAAATGCTTGCATTAGATCGAAATAGTTTGATGACATGAGCCTTCTACAAACACTCCAATAGAAAAGTCATTTACAAGTAGTGATATAATTAAATTTAAAAACGAGGGACAACTTAACGATCGTCCTCTCTGAACTTTTAAAACAAATTTGTGACATGATTTATATAAGTATTCAAGATAATAATTGGGGGGAAAGGGGTGTGTTGTAGTGTACGTTGAAACATAAACAAAATATTATTGTTTATAGTAATTTAAATACATTTTACACCAGTTTTCATCCAAAATGTTGTACAGGTGTACTGTCTTAGATCTATAATACTCATTCGCACTCCAATGAGTGCTTAAATGAGCAAGGAATGTGTTAGTTTCAATAAAATTTATGCATCTATAAACTAATTTTCGATCAAAAATATTTCCCTAATCATCAAGTTTAGGGGTGATTTCTGGTAAAAATTATTTATTTAGGATAATTAGAACGTTTTTTTTTTGTTTTATCTCTCACTTTTTTAGTTGTAGAGGAAAACACTTGAAATTATATGAATATTTACGAAACAATGGCTTCTGTTGAGATCTATTGTATTATTATTATTTTTTTTTTTTCTTAATTACCCGAACAATTATGGCAGAGACCTAAATTTTTTACCGAATCGTTAATTTGTAGCCTATTCTAAAATTTGATAAAATGTTAAAAATACAATCTGGTGGTTTTTAAGGTACTTATATTTGGATTTTCGCGTTTAGGTTTTTTTTTTGATTTTATATGAGAATACAATTTGATTTATATATGAGTCCTCGAAAATTTGTATACAAGGCATCTCAGAAGTTTTTCAGGGTGATATATGTATAAAAAATAACCAAAATTTGTTGTTACGAATTTAATTTAGAAGCAACTTAAAGTCAGATTTACAAATTTAGGCCAAAATTGTGAAAATCACTTTCATCATAAGTATACAATTTTTTTATAATTCTTTTTAAACCGTAAAACTTCATTTATAAATGGAAGGGATATTGTTTCTT